GGATTCTTCCGGCTGTTCGTGACAATCGAGCAGCGATGGCCGAAGGGTCAGCCTAGGCCGAGGGTATTTGACGATAGCCTCCAGAAGAGGACGATGGAGTTCCCAGTGAGCAACATCAATCATAACAGCGTGGAATCTGTGACTACACCGCTGGATCCTCATGCACTGAGGATCAGGTACACTATCCATGATGACCAGTGAGTTTTCCGGTCCCTGATCCTTTCCCATATCGGAACAAATGCTAACGAACGGGCCTCGCAGCACCCTTATGAGCCTGAACTGTCCTACAGGGGCGGCTGACAAGCTCATCGAAGCCGTCAACGAAGCGGCCATCATCATCCGGGAGCTGAGCCTTGCCAGGTAAATTTCGAAGGAATTGTCTGCTGATTGTCCTTTGTTAGAGATAAGCAAGTGAAGGGTTGATCTTACTTTCGCCAAGGTTCAGGTGATGTGTCATGTATGTTTGAAAGCTATAGCGTTCTACTGTATATACCCACTAGTCAATCTTTTTGTGCTTCTCTGTTTCATTCTTCACTGTGTTCAACAGTCCACTTTACTCGCGGTCAATGGTATTTCGGCCCTTTAGCATCTTATCCAGGCTACTGAGTTGCTCAAAAGCAGGTGCGATCCAGATGACTGGCGAAAGGGCGGAAGCAAAGAAGGCTGCAGGGGCGAGGCTGTTTTTATCGCCAAGTTTAGAAGCTCTATCGTTTATATGTGCTCCTATAAGGGCCGATCAAACCCATGCCGTGTAAGCGAGCTGCAGGATGCCTGGACTACATCAAGCACCTTTGCAAGAGAGAGTTCCGCGGCAGGCAAATCCGTGTAGGAGGTTGTAGGAAGGGATACGGACATGGAGCGCTTTCGGATAGCATTTGCAATGGAAATCATGACTATGAGCGACGATGTTTCGGATAGGGGATTTCTTCCAACTATTTCATAGCGCGAATAGAAGGACTGGTCCCTTTCTATAGCAACACTCGTCTATAAACGTCCATAGCAGGGCCAACCGCATGTGCCTCCTCTTCATCGCTACGGGTCTGACTTTCGTCTCCGTCATCCGTGTCCCAGTCATCCGAGTCTTCTGAACCTTCCGAGCTCGAGGTTTCTGTATCTCCGAGAGCATATCTCAGGTCAATTAGAGCCATGTCTCGCTCAAGCTGTGCTAGCTCAGTGGTGCGGTCCCCCTCTTGATAAAACCAGTGCAAGTCCTCGTACAACCTTTATAGTGCGCGAATGTCGCTGTGAGAAAACTTGTTATGGTCTCCCACCTGTAAAATCCGGAGGGGCTCGTTCCAGGCCCGTCTTATAATCGGTTCCATGCGCGATGCAACCTCATCATTCTGTTGCATGTGCCACAAGTTATCCGAGAAGCTACCCAAGGCACTTATCGTCGATCTTAGATCTATAGGTCCGAAGGCTTGAGCCATCATGTTTTATTATTGAACCTCTTTACACTCTGTCTTTTCTGTGTCAACATGGACACCTTCCAATCAGACTCCGCAGGGATTTCTGTGGGAAGGCGGAAATATGGTCTAGTCTGGTCTAAGGTCACCCTGACACCTCTTCCAGATGTATAGATGCTTGTGTCCTCAGTCGCGAGCGCTCTATAATAGTGATCGGTGCGAAGAACGAAAGATCTATCTCGTATTAGTATAGTTTAAATGGGAAGGCGACTAACTATCTAAAATATAGCAGCCTAGCTCGCCTCCTAGCTCTTCTCCTTCTTCACAAATATTATTATTAATTCCTCTTTATTGTCTAATCCAGGTCTTTAATAGGTCTATGTAGACTAATCCCGCTTTAAGAGGGGAAATCCCCTTCCAGGAAAACCCTCGCCTTGCCAATTTGAATTAGCGTACTTCTCTCTATTGGCGAATTTGACTACGCCGCTTTTTGGCAAGCACTCGAGCATGTATGAGATCTCTCTGTCTCTTTCTTTCCTATGGCTCTGTTCTTGTTTATATACAAATTTATGATGCATTTGATCTCCGTAAGACCCTTTTCCATGATTTCAAATCACTCATTGATTTCCAAGCATTGCAAATGCTGATACAATGGCAATTTTATGACAGGACTCACTGGAGTCCCTCACAGAGTTTAGTATCCATTTTTGTTAGCGCGTCACCTTTTACGTGAGTTGGTACGCGCTAGAATCATTAGCACCAACGCTCTCCTACGAGCCGTATACTTTCCTCGTCATCATCTCCAATCCGCCGTCGTCCTAATAGTCTGTCCCTAGTATATCGGACCCTTCTATCCTTTCTACCTTCGAATGTGCTCATTCTACGTGAGTCTAGGGTCGAGCTAGGCCTCTAAGATTTTACTCGCTCTCTTTTCTATGGTAACGTCGTGACCTTAAATCGTTATTATACTTACGAAGTCCTCACTTACACGGCGGTTACTCCTTGTAAAGTGAATGAGCTAGTATCTCTCTGGGGCGAAGGTTGCCCCGTTGTTTACGGCCTGTACTTTAATTTTCCCGAGTAGGTCTGCGAGATAGAATAGGAGTAGGATTAGCGAGAGTAGTAAGCCTTAAAGAATTCTCCTGAGAGTAGTTACCCACTCACTCGTATAGTTATTAAAGGCGGGTCGCGTACGTCTCGCATGCACGAAGCATTCAATCGTAAGGACTAACTAAAGCTCTACGCTTGTTCCGTAGTATCTCCACTAGCCTTACCTACGGAGTATTATTAAATACTCCCGCGAGGTTAAGGCCCAGTAGAAATACCACGTATCTAGGCCGGGCGCTCCACGCAGTCTATATATATGCGAATATTGGGCCAATCGCTAATAGTGTCGATCTGTCTTTCCTTGCTCCTATTTAAATCTAGGGAATCATCTCCTGCTGTTCGGCTGCGAGACTTAGGTATTGCGCTAGGAATTTCTCTACCATCTTCGCTATAGTGTTCTCGAGCGTGATATGTCGACATCTTTCTAGGAGGTTATAGTCTTTTTCACCTTCTTTCCTTAGGAATACTATTATTAAGTCTCTTAAGCTTTGAGGAAGAGAACCGCCTGTGACTAGTTAGCGGATCGCCTGCGTAACTCCAGGTGTAATCTTATCCTTTAGGTCCTTGAGGACTCTATTTAGGATTTCGTGTGGCCCTAGTGCCTTCCCCGTTGGGAATCTCCTGAGACTATCCTGTATTTCCTCTTTAAGGATCGTAGAAGTGTCTAGCTAGCGACTTAGTCGCGTATCAGCTATTATCTACCTTGTCTCTCTAGGAAAAAGCTTCTCTACGAGAATCTCTACTTTCGCTTCGTTCTGGTCCTGTAGCGGTGCTCCTTCCTGCCGCCGGAGCGTAGGAATATTAGGGTCCTTATGCGCCTTACCTACTTTTTACTTACTCTACCGTATAAGTTGCCAGAGGCTGACATACCCCCTATTATAGTCACTATCAGCTTATTTGAGGGTCTTTCTCTAGTTCACATATGTATTCGCCCTGAGTTCCCTTTAAAGACTATTTATTAGCGCTCTTACCGTACCCGGTCTTTTTTATAGTTGCCTGCTGTAAGTCTACGCCTTGCGCGCCTCACCCCTGCTAGGAGCTCTACGGCTCTTAGGGACTAGTCAGGCCTACTATCCTAATATATCCGGGTCCTCGGACAGTACTACGGGAGAAGCCTTATTAGTAAGTGTTCAAGTGCTAGTAGTGGGTCGCTCGCCTAGTCCTATACTTCTACATTCATTATACTTTTAAGTCCCTTAGAGTCTAGCTTAGCGGTCGCGTAGTACTTACGCTCCTCTTATAGGTATACCTAGCTATGACTATCTAGTCGGATTTCGATCGGGATGTAGACCCAAGTCTAGGCACCACGTAATGTGCCACGCGTCTTAAGTCGCGTTTACCAACTATTCCTCCTCTTCCACACATAACTACTCGTACAAATACTCATTTCAATAGCTAAAATGGCATTAAATCAAGAGACCAAACTACTACAAGTAACATCTAACCATTAAACTCGCTGATATCGTAGTATTCGCGCCGCTGCAGCAGTAAATGACGTATAGTTAAACTTCAAGTCGTCGATATAAGGTGGCACTTCACGAGTAATTACTCGTAAACTACAGTAACTACTATTAAATAGATAAGAGTAAATGCTCGTACAATAGATACTTAACCTTGAGGCGGAAGGTATCACCGGTTGAACCCGTACAAGGTCTGTCACGGATCACCCGTAACAGAAGTACTAAGAGGCACGTGACTCGCAGGTATATCACACACGGGAAGCATCCGGAGCTTATAGCTCCTTACGCTTCGAGTCGATGTCACTTTTATGTATATAGTTGGATAGAGAACCTATAGAAAGACTCTAGAAGATCTCGCTCATCTCGTTCCTGATAAGGTCTTAGTTAGAACCTACGACTCCCTATAAGACTGTATCACCTAACTCCCGTCTATCGATAGTTACTCTAGCTACCGTACAATCCACTAAAGGGGAGTATATCACTTTAAGGTACGGTAGCTAGTCTCTCTCTTCTACTTTCTCTCTTTAGTCTTAAGATCCTCGGTACACGGATATATAGTAGTTGAATAAGCTCTTATTGAAACCCTCACAATAAGATTGTTAACGAAGTCAACTATGAATGGTTCTATCTAAAGTAACGAGCGTATATATATAATGTTGGCGTAGACTGTGGACTATCTTAGACTGTCCTTATAGTCTATAGTCCTTATAAGTCCTTGGACTGTCTTCGACTGTTGTCTTGGCCTCCAGTCCTCCATAGTCTATCGTTCTAGTCACGTGACATATTATCGTTCTCCATCGGCTAACCTCCTTATTTGAGGACGGGTGGCTTGTCCTTGGCGACCCTTCAAGTGAGCTGGTTTGTCACAACAAGCTCCCCAGAAACTCATTCATTCAATCGTGTTCCTGCGAGTCGTCCCTATGACGCTCCGTCGCCAGATTTCCGAGCGGCCCAGCGGAGCGCCTGGTCGATTTTCTCGGCGGGCGCGAGAGCGAGCCAGCGGCATTTAGTTTTTTTCTCAGGATGCCTACCACGAGATTGTACAGTCCGACGCAGCCGTTTGCAGCGGGGGCATTGGGTCGATCGGCGAAAAGTCCGACGTAATCTCGCGATGCCCGGGCGCGGCGACGGAGTCATGCAGCGCTTGGAGAATTTCATATACGTGGAACGCATGGTCCGCCGCCATGCGCGGGCGGCGCTTCTCGCGGATGGCGGTAGCGAGCTCGGCGAGACCGAGGCACATGTCCATGCGGTATGCCTTTGGATACTGCCGCGGCGCATCCGCCGGCGTGTCGACTTGAATCCCTCGCTCCGGCATCGGCGTCGGCATGCCGGGGCTATCTGCTGCGCGCTCGGGGGTGGTCTGCGGCGTGACGAGCAGCAGCGGCGAGGCTGGGTTGGTCGTCGAGCCTCTTGAGAGTGTGAATTGGATCGGCGCTTCGTAGTCCCATATTTCCGGTACGTGGAGGATGCCTTTGTCGCCGGTGATGGTCATTGAGCGGTTGCGCCGGGCGACTGTGCCGATAGTCAGTCGGGCGACGACGCCGCTGCGGAATGGGATGAGGGCGACGCAGAAGTCGGGGCCAAGGTCTTGCGGCGCGATTTTCTTCATCTTTTCGGTGACAAGAGTGTGGGAGAAGGACGTGACGCTCGCCGCCGGGCCGAAGACGCTGGTCAGAAATCCCACCTCATATGCAGCATGTTCCCAGACGCAGCCGACGCGAAACTCAGTCTCCGCCGGCCAAGGCACGCCGGCGCTGCTTATCCAGGTGCTGTATGGCAGCTGGTGTATTGGGCCGTCGTCGATCTCGGCGTAGACAACTCGCGGGGTGCCGACGACGTTTTCGCGGACAAGGTGGGCGAGAGTCTGCATCGACCCACCGAGGAAGTTGCACGGCGCGACCGCGAGCAGGCGATTTTGCTTCGCGGCGAGGGCGATCAACTCCTTCGCGCCGGCAGGCTCCAGCGAGAGCGGCTTTTCGGAATAGACATGTTTACCAGCGAGTAGGGCGGCACGGGAGACTTCGACGTGGGAAGCAGGTGGTGTGAGGTTGACAACGAGGTCTATGTCAGGGTTGTCGAGAATGGCCTGGTAAGAGGCAGCGATGGGGATATTATATCGCTTTGAAAAGGCCGACGCGCGGGAGGGAGAGATATCGAATGCGGCCAGAGGCCGCAACTCGGGATGGTTTGGCAGCGTGTCGCCGTAGTAAGCGGCAACAAATCCGCAGCCTACAAAGGCGATGTTCATGTTGGCGCGAGAACACTGTGTAACCCGCATGCCTGCTCTGGTGTGGCGGGGAGATTCCCCGAGTACCTCGATTACAGCTTTGGGGGTGTCCCTTGACTACTCAAGCAGCAAGGGCGCCAAGGGCACCAACCCAGGTGGATTGTGGTAAGAGTTCACAGCAGAGGCAGTGTGTCAAGACGGATATTGGTATGTTAAAGGCGTGGTTCAAGAAGAGCGAACAGAATTCAGGAACAAACTCGTGAAGTTGTATCGACACAAGACAAATAGGTCTCAAAAGGTAGGTCGATTTTAGGCTAAGTCAGGCACCCATTAAACGACCTAACCCGTTAATGACCCGGCTTTTACCATACAAAACGCGTAAATTTCACCCCTACAAGCTTAGTTAGTTTTATAGCTATTAAAGTCTTGTTTAAAGATAATTATAAGAATAGCTTAGTACTTTTACAATAAATATATAATATTAAAGAATTTTCTTTTCTAATCTTAAAATATTAAATAGTCTAAATATAAAAGTACGCGTTAAAATTAAAATATTCTTTTTCTATACTATTCTAGAGAATTAGAAATTACTTAACCTAATTTATAGCTATACTAGAGACTTAACTTACATTTATAAGTACTTCAACTTTAAAGGTTACTTATATATTTATAGAAGACTTTATTAGAGTATTATTACGGGTTAAATCCGTATAAAGCTCTAGAGTACGCCCTAGAGCGATTACTCGTAGTATACCTTTAGGCTATATAACTATATAGCCGAAGCTACGTAATTCCTCTCTATCGATTATCTCTATAAGGGTTTAGCTAGGAATTTAGAGTAATTCGTCTAACTACCGTATATCGAGGATTCTAAAGCTAAGGAGAGAAAAGAAAAGAGAAAAATCTATCTACTATACGAATAAAGGAAATACTTCCTAGCCTCTCCTATAGTAGGTTAGTATAGTTTTCTAGGAGATAATCGATAGAGAGGAATTACGTAGCTTCGACTATATAGTTATATAGCCTAAAGGTATACTATAAGTAATCGCTCTAGGGCGTACTCTAGAGCTTTATACGGGTTTAACTCGTGATACTAAGATAGTAAATAACGATATATTCTTCTCTTCTTTAGCTACTTCTACTATATATAAGGGTTTCCATAAGATTATAGGAGGAAATTTAACTACTATAGTACCTATATAATAAGGATCTTAAAGCTAAAGAGAGAGAGAGAGAAAAGGGAGTCTAGCTACCGTAGAATAAAGAGATATACTCCCCTTTAGTGGATCGTACGGTAGCTACTAGAGTAACTATCGATAGAGTAAGGACACGTGATGTAGTCTTGTAGGACGTCGCCGGTTCTAACCAAGACTCCATGCGAGTTCAACCCGTGACACTATAGATCCTAAATTTTATCCTTTGGATAAGTTATAAGCCTAAATCGCTCTAGTTATTACCGATATTGGATAATGTCGTGGCATGTCATGACTCATGGAGCTGATATGTGTAGTTTCGACCGGCACGATTGACAAGTCAATATGATGACAAATACGACTGGATTGTAATCCCTTCACAATTCCTGGTTTCTTTGGAGCCCCTGGGAATACTGAAGCCGTTGTTCCAGTTTATTTTCCCTTTTCTTTCCCTTTTCTGGACTGAGCAGAACCCTGTTTTTGCGGCTCTTCCCGATCCAAACCCTTCTGTAGACGCCAAAATTTCTCAAGGGCTGTCCAGCAGCCTCGGCACCTCACAGCCGGCATGATGCGAAGAGCTTCTACTGCCTAGAATTTATTCAGAGTTCAATTCGTGCCCCAGAGAGCCGTTGTCGGTCAGTTTGGCCGCTCAAGACGGATGGCAAATGCATTTCTCACCTGCCAAAGCGGCAGCTGGCACGCGGGATAATAAGCATCTCCACGGCCTGCAACTCCAACCCCATTCACCAAAAGGTAGATTCAGGTCTTATCATGTTCGCATTGGCGACTGCCTGACGAAGGCGCTGGTAGAGCTTCTCAGACTGTTTCCCACAGGATGGTAAATCCAACATAGAATAAGTGGCCCAGCACTTGTACCAAGCCTCTTCGAGGAGGGCTTTTGACTGTTCGTTGGAAGTTGCGGCCCAGGCAGATATGAAGCAGATTGGTATCCAGCCAGCTCCAAGAGGCCTGAGATCTAACGCCGCTAGTGAAAGGTCGATGATCTCTTGGCAGATTTGGGAAGAACGAGCTGCTAGCGTTGCATCTCTAGGATTGTACGCTTGCAGGATGCCGTTAAACATCACTTCAATATTGAGAAAGATCCCGTACAGCTTTTGATAAAATGCATACAGCCGATTTGGGGAAATTGGAATCCGAGGTTGCTTCGGCATCTCGAGGAATACCTGATTTCGAAAGTCGAGTTTTACCTCGATCAATTTTGCATGCAGCTTGATGCATGTTTTCTGCACATCTCGATGGATGGAGATGATTTCATTGAGAAGCTCTGGGTTGTATTGCAGAAATTCGGGAATACGGATGACTGATGACATAACCCGACCCACCTGAGATCGTTGTTGATAGTTTTCCGTCAAGCTGACGGTATCTTCGCTGCCGTCTTCCACCAACGGTCTCTCGTTCTCTAACACAACCTTCTTGAGCCATGGATTCAGTTTTATTGTAGGATCTACGAGACTCTCGAAGACCTTCGAATGGATTGTCAGCTGAGTGTGCTCGTGAATCCTGGCCGGAAACCTACTCACCACAGGTCCTGCTATAGTCAGCAGTATGCCACGATCGAAAGGATCCGCTGAATCTTTGTATGGTACAGTAGCAAGCAACTTCACTATTCCCGATGAGTGGCCAGAGAGTGACATGTTCTCGTCAGGGCAGATCCAGGCCTAGGCTAGACTTAACGAGGGTTCATCGGAGGGAGTGGGAATATCCAAACCTGACAAATCCAAATGATATATATGGCACACAACGTACTGGATGATTGAACTGCAACTGGGTCATCCAGGCATGTCTTGAGTGACCGCAAGGCATTCCCGTATCGGGTTAGGATTTCTGGAGACTTGCGATTGCCTTCTATGCCTGCAATCGCCGAAGTCATTGCCATCACAGAAGCATCCAAGGCGGCATTGGTACCGAGACGCTTTGGAATTTCAAAGAGAAGGGCACCATATGCGAAAACCATGTCATAGCGAGTATCTCTCACTTGAAGTTTTTGAAGAAAGTTGATGAGCATTAAGGATGCCTCATTGGTAGGAGGCCTCGTGAGCGTCCCGGTGGCCATTGTATCTCTGGATCGGAAACGTTTCAACTCCACCTCGGTCTGAGGCTTTGCGATGACAACTTCCTTAAACTTGAACCGCTGTTTACCGGAGCCGATGCAGGGGAGACACAAGCGGGCGCATCTCGAACATGCGGGCTTGAGCTGATCACACTACCACCAAGTAAGACAACGGATCGAGGGAGGGTCTAATGAGTCTTGCCCTTTTTTTCTGGCTCCTACAAGCATTGCAGCCCTTTCCAGATGGAACACCGGGCATCCTTCCGTCAGTTTGTGTGCGTTCCCGCGAACGTCGCCAACGCTTTCAAGCAGCCAACTCATCAATTACTACCGTTGTGCTACCAGGTCTGTGCATCGAGGAGAATATGCCAACATCTCCAAGGGGGCTACCTACGATGGCTAATCGCCCAGAGAATATTGGCCGTCGGGAAACAGGCCGTCTCAATCGCTTGCGGGTGTGGAGACGATCAGGCGTCCTGGCTTGTTGCACGAGACTTCAGCGGCCCATAGCTATTGTTTCGGGTTAGTATGCCAAGCTGCGCCCAGCAAGGCTGCGTTACTACTTGGACTTGCTGATATCGCTGGCCGAGTACGAGTACGGAGTACACTTCTTCCCAAGCTCTTCAACCAAACACGTTGTCGGGCGATTGTCCGCGCATTCCCGCCAGAGTAATCCGTAGACTCAATACCATCTGAGGAGTGTCCGCCTCTATTTTCATCTCCCACTAGCTGACGTGCCTGCTATATCCCCGCGCGTTGGCAGACCGTTGCCATGTCTCCCGCCCAGATCGCTATATAGTAGCCGTACTCGTATTCGTACTCTTTATCGTATGCAAGGCTGCAACGCGTAAATATGTTTGTAGGATGTGGGCCGCTTCTATGACCTACCAAGCTTGCTTCACAATCTTGTAGCATCATATGAATGAGGCTATGCTGCATTGCCAATGCAATGCTAAGCCGGCAGGTTCTAGCTCGATAAGGCTTTATATGCCGCCAAAAGGAAACATTTCCACGATTTTCAAGGTTTGATGACGATGAATACTATCATTGTAAAGATGACGATGAGTAGGTCAACAGGCAACAGCTAACAGCTTTTCTATATAAACGTGTACGAGATGTCGACCCGTGCCACCACTTATTCCAGGCTTCTGGACAGACAAGTTTCCACGTTCACCACAATACAGTGAGCTATCATGAAATGTTCTCGCACCATCTTCCTCACACTCTCCTCTGCGGCACTAGGCACTTGTGCGATTCAATGGGCCCCATGCGACCCGACCAAGTTCAACACCACGATACTACCGTTCCAATGTGGAAATCTGGCTGTCCCGCTCGACTACACGGACCCAGCTAATGAACAAAAGCTTTCTCTTGACCTGATTAAAATACCTGCGGCGTCTGGACCCAAACTTGGGAGTATCCTGTTCAACCTCGGAGGTCCAGGTGTGCCTAATCTACGGGATATCTCCCTCCTTGCCCCAACTTTATTACCGTAAGTGAGTGAATAGCTCCCCAGGGACGTTCCTTCTCATAGTCAATTCTAACTGCTATATCTCCAGTCTGACTGGAGGGCAATCCGACCTGATTGGGCTTGATCCTCGTGGGACGGGCAACACCATTCCATTCAATTGCACCACCAACCTGGCCGACTCGTACACCATGCTCACCGAAAAAGTATTCAGCAATTCATCAGACGTGACGCTGGGAAGACTATGGTCGCGCGGGTCGATCGATGCCAGCTTGTGCCTCGAGAACGCAAACGAGACTGGAGCACTCATTAGTACTGCTTTCGTGGCCAGAGACTTGATCAGCATTGTTGACGCACTCGAAGAAGACGGAATGCTGAGATATTGGGGTTTGTTCCTGTCTCTTTCGTTCCATTTAGTACCAGGATGAACAGCAGCTCACCTACATATTCATAGGGTTCTCTTATGGTACTACTCTCGGAGCCACCGTCACAGCCATGTTCCCGGAGAGAGTAGACAAGGTGATTCTCGACGGAGTGCAGAACCCTCACGAATACTACCATGCAATCGCGTAAGTCAGCTTCCCAGACGAGCCTTGAATCTCTCAATATCTAACGGAGATTTGCTTCCAATTAGCGACTTCGAGGAATGGACAGACTCGGACAAAGTGTTTGCTGGTATCTTCTCGACATGTATCGAGGCTGGACCTGAACTGTGTCCACTGGCAGCTCGCAACAAAACGGCTCAAGAATTGGAATCCGACGTGTGGGATTTGCTTGACACTGTTAAACACCATCCTCTCCCTGTGGGCAGCGTCCTTCTGGACTACATGGCTCTCAAAGGCATGATCACAGAAGCGCTTTACACAACAGAATTATGGCCCAACTTGGCCACGACTCTCGACATCCTCCTACATGGGCCCGAGAGCGCATTGACCGCACTTGCGACATATCTTGTGGCGGGTGGCGATGAGACTGAACTCGAATCAGGGATGAAGACTATAACCGCGATAGCGGGCATTCACTGTGGTGACAACTTAGCGCGAGTCTCGACATTCAAAGAATTCCAGCGTGCTGTGGACAAGTTGTACAACATCAGCCGCATAATGGGCGATGTACCTGTTAGCCGTTACGCGGTCTGTGCACAGTGGAAGATCAAGCCGAAGGAGAACTACAACGGAGATTTCATCGTGCGGACGAAGAAGCCCCTGTTGATTATTGGAAACACATATGACGGCCATACCCCGCTGCGCTCGGCGCAGAATGTCAGTCAAGGGTATGAGGGAAGTGTGGTCCTGGAGGTGAATGGGTACGGCCATGCGTCGATAAATCTGCCATCGAAGTGCACGCTTGAAACGGTGTCTGCGTACTGGGTCAACGGCATCATGCCTGAACCCGGCAAGGTTTGTCAGGTGGACGCCCCGCCCTATTCGGGAAAGTCGTGGGCAGACGTCTTCGAAAGTGCTGGTGTTGGCTCTCTGCAGAAACGAGATGTATATGGAGGCTGGCAAATGCTAAGAAATGGTGGACGGATGTGGATGCTATAAGTCAACAAGCACCTTTGTCGGCTTCTCTGAGCGCTTGGTCCAAAAGAGTCAAGGCATCACAGCCTTAAGATGGTGAGGCTGGACGAAACACAGCAAGGCGTTGGACGCATATCGAATCCCTTGACACCCCAGCTCCCAGCGGAATCCAGGGGCACCTCATCTCGTGTCACTACATAATGTCATGTACCAGGTTCAGTTTTCCACTCTCCCTTGCTTCTTTAGAACTCTGAGTTCGTCCCGTATCCCCGTCAAACGGAACTATTCCGCTAATCAAAGCACTTCGCGATTGCCGGACTCCACAGCGGGATGCAGATTCCTCATCGTCGGCAAATACCCCGCCTAGACGAGAATGATACAAATACATTGACGTACGCTACGCTCATACTTTTTTTCCTTTGCTGCCTCGTGGCGTATCATTCATAGTGGAGAAGATTTCCGTCCGCAGCTTCTTGTCGATGGTCTAGATAGCGACACCGTCCAAACTCCCAATAAAGAAGACAAGAAAAGGAACCTTCAAAAATGTCCGCTAAAGTCGCGCTCGTCACAGCGTCCAGCGCGGGACTCGGGGCCGCCGCCGTGAAGGCATTAGCATCACATTTCCGGGTCGTGGTGAACTACAACTCGCGGCTAGAGAAGGCCGAGCAAGTGATCAAAGAAGCCTCGGAGATCCCAGCGACATACGCGACATCGGGACCGCGGTTCCACGCCATCAAGGCAGATGTGCAGAATCGCTCCGAGATCCAGCGCCTAGTGTCGGAGGCGGTGGACAAGTTCGGCAGGCTGGACGTAGTGGTCAGCAATGCCGGCTGGACGCGGCTGACTAACTTCTTCGACCTCGAGCAGCAAGTCAACGAGGATGACTGGGACAAGTGCTTCAGCGTCAATGTCAAGAGCCACCTGTGGCTGCTGTATGCCGCGAAGCCTCACTTGGAGAAGTCAGAGGGTGGCGGTGCTTTCGTCACCGTCGCGAGTCTCGCCGGTGTGCGGCCGAGCGGTAGCTCCCTTCCCTACGCGGTCACCAAAGCGGCGGAGATTCATCTCACCAAGGGCTTGGCCGTGATCTGTGGGAAGAGTATCAGGTGTAACAGCGTGAGCCCTGGTTTGATGTTGACCGAATGGTGAGTCGTCGAGTCCTCCCAAAATGCCTGCTTATATTCGTTGTATGTCATCAAGCATTAAATTCACGCCCGACTAACAAAACTTTTTCTCCTTGTCTAGGGGCAGTCAATTCCCAGAATCCAAAGTCAAGGCGACGACAGATAAGTCAGCCCTAAAATCGACCGCCACACCAGAGGACGTTGCAGAGCAGATCAAGGCCCTGGTTCTGAGCAAGTCCATCACTGGCCAGAACATCGTCATTGATTGTGGAATTGCCATTTGATTTGACAGAGCCGCAGAGGAGAGGCGCCGCTGGTAGGCTGTTGGGAACTCTCCTGCTGTTCGATGACCGTTCTGTGACGTATGGATCTCGATCTCCGTCTAAACATGAGCGGGAGGGAGTCCATCGTCCGAGGCAATCACTTTTCCATGCTTGCTGCCAGGAGCGATACGTGAGCGCAACAAAAGGAACCACTTTCTTCGAGCCTCGAATACTTCACTAGAGCTGGGTTTGCATTCTGCGTCTGCACTCGAGAGTTCATGACTTCGGAAGCAGCAAGAATCCCCTCTTTCAAGGATGTGTGCGAAAACGCACACCAGTGGCAAGCGTCGTGTGATTGTCGCGGTCCAAAAGACGATATTCGAGGACCTCAAGCACTCCTAAGAGCAACTGCCAAAGAAGGCGTTGAATGCTGTAGGAGGGGGCAGTGGCGTTGTCAGCGGGAACCACTCCTAACACTACTTGTAAACCAGCGTGCGTGATCCAGATGCTCGGGCCCCCGTGAGCGTCGTTTGCATATTTACGTCGAGGGCTGTTTGGGCTGGGCGAAAATCAATGAGAAACGCAAAGAGCACACCTCAACGCCACTTGGAACAAGTATATAGATTGAGGTCGCCGTACGACCGCACAATCGTCAAATTATTATTGTCATCTCAATCCATCTCCTCAAGTTCTGCTACCGATCTTGCCAGACCTTCATCCAGAGATCCAGCAGTAGCCCTTTTCAGCACCCTCAGAGCAATCTTACACCCCCTTTTAACATGCTCTCGATCACGTTTCTCCACCAGATCCGAATCTATCACATTCCTCGTAATGAAGAATTGCAGTCTCTTTACGATCTGAGGAGTCTCTACTGCTGCGCTTTCGAAGGAGCTGCGTATCGTCGCCTCTGCCAGAGTAGCAGCATTCGTAGCGGCTGCGGCTGTGGAGTTCTTCTTCGCATTGGCATATGCTTCCTTGAAAATCAAGACAAGCAGCAATTCAACAAACATGCCTGTGCGTTCCTTAATATATGCAAGGTCTAAGACCTTCATGATACCCAGAGACTGAGATCCCTCGAGAATTAGATTCGCATAGAGTCGCGAGAGACTTGCAATTTCGGTCATTTTCACGGAGCTGCCGCTCTCCTCGCGTTCAAGTCCAGCTAGACCGTCGTTGTCATCACTCTCTCCCTCAGCATCCAGCTTCTCACCTAAACGGGTTCGCCACCAGCCCCAGAGCGCGAACTGGAAAGATTTTTTCATCCGCGACTGCATGCACAGGCGCTTTGCGACGAGGGCATAGTACGGATTATAAGGATCCTCGCCAGCGGCGCAACGCAGAAGGACATGGGGGATTTCATGTTCTTGAGAGCGTTTGAGCCGGAGCTTGAGGAGGCGGGTATGGGCGTCGAAGGCGTCGACTGAGGAGAGAAGCGTGATGAAAATGGAGCGCCGGACGGAAGTGTTCATACCGTAAGCACGGGCAAGATCAGATAAGTCGATCTGGTCAGGGTCTGAAATTTCGTGGTCAATAGGGAAGGACGCTGTAGGATCGTCCTCCTGAGGTTGGATATCAAGTGATTTGTCGTCATCAAGATTGCCTTTCCAGCTTGCACCCACGAGCCACCATTTCCCCTTGCGATCGCTGTTCTTGATATCATCTCGATTGACGCGCAAGGGTTCGGTGGCTCTAAGGGACGGGCGATTGTTTAGGGAGCCTAGCGCCTTCCGCATGTGCGTGATGTGCTCACTGGACAAGCCGGTACTGCTAGTCGCAGCCTTCATTTTGTTGTTCTTCAGATCTGTGATCGTCTCGATCATGAACTTCGTGCGTACGGACATATGCTCGCCTTCAGTCGTCATGCGGGCAGATTCCTTCTGCATCAGTTGAACGATCGATTTGAGTGAAGAGGGGTCATCTTGTCGAAGTTGTGGCCCACAGTCACGGATCAGTCGAAGAAGGAGCTCGGTATTGCTCTCGGTGAGCTTGGACAAGAGGATGCGAATGTAGTCGAAGATTATGGTGCTGGAAACAACGTGGAAGGTGAACAAGTTGGAGAGAAGACTTATCAGGTTGAGAGATTCTTTACCCGTGGAGTCGGAGGCGTGGTGCTCCTCAAAACGGTCCAGGAGGTGGGAGAGAAGATAGGCACCAAAGTCGACACCGATGACTTTGTAGATAGCGGTTGCAAAGGCGGCGTGGAGGATGACAAAGGTGTTCTGCAGGGAGGATTTGTTGCAGAAGCGGGTTAAAAGCAAGTCAACAAGAACCGCGGTGACATCTTGTCTGGGATTCGATTGGTAGAGCTTCTCAATGTCGCCCAGGATTGATATCAAATTTGCTTCGGATAACTTATTGAGATGGCCCTGGATTTGTCGTTTTAAACGTTCTATTGACTGGCTGCCGGTGGCTTGTGCTCTTCTCATCGACGGAGGCACATATTTCGTAGTTGTCAACGTATCAGATGTAACGGGGGCCACATAGGGGTTTTCTCGCACCCTCTTGGTGGGTTGAGATTTCGTCTCATCTTCAGATCTGAAATCATCGAAATCATCGCCGCCTAGGTCCTCGTCTTCACTGAGGTCCAAGATATCAAGGTCGTTGTCTTCGCCTTCACCTTCTCCGAAACCAAGGCCATCGTCCTGATCACTGCCGCTTACCTCCTTGTCACCCAATTCCAAAGCTTTCCTCCTCTTCCTCTCCAACCAGTCCTGGGCCTCACTTTTCCTTTCCCCCGTCTCATCTTCCTCGTCAACATCCAAACCATCGAGGAGATCTTCCAGACCATCATCCACAGCCGATCTCTTCCGCTTTTTCATCCCTAACCTTTTTTCTAACTTTGAGATCTCTACGTCATCCTGCGCCGCTCGATCTTTGAAAGCCTTGGAGGAGGCGTCTAGAATAAGTCCTGGCGAGGAAGAGCGGGAATTCGACGGTGAAATGCTCCTCGATAGGGGTTGGGTAATCTCTTCTTGCTTTGGCCTTTTCAGAATCGACTTAGGCACGGGCTGCGGATCTCGCTTTGGCGCAGCGGAGGCCGGTTTCTTCTTTGTGAACTTTTCAAGTGCGGGAGGCGAATCATCGCTTCGGTCAAAGTCGTCGCCGTCGTCGTATCCAGCTGTATTACGTGAGATAGGTCTTGGGCCCCTGATATGCGTTCTCTTCTCCTGCCTCTCTGCCTTCCGCTGCTCCTTGCGTCCTCTCACGGCCCCATGTGCTGGTCGTCCACCAAGTCGTCGATTGTCCTCGATTCCCAGTTCCTGCCGTAAGGTGAAGGGTAGCTTTATGCCAGTCCGTTGTTTTTTGTTATCCCAGGACATCAGAACCTCGTCGCTACTGCGACTGCTGCGTATTTGGCCAGAATCGAGCGCGGTACTGATAAAACCGACATCGAAAAAAGTTTCAAGATGCGCCGGAGATAAATAACCAGATTTCGGAGATAAGGTCTTTCCAGCGTCATTTGAATTCCCCCACCAAAGACACCGAATATTGGTTGAGATTCGGTGCCATCAGAACCAATCTTACGAGTCCTACCCGGTACAGTACCAGCAATACTGTCGACCACGGATGTCGCATGGTTGAGATGTCGCAGCAACAACGAGTCAGCAATGACGAGGTATTTGCATCTGCCTTGTTTCCTAGAAAGCCAGTCCAAGTAATCCTGACCTAACTGCTCAGTTCTTCACCCGCCTTACCACCCTCCTCGCCGACACACACAGCACGGCCCATGGCTCGATATACCTAACACAGAAACCCGCGGCAGATCCTCGCATCGTGGACGCCGCCACTTCAAACGAAATAGATGCTGCCATAGACGGTCAAATACTGATCCGAGCGACAAACGGCCTGTCGAAAGAACACCGGGGCCGAGTTAGCAAATCCAGCCTAAAATCCAAGGCTGCCCAAGGTGGGAACTCCAAGGGCAGACCGAAAGTCAAGCTCGCTACGACAGTGAACGTAGCGGATCTCGACGCCTTCTATGCCCGATATGCGGAGGTGTGTAAGAAGGGGATGGAAGGGTTGAGGAAGCGTGATAAGAAGAAGGCCAAGGTCAAGGCCAAGGCAAAGAAGAAGGGGAAGGGAGCAGCGGGTGCTGCAAAGACTGCGTCGTGACGCTGACCAAGAATTGGTGAGGCCGTGAACGGGATCGATTGGACCCTCATCAACTATATTCCCTGGCCATCAAGGGAGAAAAGACCACGGCCACTGGTGGACTTGCTCCTTGAATGCCAGCGCTGAAAGCGCCCCCTACGGGTGCGAAGGGACGATAGCATGTCTCTCACGGCTCAGAAGTCGTGGAGGCCCGTCTAAACCCTCCGCTGATGAGGGCGGCGGTCGTATATCTCCACGCATACACTGTGACCCCTGTGGAGCAATTGTTCATCAAAGCATCTGAGAGGGATCGAGATATTGGGGAATATGGAGATAGCAACCACAGTGGAAGGAGCCTAGAGGATGAACTTGAGATCAACAGAATGAATAAATCATATTCTGTCTGTATAGAGACTGCCATCATGGCTGGTATCAAAGCCGAATTAAGAGTCCAGCGCATGGAATGGCGCGACTCATGCACTAATACTACAAAATGGATCCATCATCGGTACAAATCCCAAGCGCCCTGCTCAAATACAATCCTCGAACATGTCATTCGAAATGAACCTTCTCCTTTTATCAATCCAGATCGAACATGGAGTCGGCATCTGTGTCCCTGGCCGATGTTGGATTGGCATTGGATCCCATACTACGGGTCCGGCCCCGAAGAGGCACTCCATAGTCATCCTCATCATCAGTATCATCTCGTGAAGGACTCCTCTGATCTGGAAAACTTGATCTCCTTTGATGCTGTTGAGGTCGTCGAAAAAGGTTTCCGTTGATTAAGTCGTTGACTGTGGCGCCACCGGCAATACGTGCCAGGATATGTACCAGTAATACCACAGCCTCAATAGGCTTTACCAACGCGATGTTACAGGCTTTCTGCAGAATTTCTGCCGTAAAATGATGCCCATGAGTAGGCGAACCGGGGGAGAATATAGTCGTGGATGGTGGTAGTGGCGAGAACGACCGTTGGGTCTTCAGTCGCTTTCTGAGTCCCTCGTTTTTCGCTGGTGAGGATGGTGTTTGGACATCAGGCCACGAAGAGTCTGAAATCGTAGATCTGGCAAGAGCTGGTGTCGCAGGGTTTTCGTTTGAGTCACTGGTGGGTGGTCGCAACTCAGTGTTATGATCTAGATATGAGTCCACAGTTGAAGCGGTCACTGTCATTTCGGAAAGTTCCCTCCTGTGTGTTCGAGTTCTTGTAGAGAATGGGTCAAACCTCTCGACGTTAGGCGTCTTCTCAGAGTCGAAGGCGTCCACGTGTTCCGCCAGGGACTGCTCTGTTAAAGAGTTTGTGGTGTGGAATGAATCCACGCTAGACACTCTGCTCAGGGTTGTATCTTGTGTCAAAGAATCTGTGCTGGCTTCAGCATTCTCGACTTGTGCTTCCGTGTCCGACTGGAGTTCGACTGGATCTGATCTGAAGCTCAGGGCTGTTTCCACAATATCAACAGGAGGATCATTTATAGCCTCTTTGGTGTGTGAATTTTGGGCCTGTGTATCCGCGACAGGCAAGGGGACAGAATCATCGTGGTGAGAAGTCGCTGGCTCTGAATCCTCCTTATTCTGCACATATTCTGTAATTTCCACATCGAGAATCTCTTTATGCTGTTCCGGCAGGCTTTCTTCAATAGGAGGATCCGGATGGTTACTCTCATCACTCTCTTTCTGAAGATGGTCTGTTTCCTCGGAGTTATCTGGAGCTGAATGGGAATTTGGAGAAGCCTCAAAGTCAAAGCTGGTAGGATCAGCTCCATCGAGGGGGAGCTCTGTTGCAGCTGGCCTCTTCCCCGCAAGGTTGGGCTCGTGGAGGGATCTTGCATCGACATCTGAAGCAGATTCAAGAGCAGAGGCATTGTCGGACTGAGTTCCAGCTGTTGTTTGAAGATGAGCCCAGTCTTCTGAAGTGGATGCTGTTTCGCCTAGTGACTCAGCTGACGGGTGGTCTTCGTCGGCCTGCTCTGATTGCGTCTCAACCTGTGGCCCACCATCCTCGCTTGAGCCGTCTCCGTGCTTGTACTCCCCAGCATCCTCATTCGATGCGAGGCTTGAAGGAGTGCCAGAGCGATAGCCGTCTCCTCCAAACAGTGGTCTCGGAGACGAACCCCGGCTAGTATCGAACCCATAATCCGAGCCTCGCCTTCCATATCGCATCGGAGTCGCAGACGTCTCGCCCTGTAGACTCCAGGCACGTGCCGTCTTGGTCCTTCTTGGAGGAGGGTCTGTGTTAGGCGTGGTTGGTTGTGGCAATTGCTTCCTCTTCCAAGTACCCTTCCGTCGGGGCGTAATAGCATCCTCTGGGAGATCGACATGAAATGCCCTCTTGAAAGGACAGGGAGTCCTCTCGAAGCGAAGAACTTTGGGTAAAGCCTGCTTCAATTCTTCAACCTTCTTCTTATCCTCTTCTGATTCCGAGGGCAATTCTATCCTATAATATCGCAATTTGCCAATGCGAAGGACGAACTTGGATTCACCATCCACACACCAACATTGAGAGTTGCGCATTATGGTGTGAATGACCTTTTGATCGGCGGACTTCAGGAAGTAAGTAGAGCCGCGAACCTTCTCAATAACGATAGCCCCAGTGGCGGCGAGTGTCTCGGTACGGGAACGCCATGGGAGTGTTTCCACGGCATCGACAGGATAGTCCGCGTCGGGCAATATTTCTTTGCTCTTCGCCGAGATCGAGTCGGTAGGCGGAGAAAAGAGGATAATGCGAGCGGAGTCATGTGAGAAAAGGGTGTTTGTATCTGCGTCAGCTGTCTCAAGGCCCGCCTTTTCATGAACTGATAGGGCGCGTGTTGGTAGCGTGAAGGACCTGCGGTAGCCTTGGAGTGCGGGACGATCGCCGTAGGAAGATGGGGGGTAGGCCATGCTGCATCTTCATAGATCCAAGTAGGACTACAAGGCAGTCATTGATTCGAATAAACCAATTGAACGGGTAAACGTGAGATGGATGTTCGGAACGAGTATGAGTTGTTGGCGCCAGTTACTTGACGAATGCGGGTGTGGATATGAATGTGGATGTTGCGCGGCAGGTGTTTGGTGAGGCAAGTGCTCGTACAACAACCACAGCATCGCTGGCGACCGCTCCTGCCTTCGGTTGTGGCCCTTGTGGGTGGCTACTGGCTAGTACGGAGTACTACTCGTACTAGTGCAGTTCACGCACACCTTCCTCGCCAGATGTTGTATTGGTGGTGCATGCCAAGACAGCCAGTTCTTGGCATTAAACTCTCGCCAGCACTCCGTATGGAGTCACCAGGAGTACACTTCGCTCTGGGATGACTTATGCGACGAACAGCAAGACGCCACAGCTCAGTAAAGTAGTAGTAATAATTTGGGTTTGGCGATCTTCGTTGCTGTGACCGGGGATCCCCATACCCAAGTTACTTTGCTACATCTGATATCCCCTTACTAAAGTCACGTGACAACGCTATCGCTCCAGCAGATAGTGTGTGGGACCCTGACGGTCGCCTCCATGAGCTAGGAAAAGCGGTTTACGGAAGAATAGCATGTCTATTATGTATGAATATAGTGGAGTGCAAGTGGCTTGCTGAGCCCTGATAACTCCTACCTACCATGCATACGTATTACTAGTGCGAGTCGTGCAGCCTTGTGGGAGTGTCACTTAACATCAAGTGACGTAATGAAGATCTTGCCCACTCAGCCTCTGTCCACGTCCGCGCAATATCCACCTGGTTGATCTTTTGTAGATCCATGTCGATTAAAGGCACCATTTCTCTTGAGTCATCATCTAGTACTCTGATCGTATGGAACATACCTGCGGACAGGGCCTCACACCTCATCGAACATGTCAAACTTTGATCCTAATGCCATTCTCCGTGGTGCTCAACTTACCTTCGTAGGTGCTCATCGCGCACTCCAAAACCCGGACCTGTTCACGACATCTCATTACCAGCAAGCCGCCATTGCTGTGTGCGCAGGATTGGCTATTCGAATCATTCTCAACATACCAATTTACTTGGTAAAATTCCTCCTACTTATCATCTCCATCTTTGTCAACCTCGACCATGAAACCTGGGACGACACACTGGTCAAAGGTCTCGATTTTATTTCCAAAAGTGTCCTCCAAGCTCCGTTCTTCCTCATGATGGTCATGTCATCTATCACTCCTACCCTGGACAACCTATTCATGGACAGCCTCGCATGGGTCGACCGGACGTATATACAGAAGCACCAATCCGATGACCCAAGCAAACTTCGAGCCATGTACTATCCCACACTTAAGATGTATTCGACACACGGAGAACGAGAGAAGAAGGAGAAACGGTCTCTGTTAGACGGGGTCTTGCTCTTTGCCTGTAAATACGGCCGGCGCGCCGCCATTTCGCTGGGCGTGTACCTGCTCACGTTCCTCCCGGTTGTCGGACCACTGGTTCTCCCCGCTGCAAGCTTCTATACCTTCAACAAAGCCGTAGGGCCTGTCCCTGCAGGTGTAATCTTCGGCTGCGGTTTGCTGCTACCAAAACACTACATGGTCTCGTTCTTACAAACGTACTTCTCTAGTCGCAGCCTGATGTCGCGGTTGCTTGAGCCATACTTCCATCGAGTACACTTCACCAAAGCGCAGAAGAAGATCTGGTTCCTCGATCGCAGTGGGGTCCTCTTCGGCTTCAGCGCCGCCTTCGCAGTCATGGTCAAAATCCCACTTCTCGGTGTCTTGATATACGGAATTGCTGAAGCCAGCACCGCTTACTTGATTACCAAAATTACTGAGCCGCCTCCACCACCAATGACTGGAGGTGAGTCTGATCCTGAATTCTTAGAGAGTGAAGTCAGATGGAAGAATAAACATCTTTTCCTCAATTTGCCGCTTGACCGCCTGGATGAATTCAACGCAAAATTGAGTGGTGCTGATTCATTGAAGAAACAACGACAAGAAGGGCCCGAGGATGTTAGAAGGAAATTTACGTAGGAGTACTGGGCGGGTGAGGTTTGGGGGATACCGCAGAAAAAAGTCATGGTGTCTGTACCATTTATGTCCATCACCACACCTCGGCCTTGTGCAAAGGGACCGCCAAGGAATATGTTGGATTCCAGCTACCTGCAATGATTGGAGAAGGATGTACCAAACCATCCTTGAAATTGGTGGCCTGTTCACTAGGCTTGGGCGGTTGGTCAACGCAATGTTGGCAGGTGAACTTCGCCAGGGGAATAATTTCTAGACTTATCTGGATATAAGATTATCACCCTAGCATGGGAAACAGCTCTAGCTGCATGTGGCATCAGAGCACAAGCACTGGGCAAAAACCCTACAACAGTAGCCAGAAGAATGATTTTGGCTAACGAATTTCCAGCTACCTTTCGAGCGGCTGCAAGAATAATGTCAACTCGGCGGTCTATGATAGTTTGACTCGTGAAGGTCTAGCCCGTTGTTTCCTAGTCAACGCCTCTTCTTCAAATTGCCGCCGTTGCGAGGGTTCCCTGTGCATCAAGGACCTGACTGCTATTACGAGGTGTTATCAGCCACTTCGAACAGAGAGAATCTGGAATCATCCGCTATAACTCAGAGCAGCGACCACACAGACCTAGCTTACTCTATAGTGATCATTATACTTTTTAGGCCCACGACTACATACCAAAATGTGTTAGTACAATCTGCTGAGGACCGATCCTTCTCAGCGGACAGTTGTTATTCTGGCTACACAATCATCAATATCTCATGCCTTTCGGGTGAAAAGTAACCTCATTTGTAGTCGTAAAACCCCTTGCCGCTCTTCTTCCCTAACCACCCTGCATCAACGTACTGTCGGAGGAGCACAGCTGGTCTATACTTGCTGTCGCCAAGACCGGCATGTAAAGTCTCCATTATGGAGAGGCAAGTATCGAGACCAATAAAGTCAGCCAAGGTCAACGGTCCCATGGGGACATTTGTTCCATTCTTCATAATGCTGTCGATGTCCTCTTTTGTTCCAATTCCTTGTTCCAAGCAGACGATGGCTTCGTTGATATAAGGCATTAGGATTCGGTTAGCCAGGAAGCCCGGAACGTCTTGCGAGACAGAAGGAATCTTGCCCATCTTCTCGCAGAAGGCCACAGCAGCCTTGAGAGTTTCGGGGGAGGTCTGCAGGCCAGAAATGATCTCGACACCTTTCTGGACAGGGACCGGGTTCATAAAGTGTGTGGAGACGACCCGGGATGAAGCAGATGTGTCGGTTGGGTCTTTGGAAGTCGCACGAGCGATCTTGGTGATGCTAATGCTTGAGGTGTTAGTAGCTAGGATTGCGTGCTGGGGCGCTATCTCTGCAATCTGTGCAAATATCTTCTCCTTTAGGGCAGGAATTTCCGGAACAGCTTCGATGATCATGTCAACATCTGACAGATCTTCCATCTTCGTGGTGAACTTTAACCGATCTTTTGTGGCCTTTGCAATCTCCTCTGTTATCTTCTGTTTCGACACATCTTTCGCTAGGAGCTTGTCTGCGAACGTAAGACCTTTGTCGAGCGCTTGCTGTGAACTGTCCACCAATGTCACGGGGACCTGTGCCTTTTGCGCTGCCACAAGGGCAATACCGAGGCCCTGTTTGTCTCGTCAATTCCCGTGCACATCTCGTTTCACTCTGAGCCTTCTCACCATCTGACCGGCACCGATTACTCCGAGCTTCTTGATTTCTGCGCCTACCACCGGCGTCGAAGAGAATTGACGAGAGATAGATGCAAGCCTTTGCGAGGCAACATTGGAGTTGGAGGACGCCATGATTCTAGGCGAGATGCGTGCCAGAGATGCCATGGGAAAGGGAGGAGGAATTGTGGTTATACAAATTCGTAGTAGGCCGGGTAGGGCTAACTAGGAGAATGGCAAGCGAACTATTTTATGATGAGTTCTAATGGGGGACCTGGAGCTTCTGTACAGTACATACAACACTTGATCACCGAGGGTGCCCTTGTACTGTTTTAAGCTTAGGAGCATTGTCGCCCGCCGATAACCGTAAACTGAAGACTTTTGAGAGCCTCGGTCACTCACTCGAGAATCGGGGCGAGTTCGGGGATGACAAAGGTGACGTCAAATACTAAGCCTCTTCATCTGGCTCGTGTAGCGCGTTCTGCCGCGACGCGTGCAATCAGTTTAAGGCGCGTCGCTCAACAAAGGGAAGGCCTGCGGAAAGTTCACTTTGGAGGGACTTGTGTAGGTCGCAAACTCGAACCAACCAACAATGATAGATTAAATCCTACAGCATGGAAGGCGATAACCCTTTCGAGAAGGCTCAGACCGTTCATCCAGAAGTCAGAGCATATGTCTACAGTCTCGTCAATGCAGTAAGTCCCTTCCAGTGCCCGCTAATCATTCGGTCCGCCTAACAAGCCTTCAGCTCGGTGGCACCACCACCGACGACGATGGACGCTATATTCTGGGTGACGATGCGCTGGCTTGTCTACGCGATCTAAAGAGGTGGCTAAAATTATACGATGAGAAGAACAACCGGCTCGATGTCGCGAGGTGTTTGGCCGAGGCAAAGCTCGTAGGAGGAGATCTGGTTCCAATTCTCGCTTCCTGGCCCGAAGATGGGAAAGAGAACAAGGTCAAAGCAAGAGTTGCCCTCGCATGTCTGGAAGTTCTTGTGCCATTGACATGGCCTTTGGAGACAGGAGGGGAAATGACTTTCAATCACCACCGACACATTCCCTATCTTCAGCAAGCACAGGTGATCTACAAGGCCGCTGTTCTGGGATGCGATACTAGCAGTATCTTGCGTCAAGTGGTGCGAATTGGTCTCCCTTCAGTTGCAGCTGCAAAGGAAGCGAGAACAAGCCGAGAGGATAGCATTCTCAAACTCATGCTTTACTTCTTCCGAAATATTGCTGTTATACAGCAAGTGCCTAACCTTCCAAGCCAGGGCCTGGACTCGGAGGTTTCGAGATCAGCTACTATAGAAGCTTTTAGAGACCAAGATGTCTTTGCCCTGCTTCTTACAATCTGCTCGAACATGGGTGAGGATTTCAATCTGCAGGATGTGATTGTGTTGGATATCATTTTCAATCTCATCAAAGGAGTTGATCCGAAGAAGTTATGGATGACTGAGGAAGAGAGAAAGGGCCAAGGTATCTCAGACTTGAGCGCCGCACTTGCCCTCGAAGCTCTAGAGGCCAACGAGGCCAAGAAGAATCAATCGACTCGACATGGACGCTTTGGCACTATGCTCTGGGTCAAGCGAGAGGGTCAGAACATGGTCGCGGTCTCAGGACAGGACAACCTCCAAAATGATGACATGGCATTTTTCAACATGGACAAATCCAAGAAATGGAACAAACCTCAGCAAAAGCGAAGAGATCTTGACCACACTATTCACGACTTCGATCACACCACCCGCCTCACCACTTCAGCCACTGGGAAGCTGAGGAATTTCGTTGAAGAGTTTCTGGATTCTGGGTTCAATCCATTTTTCACCCATCTACGCAAGGCCATCGAACGCGAAGCCGAACGTCTACTTGATGTCAATTATCGACAATTCTTTTACGCCGTGGCTTGGTTTCTTGAAGCCGAGCGAATACGAAGGGAAACGCAAAAGAAAGAAGTCAAACCGAACAAGGTTCGGTCCGATTTCGAAGATGAAAGTTACTCGCTTGTGGCCGCGGTATTAAACCAAGAAACATTTATCATGCTCAATCGATTTATGCAGGTTTCAGTGGACAATAAAGAGTGGCAGGACCTCAATGCGTCAATGCGATGCTTCACTCAGGTCCTTCTTACCGTCCAAGAAATGACCCAAAGTTCCCTCGAGGATGATCAAGAAATTGCAGACAACATCCAGAATCGCATATTCTATGAGGAGACGACGCATGACAGGATAACGAATATTCTGAAGGCCTACAAGGACCAAGGCTTTGGTTATCTGGATGCTTGTACCGAGCTGTCACACGTCTTCTTGCGCATGTTGGAGCGTTATTCAAAAGAGAATGTGGATTTACAAATACGATCTCGGAGGAAGGCAAAGAGGAAACGTAAGGAGGCAGCGAAACAGGCCGCGATCAATGGAGAACAGCCTGCCGAGAACGAAGCTGAAGACTCTGAGAACGAGGACATCGCCGATGTTGTGCAGGTTTCCAAAGAACGGAAGTTCGACTTCAATCGTTTCGCTGCGAAATTTTCAACCCAGGCCTCTGTGAACACTTATGTATCGCTACTCAAATTCTACCGAGATCTTTCCTCCGAACAGCTCAAGCGGGCACATCGATTCTTCTATCGACTTGCTTTCAAACAAGATCTTGCGGTGCTGTTATATCGAGTTGACATCGTGGCACTTTTATACAAGTTGATTAACGGCCCCGAAGGCCTGGACACCAAGAATCCGATGTATAAAGAATGGTCAGAGTTTACCCGCCAAGTTTTCAAGAAGATGTTCCGGAAAATTGAGCAGAGGCCTGAGTTGATCGTTGAGCTCTTGTTTAGCAAGATCAACTCTACCTTGTACTACCTAGAATTCGGTCACGAGAAACAAACTGTTGCTGCAAGTCGCGCTCCCACAGAGTTGGAAATTCGTCCGGCCCCAGGGAGAGACACCAAGGAGCAAATTGGCATTGTTGTTACCATACTATTGAAGGACGAGAAGGCCAACCTCGTACGTTGGGTCAAGGAAATACTCAGTAAAGGATTCGATGAGCGACATGGTTGGGAAGCCGAAGCCGAATCGCGGAGACTTGCTGCGATTGAGACTGCCCAAAAGAACGGTCATTCAGTTCCCTCAGAAATTGATGTTGGCCAACCCAATTATATTACAGTATGGCCGACCTCGGATGACATCCGGACTGCAATGTTCAAGAATGCTCGGCTCAAGCTGCTAATGCGTTTGGTTGGGTTTGAACTGCTTGGAGAAGAGGATGCTCTCGGAGTGCCATGGATCATACCAGGAAGCTTGTCAGCAGCAACTCTTAACACTTCCAAAGAAGCTATCGAGCAATACGAACAAACGCCGTGGCAGAGCGATGTTCAAGATGAGGATGCAGAGGATCTAGTTCGTCGCAGCAGGAAGCAGGCCAAGGACCCACTCGACAACGAGGCAACACACCAGGATGGATCCCTGGATGATTCGGAAGGCGAGGAGGAGTTCATGTTCCCTGACAATCCAAGAAAGAAAAGGTCGAAGGATGTGCTTGATGATTTGAAAGTTAAGCGGCGCAAGAGAAAGCGTACGACAGGAGATGATGACGAAGAGGAGGTGGATGAAGAATTGGCTGCTCGGAGAAGAGCCGCCAGGGAGGCTGCTCTGCGAGATCGAAGACGCAAGATCAAGAGCGAGGCTTACATACGAGACAGCGACGATGAATCCGATGATGAGAGAGACCGCCTCTTCTTCCAGAAGGAGGAGGAAGTCCGACAAAAGCAACAGGACACCATACGCAAACAGATAGCTCTAGGTCTCAGTGAGTCAACGACGGGGGACACTGGCAGAGGGAAGAAAAAGCAAAAGCAATTACCACCACCAACTCAAGAAAATGATCTAGACGATGATGATCTTCTCATGCTTTATATTGACGACTATCCAAACGAAACCGCTTCATCACAGCCACAAAGAATGTCAGCCTCGGACAAGGACTCTGAGGAAGACGAGAGCACGCCCTTGTCTTCGCAGAGCTCGGGCATGAGGAAGGTGGTGCAAAGGGCGGATGAAACGCTCAGAGCAACTCCCCGGACCAAGAACGGAGCAACCGTATCGTTGGAGGGACCGCAGGATGATCAAACAGACCAGAACGATCTTGACAAGAACGTGTCCCCAATCGTACCGCGGCGGCAGATGAGGGCTGGATTTATTGTCGATAGTGACGATGACGACTAATGATGGATTTTGCTGTGGTTGTGAGCCAAAGGGTGTATACAATATCTCTGCCTAGACATGAGAATAAGTTTTCTGCTCGGTACTCCTGGATGATCGACGTTGTCCCTAAGCGATCCGCTGTACCAGTGTGGAGGGTTTCGTTACATCGACCGCACTCATACGTAAGGCTCCGCATATTCTTGTTCTTGCCTCAGTGGAGTTTTCCCAAGGAGAAAAAAGCGGCGTCCGCCGATGGCCTAGTAAATTCAATGGCCAGCTCCGATTGGCTTGTGATCTACCCAGCTTTCTTTATTCGTATTCTGATAAGAGATTCCAGCAAGCAATACACTTGTACTATGTTTTTCTTCAGGCTATAGATCATAAACTTCCTGGAGTTCTTTCCCTTCTTGATTTGGGGTTGACTTGGAGGGAGGTGTGTTCCTTTCTGTCACAACGGGGTTTGACGGGCTTTCTACAGGATGGCAGCAAGGACAATTTACTTTGGACGGTTCATATCTACACCGAAGCCGGACGAGCTGCTGATACAAACCGGTGCTGTTCTTGTATCGAGCAGAGATGGAAGGGGCGTCATCGAAAATGTGGACTGGACTGTCAATGGCCCCGACGATGCACTCAGCAAGTTTGGCATTGAGGTTCCCGTGATCACGGCTCATGACAATGGCTTTTTCTTTCCAGGTTTCATTGGTAAGTTTTTTTCAAGATGAGAAGCTTTGCCAATCTCTAGCCCCGCGAGGGGCCTCACAAGAAATCCGAGTTCCTCAAACGAATACTCCCTTTCATGGTGTCATAACGCTATTTGGATTGTCACAAGCAAATTTCATATCCATTTGTCTCTAACTGCCACACCTCAGACACACATATTCATGCTTCGCAATACCCCAATGCTGGAATTTTCGGAAAGTCAACTCTCTTAGATTGGCTGACAACCTACACATTCCCCCTTGAATCCTCATTGGGCAACGTCAAGTCTCCCATGTACAAAGACTCGGCTGAGACGCCGAACCCCTTGAGCAGAGCCAAAGCCGTCTATAACCGGGTCATTTCACGGACCTTGGCACACGGAACGACCACTGCATCATACTACGCTACAATCCACGTCGACGCCACTAATTTGCTGGCTGACATCGCATTCGACAAAGGCCAAAGAGCGTACATTGGACGAGTATGTATGGACCGACCCGAGACTTGCCCAGATTACTACCGTGATGAAAGTACGGAGGTCTCGATAGCAAATACGAAAGCCAGCATCGAACACTGCAAGTCATTGGACCCTAGTGGGGAGCTCCTGGCACACATCATCACACCGCGATTTGCACCGAGCTGTTTGCCTGAGACTTTGACTCAATTGGCTGCTTTGGCGAAGGAAGGGGACCTCAGGGTACAGACACACATCTCGGAGAATCTGAACGAGGTTGAGCTGGTGAAAGAGCTCTTCCCAGAACAGAAAAACTATACCGATGTCTACGATCATCATGGACTGCTGACACCACGTACTATCCTTGCTCATGCCGTGCATCTAAGCAAAGAGGAGATGCAGGTCATTAAGCAGCGGAAAGCTAAAGTCAGTCATTGTCCAGCCAGTAATAGCGCTCTGGGAAGTGGGTTCTGCCCTGTGCGAGTCATGTTGGATGAAGGGATCGAGGTCGGCCTGGGCACCGATGTCAGCGGAGGCTACAGCGCCAGTATCCTGGATGCAGTCAGGAACGCTTGCATTGTGAGCCGACATGTGGGCTTCGTCAATGGCGGTGATAGTCGCTACAACCTCGGGGTGGCAGAGGGACTATGGTTAGGAACAATTGGTGGGGCTAAGGTGGTTGGAATGGAGGGTCGACTTGGCGGGTTCGAGAAGGGGATGTTGTGGGATGTGCAAGAAATCGTGCTAGGTGATGTCAAGGGCAGCGGAGACGGTGAAGATACAGACGTGGATATCTTCGGGTGGGAGAATTGGGAGAATAGAGTGGCCAAATGGGTGTGGAATGGTGACGATAGAAATGTTCGCAAGGTCTGGGTGGGCGGAAGATTGGTTCACGAACGAACACCGTAGTGAGTGCTACCAAGGTCTGTGGGTTCTATACTATATCTTGTTATTATCACTAGTACTAGTATGGCTGTATGAGATACCAAAGTCATGAATGATTAAGGCTACGATTTCATCTATGTAGATATCCAGCTTACGAGTAAGACCAGGGTGGTTGATCACGTGGCTGTCAAAAATGCACATGTCGAATTACATAAGCTCGGATATTATTTGCGAATATTCCGGCAACGTGGGCTGGTTAATTGGAATCAACAATGGCCGCGGTCCTTGCACCGTCTATCACGGAACATGCCAATTGCCTCCATTCGTTCGGTAATCGGCAAAAGAAATGCATGTCCCTTGTGACTCTCCTCGAAATCAACCATGGATTCGCTGGGCTCGACAGCGACGGCTTCAATGGCCGGTGAACTCCTCTCCCTCTCCTCCAGTATCGCGGCCATGTCCTCGTCCATGTCCTCGTCCATGAACGCAACGGGAGAACAGATGCAGGCGGGCAACTCAGGAGGCTTTGGATATGCTCTCCTCTCGGTCTTGAGCTTCTTGCCGGGTGCTCTTTTATGGCTGATCACATTTGCCACCATCACGCTGCCGACATGGTTGTTCACGCTCTTTTCCATGAGCCTGACCTTCACCATGAACTTCACCACGTTGTGGGTATCTCTCCCTATGCTTCAACGGTCATTCTAATATGTAACAGGCTCTTGATAGCGCTTGCAATAGTATCAACCATCAGTTGGATCATCCGCTACCGTTACCTCAATGTCTACACCCGTTTACCACAAGAGCCGCAACGGAAGGAGCCGCAGCTGGATTTGTTTCCAGATACGCAGGATGGGGACTCGAAGCCTGGCTTGGCCAACTACCTAGACGAATTCCTCAGCGCCATCAAGGTCTTCGGATACCTTGAACGGCCGGTCTTTCACGAATTGACGCGAACGATGCAGACCAAGAAACTCATTGCCGGCGAAACCTTGTTACTTGAAGAAGAGAAGGGCTTTTGCCTCGTTGTGGACGGGCTTGTTCAAATTTTTGTCAAGTCTTTGCGGGAATCAGACGACAGCAAATTCGCCCGAGTGGATTTATTCAACGAGGACGAGGGATACCATGAGGGTAACCAGGGCTATCAGTTGCTGACTGAAGTCAAGAATGGCGCTTCCATGTCCTCGCTATTTTCAATTCTGTCCCTGTTCACTGAAGATGTAAAGCTGCGACACGGCGATTCAGATACTTCTGATCCACAATTTCCTGACCACGTTGCTCATACCCCTGAGTCAGGTTTTGCAAGCCCAGTAACTCAGCCATCTACCCCAGCTATGCCTCTGCCTGACGTTCAGGAAGGTACTGACAAGCCAAGATTACCCAGAGTTCCCCCACTAGCTTTGGAGCCTGCATTCGAAGAAAGCAAGTCAAGATCAAAGCCCAAGAGGTCAGGTTCAGGTCCCTCAGCTCATCCAGACATAGTCGCCAGAGCTGTGGTTGATACGACTGTCGCTATCATTCCAGCAAGTGCATTTCGCCGCCTCACGAGAGTATACCCCAAAGCTACTGCACATATAGTCCAGGTCATACTTACGAGGTTACATCGAGTGACATTATCCACTGCTCATCAATATCTGGGGCTTACTTCAGAAGTGTTGCAGATTGAAAAATCGATGAACAAGTTCACTAGTTACGATCTACCAAGTCATCTTCGTGGGGATGCATTAAATCGATTGAGAGATAAATTTGCGAAGGAAAGGGATCGCATTGGACCCGAGGAAGGGACAAAAGGAATTGCTTTGCATAACCCAACTGCTCTCCACCGTCATAGGTCTTCGAGTGGCCTTCGCAGGGAGGCAGCCACAACTGCTAGACTAGCTGCCATGAGAGGGGCCCAACAGTCTGGGCTACAAAAGCAAGCGGAACCCTTGCCGAAGATTAATACCACGAACGTCACCTCTGGGGATCTTCACGCACCATCCAAGCTTTCCCAGCGACCTGCCAGTCTTCACCTGAAGAATTCGGCGAATTGGTACAACCTGAGCATGTCTCCAGAAGTCTCGAGTCTGGGTCTTGGCAGTCCAATGGCAGTACGGGAACAACCCTTGTTTCGTCCGTCCTTCGAGAACAATGTCCCCCATAGGCAAGATTCTCTCAACGAAGACAGTCTATTTAGAGAATCTGTGCTGGCGTGCATGGCGAAAGCTCTTGGCCTCAGTGAGGATGGTAATCAACCGCTGAAGCGCGTAGGGACGTCAGTAGAGCAGTCCCCCAGGCTTGTGTCCTATGACTCTAAGCGCCAGACTGCGATATTCAACAATGCCTTTGGTTTCATTGACCCATATGATGATTCCGTCGATGGCGACTCTGAATCAATATCAACCTCGGTTGCAAGCATAGGCCCTGGGAGAACCCTGAATGAAGAATTAATCGATGATGTCGAAATAGTTTTCTTCCCAAAAGGCTCTGTCTTGGTCGAGCAGGGCGAGAGAAATCCTGGTCTATACTATGTGATCGATGGTTTCTTGGACGTGAGTATTCCCGTCGAGGAAAAGGAGGACAAGAATCTACACCTGCATTCAAACTCTCGCGGAGGATCTCGTGATGAGAGCTTCCCTCGACTTCGAAGAAATAAGACAGCCTCTTCGCGTACCTCATCAGTACCTGGCCAACCTAAAGAAAGTAAACGAGTGATCAGTAAATCATTGTTTCTGGTGAAACCCGGAGGCGTTGCCGGTTACATAGGCACACTGTCCTCGTACAGATCCTTCACAGACGTTACAGCGAAAACAGATGTATACGTCGGCTTTCTTCCTCGGTCTGCACTAGAGAGAGTGGCCGAAAAGTACCCTGTCGTTCTTCTCACGATGGCGAAACGACTGACAAGTCTATTGCCGCGCTTGATACTCCATATCGACTTTGCTTTGGAGTGGTTACAGGTTAATGCGGGTCAGGTCATCCACCATCAAGGTGATGAAAGTGACGCTATTTACATTGTTCTGAACGGCCGACTTCGAGCTGTCCGTGAGCTCGAGGGAGGAACGATGCGTGTAACTGGAGAATATGGTCAAGGCGAAAGCATTGGCGAGCTAGAGGTGATGACCGATGGATTAAGGCCTGCTACCCTCCACGCTATCCGAGATACCGAAATGGCCAAGTTCCCAAGAACTCTCTTCAACAGTTTGGCTCAGGAACATCCGACCATCACGATTCAGATCTCAAAGCTGATAGCTCAAAGAATGCACACGTTGGTAGAAGCACCATTTGCGAACCCCGGCCTCGGTAGAAAATCAGCAGCATTATCCGACTCCAGCACCTCCACGTTGAATTTGCGGACGGTAGCGATTTTACCAATCACTGTCGGAGTTCCCGTGGTGGAGTTCAGCAATCGACTTACAGCAGCCTTAAGCCAAATCGGTGTGCCCAACAGTGTTTCACTTCTGAATCAAGCAATCATCCTGAATCACCTTGGTCGACACGCTTTCAGCCGGATGGGACGGTTGAAACTATCTCAGTACCTCGCAGATCTTGAAGAAAAGTATGGCATGCTCCTCTATGTCGCCGATACCAATGTCAATGCTCCTTGGACACAGACGTGTATTGCACAAGCAGATTGCATACTTCTAGTAGGGCTTGCTGAGAGCTCACCCAATATTGGAGAATACGAGAGATTCCTTCTCGGCATGAAGAGCACTGCGCGGAAAGACTTGGTGCTTCTTCATCCAGATCGGTTTCCCCAACCAGGACTTACCAGAAAATGGTTGCGTAACAGGGTGTGGATAAATGGAGGTCATCATCATATTCAGATGGCGTTCAGGATTAGTTCTGAAGCCACGCCTCATGCGCAACCTCGGCGACTAGGTATTGCTATAAAGCATCGTGTACAGGTTCTTCAAGCGGAGATCCAAAAATACACTTCTCGACGAGTGCGCCCAGCACCACTGTACTCAGCTGACTCGCCTTTCAAAGGAGATCTCCATCGTCTCGCAAGGCGATTATGTGGCAAGTCGGTAGGTCTTGTCCTTGGTGGTGGTGGTGCTCGTGGAATTGCCCATGTTGGTGTTATTCGTGCCCTCGAAGAGGCAGGTATTCCAATCGATGTGGTTGGTGGGACTTCGATTGGTGCATTCATTGGTGCTCTTTATGCCCGCGATGCGGATGTTGTACCAATGTATGGGCGAGCGAAGAAGTTTGCTGGTCGCATGGGCAGTATGTGGAGGTTTGCACTGGATCTCACATACCCATCTGCGTCCTACACGACTGGCCACGAATTTAATCGCGGCATCTTCAAGTCTTTTGGTGACGGTCAGATTGAAGACTTTTGGCTATCCTTTTATTGCAATACTACTAACATCAGCAAGTCTCGTGCTGAAATCCATACCTCAGGTTATGCATGGCGGTACGTCAGAGCAAGCATGTCTCTCGCAGGCCTGATACCGCCTATTTGTGACGAGGGATCCATGTTACTGGATGGAGGTTACATTGACAACCTTACGGTCGCGCATATGAAAAGCCTTGGTACCGACCTTGTCTTTGCTGTTGATGTGGGAAGTCTCGATGACGATACACCTCAACAGTACGGGGATACGCTTTCTGGATTCTGGGCCCTGCTGAACCGCTGGAATCCTTTCTCCTCAATTCCCAACCCTCCTTCACTATCTGACATTCAAGCTCGCCTTGCCTACGTTAGTTCCGTCGATGCACTGGAACGGGCAAAGAACACTCCTGGTTGTCTTTACATGCGACCACCAATTGATGCGTACGGCACGCTGGATTTCGCAAAGTTTGACGAGATCTACGAAGTTGGCTATGCTTACGCGAAGGAGTTCCTGGCAAGGCTGAAGAGTGAGGGCGAGTTCAAGGGTGTCATTGATGCCTGGGGCGGTGGTAGTGATGCCGAGGGAAAGAAATTACTCCGAGCCATGGCACCCAGAAGAGCAAGCATCTGAGTACTTGCAATGTGACTGTGGCTCCGAATCGTGGCGCTTAAGATATTCGAATGAATTGGTCTTGGACATGGTCCTCCACGAGTTCAAGTATTGCAAACATGAATTCTGTCGAGGGAGTTCTTCGCTATGGGCTATTGTAGTCCTCTGAGCCCCGAACTGAACAGTTACTTGACTATGTAAGCACCTAGGTACCAAGGTACGTAGTAGCCAAGAATGGGCGCTGCTGAGCTTCGAGGCGGCAACAAAAAAAGTTGTTTACCACACGAAATGGTGCGCTAGGGACATCTCGTAGACGCGTATTGCCCGTTCATTGGAATTCGTTTTGGTGATTCTCAAATCTCCAGACACGACTGACTACGCGAAACGTACGGGATTATGCCACATCGATATATGCCCCTAGCTACTTGTGAGGCTACTTAACTCAGGAATATCAGTTAGTCCGCCCTCGTCACATGGCCAGAAAAGAAGCCAACTTGCCATTTGTTGATACATTAGCTTTTATTACATGGTTCATTATTAAATGGATATGATTTGGATGGTTCACACCCAGGATCGAGGCAGGAAAATTGATTTAAGCCTCCTCATTCTTCAAGTCTGCCTCGCCCAAAAGCCCTGACCTTCGAGCCGCAATTGCTATTTGAGTTCGTCCGCAGCGTTGCTTGTCAGCCACTCAGCCTCTGCCCGTCCCCATCTTCACGTCATGTAAGGAGTAACACTGCAAACTTTCGCATCTCTCTCCGCATTGGCCTGTGATCAAGCATCAGAGCTAGATGGGCGCCATCGTCGAGAAAGCATGGAAATGTGCGAACTACTGGTCACTTCCTGGTTCTCGATGCATGATGTCATCCTCCTCTCTGCGAGCACTGCTCGAGCAGGCAGTTGCCTGTTTGTTCATGACTGGTGCTAACATCATTCACAATGCCACGCTTGAGCCATGGACTCAGCGATTGCTCTTCTCTTACATCCACGCCTTCAGTCTTCTCGTGGTCCCAGGAAGGATGAGGTGTGATTCTAACCAATTCCATACATTCTCTGTTAAACAACTTTTGCCGTTGCGTGAGATAGGAGCTCCTGTAAGTGGGCACGATGTTGTCAGATTGGGCTGGAGACTAGATCAACCCTGTCTTCGACAAAGACATGGTTTATAATGAGTTTGAAACGTTTGGCGTCGAATCTTCCTCGACAAAATTGCCCTAGATACTGCGATTGAATAGAGAGGCCGAGGTGAAGGGAGTCGTCGATAAAGTGAGTCTTCGGCGTATCACAGAATCAAAAGACCAGCGACGGCTATAATGACTAGTCTCGTTGCCGGAGAAAAGGCCAGCCAGCTGAATTTGGGCGTACACGCATTATGTTAGGCTGTCCAGTTCTGCGAGAACGCTTGCCAACTTTTGTTTTGGGTAAGGCTTATATTGACTGTGCTTCATCAACGATGACCGCAATCGCTGCTCTAACGATGCTTTTCCTGCCCGCCACATTCGTTGCGGTAAGTATCCTCGAACAATCACAAACGCGATCACAGATGATGACCGTGAACTAAGAAGAACTTTCTCCGCGAACACAGACTCTCTTTGGAATGAATTTCTTCCAATTCACTGAGAACCTGTCCATGCTGACGATATCACGCAATGCATGGATATTCGGGGCCATCACCATTCCCCTGACGCTGGCCGTGTTTGGAGTGTGGATCGGGTGGGTTATAGCTCAGAACAAGAGGATCCTACCCAGGGTCAAAGTCACACCTAGTTCTGCTGCTGCCGCTACAGCAAACAGTCATCATCGCCGACAAAGGCCAGGCTCTGCAAGAAATGCAAATTTTGCCCTGCAGAATTGGGAAGAAGAAATGGCTGCCGGCCCATGCTACTGTATCCGATCAAGAAGACGTGGGAGCACTTGGATGTTTCGCTGCCGGATCCGGGGTAGAGAGCAAGAAGGGCAGGTTTGGATGAAATGCCAGTTGCTGCTTTGCCGGGACGGACTGGCCTCGCTCACATCATCTAGACACCCTGTAGGATATGTACCAATGTACTACATACTCCGAAAACAGAAGTCCTGGAAGCTCTTCGAATTGCTTGACTATTCGGTACGAAGTATCATCTGCTCATGTCTCACATTCCAGCATGGTCAGCCTAATTACCAATGATGGCCCTCGATATGAGGCACACCACAAGGTTGCATTTAGCGATTGGGGTTACGGTGTAAATAAACCATGGGCTTTTAGTGCTCACTGTCTCGAGCTTGGTGGATGCTCGGAAAGGGAAGCCTTGCGGCCTTAAGCCTTGATCATGCCACATATCAGCTGGTGAGGCGAGGCACGGAGGGGGGCAGTTGGACGACTATACGACAGGATTCGGAAGTCGCAACCCGTGGGTCGAGCTCCTGCATTATCGATCGTTTTGTCCAAATGATCAATTCAGTACGGAGTACGGAGTACCCCCCAGATCGAATACTTGGTATGAAAGACACCTTTAGAAACTGCCTGGAGAACTCGTGTCTTGGTACTCCGTATACGATAGTAGTATTTATGAGTAGGTTTTGATACTGATTTGATTGATCGTGCAGATGAGAACTGGCTAGTCCCAAAAGAAAGCATGAATTCGCTAGGTACAGCTGGTTTAGCCGATACAATGTGCATTCACCAGCAATGGACAAGATTATAACCGGGGACACACGCCCGGGAGAGGGGATATCAATACATAAAAAAAGGGAGAATCGTTCGTTTTTCACACCTGCAGCTAAATCGAACACATGACGCCAAATGCTTCTTGCTGCTCACGGCAACTAATTGGGTTGGAAGGCATCCTCTCACATGCATATTGACCCTGACCGCGGTGGTGATGGAGAGAGTGCGAGGATGGATGGATGGATGGATGGATTGATTCAAGGTGATGCAATAATCTAGAGTCCGAAGAAGAAGCCGGCGGCGGCGGCAGCAGCAACAACACCCTTGTTCAGGACAAGAGCATCGACGCCGTTAAGGGAGCTCCCAGTCTTTGTGGCACTCCCTGATGAGGAGGTTGATGTGGAGGAGGAGTCGGTTGAGGATGCATCGTCTAGGTATTCAGAGCCACCGTCACCAGTGCAGGTGTTTCCGGTCGGGCAGCAGCCGTAGACGCCGTTGCCGCCCTTTTGACATTCAGTGTTGGCAGCACATCCACCCTCCAGATCGGGACAGCAGGTATAGGTGGTGGGAATGCAGAATTCACCACAGACTTTATCGCCTGAGGCACACTGGGTGGCGTTGCCGCTGGTTGCACGGCCGAGGAGGACGTTCTCGTTCCAGGCCGAGACCAGGAAAGGAAGAGCGGCAACGAGGAAGAATGAGCGCATTTTGAATAGTGTGTTGTGTCTGGTGTTTGGTTCGAATAGATATCGATTAAGGGAGTGTCGGAACTCTTTTGCGTCTTAAGACCGGCTTAGTTGGTAAAAGATGAGTTGGTCAAAGAGAGGACGCCCTGGATTACTGAGTGGGCAAGCTCAAAAGATTGACGATGAGTCGAATATGTAAAGGCGGAGTGTTGAAGTTTCACGGGGCAGGGGAAAATCAGAAAGAACAAGCCGCGCTGGGGAGGGGATGGGCACACGATATGTACTTCGTATTGGGGCAGCCAACGGCTTGAGCGACTCACGACTCACCACACAGATTGCAATCTGGACTGTCCTGTCAAGCACGCCGAGCTGTACCAAGCTGTCTCTAGAGCAGCGGCGTGAAGCCAGAGGGTAGCGAAATGCTCCGCTTCTTTTCCAGACTGGCTGCTACCAAAAGTGGCTTGACGGTCCGGCGCAGGAACAGCTCAGGAACAGGTCTATGCGACTAGACGCGGGCCAGAGATTGCGGCGTCGAGGTAAGCTCACGAGACACATGGCGCGTCGAGGGCCAAAGTGTGATGTGAGTGGTTAGATTTGATGGGTTGGCAAGGCTGGGCCAGTAAGAATAGTCGGCCGGCTAATTGGGTCACCTTGGGTGCAAACCAACCCCCGATCCAAAAGATGATTTGGAGGTTGAGACCACAAAAGATGGCACTCGTAGACAACCAAGCAGGGGCAGGCGAAAGACGGCGAGGCAACCGTCTTCAGATGGTCTGGACGTAGCATGAGCGCCAGTCAGGGGGGCTGGAACCGATGCTGGTGGTATTGATTGCCAAGGTTGAGCCAGCCAGATTCAGGAGATTGGATAAAAGTGGAGCCTTGGCTGAAAAGGGGGGCTTAACAACCGCAACCTCCCTGACCCTCGTCAACAGCCTCACCAAAACCTTGACCATCCTTTTTGGTTGCGCTAGCACCAGTGGCGTTATCCTGGGCTGTCTCATCTGTCAAATTTTAAATTCTTATTTCTTGTCGGTGGGCTACGCCTGCTTTCTTCCTAGTTCCGCCCGACTCTTCTAAATCTGCAAGACATCAGTCACAGCGGGGTTTGCCATCATCGCGGCATGTCGTAAGAACTAGTACAGACTATCATGTGAGGATCCATACTCCGTACATGACCACCCACTAGGGCGATGGTGGTGGAAGTTCACGCAGCACGGGGACTCTGCTTAAACATGTTGACAGCAGCCGAATTCTCGGTATCGGCGCCAGTACTTCAGTCGCATCTACATGCAGGCTTTTCGGATCCTCAAGCACGAGGTATCCATATAAAGTAACCAGTGACCAGCATCTCGCTGGAATATCTATTCTTAGATTCCAACCTGCCGAACTCCACAACATCCACGGATACAAGTATCGTTATCATTCAGCTTCTCTATATTCTGTACGTGCTACTGATTACTGATATCTGGTCAACGTCAGTAATTGGCATGGCGTATTCCTATGCATACTCGCCGAGCGAGAGGGCATCGTGATATGGTTATTTGATAAGCACGTGTGATTATTAGCTCCTATACTGGAAATTTGGCTATAGATGTTCACAAATATCGTCCTGGCCTGAACGACTACCTCCAACTCGAATTGAATATGACACTAATTTGATAATACAGTAACAGAATTCCAAAGCGGACCTCACGGTATCCAATCCCCAGCTAGACGGAGAAGAATCTGTCAGTCAAGACTCTGCACCTCCGTAACCACTATCAGCAGCATCGTCGAGTGCCTGGTTCACCAACGCATCTGCTTCTTGATTCCACTCTCTTCCAACCCTCCAGAAGCGGACTGCCATGTCTTTCTCCAAGGACTTGAGTGTTTCGTTCATCTCCCGGATCACATCGCCATGTTCCACAGCAGTGCCCTTTCTGGTCACGAATCCGTTCCTTTCCCAGCTCCAGATCCATTCACCCATCGCTCTGGCTACGTAATCCGAATCCAACTTGATGATGATTTCTCGCCAGCCATCCAGCTCACCACTGGTCCTCATGCCTTGAATTATGCCGAGGGCTTTGCGGACAGCTTCAAGCTCAGCACGAGAGCTAGTCTGGGGAGCCTCCTGCTCGAGTAGACCATATTGGTTGCGTGGACAGTCTGGGCCGAAAAAGACGCCCCACGCTGCTCTAGATTTGCTGTCGGACCTATTATTGCCACGGGAGCCACCGTCAACTGACAGAACAAGTGACCTCATCCGAGGTTGCCAATGAGCTCCAGGGAATGGAAAATTGTACAGTCGGCCATACTGCCACTTCGGACTGTACTTGACTAGCTGGTCCGGCTCAAAGGTTTGTCGACCATAACGTCTGGTCTTCTTCGGGTTGAAGTTCCGACGTGGACGATCCTATAATGGTTCACCAGTCAGTAAGTAAGGCTGTTTATGTCCAAGAAAATCACTGACGCCTAGGTCCGCTTGGTCCGCCTCCATTACAAAAGGAAAGCTAAACGAGTGACTGTTTTAACGATCGGGAAATACTGAGTGCTATCGAGGCTTTGAACAGGCTGATCGTAGTGACAATTCAGGTACACCTGGTCTTTATGTCTAGATGCCATCTCTTCAACCCAGCCGGAGCTTGGCACGCGAGGCATCCGAGAGATCAAACATTCGCCAAACGTGGTTGTCAGTGGAGATTTCAAACATCACAGCACCTGAGAAAGGGCGGTCATGATGAAGCAGCGGTAGAATGCAGACAATTCATCATCATTTGTTTCGTGTTGGTAGGATGCCGCCACGGATAGGTGATTTTCCGAGGTCTATGGCTCAAGGGGGTTTCGTGTTTGAAAATGATTCACTCTGCTGGCTAGCAACGGCCAGTAAGCGGCCAACTGTATCACCTTCCACCGTAGCTGTCAAGAGATTAATTCTTCAAAATGCATTCCAAGGACCATCTAGTAGGTCACATCTCACGAAAATTGTTTGATAGCCAATGCAGGAGGGCGCCGGATATATCGCGAAGGTGCGTGTTTGTACCATCTGGGTTCTACTGGACGAGGTACCACCCTGTGCGAGGTACGCAATTGCCCGATCGTCCACTCACCAAATAGACATCACGTGTCGCCCCGCCGCACCTGCCAGATGTGGGTGGAAACAAACATGCCAAGATACCACAGCTAGTAGCACCTTGGCGTTCTAGTCAATCCTGCGGGACTCTTATCCGTGTGCATTTTCCCAGCCTATCACTTTTTTACCATCACCTTGCCTTGAGCAGAGTTTCGGAGAGAAAGTCTCACTTCGGCAAGTGAGATTATAGCATATACAGGACCTCTTAGCAAACATGATGAGCCTGATGTCAAGAGGCAGAGTCACATCGAAGCTCATGCAGTCCTCGTACTGTACGGAGTAGATGTTTCACTAGTTTGGTGTCACGTGCTATAGTGGGCATCTGCCAAGTTGTATCCCTGGACCTTTGGCTAGAAGCTTTCAAAGCAGTTCTAGCATTCATTCCCAGTACTTCATGAAAGCTGATCGTCATCAACGAATATGATAGTCAGACAGTTTTGCGCCCGGCATGGTAGGAGGACCTTGTGAATGATTCAAGAACCAGCTGACCTCGTGCAGGGCGAACCGTTCTTTCTCAATCAGCGCCGAATTCACACCGATCCGCATCAAGCATCAATGTCGACAGTCCCAAGTTCCAGTCATCGGCCGGGGACAAAAAACCAACAGAGTCCATACCAGGCCATCCAGATGAGCCTTCAAGTATTCTTGACACCACAGAAAAGCCGCCTACCGCGGCGATGAGACGGCTCAACGATGCAATCGAGTCGAGCGCGAATCAAGTGAAGGGCCTGCGAGCTCAAGTACATGGATTTTCTCACGCAAACCGAATCATGAAGCTGGATGATCTCACTACGACATACGAAAGGGAGAAGCCATCGACGCAAACCAACGCCGATAATCCAGCAAATGTTCCCTTCGACCCCCATACGATCAAACCTACCAGATGGCCACGAGACCCAGGGTTCGTTGACTACTGGCCCAAGTACAAACAAAATCTCCACGAGCTGGATAGATACTTTGCAGGGTACATGTCACAGAAACAGAAAGGCACGGAAAATATCAACCGCTACGACCCTTCCAAGAACGTCACTCACCCGCCAACGCCAGACGGGCTCACGCTCCCCATGCTGCTCGCCAACCAAACCCATCTGGGCCACGCCACGTCTCTGTGGAACCCCGCCAACAGCAGCTACATCACTGGCGTGCGAGACGGAATCCACATCATTTCTCTTGACATCACGTACGCATACCTCAAACGGGCGGCGAAAGTCATACAAGAAGTCGCGAAGCGCGGCGGGATCATCCTGTTCGTAGGCACAAGAGACGGGATGCGCGACATCATCGTCCGGGCCGCCAAGGAAGCCCAAGGCTATCACATCTTCGATCGCTGGGTGCCGGGCACACTGACGAACGGACAACAGATCCTAGGTCGATGTGCGGTGCAAGTGGTGGATCGGCATGACAAGAAGATCGACCAGTACGACGACATGCTGTCGCAGGGCCGCCACCAGGTGATGCGGCCGGACCTGGTGGTGTGCTTGAACCCCCTCGAAAACGAAGTCCTGCTGCACGAGTGTGGCCTCTTCACCATCCCGACCATCGGCATCATCGACACCGACGCGAACCCGACCTGGGTTACGTATCCCATTCCCGCAAACGATGACTCACTCCGGTCTGTCGCCTTGATCGCGGGACTGCTGGCCCACGCCGCAAAGGAGGGACAGAGGCAACGTATAGAAGCGGCCGAGGCCGGCAAGACCACGTACCAGCTTGATCACGTCAAGCATGCCCTAGACAGGGCCCAGACCCTGGTCGAGATCGATGTCCAGGAGAACCCGAACAACGACCAGAAGCAGGCCACAGAGGCTGCAGCCCAGGCGTAAGATGGTTAGAACATAGCCATGATCCTTGCCTCAAAACGATGGTATTTATAGTCTCTTCGTAGATTAAACGAGGTGGCTGACTCATGGACGGGATGTACCTCAGAGGTGCAATTTTGTATCAATACAACATGCTATCAAAATGGAAATGGAAAATTTGGCAGGCAGAGGGCGCATAGATTGAAGCCCTGTATAGCGCCTTAGAATCTCGACATGGCACCTTTCCATCTACAGCATGAACGTGCCCACAGGTTGACGTACCGATTACTATCATCGCAAAGGTACTTTTTATCAAGGCAGACACTAATGTCATGGATGAGAGCATCTTGTAGTTTTGGGTGCTTGGAAGACGTTGATCTATTCAATTAATTGCACGGCTTCGAATTCTGCGGATCGAGGGAGGCGGCTGAAGAATGTAAAGCGTTAACTCAAATGTACGCATGCACGCCCCCGCGGAATCTTCTCAACTTGGAACCATTTGTTCCTTGGACGGTAATCAGACAGATCTGGGCAGGCACAGCAGAACAGGGACCACAATTTACCAAGATGCCGTTTGAAGAAGAAATAATCATAGAAATTCTGCTGTCTCAAGGGCAACTTAGTTCTGTCCTAATTCCCGAATTCCCAAAAAAGGCCCCATGATCAAAGCTAGGAAGTCCGATCTTTCTGTTCGTTGACATTCCCTCTGCTGTCGCTGCAATTCTTTTATGAACGAATGGAGCAAGAGTACTCTCCTCACCTGCGAAACACTCGCTGACCACCTTCATCTGGTCACGTCATAGTAAGGAATCGAGGCGAGTGAAGACGCTGAGGCAGGCAGCCACAACCTATTTGACCTGTCAGTCTATAGTTAATGGAGTGGAAGAGCAACCGTCTTACCTCAAGCTGTAATTCCTTGTCCTTATTCTTCTCCACCTCATCAGCGATCACCTGGCCGATGTTGGCACCTATGCCCTGACCACCGCCAGCTCTCTTCGCAAACGGCCACTGGCTGTATTCAGCAAGTAATTCGTCCACTTGTGCAAAGGCCCTTTCTCGTGCCTCATGGCTCATGGTAACGAGTGCGTTTTCCAGGACGTTAGCTGCATATGAAGCGCAGACCATGCTTACCGTCCGCAGCATTCGGAAATCGAGTTCGGCCGGGAGAAACTGCGAGGGAGGAAGAACAACGGTGCGATTTGAGCACACATTCCGAACTCTTTTGCGAATCTCATCTTTGGCAGCAGCATCGACCACGGGATGTGTGGCCATATCGAAAAGCAGGAAGTTCCGCTTCTCGGTGCGGAGAATACCTTTGTCGACGAGGCCTTTCGCAAGGCGCTCACGGACTTGTTTCAATTGGTAGCCAATTTTCATCAGGTTCCACGTTTCGCCTGCATATCGTTAGCTCGTGATTGCGCCCAAGGGTAGTGGACGAAGGGCTCACCGCTCATGAGATCAATCCACGAGCTCACACTCATCTTCTCGCTTGTTTTCATCATTTTGAGGGCTTCGTCGAGGAGAACTTCACCAGTAAGGGTGTCATCGATGACTTCGATTATCCGATCGGCCAAGGGGAATCGTCGTCTGGAAGAATCATTCTGCATACTGATGCGTCCCCGAAACGCAAGCTCGATAACGATGCAACCTCGTAAAGCGTATGAGATGTTATCGTTCCAGAAAGACAAGTAGCCCTATGCTCAGCTCCGTCAATATGAGTCCTTGGCTCTGGACTGCCGTTACCATACCTGCTTGTCCTTCAAACCAAGTAGTAGGATATCCTCCATCAGGGTCAATTTAGGTTGTCTACTCCGTTCTTCGCTCTCACTGATGTCCCTAGGATCGTATGCAATCTTGTGCCCGTTCTCACTATTTTCATACGCGGTTTCGGGGGACCGATCATTGTAGGCTTTCTGGGCAGGGGAAGTGACACGACTTGAGGACGATTCATCTTCAGTATTGGGAGCAGTTGCACCTCCACCACCACGCCGCCGCGTGAGGCCTCCTTGGGAGGCCATCAGAGTGGAGTCAGTGCCTCACTGGTGGCAAAGCGGTTGAATAGAGCGGCGGCTTCGCGAAGGATAAGAGGAGTTGTGTGTCTCGTGTGCTGCCGCTGGAGGGCTGACGAGGCAGGGCTGCAGAAGTTTCAACCACAGCTATGGGATTTGTTGCAGCGTCAGGCTAGAGTCGAGAAGATAACAAAAAGATCAAAGAGTGACTATGAGGAGGAATGGCAGCAATGTTGAATCTCCCAATTGGTATAACGTCCTCAAGCGACAACTTTATTGCGATTGCTGGCTGCGTCTCGTTTGGGACATTCGGGCAATTGAAGTCGCGCCAAGACCGACTTACAGTAGAGTGGGCACTGGGCATCTGGTTTGCAAGCGGGCAGGCACGCATGTCACGACCCACGCCTCGCGACTCGCGACTCGCGCAAAGGGAGATCTGGCATATATCAACTTCGTCACTGCAGGACTCAATTTGACCTGCCAGCGTCTGATTGACATCAACCCTGTTTGTACGAAATGAATTTTGCAGCCTGGTCAAATGTCAGAGACTCGCTCAAATAATGCCGCCCAGGCACCCAGGCAACCCCCGTTACCAAAACGTACTCGTAACTTTTGTAAGTCATACTCACCCTCACAACCCCGTCCTCCGCCTCGTCCTGCCAATCACCTACCTGAAGACTTTCCCTGTTTTTGGGCGCGAATTCTCGTATCACACCACAACCGAGCCACAACGGCCTCCGGCATTGCCACCTCCGCAGTTGACAGAAAGAATCGAGAATCAAATCGAACTTTGCCCCTCGCTGGCCCATTGCCCATGTCGTCACATGCATGCCGTTTGTTCATTGGATACGGCCCGTCAGCGGCTGGGTATAAAACTGTTGACCCCATCTGCAGCTGTGTGCTCCGTACGCACTCCGATCTTCTCATCCTACCTAAGATCGATCTGCTTCCTGGAAACGCTTTCAGTCAGGTAAGCATTGAATTAAAATCGCGAAATTACCAAAGGGGTTCTTTCGGACAATCTATCAGCAAGCCCACAGGTGCAGAATACCTTGTATATCTGGTTGTGCCCGAAAAGGCTTGTAAGCACGCCGGATGCGGATATCCGAACCCTGGAATTCCAGAGAAGCTGTTGCAATCTAGCCCGACAGAATGGCTGACAGAATTCCGCTGATCACGCTTGAGGAACACTTTGTCTCCAAAACCATAGTGAACTATTATTCTTCCCAAAACAAGGAACAGCCGATGCCCGAAAAACATAATCACAGTATGGCGAAACTACTCGAACTCGGCCCCAAGCGACTGAGGTCAATGAACAATGGCAGAGTCAGCATACAAGTCATTTCACACCGACCAAACACTCTAGCGCTCCCTCCTGAGATCTGTACTGCCGCCAATAACGAGCTCCACGATGCCATTCAAAATTGTCCCGATCCAACCCGCTTCGCTGCCTTCGCAATGCTTCCGACAGCGTATCCAGAAGCTGCAGTCAAAGAATTAAAACGTTGTGTCGAAGAACTTGATTTCGTTGGCTCGATGATCGACAATACGACTAATGGCAGATACTACGATGACGAATTCTTTTGGCCCATTTTCGCCGCACATGAGCAGCTCGATGTGCCTGTGTATCTGCATGGTGCGCCACACGTGCTAGAGGACTCCTCTTCATTTCATGGGAATTACCCATCCAACGTCTCAGACTTTCTGGCGAACCATGGCTTTGGCTGGCACTCAGAGGTGGCGCTGCATATCTTAAAGCTCTTCGCTTCACGTCTTTTTGACAAATATTCTCGTTTAAAATTGATCCTGGGCCATATGGGCGAGCATCTACCGTACACACTAGAACGGCAGCACCGGTTGATTCAGAAAACCTGGCCGCTTGCCGCGCGGCCCCAGCGACACTTGTTGCAAGTTTGGCACGAGAATATCTACGTGACAACGAGCGGGATGTTTAGTCTAGCTCCAATGGCATGCTTGATACATATGTGCTGCGCGGACAAGGTCCTCTATAGCGTGGACTATCCGTTCTGCAGCAACGAGGAAGGACTGAGTTTCATATCTGGCCTGCGGGACAGTGGCATGATCAACGATGACGATTTCACAAGCATTGCCCACAAAAACGCCGAACGCTTGTTGGGATTACGTGTTCCCGATAGTAACAGTGTCGGGCTGGACATCCACAAGGATGATGCCCGATTGAGGCCTTGGTTGAGTGAGGACAGCGCCAATGGCGAACTCTTCCCACATAGTCCTTTACAGTCTGTCCGGGAGCAGGCTGAATGAAGTCTTACCATGGAGAGCACCTGGGTCAAAGTCACCCTGGGCTTCCTGTGTGTGGAGTGCTGGCCTTTTCCCGCTCCTGTGTCCAGTGAGGGGCAGTCACTATTATCACACGTGCCGAGGGTCTTGCTCGGGTCCAATTTCATGACATCCAATTTCTCAACTCGTCAAGACATTGGCCACCGGTATAAATGGCATATGCGATTAAATGAAGTTATTTCTGGCAAAGTTCGCCTTCAGAAGCCCCAGTGTTGCTCGGTTGTCAAGATTCTGAGCCGCCATAGAGCCGCGGTTGCCGACATAAAAGCTCCTAGATGCAAGAATTTCAAAATATGATCAAGGACAGCCAAAGACTATCTAAAGTGGTCGGGCTGACCACTGCAAGGCAGAAGCATAACTCTCGCAGACCTCATCATAGCTGGCTAGCGCTTCTCGTGCAATCAGCCTTGCAGACAAACGCAAGCCTGATCACGCACATGTCGTAGGCGAGTTCCAGAAGATCCCAATAAGCGATCTGACCAATGGAACGTCCCATTCAGGAGATCACGTTTGATTAGCCACAACGGCTTTGTCATTGGGGGTAGAAATGACGAGGTAGTTGAGTGGCTAGTAAATGGATCGTCCAGCACAGCCTTGCTGCGCCTCATTGCGCCACGATACGCTCAACTACCAATCAGCGCTAAGCTCACCTGCCACATTCTCCTCCCTAATCCCACTTCCACTCAACTTCCTCGCTTGCTTCCAGTTCACTCCGGGGGGATTCGGTACGAATTCAGGCAAGCGGGACATAATCCAGATGATCCCTAGCGTTTGCTCAGCTGTCATGTCCCTGGAACTCGGCGGGCTGTGGGGGATATCGCATTGACGCCTCCTTCTGGTACGTGGCTCTTAGTTCCCACCATGATAGGCACCCCATGACAAGTATGTTCCCAAGTATATATATTCCCATTCCTTCGCTGTCTGTGAGTCATCCTTCATTATCATCCTCAAACATCATTGGTCCAGAACAAAGCTTGAACAACATCTCTCGCACAATCTCTGCATAACAAACCAAATCACAATCTTCTCACTTTCCAATCAAAATCCCAAGAAAACATGTCCGGCCAATACAACTCTTACTACGCCTCCACCAACGGTTATGACAACCACTACCAGTCCACCTACCCATCATCAGGCTTCTCCCAGCCCCAGCCCTACTACGCCGACAATAGCAGAACATACCAAGCACAAGACCAAAGCTACGGCTTCCAAAACCAACAACCCTCTCCCTACTACCAATCACAGACAGGCGCCAGTGCTGCCGACTCATATTACTACAATAACAACCAACAACAACCTGGACAGATGAACGCCGACGGCACACAAGACCGCGGCGTGCTCGGCGCAATGGCCGGCGGTGCCGCGGGGGCGTATGCTGGACATAAGACGCGAGGCCACGGCGTGCTGGGCGCTCTGGGCGGTGCGATCTTGGGGTCACTGACCGAAGACTACGCGAAGAAAGGCAAAAAGAACAAGAAATTCAAAGGCGGTCCGGCCTCCGGCAGCAGCATTTTCAACCAGGTCTCTTCCTCCCTGAAGAAGTAAAAAGACCTGGGAGCTCAAGAGTATTTATTTTGCTCAGCAAAGTACCGAGTTAAGAGGTGTTTGAGTTTTTCGACAAAAGAGTTCGAAAGGAGGGAAAGAGAGAGGGGGGGGGGTTGTGTCGGCCGAGCAGGCGTTGGGTACGAAGCGAAGCTGAAAGTATTCTTTTTTATCCTCCCTTACCCCACATCCATCCATCCTCATCAACGATCTCCAGAGAACATTTTTCCTGTCTCTCATAGCTGGCGCTTGAGAGCCCCTCCGGGATTCTTTCTTCTGAAGAATTGAGGTTGGAGATCTGGATTGGAGATCCTGCTGCCACACTCACACACGCATACCTTGGGCTTTTCGGGTTTGGCGTCATTTCCAGCGGCATGGAGTTTTATTTCACATGAGCGTTGGGGGAAGGATGCATTCGGCGTTCTGAGTCGGAACCGTTATCTATTTCCATATATGTAGCATTAGGTTTGTATCTCAAAGTACTCAAGCTGCGAATTTAGCTTTTTCCCCCCGCAGGAAAACGGTTTTAACCACGAACAAATATTGACACATTTTCAACGTTAATGAAATGCCTATTCTGGAACATCATCCACCCATTTCCGTTCTTGTCACGTTGTTCCCTTGCTCATATCATTCAAAGCGTGAAACCTCCCGTACCCGATCCGCAGATTCAATATCACGCCTGGAAGGACTGCCCTGCTTGGTCAGCTCAGTGATGTGTACTGTGGTGGTGGTCTCGTTTTCGCTTGCAGAGTCCGATTTTTGTGTGGCAGAGGCGGCGGCCGACTGTCCATGCCAGAAGCTCTGGTGGCTCCACTTCGAGGCTCGTAGGAACCATGGTGCGTTCTTGCCTCGGAGTTTATCTGATCAAGCCACGGAGGAGAGTTAGAATATTTTGCTTTTCATCTAGAAGAAGAAAAGGCAAAGGGCGTTAAGCGAATCTTACAGGTCCAGTATTCACGCTGCTCGTAGTCAGCTGGGGTGAGCCTGCCGTTGGTCGTTAGTTTCACCAGGGCAGGGACACCGTTGAGAACAACGTAGGTCATGACGCCACTGGGCAACAAAGGTCAGTCAATCCAAACTGTCGTGCAATAGTATATCAACGGAGTTCCTTACGCGATGAGGCCGTAGGCAACCGAATAGCTGAAAGGAATGAAAAGGAGTGTAACGGCGGCAGGAAGAGCATCTCCTGCATAGGCCCAGTTGACTTCAACCATGGAACGAAGCATGAGGCAACCAATCTATAGTTCAGCAATTAGTAAGACTGGTGGCTAGGATTGGACTTCACTTGGGCCACCTACCAACACCAATGCACACCCTGTAGCCCAGGTAGGGATGTTGCTGAATATAGGAGCGAAGAACAGCGAGACAAAGAAGAGGAGGCCGGTGGTCATAGCTGTCAAGCCAGTTCGTCCACCCTCAGCGATGCCTGCGCCCGACTCAACGAACGCGGTAACGGGAGAGGATCCAAATAGGGAAGCGATCGAAATGCATATCGCGTCTGTGCAGAAAGCAACTGTTGAGCGGGGGAAGGAGCCATCAGTGGGATCAACAACTCCTGCAAATCGGGCCATGGAATATAGTGTGCCAGTGGCGTCAAGAATGTCAACATATCTAGGAGGATTTCATTAGCATCGTTTATTGAAAGTCCAGCAGGATAAGAACACTCACAAGAAAGTGAAAAGAGCCAGGGCAAAATGAGCACCAGTAGTGCCGGAAAGGTCCCACTCTTGAGCGACGAGGGTGTCTTGGATCGCATGGAAGCCAACGACATTCTTGAAAAAGTCAAAACGATCGTCGCCTTCAGGTGTATGGGGGAAATATGTGAAGGAAGAGTTGCGAGGCCATGACATGATCGAGACAATCGCAATACCATAGAAGATGGCTCCCCGAACCTAGTCATGGTCAGTCTCGACAACACCACGCAAAGAGAATAAAGTTTACTTTGTACATCATCAAGATGGCGCTAAGGAAACCGCCGCAGCAAATACCTATCCATACCTAGAGGAAGATCATGAGCAAGAAGGACAATGGGGTTCATGTAAAAGAGACTCACTGTTGAACTCAGCATCTTGTGGCTGGTGCAGGCACCAAACTCATCCATGTACTGAGCAGGGCATCCACCAAGGTCGGTAGGATGATTTGCTGAGCCCGTGATGAGTCCGACTCCTCCTGTGGAGGACAAACCAATAAGTGCTAGGAAGAGTCCAATGCCCGAAGTGGCAGCAATCTTGAGCGAGGATGGGACAAGCTTCACGAGCCATTGACGCATGCCTGTCAGAGCGAGGAACACAAAGATAAGTCCCTCGACGAAGACAGCAGTGAGTGCAAGCCTGTACGGGACAGTGCCTGAGCCGTGGAAGCCGACGACTTGGTACGTAAAGTAGGCATTCAAACCCATACCAGGTCTGTGGAAGTTGTCAATGATCGATCTGGCATGCTTAAATGGTGAGAGTTAGGAAAACTTACGCGAGACAAACAGGCAAGTTGGTCAAGAAGCCAAAAGTGAACGAGGAGAGTGAGGCAATGGCAGCGGTAGCCGTAACCAGATCACGTTGAATACCTGGCATAGATCAGGCCTCTTGCTATGCAAATATCGGGACAGGCGGGTTCTCACCTTGGACACAGACGGTGTATTCCACATTGTCCTTGCAGATAGGATCTGCTTCCCCGCCATTACATACGCAAGTGCCTCCTGTTTGGGAGATGATGGAGGCATTGACTGCAATGATGTAGCACATGGTCATGAAGGTTGTGAAGCCAGCACCAAGTTCAATGGAGAACTTGGCTCCTTTGATCTCCCTCTCCTAGAAAGTCACGACTCAGCATCCTGCCCTCTAGCCTGTAACTTGCTGGACCCAGAACTTACATGGCCGCTGCCCTCTAGTCGGAAGACCCTGCCGAAGGTAGTCCTGGCAATAGACCGGTTGAGATTTTCGATGATAGCTGCGAGGCCCATTGTGAAAGAAAGAATCAGGATCAAGACTCAAGGCCAATAACGCTAACTCGATGACTAGTCAAGAATTGAATGACACTTTCTGAGATCTTCCAAGTCTGCTGAAGGGAGTAGATGTACTTAAGCGAGGCGATCCTTTCGGCCTTTTTCCTGGGGCTCTGGCATCAAGTCCATTTCCCTGGCAGTTGTGAGAAATCTCCACCACATCGTGTTTAGCTCAATATCAAGAGGCCGTGTTTTGAGCGGAAAACATGCTCCTAAAAGGCTTGAGGCAAGGGTTATCCATCCTGGGTTCACGTTCTTCGTAACGCCATAAAATTTCACAACTTCAGCCGCTCTCATAGACTTCGGTTCCTGAATGACGTTCGTCATGCTCCTGTGCATGTTCGTGCATGTTCGTGCATGTTCGTGCCTGACAGCAGTCAAGAAGCTGGTGAGGACCGAGTGTGTGGCTGAAATCTAGACCCCCTGGGGCCCTCAGCACAAGCGATTACGGGAGAGATCCAATCACAACTTGGTATGGGCGGGAACGAGCAGGCCGAGGATTGCAAAGTTGGGGAAGCCAGGAGTTGTTGTTGAACAGTTATGTTGTCAAAGATCCCGTTGGACGCCACACACATGGTTTTGACATAATAATGCACGCCGGTTCCTGGTCTAGAGGATAGGGGGCAGCTGAACTTGGTCGCAAGGTTGATCTTTTGGAAGTCTTTGATGCGGACTTGGACTCGCGTATCCTTGGCTTAAGATTCGGTTAAGACCTCGTCTTCGCTTTCTCAAGGTCAGTGGGCCTCCCTGGGCCCAATCGGGCACGTTCCCTACACCGGGTATGCTTTCTTATGGCTTGTTTTCGTCTTCACTATCATCAAGCCATGATAAAAGTCTAGGCCATCGCCAGGATTTGGCGTCGGAAACACGAGCTCGCTCCCAATTCGAAGTCCATGGGTGGTGTGACATGATTATCGAACTCTGTTTCCAAGTGCAGATGTGTCCTGCAGGGAGCACTACGAGGTGCAGGGAGCGAATCCCAGAATAATTTCATTCAATTACCAAGCATGTGCCCGGGAGGGTCTTCAGATCAGAGACTTTGCCAAACCTAGTCGCCCAACATGTTCAACGTCGCTTGCAAAGATCCTCTCGATGCAGAGAAGGTGGGAGAACGACGGGCTCGCAAGACGAGGGAGGCAAAAGAGGTCGTTGACGGCATCAACGATGCATTCAGCAACGTCTCGGTGTCGGGGCGAACCGCTGATACTCCTTCCTTTGCATTCAGCCCTCCACCATCGGGCAGGTCGTCGAGGACCTCTGTGATCAGCCCCAGCTCTCAGCACTCTGTGGACAGCCAAGAGAACAAGATTGGCTCCTTTCGTGACTATTTCAGCGTCAAAAGTGCTTCCACAGCAGCCAGGTAAGGTTTGACTCTTTGTTTGAGGAATTCCCGTATTAAACAGCGGCACAGCAGACCAGCAACAAGAAACAAGCAGCAACGGGAGCCAGCTCTTGAGGCCGCCTTCAACCCATTTGGGAGGCAATCAAGAGCATCAGACATATCATCGACGAGGTCAACTGGAGAGTGGAATTATGCCGTCTCATCAACCACCAGCAACCACCAGGTCGACAGCTCGTCTCACAGGTCACCTCCCCTGTCTCGCCCAAACTCGGTACGGGTACATGAGGTAGAAGGACCGCAATCAGTCCAATCAGTCCAATCAGTCCAGACACGCTTAACGAGTCCTCAGGATGGTCCCAACCCCTGGAAACGGTTTCAACGCTCACTCAAGAAGATTGAGAAAGCAAACGACCAAACTGCTTCTGTCAGGCTCACCGAGCAGTGGCCAGTGGACGATGACGATGAAGAGATGATGTACGAGTTCGACTACGAAACGACGATCTGGGCACTTGTACGTGCCCAGAAGTTATCCAATCGACAGCTCCCAACCGAGGGCATCTTCCCAGTCCCTGCCGGCCTGTCTAGCACAGACAAGGAAACTTTCCATAGAGCAAATATCCTGCATCTGGGCACGGTCAGAGGTAAGTCGAGCCCATGCTCATGTGGCGTGATGATATCGTCCTGACAAGTTTGCCACACAGGATCACCAGAAAGCTGGTATCTCGGGACCAAATACACAGACACCGTGGTCCACAGCGTGGGTTTCAAAGATCTCCCATTTGATCTGGCCTCATCCAGCTGGGGATTACCGCCGAACATTCTGCTTGAGCAATGGTCCGAGTTTCCTCGCCTCGACTATGTCGACGCCATTTTCGATAATGTCGTCATTGCGCACCACCTGTTCGAATCCATCAAATGCACTTTATGGCCGGTGCTCATCGAGGAGATATCCCGAGTGCTCTCTCCTGGAGGCCTGATGATCGTCTCGATCATGGATGCCCTGCCGCAGCGTGCAGGTCCTCTCTTGGACTACTGGACACACCAGAACTTGAACATGAATGTTCTGCGAAAGTTCATGGTCCACCAGCCGAGCTTGCTATTGCCTTCGTGGGTGGAAGAAGATGGCCACTTCTGTCAGGAACTCATTGAACGTGTCGAGTTCCCGTGCATGCCCGCACTTGAAAATACCAACAAGCAGGCTGAATCACACGGAGGCGGCAGGGGTCATACTCATAAGAGACGGCAGTCGTACACCTCGGTATTACCAACCGATCGACTCGGTCGAATCGTCGAAGTATCGGAGGTTCGCACGGCAGGTAGCACATCCGGTGCAGAACCACATTACTTAGCATCGTCTAGAGCCGGGTGGAATTTTTACGAGCGGCTGTACTCTTCATTCTTGTCTCCGTCGACACAAAAGCAGAGTTATGGCTCCTTTGCCGAGTCCCAACCTGAAGGTCTCAAGCGAGACTGGTGGACCAAGATCGACGATGTGCGCAAGGAATGCTACGCCCAACAGCCTTACTTTGAGATGGCGACCGTTGTCTACCGACGTGTGCAACCAGCTGAGCTCAGGATGAAAGAGCAGACGGGCCAACAGGGCTGAGGGCTGTTAAATGCTCCATAGTGTTTCACGCTTCATGATTTTCTGACAAAGCTTCTGAATTGGAGGATACCCATTGACCTGAATATATGTACATCTTAGCAAGTATGGAAGGAAGGTGTTCGTGGCGATAGAAATAATATTTTGCTTTTGACCGAGGAAACAGACCAACCGAAAAAATAAAACTTCATCTCGGGTTCATGTCAGGGCTGTCTATCGATCGCTAAACTGGAGTAAACACCTCATCCTCTTCTACTGTTCGTATTGCGGTACATCAGGTGTAGAGGTGTCCGAGGAATCATTTGAAGACCTTCAAATCTGCCGCTTTCAACTTGCCAGCACCAACCAAAGCACCAGTAGTGGCACTGAATGTTGCCTTGACCTTGGCGGCATCCTTTCCTGCAACATTCAGTTTGGACACCAGATCTGCCAACTCGTCCGCGTCAATGTTACCCAAAATTCTGTCAACATCGTCCAAAACTTCGTCGATTTGCTTAGGACTAGCCTCGCCGCCCTCTGCAAAGTAGTTGACATCTTTGACGCTGCCTTTGACGACCCGCTTGTTCTTCTTGACAGCATTTTTGGCTGCCTCCTTGGCCTTCTTGCCTTGTTCTTTCTCGGCCTTGGAGCGCTCCTCGTCCTCTTTCTTCTTGCGCTCTGCCTCTTCAGCAGCCTTGGCCTTTTCCTCGGCCTCGCGCTTGGCGGTAGCCTCCTTCTCCAGCCTTTTCTTGTTCTTGTTGGCGTTGGCCGCTTGACGGAATTTCTTGATGCGCTCGTCAAAGCCGAGGCAGTCGTCGACCAATTTGCGTAGACGAGCGATATCTTCGGTCTTGCGCTTGCGGCGAGCATTGGCATTCTTCTTTTCAATGTGGCGTTTGTGGTCTCGTCCTTCATTGTCGTCGGGCACATCCTCGTCGAGATACTCAAATGTGCGCCACGAGTCGAAGTTGTACCAGAAATCATAGAACTCCTCGACCTCCTCCTTTGTGCTGTTCTCATCACCTAGAACGGGTACGGGATTTTTCTTGCTGAATCGGCCCTCGCTCTGGAAAACAGCGTTCCATTTCTTGTAGAATGCTCCTGCTTTTTGCATCTCTTTCTTGGTGGGTGGTGCAACATCTGCCTCTTCATCGACCGAGTCGAATTGGCGTCGCTTGACGGGGTCTGTAAGGATTTCGTGGGCACGCTGGATACACTTGAAGAAAGAGTCATTCTCGTCATCCTGGCCTGCGGCAGCTTTCTTGTCAGGATGGTGTTTCAAGACCTTCTTGCGGTGAGCCTTCTTGATTTGTTCGTCCGTAGCCTTGAACCGATATTTGGATAGACCGAGCACGGCGTAATGATCTTGTCCCTGTTAAATCGTCAATCATGTGGTTGCGAATAAGTTCCGACTCAACCGACCTTCCAGTCTTTGGCATCTCGTGCCAGCATTAAGGGATCTTCAGGCTCACTGATCTCACCATCGTCATCGTCCTCTGACTTCTTGACCTTGGATAGAGCCTGAATGCGGTCGTCCTCAGAGAAAGTGCGACCATGACGTTTGCGACGGGCATAGGCAAGAAATTGGGCACCGTAAGGCTCAATCTTTCGGTTGATCGGAGCGGAGAGTTTTCCTAGTGATTTGAAGTGAGGATTTGCATCGCTGTCTCCTTTCCAGTCCGCGGACGGAGGAGGAATGGCTGCTGCTTCGGCCATTGTCTCTACTCGGTATCGAAAGTGCCCCCTGGTGAATGGGTAGGGTGTCTGACTCGACCGGCGCTTGAGAGTCGAGTAGAAGTGAGTTCGACTTCACAAAATAAAAAGTGTATGGGAATCAAAAAAATTCCAGCCTTACGGCCCCTCAACAAGCTCCGATTGGCTCGCTAGACCTTCCAGCATGACCTCCATACAAAACTGACATCAGCCGGGAAGACGGCGATGCAGCTTGTCGCCCAGTGCAGCTGTACGGGTACTTATACGATATATCCGACTCCTCGACCAATACTACGAGCTATCCAATATCTTCAAGAGACAGACTGTCAATTAAACCGATCTATCACTGCGCAGATGGCACTCGCCGCATACAGACATCTGCTTCGAGCAACACGTATCGCATTCCAGGGCGACTTCCCGCTTCTGCATGCTGCCAGGACGCAGGCACGTGCTGGTTTTGACAGTCTGAGTTCCCTAGACCCTGCTTCTGAGGAGGCTTCCAAGGGAATAGCCCATGCCGAAGGTGTCGCACAAGTTCTCAGACACAATGTCGTTCAAGGAGAGCGACAGGGAGACTCTGATATTTTGAGTAAGTTGACAATCTGTGGTGAGTTTGAGGCGAGGCCTAAGCTAACCTTGGTTCTAGAATTAAACATACACGAAGATACAGAGCGAGGCGACAATGATACGATCAAGAACCCATTATGCAAAGGTGGAAAAGTCAAGATGGCTGGTGGATCGTGAAATCAAAGAGTTATGGTTGACAAGCACTTGATACCCTGTTGGCTCGACCATGGAAACATGTTCTCTTGAACGCCTTGCTCAAAATGTACAATACTTTCCGACCATTCGAATCTTAGTCACCTGCAAGACTGGCATAGGTCACCTCTCCTTGTCCCGGCGGAGGTGCGACAACTACATCGGAGCTTTCTTCTTCTCCAGCTCCCTCAATCTGGCCAGCACCGCCTGATTGAATAGAGGCCCGCCCACCTTGGGCGTTTTTGATAGCGGCAGCTGTTTGTCTACCTTCTCTAGCCCACTCCAAACGCTGCTCGCGATCCGTGTTGTCAAGCGGTTTAGGCTTGCCCCATCTGATCCGCAAAGGGCATCCTTGGACGACAGCTTTCCCTTGACACTGCGCAGCAGCAGCTTCAGCTCCTTCTCTTGTGGCATAGTTGACAAATGCACAGTGTGCTCGGTGGGAACAGACCAGAGATCGGATCTGGCCAAAGGGAGTGAAAAACGTGCGAAGGGCATGCTCGGGTAAATCATCTTCAACGCCTGTAACGAAGAGAGACGTTATGTTGGGATCAACTGGAGGCAGATAATCTTCTGGCTGCGGAGGCCTTGCAGCCCCGGCCACGGATCTGGGACCACCAGGGCCTGAACGGGAACCACGCTGGTTGCTGCTGCCTCTTCTCGAATCTGATGTGCGTACTGGGCCTGGTCCAGTTGTAATCTGCTTCTGTTCGTTCGAAGTAGCAGGGTTTTCTGCCTCTAAGCGTCGCTGCTTCTTGTAGTATGGTTCACTATTTGCCAGCCTTCTCAATAGATCGCGGGCCTTCTCATCAGTCTTCTCGTATGCTTCGACTGCGCCACGACCTTCCTCGAGTTCTTTCTCGTGTTCCTGTGCATAGTACTCGCGGTTAATGGTGGACTGGGGACCTGGTGCGACCATTTTCAAAGCGGCGTCTCGAACAGTGATGGGCAGCCCGAACGACAGGTCGAGCATGCAGCACTGACAGCAATTCTTCAGACGAGCACAAGTCAGACAGATATTGGTTCGTCTGGTTCGAGCGGTTCGGTCGGCCTTCCAGCGGAAAACGGTGAATGGTCTGGTGCAGATCTTACATTCGGCGCCATGTTCTTCCTTTAGCATTTGGACATAAGGGTTGTCTGGGAGGCAGTTCTCGCAACTGGAGGGAAAGTCGGTGGTTTCCCAGCCAGAGCGATTTAGGTCCTGCTTGATCTGAGGTGGCGGCATGGCAGATGAGTTGAGGTGTGGAAAGGAGGGATGGGAAGGATAGTGAAGCGTGAAGCACAGCTTTATAACTCAAAACGCGACGAGGGCCTGACAAATGGAATGGAAGTGTCCAGTAGTGGGATAAACAGCCTTGCGCATGGCAAAATCTCTGCCGACGTCAGGCTGAGGCTGCCACATGCACACGCACAAGGGGAAGGTCTAGCGAATATGCAGCAATGGCACGTGACTACGGTGATTGCAATTGCAGAATGCTCATTCCGAGAAATTGCCAAACACCCCCACCCAAACCCCCCTCCCCCCCAGCACTAGCTCCTACCCTTGCAATCAATCAATGATCGCTTGCTGCGCTGCACCCCTGCCAAGGTTTTGATGGACAAATTACGATTGGCTAGGGGTGGCCAACTGGGGCGTCGCTGGCTCGCAGCTTCCTCTCTCCGGATCGTGCCATATTTTTTTTGGTGGGCAGACTCGGCTCGGGTCCTCAGGCCCTCTGGCCCTCTGGCTTTACACTCTGGCTTTGGCTTCTCGCTCGCCGCTCCCTTAGTAAATTGCTGCACTCCGTACGGATCTCCTAGTCCTTACCCACGCCGCTCTTTTCACACTCGTATAACTCATTCATTCCTTCGGATCGCCTACAATCCGAGCGTGTTCCTGACCGCCTGTCCCTCTTTGGATTTCAACGTTCTTAAGTAGCCTCAACACTGCTTCATCTGTTCGTCTCCCTGTCTTCTAACCCTTGCCATCAACGTTCAAGATGGCACCAGCAGCAGTTCTCTCCACCCACACCCTCGAGGCAGAGGATCATGCCCGCGATGCTTCCTTCAACAAGGCTCTCCATGGAAAATCCTCACAAGCACGTGGAGGACTTGCTGCAATGCGCAATAAGGACAAGGCTGCACAGAAAGCCGCCATTGACGAATACTTCAAGCATTGGGACAACAAAGCCGCTACTGTTGAGACGGAGGAGACCAGAAAGGCCCGCAGGGACCAATATGCCACCCTGACTAGACAGTATGTTTCCCCGAACCTCACCTCACCTCGCCCCTGCAAATCTCGTACTAAATTTTCGCCGATAGTTATTACAACCTTGCCACCGACTTCTACGAGTATGGCTGGGGTACTTCATTCCATTTCTGCCGATTTGCTTATGGAGAATCCTTCTATCGGGCGATTGCCCGTCACGAACACTACTTGGCCCTGAAGATGGGTATCCAAGAGAACGCTCGAGTATTAGATGTTGGCTGTGGTGTTGGAGGGCCTGCTCGTGAGATGATCAAATTTACCGGTGCCAACGTGGTTGGCTTGAACAACAACGACTATCAGATCGAGCGATCTCTGCGCTACGCACAGAAAGAGGGCATTGCTCACAAATGGTCCGCGGTTAAGGGAGACTTCATGCAAATGTCGTTCCCCGAAAACAGTTTCGATGCAGTCTATGCCATCGAGGCAACAGTACATGCCCCAAAACTACAAGGTGTATACGAGCAGATATACAAAGTTCTCAAGCCTGGGGGCGTTTTCGGCGTTTACGAATGGCTCATGACCGACAATTATGACAATGACAACCCGGAACACCGAGAAATTCGACTCGGAATCGAGCAAGGTGATGGCATCTCCAATATGGTCAAGGTCTCGGAGGGTTTGGCTGCCATTAAGGCTGCCGGATTCGAGCTTGAGCACCACGAGGATCTTGCAGAGCGGCCAGATGCCATTCCGTGGTACTATCCTCTGGCAGGCGAACTAAAATTCATTTCCAGTCTCGGTGATCTGTTCACAGTCGCCAGGATGACGTGGTGGGGACGAGGATTGATGCACAAACTACTTGGCGTTGGTGAAAGCTTGAGGGTAATGCCCGCTGGCACACAGAAAACAGGTGACAGCCTTGCGCTGGCAGCTGACTGTTTGGTGGCTGGAGGTAAACAGAAGCTGTTTACCCCGATGTACCTGATGGTGGCACGCAAGCCATTGAATGCATAGAACGGGCTCTAATCCGGTGATTGATGGCCCAATGGCGCAGGCGTTTGGATCGGTCCATTTTCCAGGCTGACAAGCAGCTATTTTTGCTAGAGTACGAGCTACTCGGATATCAGCAGACTGTACATATTGTATGTTATGCCACGATCGATGGACGGTTGGAAGGTATCGGAGCTGAGAGTTGGTTGATTGAGATCAGCTCATAATTGTAATGCTTGGCATCCCGCAACAGCAGTAGTGACATGTCTACCAGGTGCTGGGCCGGAGCAGTGTGCATTGTGGACACTTGCCCTCGTCCACTTGGTGCAGGGATTACTATCTCACGACAACGACTTGAAAAAAGGGGATCGGCCAATGGATCAGCGGTTGGAGCTGTTCCCATTCGTACTGTCATACATTTGAAATACAAGTATTATGGATAAGATATCGTGCATCACCAAGGTATCTGTTCTGTATATGGCCATCCCACAGCGCCTCAGCTCGTCTCCTTCGAACGATATGCTGTCTCTCTTCGTAAGCTCTAACCTATCGAATCGTAACTTGGGGGCCAGAGCGTGAAACGTGAGGCGACATCCACATGTTTGAACAATCCATGCACTGAGGCGAGGAACAAGCGTGGCGAAGCTTTCTGGAGCGGGGCACTACATTACCGGTATCAGTCCTGATCAGGTGGCAGATCCAGGCCGTTCTGCCGGGGAGTGAGTCCGAGCGACACTCGTTCAAGGCTGGACTGTAACAAATAAGGTGACCCTTAAAGCCCCTTGGCGCCACCTTGGTGCCTATCAAGGCGTTCTTAGGAGGGTGAACGGGGCCCTCGGGGGTCTCTGCGGGGCGTGCACGCCTAAAAGCTTAACCCGAGGCTTCCACAGAGATCCGAGGACCACTCGTGCTTGCCCTGTTTGGCCATTCGACCTGCTTTTTCGTCATCATCCAACTTTGCCGCACGCTTCAGGACTGGATCTCTTCCTCCGAGTGGATGTTATTCGCTGAGAGGCGAGGGCGGTAGGCCGTGCGGGCCTTCATCAGCCATCTGCAGCTGCCCTGCTTCATCGATCTCCCTGAGCTGAGGAAGGAAGGCACCCAAAGGGGTAATTAGGAAGGAGCAGGAGCTGGCCGGACTCGTCACTGTCCTGGCCAGCTTCCTTCCACCGAAACACAGAACTGCGCCTCTCTTGATTTCGTCTCTCTGCTGCATCCAAAAGGCTCTCTACCTCTTGTCCGGGGAGACTTTTCTTATGAGTTCTCTGCTTCTCGTTCTTTTCATTGTTACCTGTCCTGTTTCTGGCTAGTCCTTTACAACCATAGCTATATCATTGCCTTGTATTCAACATGCCTGCCATCCTTGGGCCTCTGCTCACGGCAGCAGCTATAGTCACTTCAATCGCGCCGGTAACAGCGTCTGCCAGTCCAGGCACTGTTGGGTTCAACTTCGAACGCCGTCGCGTCAACGCCGAAGACGTCCCACATCTTAGGAAGCGGGCATCCGACAAAACCGTACTGGCCAGTCTCACCAATGAGTATATTCTATACTTCATCAACGTTACCGTCGGCACCCCAGGTCAAGCCTTTTCTCTTCAACTGGACACAGGCTCTTCCGATATTTGGTTCCCCTCTGTGAACGCCGATGTCTGCAGGCAGGACATCCAATACTGTCCGGTCGGCACCTACGATTCGTCCGCCTCGTCTACTTTTGCGGAACTCAACCTCCCTGAATTCCAAATTCAATATGTCGACGGCACGGAAATTGCTGGGTCATACCTATCGGATGTCTTAAATATTGGTTCCACACAGCTCACAAACATGACCATGGCGGAAGCCCTGACAGCTAGTAAGTTCCCCAGAGCACAGTGGTGGAAAAGTTATCCACATGTTTTCGCAATAAATTATACCCCTTCTCGCGAATGGTTGGAGCCAATCCATGCTCCTTTCTGCCGTCATAGTTGTCTTTGGAAATCTGCGTTGGCGCAAACTATGTTAACATATGTCACTCTCCAGACACTCGCGGCATTGGCATCATGGGTATTGGATTTCAGTCCGGAGAAGCCGCTGCATCTCAAAACGGGTTCACATATCCCAACGTGATCGATGTCTTAAAGAGCGAAGGCTTCATAAACACTTTGGCGTACTCCCTCTGGCTGGACGACCTGGCATCGTCAACGGGTTCAATTTTGTTTGGCGGAGTGGACACGAATAAATACCACGGTGACCTAGTCTCCCTACCAATTCAGATCGACACGCAAAGCCAGACTATCTCGTCTTTTACGGTTGCTTGGACTGGCCTTACTGTCACTGCAGCTGGGCAGGTTTCCAAATTCAATCCAACTGCTCCACTACCAGTGATTCTGGATTCCGGAACCACTGACACACTCTTGCCCGATGATATCGCCAATGACATCTTCAATGGCGTGGGCGTTCTGACTGATCCAAGCTATGGCAATGTGGTAAAATGCTCACTCGCCGATGACGACGTGACCTTTTCCTTCACATTTGGCGGGGCTGGTGGCCCCATCGTCAACGTGAGCCTGTCAGAATTTGTCACCCCTCTCCTGACCACCGATGGATCTCAACCGACATTCGAAAACGGAGACCCCGCTTGCTCATTCGGAATCGAAGCGGCAGGCGACAACCCGCTCCTGTTTGGTGATTCCTTCCTTCGCAGTGCGTACGTCGTGTACGATCTCGAGAACCAGCAGATTGCAATTGCACAGACCAACTTTGACGCCAATCCTAGCGACCAGAACGTCCAAGCCTTCCAGGTCAGCAGCGGTATCCCAAACGTCGCGTCTACTGCTACTGCGGCAAGCGTCGCACAGACCTTCACTGGAAACCCACATGTCACAGAGGCATCGGCTACCGCCACTGGCAGCCTTGCTGGGGGAACTTCGAGGTCTGCCACATTCAAACTGACTCCGACAAAAAGCTCGGGCGCCAGCAGCACCGCCGACAGCGGGAGCTCGAGCTCGAGTTCATCCAATGCCGCGAATCCGAACCTTCGGCCGGGATCTATCCAGCTGGGTGGAATCACTGCACTGGGCGTAGTCGTGGGCGGCGTATTGTTGGGTGGTAGTTTGGTACTGTTGTAAAGTGTCAGTATAGATCATTTAGAAGAAATGAGGCTGAGGTCTCTGGACAGAAGAATGGAGGCTGAGTCTCTTCTGAGGTCCTAGTCTGTATTGATACTGGATAGGTTTGAACATGACATGAATACGATAACCCCCTATTATTGACCTTGATTTAACATTTGTACCCTTGACCTATTGTGATGAGCTGCTACGCTCTTGGCCTTGAACGTAACAACCCAATTGTGCTTGCCACTCTTCTAAGGTGACTTTCGTGGTGCCTATCAGGTACGTCGACCCTACTTCGACTCTGTTCACTTTCATTCGCTTCTTCGGAGTATCGGTACAGGTTTCACTTTCTACCTATGTAGCTAGTATGATTTCGGCAGCCCTAGGACTCTCTGACCGATATAATTCATAATCATCTCTCGACTGACGGGTGCAATCCGGGGGATCATAACCTCCCGGAAATACCTCTCGACATGATACTCCTTCGCATAGCCCATGCCGCCATGAGCCAGAACGGCCCGTTCACAGGCTTTATACGCGGCCTCAGCCGCCAGATACTTAGCAGCGTTGGCGTACTCTCCAGCCTCATACCCAGAATCATACAGCCGTGCGGCCTGGTAGATCATCAGCCTCGCGGCCTCGAGCTGCATCCAGCTGTCCGCCAGCGGGTGCTGGATCCCCTGGTTCTGGCCGATCGGGCGGCCGAACACCTTGCGCTCGCTGGCGTAGAGAGCGGCACGCCTCAAGGCCGCGAAGCCGATGCCGATGGCCTCGGCGGCGATCAGGATGCGCTCGGCGTTCATGCCGTGCATGATCATCTTGAAGCCGTGGTTCTCCTCGCCGATGAGGTCTTGCGCGGGGACCTTCCAGCCGTCGAAGAACAGCGAGTTCGAGTCGACGGCGGCACGCCCCATCTTCGGGATCTCCGTCACCTGCACCTGCTCGCGGTCGAGGTCGGTGTAGAACAGGCTGAGGCCCTGGCTCGGCTTCGTGACCTCTTCGAGCGGCGTCGTCCGTGCCAGGACCAGGATTTTCTCCGCCACCTGCGCCGTCGAGATCCATATCTTCTGCCCGCTAAGGAGATAGTGCTGGCCTCCGGGATCCTTGACGGCGCGGGACTGGAGCTTCAGTGTATCGAGGCCTGTATTTGGCTCGGTGACCCCGAAACACGCCCTGTGCTTGCCCGCGATCAGCGGCACCAGCATGCGCCGTTTCTGCTCTGCCGTCCCGAATTTCCGCACCGGCTCCAGCCCGAAGATATTCATGTGCACCGCGCTGGCGCCCGCGTACGCAGCCCCAGACTCCGCAATCGTCTGCACCATGACCGCCGCCTCGGCGATCCCCAGCTCGCTGCCCCCGTACTCGGCCGGCATGCAGATCCCCAGCCAGCCGTCCTTGGCCACCGCCTGATGGAACTCCACGGGGAACCGGTGCTCTTTCTCCGCCTGAGCCCAGTATGCGTCGTCGAATTTTGAGCAGACTTTACTGATCGCTTCGCGCACTGTTCGTTGTGATTCTGTGAGGTCCGGGTCTTGGACTTGGAGGTACTCCGTCGCCCGCGCAGAAATTGAGCGTATCCATGTGATTTGCGTTATACTCGATGCGTACAGTGGTGGTGGCCCTGGTCGTGATACCGGACGTCTTAACAGTTGGGATATACAACCGCTGAGAACTTTCTTGGACCACATGGTATCAGGGTGAAGCCCTCCTCCACCTGCTCTAAGTTTATTTTCGCCGTTTAAAACAATGAATCTGTCGAATCTCGCTCGGTTCTTCCTTCTCTCAGAGGAGCCAAGAGACCTACCATGCACGCTATCATGTAGACGGTGCCATGTGAAGGGTGAGGGGAAAGGTATATCAGGGTAACTCTCGTCCTAGGAATGAACACACTAGGGTGAGTAAAGTAATGGGAACCTTGCCAAAGCTAGACAGAGTAATACCGAAGCTTTGAAACGGATCGACTCAGAGGTGATTGAAATTCGGGATGACTCCTAATTGACAGAACATACAGACAGTTTTTGGAGTCGTAGGGCGGCTGTCAGAACGACAAGGAGGGAGAAGAAGCCGAGGCTGGGGGGCGTGTGCGGAGAGGCGACAAGGCTGGGCTTGAAGTGCGGAGAACAAGGCCGTTCTCGGCGTCAACCATATATTAAGTGTAATTATCAACTCAGTATCGCCTTGGAAAGGCCGCGATAACTCCGCTTTACTCAACACAGGTACTGTCATAGCGTTGTACTTGGATTTCAGGGTACCCTCAGATATCCAATTCCCGGGTGTGCCTTGCAGCTGTTTGGTCGTCCTGTTGTTGGACTGGCCAATTAGTCGCGCTCCCGGAATCCCGCAGGTTTCCCACAGAGCCCTGTGCGGAGTTCGCCTTGACGTCTGTGCCTAGGTCCCGAGTTGTCGCTCCGCATGGAGTGATTAAGTGGTGCTTCACAGGCAGCAAGTAAGCCAGAGCTCATTGGAGAAAGAACTTGCTTGTTTTCGACCTTGAAAGAAGACGATTCACTCCTGTCGAGAAACTCGGCCAGGTATTATCAAACATTAGCGACTGGTCCCCCCTCGCTGTGAAAGGCAATGCAGAAGTCAATACGGCTGGTGAGGACAAGCTTCAACTCTGGCGTGAAACCATGTCAAAGGAGGACAGTCACGATAGCGGCGAGGATTCCACGTCTTGAAACCCCCAGAGAAGACGAGCCCAGAAGGTTAAGTCCGGCGCGATGCAAGTCCAGCGCCTCGAACGACACCGGCTCAACGTCATCCACCAGAGGTACTACAGATAACCTGCCGCTATCAGGGCTGCGCGTACTAGACCTCTCGCGGGTGCTGGCAGGGCCATTCTGTACCCAGATCCTGGCAGACTACGGGGCGGAAGTGGTGAAGGTCGAGCAGCCGGGCGTCGGGGACGAGACGCGGCAGTGGCGTGCCGCGAACGAGGCGCAAATGTGGAAGAACGAGTACCCGCTTATGAGCCTGTACTTTGCGGCGATCAATCGGAACAAGAGATCCGTCACGCTTAACCTGAAGACTCCTCAAGGTGTCGAGATTGTGAAGCATCTTGCGAGGCAGAGCGATGTTGTGGTGAATAATTTCGTGCCGGGGAAGATGGAGGCCATGGGGCTAGGGTATGAGGCTTTAAGAAAGGAGAATGAGCGGTTGGTCTATGCGAGTGTTAGTGGGTATGGCTCTTCCGGGCCGAGTAAGGATCGTGCTGGGTACGATGCCCTTGCTCTGGCTGAAGCTGGTTTGTTGCATATCACCGGGGAAGAGGGTCGGTTACCGTCAAAGCCTGGGGTCGCTATGGCGGATCTCTGCACTGGGCTGTATGCACATGGAGCGATTCTAGCTGCACTGGCGCAGAGAGAGCGCACGGGATTAGGGACCAACGTCGAGGGAAGTCTGTTTGAAAGCTCGCTGAGTCTGTTGATCAATGTTGGGTTGGCCAGTATGAATCTTGACCGGAACAACGGGCCAGAAGCAAGGAGGCGCGGTAAGAGGATGGGATTAGAACATCCAAACTTGGTACCTTATGGTGGCTTCGAGACAAAAGACAAGAAGATGGTGTATGTTGCGGCCAACAACAGAAGACAGTGGGATGGTTTTTGTAATCGATTACAGGTTGAGGGACTTGGACAGAATGAACGATTCCATTCTAATGACGACAGGGTTGCAAATCGAGAAGAGATCAACGGTATCTTGCAGAAACGATTCAAAGAGAAAACAAAAGATGAGTGGATGCAGGCTTTCGAGGGCAGTGGCTTGCCATATGGAGCCATCAATGACGTGGTCGAGGCAGTCGAACATCCCCAAGCACAGGCAAGGAATATGATCATGGAGGTTGATGATTTCGAAGCTGCAAAAGATGGCGTCCTGAGATTGATTGGACCAGCAATGAAATTCCAAGATGCCAATATGAGTGTCCGAATGAAGCCACCACTGTTAGGAGAGCACACCAACGAAGTGCTCTCAGACCTGGGATATACTGTTTCAGATATCACCAGCCTTCGAAAATCCGGAATTATATAATATAAAATAAGAAACCAAAGGCATAGAAGCATTGCCAAAGAGAATTTCAGTTTGGTCAATGGAAGAGTCAAGTAGTAAGAAGCAGTGGAAGAGGGTTGAAGATTGTTGGGGAGATCCGATGATCTAACAATGTAGTGATAGTACAATTGCAATGGATTTCCCGTCAATGAGGAAAATGTACAGAGCTGGTTTTCTTTTCTGAGCGCAACGCAACCACTGCCAGTTCACCAACAATCCCCTAGTGAGCATCTGGCTGAGCGACGATGTAGGTAACTGCCTGGTCGACTTTTTGGGCTTGTTAGGAAACGCCTTTAATAGAAGGTGCGTAAACATACCGCTATGAATGGCGTCGGCTTCCTTGTCCGGGATCTCGATGCTGAACTCCTCTTCAATGGCCATGACTACCTCGACGGTATCCAAGCTGTCCAACCCCAAGTCATTCTGGAAGTGCGATGTACCGCTTATCTGGTGGTGATTGTTAGCAACAGGCTTTCGTACCCTAAACACGTTTCAGGCTTGTACCTTTGATGCATCTGTAACCTGAGAGAGTGTTAGAGGAGTATGTTCGGTGGAAAGGATTCTATTCTTCAGAAGCGCACCTTGTCAAAATTCTTCAACAAATCCATTATCCGGCCCTGGACCTCTGGTTTTGTGAGACCGGCAGATGCCGAGTAGCATCTTATGCTTGGGACAGAGAATGCGGGAGCGATTCGCGAGGATTGCAGATATGAAGATGAGATTTGAGATCGGAACGCAGGTAATTGTCGGGGGACCTGAATCCGTGTGATAGCTTGAAGCGCTTTTACGGCACCGGTTCGGAGCATCTTGACGAGGGAGAAAGTGACTGAGGGACTCAGAGATGAGAAACAGAGGTCACTGTTGAGGTTGACGACGTGGAGAGAGCGAGACTGGTGGATGTTGGACGGTCGATGGTCGAGGGTGGTTGAGATTCTGATGTCAAGCAGAAGGAGCAACTCTGAATCGAATGGTCGCTGCAGCAGCTGCACTTGCCTATGCAGCCACAGAAACATTTGTCGAGCTTTGGAATGGTAATCACGTGCAGACTCATTACATAATGCAGCACAGCTTCTTCCCAATCAACATCCCTCGAAATTGAATGACAAGTCTCCACATCGCCCCAAGCCCCGATTCTCTCAGACTGGGCTCATTGACGTCCTCCATTGCTGGCATTCCCTGATATTCCCTTTCGCGACCGCCACCCATTGTCTATCTCTGTCTGCGACTTGTACGGACAATGGCGTCGACGCTTCGTCCAGCATCGCGACTGGTCGCGGGACCGTACACAGCTTCAGCCATCCTCAGACAAGCTACAGACCGATCGACATCACCTTTCCTCCGCGCCACCGTCACAGCTGCTCATTTCCACACCTCCCGTCCTCGATATGCCCTCCCCTCCGGGCCTCCCCCGCAGGGTTATCGGTTACCCAGACCCAAGCGTTTCGATGAAGGAGAGCACGTCCTCGACAAGGCCAGCAATTATTTTCTTTTGACCGAGATGTTTCGCGGCATGTATGTCGTGCTCGAACAGTTCTTCAGACCACCGTATGTCTTCACAACCGGAAACACCTCAGAAAAAGACTAACAAGGCCCTACCTTGCAGCTACACGATTTTCTACCCATTTGAAAAAGGCCCAATCTCGCCTAGATTCCGAGGCGAGCATGCGCTGAGACGGTATCCATCGGGTGAAGAGCGATGTATCGCCTGCAAGCTCTGCGAAGCTATCTGCCCAGCACTGGCCATCACTATTGAAGCTGAAGAGCGAGAAGACGGCTCGAGGCGGACAACTCGTTACGATATTGATATGACAAAATGCATTTACTGTGGCCTCTGCCAGGAGAGCTGCCCCGTTGATGCTATCGTTGAAACACCCAACGCAGAGTATGCTACAGAGTACCGAGAAGAGCTACTTTACAATAAGGAAAAGCTGTTAGCTAATGGAGACAAATGGGAGCCGGAGCTGGCTGCTATTGCAAGAGCAGATGCTCCCTACAGATAAAAATGAAGGGGGAAATATCGACATATCCCAACAAGTTGATACGGGGTTATTTTTGCATTCGTCCCTAAGCGTGTATATAACTAGGCCAGAGTGTCAACGAAGGTAAATTGAGAGACAGAAGCAAAAACCGAAAAATTCCAGGCCTGTTGCCATCAATCCATTCTAGTATTATTATAAAACTGGCCGGGATCACTACGGAACTACCAGCTAGGAAACTTCCGTATTCCGGGAAGGGTTCGAGCTACTAATGCAACAGCCAAGCTCATCGCATGTTAGCGATGCATAATACTGGAGACACCGATGTACTTCATCCACTTTACGATTATTTCAATGTTTCGCTTTGATTTCGAGAACTGGTGATGCTAATGAAAGTCCAGATTCCAAGCAGAGAACATCGGGTGCCACTTGTGACAGGGGTGATGCAAGGCTCGGGAGTGGCATAAAGACTCAGCAAGTCTGGCACCAGAAGCCAGGTCCTGACTCCTTAGACTTTGCTTGGAGCTTGACCAGCAGGGATTTCCTCGACGAGCTCCGTCTGTGCCGCTTCGGCACGCTTGGTGTCCAAGGTGACGGCATCGACGTCGTCGTTGTTGACCACTTTCTCTACAGCCATGACAGCCTGCTCCGCGAGAGCCTTGTCTTCAAACACTGCAATAGATCGTTAGTCGTCGAAGCCCATGGAAACATTGGTGATTCCAAAAGCCCCCCAGATTGGCAGGAATAGCAGGCGAAGCAAAGAAAAGTATTCACGGGGACTTACAGAATGCCAACTCCTCGAGAGTACGATTGGATGTCTCGGGGAACAGAAACCACACAAAGACAATTTCAAAGGCAAGCCAGCAGCAATACGTGATCAGCCATTTCCAGCCAATGTTTGTCAGGCCAATGGGATTGACAAATGTCGTGAAGAAATTGGCCCCGCGCCCGAAGAATTGGAACAGCGAAATACCACGAGATCTCTCTGCATACGGCCACAATTCAACCATATAAGTGTAGGTCAAGGCGTTGTACCCAAGGTTGTAGGCCGGAGAATAGACTGGAATTGATATAATTTAGTGTTCCATCTCAGAAGGTGACACGTGGACTCTGTATCTTGCACAATGAGGGGGGCATGCCAAATGGAAACTTACGAAAGATGAAGAATATGGTGGCGACGCCGGCCGACTGGTTCTGGCGTTTCTCTGCTTTGGCAACCATGGCTTGCTGCATCGAAATAGTCCAAGCGATGTACACGACCAAAAGGCTAATCGTGCAGGCCATATACATCGTCCGCCGCCTGAAGCGGGTGACTAGAAGAGATGCAACGACACCGCACACTAGACTCCAGCATGAATTGCCAAGGTTGATCTTTTGCTTGAAAGTCGACTCGGTATGGCCGATCATAGCAAGAAGATCGCCGAGGTAGTAGGAGATGAGTGTGTTTCCGGACCATTGTGTAAAAAGGCCGAGGAAGGTCGTAACAAGAACGCGGCGACGCATTCCAGCAGTCGCGAAGAGATCCAGCCATGATTTCCGGGAGCCTTCGAGTTCAAGGTGAATAGTTGTTTGGATCTGAGCCATTTCTGCTCGCACAAATTCCGAGTCTCGGTCTCCCTCTGCATGGTATTTAGTCAAGATCTCAAAGGCTTCCTCGCTGCGGTCCTTGGTCACCAGCCAACGAGGGCTCTCAGGGAGGAAAAAGACGAAACCGAGCTGAAGCAGAGACGGTGCCATTTGAAGTAGGGAAGGAATTCGCCAAGCCCAGTTGGACGCAATGTTGTTTGTGCCGAATGTGATTCCAGCTGCGGTAATTTGTCCTAGGAGCTTTCTGTTAGTAAACTCGGACGATTGCAAGCCAGCGCTGCGTGGCGGGCATAAACCTACCAACAAAGTAGGAGACGTTGAAAAGAGATGTGAGAACCGGGCGCTCCTTGGGATAACCCAATTCACCAATCAAAGAGGATCCAGATACAATGCAAGTTGGTATACCGAATCCAAGGATGAGCCGTGCAGCAATATACATTCCAACTTCATCACCAGTTAGCAGAGGATCAAAGGCCAGGCAAGGCTGCTTACCGCCGTTGGCACATCCTTGAATGATAGCGCCAACCATCATAACGCACGACCCGAGGAAAATCGACCATCTTCTTCCGAATCTGTCGTTGATGATAGGAACAAATGGAAGGGAGAGAATGGCTCCTAGAGAGTACGCTGCGGCAATGATACCCTTCAAGGACCCTTGCGGGTTGTCGAAAACTTCATGGACTAGTCAGCATGTCAAGCTAACATGTTGAGGGAAGCAGCTGACATGTAATCCAAGATGGAACAATTTGAAGTGCATTGATCAGTTGAGAATCGAACCCGGAAGTCAATTCGACGCCCATACATGTTGGAAACAACATGAAATATAGGTATCGCAAGTTCGGTTTTTTATACCAACGAACCTAGAGAGTTCCATTAGTAACTCTCATGACTTGCTTGAGGTTTCTACAACCTGATCCTCGTTCGCAATACGCGTAAGAATAGGGTCGGCGGCCCCCGTTTCTCCTGTGGTGGGCTTAAAGACTTTTGCCATGGCTCCGATTTACCTGATAATTCTTTGCTTGGAGGGTAGAAGAGGTCGGCCTGCATTAAAAGGCCATTTTGAGGAGCTGGCTGTTCTTATTATATTCCTCCCATATGCCCCGTGGGAAGACTACCCACCTTATGGGGTAGCATCCACGAGGGGAGTGAGGTGTGGCATGGATTTAGCCTTGCTCTGAGCCGAGCATGCAAGCGCACGAATAAAGATCGCCCATCCATTTCGAAATAAGTGCCCTGGTAATATATGGCGGGATCTCCGCCGTAGAACTTGGGACATCCGGGGATCCCATTCGATGTTGCGGAGTCTTCGATTTGAGGATGGGGATGGGGAGCTTCCGATGCTTGTCGAATTCCTCAAGGCGCCGGACATTGCTTGAATTTTTGCTTGATTCAACTTTGCCGAAGAGGCTTCATTCCACTCCTTAGCGAGAGATCCCTCCAACCGCAGCCCATTTGTTTGAGTCATGGGTGGGCTCTGGTAATGAGCCGGCTGAATGGGAAGACTGATCTCACATATCCTGGGCTGTATCCTGTAGAGAATTTAGCCGTCTGTGATGGATAAGGCAGCTCAAGTGTGGCAGCCAAGGCGTGTAGATCGGTAGCTAAGTCCATGGCTCATGGTGGCTGAATGCTTGTTCGAATATGGAATGAAAAGGCCGACTCATGGGTGTTGAGCACCACAAACTTGGGACATAAATCGACCCCTAGACCCAAGAGAACATCGATGCTCTGGAATTTTCGGGGATTGTCCCCGAGCGGGGACAGGTGTTGCACACGGCAGATGCCCTCATGGTGTGCGTACCACCGCCTATGATTATTCATAAGCACGAGGGCAGATCAACGAAGCCTCGCATTAGCCGCTGGCTTTAAACACGGATCCCTTTCACCTGAACCAACGAGGCCGTGATACGGCGATGGTAATACGATCGGTCGGCCTAAGTTACCATTCATGGTACGCATTTCGCGGGGGCTTGTGGTTCAACCCATCTCATATGTACGCACCCTGTACTCCGTATTTATTGCTGTCTGACTTGCCTGGAAGTCTCTGTATGTGCAAGGCTTGTCACTGGCTGAACGGAAGATATTGTAAACCTCTTCCTCGCTACTCCGCAATGCATTTGGCGAGCCATTTCTGCACTGCCGCGAAGTATTCCATCTTTCAACATGCAAATCCTGCGTGATTCGTGGACCAGCCCCTTGAGGTTCAGTGCAATAGCAAGGACAAGGTACGGGGTAGTCCCTGCTTCAACGAGCTGACGGCAAGGATCCTGTTGTGGTCCGGCGTGCCGCTTTTCGAGAATCGCCTGGGAATCTCGCAATCATGGACATCATTGATAATTGCAAGGCAGCAGCAGAATATTCTGGCCTGAGGGTAAAGGACGGGCAGTGGCAGGTGGATTCTTTTCCTCGTCTTCCTCAACACGTGTCAACGCGACTCCTATTGTGGCGGCTCCTTTCTTCATGTCTTAATGAGACTCACGGCGGCAATCCTGGACGATCATATCACGACGACACAAGCAACGACTATCCCCACCTCCAGCCATCTTTCAGCGAGTCTGACGTGTTAAAGCCCGCTGGGGTCTCAAGATTCTCAGGTAAATCTCCTCACAACTTGAGCTTGAAGGCGTGGTGCGCATAGAAACAAAAGTGGTTGGTACGAGATCTGCAAATTGCTTACGTATGAAGACAATGATTGATTGAATTCGTTCCATATCCAGATGTTGACGAACTGGACGTCCGTGCGTGACTTCGGACCATGAACGTACGAGTAAGGCTGCGCCACTCGGAGACATACGGGGCACAGGCCAGCAAGGTGTCTAGCTGTATGTCAAGGACAATATTTACTGTCAATCGGCAGCCCGTGCGCCAATAAAGCACATCTGTCGATCACAATAATGGAGAGGTTGGCATGAAGTTATTGGAAAATAGTTCTTTTGGGTTGATTATATATCACAAAGGTGTTGGCATATAAAGGGATGGAAGGAATCTCGCTGAGCCTACAAACGCTTCGGAATGCTTTTCAGTTGAGTGCCTCAAGATCGCCAGATCATACCTTGTACGTGACTGGCATTGTTTACTCTGATTATAAGGTGGACTTGATTTAAAATGCACATTACAATGAGAGGCCTACTGTTGGCGCTGTTGATGTTACTCATCTCAGTTGTGCAAAGTGCTCCTGTCCGTACGTACTATGTACCACCAAACTTCGTCCAAAGAAACAACTAACCAGAAGCTAGCACTGCTAAATATCGATGTTTCAGAGCTCCAGAATGCACGTCGGAGCGTCTCACCGATGGCTGCGCCGAATCAACTGCCCGAGAGAAGGGACATACCGGCCAGCAGAATCGCATGTTTGACTGAGCTGGATGCCACATATCAACTGTGCTTGGGAACCAGCCCCGACGATGGATCGCTAAATGTTGAAGCGCTCGGCCGCTGCAGCTACGTTCTTGCAGACATGAGGTTGATCTGCATTTAGCGACTTCTCAATTTATTTCCATTGTCGTTTATGGCAGTCCTCTACGCCATGAAGCCGAGTTGTTGGCCCCTTTCTCAGGCTTAGACGCTGATGATCGGTGATCAGTGCTCGCCACTGACCATGATGTGAGTCTAGACCCTCTGATCCGACGCAATGAATAGTTGTTGAACAAGTGGCAGGAGAAATAACTTTCGACCTTATTCACGGGCTCCGTTGACAGACGATCGTCTGGATCGATGGGCTTCGCCCCAAACTCAACGGACGAACCCCTGATGACCAGGTGTTCACCACCTCCCCTCCAGGATTTTTCAAAGCTCGATTCGCTGCTTGGTCGCAACAAATCCCAGCCTAGGTCAGCCTGGGACTCCGCATTCCCGACTGACACCTTACAAGACAGGTTGCTTGTCATCGCTTCTGCCGTGGTTGAATGGGAGTGGAACTTTCGGTACGGCTGACAGCCTCGCCTGAGTGAAATAAAAGCTGTTGTGTTAGGGGCAAACCCACCGTCTTATTTGAATTTGTTCCTGCATCTAATGCAGGGGTTCCGTTGTACAGACACTCACACCCGCAGTATATGACGTGCAACATACTGTTTAAGAATGTTGAGCAAAAAGGCGTCGATGATGCAGCCCCAACGTTTTGACAACGCACAACATCGATTTCAAGTTGGACGAGCACGTCAAAATGCCCATTGGTGAATTGCAAGCGCCCACATGAACTTGCCTGTGTCCGTTGAAGTAAGAGAAGATCAACCGAGGCCACTCATTTCGTCCAGTCCTTTCCTTCAGCCTCGTCCGGGTTCAGGAACAGGGTGTGCTGGAGCATCATTTGTTCATTTCCTCTTGGCGCTGGCAAGACATCATGCAGATGAGGACACGCGTATTAGCCAATCTCCGCGGGGCCCGAGTCGCTGCACAGTTGTCTGCTCCTCGCTCCTGTTTTGGCGTAACACGGCTGAAGCTCCTCGTCACAACCAGGATATCGAAAAGCGAGTCCACGTTGCGAAGGGCATTGAAGGGAAAATTTAGGGGTTTCGGAAAGGGGCTGCAGGACAGGAGGCAGTATAAGAAAGTACGAGATGCACAGGAACGGTCGGTCATGATGCCAAAATCAGAGATTTCTTTGCTTCCTTTCAAGGAGCCGGCCACCAAGCCTTCCACGTCCGACACCGCAAACACCCAGGTCGCGTAAGATGAGCCGCAGCCTCAACAAAGCAATCACAGCTTCGTCCGCTGGATGCCACACAGCGGACTTGAGGTTCCTCAAGACGCCATCTGGCTGCGCCCATGACGGATTCAAGGAAACCAGAAAAGAAACCACCGACCAATCCTCCAACCAAGACACTATCGCCAGCGTCAACAAGATCCTTCCGCTGCCGTTACCTGAGCGATATTCGCCCGCTGTGGAGCAGTGGGTGAACCAAACTCAGAAGGCCGAAGCATGGCCTCACGGATGGCAATCGTCAACTCCTGGGGTATGTAAAAACGATCGAACCAACCTACCCGAGCAGAGGTATCCACCGCAATGGCATCCTGCCTCCAGAAACAACAGCTACGTAAACTCGGCCACAGCTGAAACTTTGTCCGGCCAGGTGCAAGGCTCTGAAACTCAGTGGCATTCCTTCTCGGGGGAGATCGGCATTGCATCAGTAGGTTCATCTTATCAATCGCAATCTGTGAGGCGAGCTCATGACCTCCTTGCATTGGCCATCTTTTCGCAGAAAGGAGTCCACTACGACATCACGGTGGAGAAGAACGGAAAGGGTAGAACTGGTTTCTGCCGAATGGATGCAGGTCGTTTCGTCACGGAGTAGAAAAGTTCGACTGGGCCAGGGCAAGAGCGAGACGGGGAAGGGCAGTTCGGGGCAGTGATCATGGAGAAGACTAGGAGAGGGAGGGATGTCTTCCTTGCTAGAAGCTGGAAGTCAGATTTCCAATTCAATGCTACATTAGAATAGACTTCATTTTTGTACGCCAGATATAGTATGGCTTGTTGTCATTGGCATTATACCATGCCCGCGTGTAACTCAGCGAGGACGCTGTCTCAGTGTTTCCATCATACCCATCACTGATCCATGTTCTCCAATCTTGTCGTTTTTCGCTTTCATCCTCCCTCTGTCCAGCACAGAAGTCGTGCGCACAAGTAAGTATGACTTCGCTTCACTTGAAAAGAGCCACGAGAGGCACGCCTAGCCATCTATGCCATGTCCCTGAAGTTATTGCAATAGATAAGTAATCCATCCCACGCCGAAATCGCTACCATGAAGCCATATTCCTTGCAAATGGGCGGGGAAACCGACAAATTGACAAGGGTTTTCGTTGAAATGCATAAGGCGGTCGAGTCCAGTGACAACCCAAGCAAACCACCCAACGCCTCGACTTTGAGTAACGCAATTGGTCACCGGCGGAATCCATGAAATCGTAAAACTGAATTTCTATCTTCCATAACAGCCACAAGGACGGGAACGGAGGGAGCTTTTAGTTGTCAACCTTGATGCTGACGTTCTTCTCTCCTTCAGGAAGGACGTCTGCCTCCTTTTCGCCTTTCAGGTTTGGCAGCTCGGACACTGCGGCACCGATGATTGCCAATGCAGTCTGGATCTCCTCGTCGGTGATGACCAATGGAGGGGCCAGGCGGATGATATTCTGGTGAGTGGGTTTGGCCTATTTAGTATTTGGTCAGTCAATAATGTTCCCAGTTGTCAATCTACTGGTGGGAGGAGAGAATCACATCTTCAAACAGAGGAAAGGTCTCAGACTGGGGCTGGACTTACCAACAAGCCCTTCGATTTCATGAGCATGCACAAGTCCCAGGCGCTGTGGCCGTTAGTCTTGGACTCGTCGATGACGATGGCATTCAATAGGCCCTTGCCGCGGATGGTGGTGATCAAGGGACTATTGAGGTCGCGCAGACCGTCGCGGAAGACCTGGCCGAGCTTTTCGGCACGCTCGACCATCTTCTCCTCGCGGACGATCTCGAGGGCTCGGATCGCAACGGCGCAGCCGAGCGGGTTACCACCGTATGTGGATCCGTGGGTGCCCGGTTCGATGGTCAGCATGACCTCCTTGCTTCCCAGGACGCAGGAGACGGGATACATGCCGCCGGAGATAGCCTTGCCGAGGAGCACAAGGTCGGGTTTGATGCCGGCCCATTCGTGGCAAAGAAGTTTGCCCGTGCGGGCGATGCCGGTTTGGATTTCGTCGCAGATGAGAAGGACATTATGCTTGTCGCAGAGGGCACGGAGGTCGGAGAGATAACTGTCGGAGGGGACAACGATGCCGGCTTCTCCTTGGATTGGCTCGACCAAGAAGCCGGCGATTTTTTCTCCATGAGACTCAAACACGCTGCGAACGGCCGAGATATCGTTGTAAGGGATCACCTCCCCAGTGCCCGGGTTCAAACTTCCAACACCTGGTAGATAGGGGCCATAGTTGTCTCTCGATTCTGGATCCGTTGACATGGAGATTGCGGAGAACTATTTTCAGTGTAAGCATCTGTGTTGAAGACTGGTGTGTTTGCAAATACTCACTGTGCGACCGTGGAAATTTTCTGCGACGCTGAGAACGAGGGCTTCCCCTTGAGGAATACCCTTAGACTTGTAACCCCATTTTCTGGCAATTTTGATGACAGTCTCGACTGCTTCAGCACCGGTATTCATGGGCAAGACCATGTCAAAGCCGAAATACTTGGTGACGAATTCTGCGAAGCGAGGAAACACGTCATTATAGAACGCTCTGGAGCTGAGAGTCAATGTCGACGCCTGTTCAACCAGTGCCTTGACGAGTTCCGGGTGGCAATGGCCTTGGTTGACAGCAGAATAAGCCGAAAGAAAGTCTAGATATTCTCGACCTTCTGGATCCCAGACCTTGGTACCCAGTGCTCGGGCAAAGACGATGGGCAAGGGGTGGTAGTTGTGGGCAGCATATTCGTGTTCTGCGTGGATGGCTTCATCAGACGAGGAAGCGTGATATTTTGACTTGTTTGGTGTGCCTGTTGGGTGGAATGCTGGAGCAGTCGCCTTCAATTGTGTGCCAACGCTGTGGCCATTTAATTGAGTGACCCCATTGACGCCGTCGCCCTCAACTGCCGATGGTGTCATGTTGCTGGAAATTCTGGTGGTGGCGAATAAGCCGAATATGATTGGCCACGGAAGATATCTAGATGCTGCAGAGAGTGTTTTACAGCCGCGAAGAGATGTGTGACTTTATACCAACGCAACGTATTAGACACAAGTCCTTTGTGGAGGAGTTAGGAATGCTATGACAGGAGCGAGAGGCCTGCTTCGTACTTATGTTCAAGAGTTCGTTCCGTTAAGGTCCACAGCCAGGGTCATGTGCAAAGGATTTTCTTGCAAACTCAACACTTGTATCTATGCCTCTAAGTGCAGGTGTATCCCTAATGGAAGGAGGATTCGACGATGAATCGCTAAAAGCAAGGTTAAGCGTAGCACAATATCCGCTTATGAGACGGAAGAGTTGTGAGTGGTTGTGCGGAACGCCGAGGGGCTAAGTGACGCAAGGGCAACGAGGGGCGAAGGGGCTCCCGGTGGCTAGTGACTAAAAATTAAGATATCGATAGGCTCTGCAGGGCGTGGGGCACGTGAAATCCTGGGCCTTGGGCGTGATCCCAGGTGGCACGGAAGCCTAACCAGGCGCTCAGCAGCCAACATCCTGTCCATAAGCCCTGCCTGCGAGTGGCCCTGGCCCAGTGCGAGGGGTAACATCTAATCTATCTAGGTTTCTGCGGCTAACACCGGCCCATTTCTGCTTCCCCAGACGACACCACACACTCAGTACGGCATACTTTACCCACACACCAACGTCCAGCACTGTCACAAGGCGTGCTAATCCAACCAATACGCACCTGTAAACCCTCCTCGATACAAGAGCCTTATAAGACCCGCCGTTATGGCCTCTCTCAAGGGCCCTGGCGCTGCACAGAAGCACGATGGCTCCGGTCTTCGCATCGCTATTGTCCACGCTCGTTGGAACACCACTTTGATCGATGCCTTGGTCAGCGGTGCGAAGAAAAGTCTACTTGCCTCAGGAGTGAAAGAGGAGAACATCGTCCTCGAGTCGGTTCCCGGGTCCTACGAACTCCCTTTGGCAGTGCAAAGAGTCTATGCCGCCTCTCAAATACAAAGCGCTACGAGCACCGTTGCTGGCGGAGTTGGTAGTCTGGCCAGTGGCATTGGAGATCTGCTTGGTGGAAGCAACTCCACGACAGATCTGCAGGGCAGCCTACAACCAGCAGCTCCAACAGAGGAGCCTAAAGGTTCAAGACACGCATTCGATGCAATTATCGCAGTCGGGGTCCTGATCAAAGGGGAGAGCATGCATTTTGAATATATTGCTGATGCGGTTAGCCACGGTCTGATGAAGGTACAATTGGACACTGGTGTACCAGTCATATTCGGCCTTTTGACTATTTTGAACGAGGGCCAGGGTCTGGCAAGAGCCGGTCTCGAAGGGGGTACAGGGAAGGAAGCCAAAGGTCACAACCATGGTGAAGACTGGGGCTATGCTGCCGTTGAGCTTGGTGTGAAGCGGAAAGCTTGGTCAGAAGGCAAGGTGGCAGGGTCTTGAAGGGACAATGATTTCACAATCCTATCGGCCGAACAATTAAAAGCCCCGGAAGCAAGACTGAAAAGGTACTATTCTCTGGAGTACAAGTTCGTCAAGAGAACGCCATAGAGAGCCTGGGTTGACCATCTGGGGACGCCGAATAATGCTACAATGCTGGTTCAAAAGTGGCAATTACTCCTGCATCGCATCTTCCTCTTCCTCTTCATCTTCATCACCCTCCAGGCTCTTCTTTGCCGCCTTCTCTGCCTCTTCGAGCAGTTCCTGTGGTACGTGTTCATGCCGTCCTTTGGTAGGACCGTCGAGGCCTGAGATCCATGAGATCTCCAGCTCAAACTCCTTGTCTTTCGAGTCTTCATGCGCAACGTAGATAATTCTTGCCGCCTCGACCACAGCATCCTTCAGGGTTAGAGAGCAAGTCGGAGAGGCGAGTTCGAGCTTCTCGAGTTCGGCTTTGGCAGCTTGCCTTCCTTTTCCTGTGGCAGCACCGTAGTAGCCCTAATCTCATGTGAGCAAATGTGTAGGCTGGGTTAGGAAGGACATACCCAGTACAGCCCGCTTGGCTCGATCATATACAGACCTGGTCCACCTCTCTTGATGGCCTCATCTTCTGACTTTCCCATGGTGCCAATCTTTGGACCAGTGCCGACTTGTCCATCCACACCGGCTTCAGCTTCCGAATCCCAACCTCCCAGGATCGCGGTCACGCCGAAGGGTCGCACGCTGGAATAGAGTGTGTAAGCCTGTACATAGCCTCCAACTCTCGAAGCGAGAGCAGCTATGGGGATTGGGCCTTTGTACGTTCCCCTCCAACTGCTTGCTTCATCCCGAGCTCTGGTAGTGAGGTGGCGACCGTCTGGAAGGAGGCCGGAGGTAACAATGCCAGCATTTCGATCAACATTAGCTATCCGCTTGTTGGCGCCTGGTTTGAGAAGTTTGGAGGAGATGATCTTTTCACAAGCTAGAACAACTCCGTACTTTGTTCTAATGCCGATGGCGGTGCCGCCATTTTCGACCGCCTTCACCGCATATTCGACTTGGAAGTTGCGACCGTCGGGAGAGAAGACCGAGTTGGAAAGGTCGTAGCCCGTGCCTATGGAAGTCTGGTTGATGGGGGAGGTTAGTGGATTGGACAGATTACAGTCGTCATATGACATACCATAGCAATGGAAAGTCAGAGTAGCTTTAGCAGCACTGAAATACGAGAAAGGCTGGTTGGTACTGAATAAGCAGTGGCCTCTGGAGGATGCAGAAATCAATTGGCAAAGAGCAAGGAAGAACAGGGGCAGAAGGGTTCTTCAGTTCGTTAACTTCATGTCAAGTCTGTTTGTCGCTGGTAGGCACCATGGCCGCGTCGATTCAACTTTCCACCGCAGCGCAGCCTCGCGTCTCAATTGGGACTAGTTATAAATCGGGCTTGGCGGCGCCCTGGCCGTCAACTCACGTGCCCGCGGGAGATTAAGAGCTAAGGTTGGCTACGTGGTCACACCCCCATTCTTGACTTCCGACTTCTTCTCGACCTCGTCACCGCTTCACCTTGGAAGATCTTTGTTCTTTTCCTGCTACTTTCTCCTCACTGAGCCTCTCTCCCGCACCTTGATCTCGCAAGTCACTGCTTCTGCTTTCATGTTGAGCTGAGTGCACTGTTCTGCGGCATCATCAATCTAATTTCAAATCCTTCTTACCCCGCCCCCCTTCCCTATCTCTTCCTGACTCATTCCTCCTCACAAACCAGCAGCTGCTTGATTTTCACTGGAACCTCCTGGTCTCCAGTGAGTTCCCCAGGACTGGATCTCTGGACTAGGCCACTCCTCTTTATCCTGGGTCTTGGAGCCTTTGGACCACCTGGACCTTTCCGGATCCGGACTTCTGGAGCTTTGATAGCACTTTTTGATCGTTTAGTTAATACAATACGATTTTGAAGCCTAAATCTCGAATTTTTGCTTCCTAGCCCTCTTCCTACTGGTTCTTTACTGCACATAAGGATCTCTAACATCGGGTGTTGTTCCATCTCAAGTCTCTTGATCATGGCGTCGGCTTTTCACCGATGTCAGCATTGTGGCTACGAGACGGATCTTTCCAACAACATGGCAGCGTTTGAAGACAATCCACACTGCAGACAGGTTTGTTCCGTTCCAATCCCAGTTCATGACCTTCTGATTCTCGAATCTAGTGCGGGTTGTCGGCCTCCGAGGGCGACTCCAAGATGCAAGACGATTTGATCAACATGATGACTCGAAACCTCCAGCTGAGTCCGATTCGTCACCAACAGGACATGTCTATGCCATCAACCCCTCAAGTCATTCCACAAGCCGCTCCCATCACCTACATCACCCAACACTACCACCACTCCAACCACCAAGCCCCGCCTCATGATGTCCCAGCGTCGTCAATTCTCGAGCAACTGGGAATCAATGCATCGGCATTACTTCCCTCACAGTTGCAATTATTCAAGAATGCAGATGCAGAGCAAAGGCAAAGATTAATTGAGTTGTGGCAGATCGCACCTCCAACCTATGGGAATCAAATGCCCCCAGACAGTGTGGGCAACTGGCCACAGACAAGCATGGAAAAAGAGGAGGAAGCTGCGCGGTATAGACTGCATTTGTCGGAGCAAGAAAGATTGAAGAATTTGAGCATTTTGCCAGGGCCTGATTTCCGCGGTGCAGAGCCTTACATAGTGAATGGGTACGATCCTTTGCCTAACATCAACGGTGTGACAGCCCCAACGGAGCACGGCTCTGGGGTCCTACAAGAAGAGCAATATCGACAATCAATTGATCCAGCATACAGCAGTCGAGAGTGGTGGCATATGGGGGACGACGAGCCGATGGAGCACCAGTACGGCATGCTTCAAGCATATGCATTTCAGGTGGATTATACAGCTGCGAGGAGGAACGACGGAGATGCAGAAATGTCCTAGCATGGACAAGACTGACGACCAACGACCAGAAACGATGCAGGTGTTTGCTGGAGTTTACACATCTTGAAGGGTTGTTTCCATTTGGGGATATCACTGGTATAGATTGAGTTTGTAGATGAATCACACTCAGAATATTGAATAAGGACGAGGCGTACGAGTATCAATGCTGCTTGTGAAATGAGACCGTTAACAGTAGTTTACTGTTCTAATTTGGGGCGAGACAGGAATCGTTTCTCCTTCTGGGATTAAACAAATTGACAATTCCAGGACGACTGGGGGTCCACCACACTATTTCTACACGGGCGATTTAACCGAAACCAAAATAGGATTGGCCCTTCTCCGTATCGTGGTGCTCCAACTTCCAAGAACCTTGAAATGAGTGCAGAACAAACGTCCTAATTGTAACGCTTATCCTGGGTGCTCGGTATATTGTACTGTATAACCCTCTATCTATCATCCACGCTGGTCCTGTACACGGGAACCGATTGCAACACTCAGAATGACATAGAAGCTCGTCCTTTCCATCGACTGCCTCTGCGTCTTGTTGCGACCGCAACTGTGACCGCGATTGCGACTGCCCAGTGGCACCGCCCTTGACCGGCTCTACAAGCGTGCCTCGATCATTACCAACACCGCCACCAGCCCTTTCAACTTTCAGAACTCGCATTCGCAGCTCATCATGTCCTCCATGAGCAAGAGGCAGCAGGCGCGCAATGAGCGGGAGCTCCATGACCTGCTCAGCGCTCCAGGAAATTCCCAATGCGCCGACTGCAGTGCAAAGAATCCTTCGTGGGCCAGTTGGAATTTGGGAATCTTCCTCTGCATGCGCTGTGCTTCAATCCACCGCAAACTGGGCACTCATATATCCAAAGTCAAGTCACTGAGTATGGACACATGGACAGCGGACCAGGTTGAGGTGCGTAGTGAAACCCCCAACTCATTTCATATTCACCCTCTAACATTTACAAGAATATGAAACAGATTGGGAATACCTCGTCGAACCAGATTTACAATCCCAAGAACAAAAAAGCCGACATGCCTCTTGATGCTGATGAGGTGGATTCGGCCATGGAGAGATTCATCCGCAAGAAATATCAGGAAAAGAGTCTGCTGGATGGCCGACCGGCAGTTCCCAGTCGAGACAGTGCACCACAGTCAACTTATTCAAGACCGCAGGCAGAATCTCCTCCTCCGCCTTTACCACCTAAGAAGGGTAAATTCTTCGGCTTTGGCCTCCGAGCATCATCGTCTTCTCTGCCGCTCACCAAACATGATAAGAAGAAGTTACCAAAGGAGCCGCGCGTGGATAGTACATTTCATATCCCCAATGACGATTATACCTCAATGTCAAGAATGGCAGACGCACGCTTCGATATGAACGAGGCCGAGTTACAGCAGAAATTGGCCACCCTGCGAGACATGGGCTTTACAGAGACTGAGCGAAACGCTGACCTATTGAGAAGACTGAATGGTAATGTTGAGCGAACCATTGAACGACTTGTTCAACTCGGCCCAAGCAAGGATGCTAGATCTGCACCAAGAAAAGATCAGTCCTCTTCTGCTGTTCTGGGTCAAAAGCCATCAACTACTTTTCCTGACGCTCCTGTCCAACAGCCCTCGGAGCCGCCATATAACCCATTCACGCAGATGACCAATCAACCACCTATTGGCCTGTCCATGGCCAAGCCGCAAGAAGCCTCGTCACCAAGCATCCAACCCTATGCTAGTAACAATCCTTTTGGACATGCGGTTCAGCCTCAAGTTCAAACCCAATTGCAGCCACAGCCTCAAACTGGGTTGGAGCAATCTCTCCAGTCAATGCAACTTGCCCAGCCTTTGTTTCCTCACAGTACCGGCGGCTATCCAACTCAGCCTCCTGTCCTGCAGGATCCACGTTTCCAGTACTCGATGACCCCTCCGGCTCTACCTACACAGCACCAGCAAAATTATGTGGCCTCTCCCTCCGCGTTGACAGCAAACAATCCTTTCTTTCAGCCATCACCAGCTTCTGCGCATTCCACTGGGAGTAATCCATTTCATAATCAACCGACTCAAAACCCAGCCGCTGCAGGCCCTTCATCACCGTCATTGAACCCATTCCTCGGCCTCCAGACAGCCCCGTCCAATTTCAACCAGCAACAGAATTCCGGCACCGCCGGCTTCAATCCATTCGGAATTCCACCCCAGCGGTCCCCCCTACAGACTTCACAACAGCCTCAGACTCAAATTCAGTCCCACGATATTTTTGGAGCAATTCCGTCGCCGCAAATCATGCAACCATCTCAACCCCTTAACCCTTTCCAGACACAGCCAGCTCAACAACCTACCCTGGCTCAGCAGCAATATGCCAACGCTCAAAATGCTCAAAGCTATCCCAATCTCCAATATGGACAGACCCAATCTCAGCTACAGCCCGAGCTTCAAAATCAATCGTCCTTCCAACAACAGGCATCGCCCTTCCAACAGCAGCTTAATCAGCATCCGCAGCTTCAGTCACAGCAAATGTCTTTCCAACAATCTTTTGGTCAAAAGCCACAGTCTCTTGCTTCTCAACAAACCGGACGATATGACAAAACTTCAATCATGGCTCTATTTAACCAGCCACTTGCTTCAATCCCCGAACCTGCTCCTGAAAATGCACCCTCTCAACAATTTTATTCTCCTCGGCAGCAACAAATATCCCCAGCACCTATGGGTGACATTTTTGGGACGTCAAATAACATGGATACAGCTAAACGGAGCGCTACAATGCCCATATCACTTCAAAGTATGCATTCAGCAGGAGGTGGTGGGAATCGTAATCCCTTCTTGATGAACAATACGAGTCCCACTGCCAGTGCGGGTAATACACCAGCATTTTACGCGGGTAATTTCGCTCCTGCGCCTCAAGGACAAACTATTGCAGCTCGACATACTAGCGCGGAGAGCATGAGCATCAGCAATCTCGAAAGTGGCCGCTATAGTCCTGATGCTTTTGCTAATTTAAGTGCAAGGCAGATGAGATGAGAGTTTTTTTCTGCAACTAGACACGGGTCGATGAATGGCTTTTATCGAATATCTACACCACAAATCTATGGGGTTTGAGGCTGTAGCACTCTGACTGGAACCTTGAATGATGGAATTCTATCATGGCCTAATATCCGCCCATCCATACTGATGAGTTCACGAAAAGGAGAAGGACATTCATGGCTCGAATAAAATACTTGAAACACCATAATACCACTTCGACGGTGAAAAGGACAGAATTTTTGCATGCTCTATCGACCGGCAATTGCATAAGGTGAGAATTCAATGCCGTTAGCGAACCCGGACAGCTCTCAACCGTAGAGAATAGACCAAGTCACGACAGAGTGGAATGACTTGGAAGTTTTCGACAGGGATGACGGTCCTATTCGAAGTTGGACAGAATAAACGTCATGACGCTCAGGAGTCTCGACTTGGACACTGACTTTTTGGGCATTTTCGCGTCGAGAAGCTATAGTGCATTTCCTATGAAGCCCCATACGCAGCTGGGTGGGAACTGTTAGAGGAGAGGAAAAAGGAAAGCCCATATGCATCTTTTGGGAGATACCGAGCCATAGCCTACATAGGAGAGGGGATAATGAACCTAGTGAAACAAGACGATGCTACATCAACGACGATCACCATGAGGAGGACGACTGTGATCAGTAGTTTTCTCCTAAATTTCCTGTTTCTTTCCGTGCATGTTATATTCTATCTCTACCAACCACTCTAATGCTTAGAATCATTCACAAATACCTCAGGGAGCAGGATCTCTGACCTTCCAAAACGGCTTCTCTACGACCCTCTCTAGGCGTGGCTGCGCGATGGCCTGGAAATCTTGTTCTGGCACCGCCACTGGCTCTGGCCCTGTCTCGACCGCCCCTGCGGGTGACTTTTCACCTCCAGAAGCAGAAGCAGAAGCAGAAGCAGAAGCAGAACCCGGCGCAACTCCAACTCTCCTCTCGTCGAGACACCATACAACAACATCCCCAGTGCGCCGCCGGTCGTCGTGCCAGTGGCTGTTGAAGAGGCGGCGGCATTCCATGTAACCGCTACCGCGCAGCGCGGACTGCAGCGTCGGCTCCAGCTGCGCGAAGAAGGCCAGATAGTCCGGCCACGGGCGGCGGCCGTGGCGGGTCGTCCACCATGGATGCTGTTGGGCGTCGTCTCCGCCTCTGCCTCGGCGGTGGTTGTTGCTGTTCGAGGGGATGTGGACCATGCGGTCTGAACGGCTGTCCTCGGCGAAGAAGCCGGGTGCAAACGAGGTGGCCGTGCCTCTCGAGCCGTCGCGCCGAGTCACGAGCGGTGTGTCGCGCGACATGTGCCGCTTCAGCCAGGCGGAGGGGTCCGCGTAGAAGACGTCTGCTTCGTCGAGGTAGACTGCTTTCTCACTGGCGTTGAGGCGCAGTGGTGGCTCGCAGGTAAGTGCCCAGGCGAGGATCCCCGGTGTGGACTGCATGGCAGGATGCTGCATGTGCGAGCGCCATGGCGTCGAGTGGCATGGCATGAGCATGCCGACGGTCATGTTTCGCAGTGGTGGTGGTCGGGATGACGCGGAAATGGAAGAACCGGAGGTCGTGGAAGACGGTGAGGAGGAGAATTCCGAGCGTAGGTAGGAGGTTAGGCTGATAAGGCCGGAGTTGTGGATTTGAGTCGTGTAGTATGCTATGCCCATGTTGATGGTTAGGAGGACGAAGAAGAGGAGTCGTGTGGGAAGAGTGGAGGATGGTGCTCGCTTTTTCTGTACCGAGGACGATGGTTGTAGGCCGTGGCCCAGAAGAAGTGGCTCGAAGAACGAAGCCATCGGTTCGGCCGAGATGACGTGAAGAGCAGGGAGAAGTGGATAGATGAAACGAACTTCCTTGTGAGCGATGTTGGAGAAGGCTGCCGGCACTAGCAAGCAGACGACAGAGAGTAGGCGAAGGGTGATTTGCTGGAGAGAGTTCGCCGATCTAATCGCGAATGACCGATAGAAGCCGATGAAGGTGAAGGGCAAAGCTGTGGTGAGAAGCAACGGATACCCCTGGGAGAGATAGTAATGCCAATCGTTGTTCCCATAAAAGCTCGCTAGTGACTGGACGACGTTGACGAGCAAGAAATGATATGGAGGAAAGACCCACGCCCCATAGAAGATCCGGTCGACAATTGTAGATAGCAGAAGCACGATACCTCCACACAGGGCTGTTTCCCTCACGAAAGTAGCAAGCTCAAGCCAGGTCAGCGATACCGTTACAAGACGCCGGATGAATGCGAAATAAGTCAGGCTGGCCCAGATGAGAATGTTGGTTGGTCTGAGAACTGTGGCTAAGGCGGCGCAGAGCAGGGCTCTTCGGAGCCGTGTGACTTCGTCCACTGGTTCTTGTGGTGAAAACTCATCGCCGCGGACTCGAAGGCCACCAGTCCGACTTCCTGCGTTTGAAATCTGAGGGACAACTTCAGAAGACCAATGCCACGGCCAGTTGTACAATGCAGTGGCAGTCAAGGTGGTCTCGAGCGAGTTTGCAAATGTTCGTGTAGAAGTGAACCACTGCCAGGGACTGATGACGGTCAACGCCAGTGCCGTCAAGGCACAAGTCGACTTCCGCCCGTAGATATACCCAGCCAGCTTCCATGTGTAGAAATCACCAACAGCGGCGAAGCACGCTTGCAAGATCTTAGGAGCGGCGAGCAGGACCTCCCCCTTTCGGGCCCCGTCCACACTGAGTAACGCAGCGAGGGCATCCGCAGCTTTATAGGCCAGGGAGAAGATTGCTGGGTGTATAGCAGAGCGCAGGTGTTCTCTCCATTCCTATATCTCACTATGAGTCTTTCGAAAGGGAATTTCATAAGAGAGTGATAAACATGGCTCGAAACGCACCCAAGTTATCCATGCCCCAGTGTCTTCTCCAAAGGCCAGCTTCCACGCTGGTTCCAATGCTTGGAAATATTCGTCGGGTTGGAAGAACGTATGGAGAGTCAATGCATTGAGGAGCCGAATCGCCAGGAGGAAAAGCAATACATTTTGAGGCTCGAAAAAGGGGTTGGTCGAGCCTTTGGCTTGAGGTTCTCGAGATGGTGCTTCGGTCGCTAGAGTTTTGGGTTTCGAATTTCGCGGCTCAACTGATGACATCTTGATCCATTTTATTGGCCTTCAGGCGCGAGTCTTTGCTTCACGAAGGCGCAGCACTAATAAGTTGGTCGTAGATCATCAATTACTGTGCACTTTTGCATGCGCGATGCCAGTGGCCACATGTTGAATGTCCTCTCCGTCTCCAACTTGTATTTCTCCAATTTTCATGGCCGATGTTTCAGCCTTGCCTACAGAGCCTCGCGCCCAGCCTCGTCCCAGCAGTATTTGAGTACTTATTTACGTAGGTAGGTGGAGGGTAACGACTCGTAGATACTTTATCTATGACATCTCTTATTCTGAGTCAGCAAGTAGCATGTTATATATAGATTCATAATCAGTCATGTCAATTGGTATTGTCACTAAACTAAAACGCCTCTATCCTGCTCCGATGTTGACTCATCCATCCATTGAGAAAGCTTCGACCGTCTACTTGCCGCTTTGTGGCATGTACTACTTATCCTTTTGCATCCCATACATATCATATGATACACGCCTCTAGTTCGGCGGCGTACTAGCTCGGAAGCCATCATCCAAGGCCGTCTATTCAACAGTGACAGACTTGGCCAAGTTACGAGGGAAGTCGACGTTCAAACCTTCAGCAACGGCGAGCCAATACGCAATCAACTGCAAAGGAATCACATTCAACAGACCTTGCAGAGCATCTACGGTTTGAGGGACTTCAATACGCTCTGTCTTGGAAGGTGGAAATTCTGGGTCGTCCTTGTTGCAAATGACAATGGGTCGCCCACTGCGAGCAATCACTAAAGCAGAATTAGTACATGTTCGATTTAGAATGTTTGAGCAATCGGCTTACCTTGTTGATATGCGTTCAAAGACTTGGCGAAGATATCGTCCCGCGTCAAGATCATAATGATAGGGAGATTTTCATCCACAAGAGCCAACACACCGTGCTTGAGCTCTCCGGACATGACAGCCTCACAGTGAAGATAGGAAATTTCCTTGATCTTCAGTGCACCTTCTAGAGCAGTAGAGTACTGGCTTCCACGTCCAAGCAGCAATAACGACTTCTGATTTTGCAAGAACTTGGCGCACATCTCCTTGATGGAGTCGTTGAGTTTGAGGATCTCTCTAAACTGTTCGCTGACCTTTCCAAGGCCTTCGATGATCTGATGACGGCGTTGAGCTTTTGATGCTCGGTCCTCACTAAGTGACAAAGCGAACATAACCATGGCAACAAACTGAGACGTATACGCTTTGGTGGAGGCGACACCGATCTCAGGGCCAGCGTTGATGTGGACACCGCAGTGTGTAAGCATGGAGATGGAGGAGCCAACCACATTGACAACACCAACTGTAAGGGCGCCACGCTCCAAGCAGTAGCGGAGAGCCATGAGGGAATCAGCAGTCTCACCAGACTGGGACACAAAGACGCAGGTGTCGTCTCGGAACACAGGTGCCTGCCGATCCAGGAAATCGGACGCCAGTTCAACAGCGATTGGAATTTCCGTCAATTCTTCAAAAACACCGCGAACCGCCATGCAAGAATGGAAGCTGGTGCCGCAAGCAATGAAGATGAGCCTTCTGCATCTTCGGATGGTGCTGATGTACTGCTTCAGGCCACCTAGAGTGACAGTCTTGTTTGCAACGTCCAAGCGACCACGCATGGTGTTGACAACGGACTCGGGTTGCTCAAAGATCTCCTTTTGCATAAAGTGGTCAAACTTGCCCTTCATGATTTCCTGAAGTTCGAGCTCGATGGTCTGGATTGCACGGACATTGCTAGTGCCGTCGTCTTTGGAAAGACGGTGGATATTGAGCTGTCCTTCGTGGATGTGTGCAATGTCATCATCTTCGAGGTAAAGAACCTTCTTGGTATGCTCGACGAGAGCGGAGGCATCGGAGGACAGGAAGAACTCAGCTGGCTGGGGCATGCCATCGTCAGACAGGAAAGCTCGGGATTGCGATCTGTGGAGCAGAGATTTGTCTGGAGGAGCGAGGAGGCCTGCGCCTGGGGACAAAAGACCCGCTGAAGACTTCTTGACAGCAACATTGTGGTTCGCCTGCTCGGCAGAAAGAGCGCCACCGCCCTCGGAGTACTCAACGTCGACGAAATCAACCTTCATCTTCTTGGCAGTCTTGACACCCACAACCAATGGAGAACCCTTTCGGGCTGCGATGACTTCATGGGGGTAGTGGACAGACTTGAGGAGCAGACCGAAAGCACCCTGGAGCTCTTTGATGACAGCCTTTGCAAGGGTAGTGAAGTCAATGTCGGGGTGGGAGTCGTAGAGAAATTTGGCAAGTTTTGCAATGCATTCAGTATCGGTGTCGGTTTCGAATTTGAAGCCCTTGCCCTCGAGAAGGGCCTTGAGCTCTTTGTAGTTTGTGATGATACCATTGTGCACGACGGCAAACTCCCACTTGGGGTCGGATCTAAAGTATGTCAACTACCAACTCGATGAGTGCTGGACCTCTTCAACGTACCTGTGTGGATGGCAGTTCAACCTGGAGGGCTGGCCGTGGGTAGCCCAACGAGTGTGTGCAATACCAGCATGAGAATCAAAGATCTTTGTCATGTCGACGCCGGAGGCAGCGACTAGTTCTCGGAGCTTAACCACTTTACCCACCTCTTTAAACGCAAAGACCTCATTCTTCTTGTCGCCGTCGACGGCGAAACCGGCGGAGTCATAGCCTCTGTACTCAAGGCGAGAGAGGCCTGCAAGAATGTTGAGTTAGTCGGCCAGTCAATGGAGTCCAAGGCGATGTAACATACCATTCATAAGTGTATCAATGATATACTGTCGGTCCTTCTCGACGAGGTAGTTTATGTAACCGAAAATTCCACTGCTCGAGGTCAGCCGGAGCCCTTTCAAGAGGGATTTGGAAGAATACACACCACATCCTGACGTGTATTGTAGATCTTTCTCTTCGCAACGGGGAGAGGGGGTATAGAGGACAGCCCGCCTTAAAAGTGGGAGGAAGAGCGGTGGTTCAGTGGGCTGACGGTGAACAAAGGAAGGTAGCGTGGCTGTTCGGGGAACGAACAAGGGATGTCAGCGAGGAGAGGGAGAGGAGGAACGAGACAAGAGTTTTGTAGTACTGGTAGGGGTGGCAGCAGTGAGCAGCAGAGAAGAGGAATGGTAAGAAAGTTATTTGTATTGTTGCTGCTGACAAGTCACAAGAGGAATTTCAATGAGAACGGTCAAAGGTAAGTACTTTAGTATTTAGTTTTACGGGGATGGAGATTAGTGTCGTTCAGGTCTCAGCGGCGGCTGAATGAAGGAAATCCCAGAAAAGTTGATGCTTACCTTTTCCGTTACGAATCGCCCGTCGCTCTGCTGCCACGGTGGTGCGTGTTGCCTTGTACAGAGTAACTCGCTATGGCCACCAGACAAGCTGGTGCAGGGGCGAGCTGGTGCAGCTGGAAAGCAGCGGGCAGCCCACTACGAGTGCCGACTACGACTACTGTTAGTTAGAGCCAAGGGCAGGGGTTCGTGCCTTGGGTCTTGTTAGACTTTACGCCCCCAGCAGTCAACAGAGGAGGCCCCCACCATCCACCATCCACTGTCCACCGTCCACCGTCAGTCGTGTTATGCCCTGGACTCCTGCTGTCTCTCAGCAACCGGCAGACTCCCACTCGCACAGTTTGAAACAGAACTCTTCTTGGCAGGCACAGGCCCACGTTCTAACCTATTTGTCCTTGTCACTTGCTTCGGTGGTCACAGCTCCTCCAGCTGCTGGTCCCAGCTACAAGAACGCGGACACACTAACCTCGTACACCCTCAAATGGCCTTCCAGCTATGCTCTACTTCGGACCTTGGCTCGCTTTGCCTCAACTCGTGATCGACTCCAATACGTATAAGCGGCCTTGCTACGGTGTCCGTGCCTGCCCTTTCTCTTCTGAATGGGGCTCCTACCGATCCAACCCATGCCGCTCGCTTGTGAAACACACCCTGACGCTTGTGCCACATTGCGTGGCTCAACTGTACAAATATAGATAATCATAAAAGGTGCTCCCCTCGCGGACGCCCCCCAACCCAGTTTCTCGTCGGCTCATGTCTCTGTCTCGGATGATTGATAATAGGAGATGGTCCGGAGTACATAAACTCTGTTTAAATCAGTAGCACTACCTGCCTCGTTTATTGTCAGTGTGCTGGGTTCTGGCTGCTCCGACCTCTCGCAATGAGACCTAAAAATCAGGTTGAGCAGTGGCTGAGTCGATTCAAACTAGTATTTTTGCCTGCCCCTGTCAGGGTCCTGAGATCAGTCAGACGTCACTGGCCTTCAGCTCCTCCCGTCGTGAGACAGATGGGCTCCGTACTCCGTATACAACTTCGCTATCCACCACTGGCGGTTCCAACGATCGGCCCACCTTCCGAGAGGGGTCAATCACTGATTGCCTACTACTCGTATGTACTGTACTCCGTACTGTAGCAGGGAACCAGACATTTAATATTACAGGGGTGCAACGAATGTCTTTGTTCTGCCAATAGAAGGTGGGCTTCTGTACTTGTGGAAAGATGGCGTCGCAAGTCCTGAATTAGGACCGCGATGCCATGTCCACGAGTATGCACGAGTCATTTCTTCTGTGCTTCAAGCTCTTTAGCGAGCCAACTCTGTCAACGCCAACAGCCGCTTAAAAATATCCTGTCGCTTGAGCTCAAAGGCTTCCCACGCCATTTGGGACATCCCAATTACGACATTTTCATCCCCGTTTGCTAATCCAGTGAATGCCTACACAACGCATGAGACTCGTTGAATGCTTTTCTCTCAAACTCTGGTTGCAGTGCACTTACCTCATCCGTGAACTCGTCCAAAGGCATTCCCATTGAACGCCCATTCTTGAGATCCGGCTGATGCCTCTCATCGTGGAGCTCAGTCTGCACAGCTGGAGGAAAGACCTCGACAACCTCGATCCTAGAATCCTTTAACTGGCCACGCAGGCACATAACGAAGTGGTGCAGAGCTGCTTTGGAAGCACAATAATTGCTGCATCGTATCATAGGCACCAAGGCCAGCGCAGATGACATATATACCAATGCTGACTCGGCGGTCTTCTTCTGCAGAAATGGTAAGAAAGCCTTGGTCAGAGCTAGTTGAGAAAGGTAATTAGTCGTGAACTCGAGGTTCAGCACATCGACGTCAATCGAGTCAGGATTACTGAAGTCGGCTTTCCTCTGAATTCCGGCATTAAGAACAAGGCAATCCAAGTCCGGATGCGTGTTGATGATGTTGGTGGCAAAGTCGGGGATCGAACTCAGCTGAGTGATATCAAACGGAATGGCTTGTATCTTCTCAGGCCCATGCTTCTTTACAAGAGCATCGAGATTCTCTTTGCGTCGACCAACTGCTATGACAAAGGAGCCTTCTTCAACAAGACGATTGGCGAGTGCTTCTCCAATGCCTATATCGTGTAGCCCGCTTGAGCACATTGACCAGCGCCCGAGGCAGATTTGCTTACCGCTCGTTGCTCCGAAAACCACCACTTTCCTGTATAAGAGTGGCATGGTGATTGATTGTAGGCAATATCGACGTCGGTTTGCCTCGTAGTTGTTCTTGCAGAATGTATGCTTTTACCAACCTAGGTGCAGAGGTTCTCACTCCAAAGGGCTGAAAGGAGGGGTTATGAGCAGCGATATGTGCTCGGCACTTGTGACTCTTATATAGATTTTTGGTGCATCCCATGCTAGTCACATATCTGAACTACGTATTCGCTAAGTGGATACGGCATGGCCTGCATCATGAAAAATTAGGCAATGATGAGGCGAGACAGAGTGTGATGCCACATTGCTCCTACTCCAGAGGCATTATATGTTCAGAATAAAGTGTAAATTAATTACTTCCAGGTCCAATCCATGTCGTTGGTGCCTGTGTCCTCGATCTACGTCCATAAGAACGATCGAGGGATGTGTGGCCCATGGGGTATCAAACTCGGGGTGGGTCTTTCTATAACGTCCGGGACATAGAACACGATATCAGTGTACTGTAGACTTTGCTTCGCGTTGGGCTCATACTAAAGGAATGCAAGGAGTGGAGTTTGCAGAGTGAGAGGCTGCAGAGGAGAGCGATGGATCGACTTGATGGCAGGAACTAACTATCAGTCGATCTAGTTAAATCAATTGGTTTGACCTGGACACAGCTAAGGTAAGAGAGGCGACATTCGCTGTGATCGACGCTGGAACGGCGTTGTTGAACATACCTTGTTTCTCGTGCATGTAAGGTGTTGGGTGGGTGCTGCAGCCTGCGCCTTCGATTGATGGAGTTGAGGCGCGTGTCCGACTGCCAAGACTCTGAGGGGGGAAAGGCAATTGGCACGCGCAGCACGTAGGCGTCCTCCTAAGCGACAGACGCCGCAGCGGCAGCGGCAGCCAACACCGCCAATTGCATCCACAACCCGACTCAACTCACTGGCAGGTTCAGCAACTCGCAGGCCAGGGCAGGACCGTCAGGACTCAGGACTCTCGACAGGACAACTTTCAATCCCTATCTCCAACTTGTCCCTCCTTTCTTAATATCCTCTGACTTCCTACTACGCATTTGTCTTCGCCTTACCCCCTTCTCTACGAATAACCTCTCATTTGAGCCTGCCTACGCCTTTTTTGCAGGCGCCCCTTCCCACCTGCTGCACCATCACCGTTTTCGTCACCGACGCGTGAAATCCTGCCCAGCCGCAGGCCAGCGTCGGTCACCACATTCTTGCGCTTCATGCTTGACCCTTTTCTCACTCTCTTACACATTTAATTCGAATCTCTCGCTCGTTGCGAAAATGATCGCCGCCTTGGATTGGTGATCAAGAGGGATATGTCGCATCCGCTGGGCAGTAACTTTGCTGATTTCTTCCCGAGCGCTCCAAGCGTCATCCAACAACGAAAATCTTCCAAGCTTCTTGACAACGACAAGTTGAGATTCAACCACTCTAGTGACCGCGTCGAAGATGCGCATAACAAAGAAGGCCTTGTTCGCGTCTCACTGACCTCGCCTGCCGCCACCGCCACCGCTATAGCTACCCACTCCTCGACAAAGGTCGATACTTTACCCAAGCTCAACAACTCTTTACGCAACTCGGAAGAATCCGAATCTTTTGCAGGCGATCTTCTCAATGGTGTCGGTTCTGCTAGCTCGTCCAGCACCGCTTCTTCGGTCTTCAGTGCAAGTCTCGCAAACGGCACCATGCCTGCCTCAAATCACCTGGCATTCACGACTCTTACCCCTCTTACAACCTCTGACTCCCCTCCAAACATGAAGCTGTTGAGTCCTACCGCCGATTCAATTTCCCAACTTGTCACGAATGGCAATCACACGAATTCTAATTCTCAACATGGTTCCATGACACCGTTATATACCCCCCCAACGCATCGACGGACCGCACGCGACCTTGGTCTTCATGTCAAGGGCTCTAAATGTACCTACGATCCCGATCTCGACAAGAACTTGAATACCAAGGACAAGAGGAAAGCCAAGGCGCAGTATGAAGATTTCGGATTGCGAACAGAGGATAATTTTCAGGCGCCCGACCCACGATTAGCCATCCTCAATTACACAAAAGGCGGGATAGGGAAGGGAAAGGCCAAATTTCGGCCGGCGCCATACAACCTAAGGCCGTGGGTGCCAGACACCACAGTCACCGTCGCCTCCACTCCCGCAACCACCGTGGTCGTCACTGGCTTCGATCCCATGGCGCCTCTGTCCCAAATCAGTGCTCTATTCTCTAGTTTCGGTGAGATCGAGGATATAGATAACAAAACCGACCCGGTCACTGGTCGATTCTTGGGGATATGCAGCATAAAGTATCAAGACTGCGCCTCTTTTCAGGGCGGAGGACCTATATCCGCCGTGTTGGCCGCAAAGACTGCTTACCTAGAAGGTAAAAGAGGCCAAAGGATTGGCCTCAAGACCGTGCAGGTTGCCATAGATAAAGATGGCTCCATCACGCGAAAGTTGGAGGAAAAGGCCATCGCTATTCACCGTAAAGAAAGCGGTTTCACGAATCAGTCCCGAGCACCACCTACTCCGTCGCCATCCACACCTCTAGCTACCCAGCCGCCGGGCTTCGCTAAGAGTACAGGCCCTCCGCCCACCGCTCCGAAAGGCCCAGCAGGCAAGCCCTCTGTTAGAGCGCAGCCCATGTTCCACCCTCCTTATGTGCCTGCTGTAACAACTCCAACGATCGCAGTATCCAAAGAGAAGCCAGTGGCGCCCCCAAAATCTACAGGCCCTTCGATAGTTGAGAGTGAGCCAATTGCTGAGACTTTGAAAGTCCCGTACATCTTTGTGGCGCACTGTTACGTTCCTGTTATGCCAACCACCATACCGCACCTTAAGAAGCGAATGCGCATGTATGATTGGCGCGAAGTTCGCTGCGATGAAACGGGCTACTTCGTCACCTTTGAGCAATCACGGACTGGGCAGATGGAAGCCAAGAAGGTGTTTCACGGATGCCATATGCAGCCATTGTTCACTTACGTGATGAATCTGGAGCTGCATTTGAATGGCCACCCAAAAGCCGTCGCATCAAACCCTACGCCTCTGATAGAAACTCAACCTACTGGTCCGGTGGATTTTGTCTACTCAAAGCAGGCCTATCGATTGCGGAAAGAACATGATCTTGATCTTGAGGAGGAAAAGAGACAGCGTGCTCGCGACCTAGATCCTTCTCGTGCAGTGGTACAGCTGGTCATACAAGAGCTGAGGGACAAATTACTCGAGGACGTCAAGTCTCGAATTGCTGCCCCGGTTCTCTACAATTACCTGGATCCCAGTAACCACGCAGAGAGGCGCAGAGCACTTGGTATCGATGATCCTGAGGGCTCGCGAAAGCTTGGTCGATATCAAAACGATGATGGATCTCAAACTCCTGATTCCAGGTTGGGCCTCGCCTCGAACAAGCGGACTGCCAAAAGTCTCAACATTCTCTCCTTACCAAAAATCAATAAGCGTGCAGGAACAGATCGGGGTATGGTTGGCTTTCGTGATGAAAGGAGAAAACCACCTCCTACTCGACACTTTGTTCGTCCACTATTTCATCAACTATCACAGTTTCAGGATGAGGATGATTCGGATGATGAGCAACGTACTACACTTACTAGAGACACCGAAGACCTGGAAAGCCGCCCTGCGAGCCGTATGAGCATGACATCGGTCTCTGAGGATGACGATGATCAACCTCTTCTTCGCAAGGCTACAAAGCAGAGATTCCAAGTTCGTGAAGACTCGGAAATGCCGGATACGCCTGTTAAGGATGAGGTGGAGCATGCGAGAACAAGTGCCGAGGATCTAATCATTGCGAAGCTCGAGCGAAACATATATGAGATGTCTCCATCCTCGAGGAAACGCAAGAGATTGGTCAAAGAATTAGAGGCGCGAAAACGTCAAAAAGCTGACGAAGAATTGTTTGGCATTGGTCAACGCGATGATTCGGAGGAGCTCAAGCCACAAGAAGCGGTGACGCCAGTTGAAGCAACTCCTGATGCTGATTCTGATGCACCTAAGGCCCAGGTCAAGAAGCCGAAACCTAAACCGAGAACAAAGAAGCAAAAACTCGAAGAGCAAGAAGCACTTCGACAAGCACGGGCAGAGGCTGAAGCCGCCGAAGTCATCGAGAATGTACTTGAGCTTGCAGAGGAGGAAGAAGCATTAGCAGAGGCGGCAGAATGGCGACCAGAGGTTGAATGGGGCGTATCTGCGGAGAAACCTCAACCAACGGTCGACGACGACGAGGACATCATTCCGGATCTTCGAGGTTGGCAGGCCAGTCTCTTTGACCAGGAAGATCTCGCGTATCTTGCTGTCGCCATGGGTTCAAAGAGCGCGATGAACATTGGCGATCCGATGGCGTGGGCTTGGAAACAAGAGAAGATTCGAAATCTTAGACCAGGTGCTCAGCCTGGAGCCTTACGAACTGAACCTCCTATCTTGGGGTACTACGTGCCCAATGCTTCTGGTTCTGCCAGAACAGAACCTGTCAAGAGAATTCTCGAATCTGAAAAGTCGAAATACTTGCCTCATCGTATCAAAGTACAGAAAGCACGAGAGAGACGAGAAGCTGAGGCCAAGCAGGATCTCTCAGGCAAACCTGTAGTGGCCTTACCCAAAGCTTCCTCTCGTGGAAAACGTGCCGATGATCGTCGAACCGTCAAAGATCTCGACAGGCAACGTGAGATGCTCTCAGCCACAGGTGACGATGCCGATGTTTTGCGCTTTAATCAACTTCAAAAGCGCAAGAAGCCCGTGAAATTTGCCAGATCTGCCATCCACAACTGGGGTTTATACTCTTTGGAGCGAATACAAGCCAGCGAGATGATCATCGAGTACGTGGGTGAAAAGATCCGACAGGAAATTGCGGATCTACGAGAAATTAGATACGAAGAAATGGGCGTCGGCAGCAGTTATCTATTCCGAATCGACGAAGGCACTGTTGTGGACGCTACAAAGAAGGGAGGCATCGCTCGATTCATCAATCACAGCTGTGCCCCGAATTGTACCGCAAAGATTATTCGAGTGGGTGGCACCAAACGCATCGTCATCTATGCTTTGAGAGACATCGAAAAAGGTATGTTTGAACAAGTCTCAATATCAGGACCAACATGAGCTAACTTTTTCCAGACGAGGAGTTGACTTATGACTACAAGTTTGAGCGTGAGATGGATAGCGATGACCGAATTCCATGTCTCTGTGGCACAGCGGTTTGCAAAGGATTTCTCAACTAATTGATCATGCCCTCATCTCAAGCATATATCTCAAGGCTTCGTGGTTACAATTCAGGCGAACGGGTGATGTTGTGTGGTGTGTGGCATTTTCTTTCCTTCTTTTGTAAGTGGTATGTGCATCCAAGAAGAGCATCCGGTCGGCGTTTTTCCTTTTCTTCCATGATCGGATTATGGCATGACACAACTGGGAGGTTTTACCCATGATGAAAAAACCGCATCGGGCATATATGGTCGTTGGAGTGAAATGGTAACATCACTATCATGGGGGATGGTGAGGGTTTTGATCTGGTGTCCAATGGGTGGTACAGAACGCGTTTGACGGGATATCGATCGGGGTTTTTCCAATCTTCAACAACGATATTCCCGAGAAGCTGGGGAGTAGAACACAACACAGTGGAGGGAGAATGGGTCCAAACAACATTGATCGATCCATCTATGGCCGAGTGCTTGCGGAATCGCGGGATTGCTTTCGACACTACTCCTTGTCCCCGTTTTCTAGCCACTGCCCTTCTTGGTTACCCTCCTGTACTTATATAGCGCGCCCTTCTTGAAGTGACGCAGAGTGGGCTACTCCAGACCAGGCCTGGTCTGTGGAGAGAGAAAGCCTCGCCTGCTGGATGAAGGCTTTGAGTACATAGATAGTGCTAATGTCCTGCCTTTTTTCCCACAAAGGGCAGGATTTGAAAACGAGGACTGGAATACGTATGGCCCTCCCGCCGTTGTTTGCTGTGCTGTGCGGGTGCACCAAGTATTTGCAGTCTGTATTGATGTTGGCCGGTGGCTGAGTTTTGATGGAGGGAGGAGGATATCTCTCCGGACGCACGGACATACCTGCACGCCGTGACGGGAAATTGTGCCATCTTGGGTCCAGAGAAAGATATCTAGATCTTGATCCTCATATATCTAGGTAAATCAATGCCATCTGCAGAACCAAAGAAGGATCATACTCGGTTGCGCCCTGTTTCTTTCTCGTACCGAAGGCTGCCTAGCCAGCCATTTCCGCCGGTGTTCCTGCATTCTCCCCGTTTGTGTGTAAGCAGGGAACCCACTGGGCGTGCCAATGTTGCAAGATGATATGTATGTGTTGATATTGCCGTCGCCGTTGCTTTCTGGAGGGCACCCGGCGTTCCTCCACTCCCCGTGCCGTCTGTAGTTTGGTTTTGCGAGTAGGCCTGTGGTGAGTCACTATCCTTTGAATGCCGGCTGGCTCCTGTCGGTGGCTGCTTCGCGCGAACTGTGAATCTGGAGGGCAAAGGCAGTGGGTCCTACGTGGACAGGCAGCAATGCGTGGTTGACTCGCCGGCTCCTCATTGCCTCGCTGCTTATGCACACCTGTTCTCTGTGTGTTTCTCCTTCCCTCCCACACGGTCTCTCAGTCATAGAAAAACTGCCCAGCCAGGTAGGGCTAACAGCGTAGCTGTTTCAAATCATGTCCTACCCGTGAGATCCAAGACCATTTGATGGCACGGCCGAGTCGATTTTTCGCCTTTCGCTTTTTCCCGCATTTTTTTCAAACCAGGTGCGCCGGAAGCAGGAAATTGCCCACGCCTTCTTTGATCGGGTACTCGAACCCACAGTTGCCGCACACCAGCTTGCCCTCCATCACGGCCGTCTCCAACAACAGGCTGTGCAGCTGTCTCAACACTTGGTCGCTTGCGTCGGTCTGTGCGGCACTACTCCCGGTCTTCGCCTCCTGCTCGACATCCATTTCCGCATCTTTGCCGAGTCCTTCTTCTGGGTCGTTATTGTCGTTCTCTCGCGCGTCATCACCATCAACGACGTCGATCGGATTCTGCTCCGGAACCAATGCCTGCAGCCCTAGTTCGGTTGCCGTGGTCGTCAGCGCATCCCAGTTCACGCGCGGGAGCACGTTGCGCAGGAACAGTGGGTTGAATTCGATCTCGGTCCGCTCCAGCGTCGCATCCTTGAAGTGTAATGGGAAGGACAGCGGTGAGGTCTTGCATGTCTTGACCGCGCAGGTCAGGAAGTTGGTCGTGAGGATTTTCATGTTTTTTAGGCAAAGGACCGTTTGGTGCGGGAGGAGGGGGTGTGTCGTGTGGTGTGGTGAGGGTGTGTCTGTCGACCCGAGCGGTTTTATGCTGTGTTTGTAGTTGGTTTGACGAGATAAGCCCCCGGCTAAAGTATAAGACCTTGGTGTGCTCGGTGATATCAAGTGGTAGTGTAGTGGTGCGGGAAAGACTGGCACGGATGCATGTTCTTTGTGCAATGTGCCGGAACCACCAAAAATTGGCAGTGCGGAGAAAATTGGTGTTTTTGGCTGATTTGGAGTTGGAGTCGCCGCTGGTTACTTCCGCCACAGACTACTGGCTACGAATGGACGATATACGAAGAATCGGCAGCTCTATGGGACATAATTTCATGTAATAAATAATACTTGTAACGAGGAGAAGGAGAAGTAGAATAAATGGTTCCAAGGTTATCTGGGATATCTGGCGGTTCGTGCCTTCTGCAACTATCCTCGAACTCCCAATACGTATGTCATGTAAGAAATGCATGTTTGGAACGATCAACCACCGAACGCCGTACATGAACTCGACAAAAACGTCGGGTCTTCCGACGGCCGACTGGTGAGTCTGTCTTGCCGAAGAGACCCAGCTGTTCAGAAAGTGGAAAAGGCGTTCCGTTTAGTAAAGAGGTGTATGTAGCAAACAACGACTTTCCTCAAGGACGGAGGTTTTTGTGCACTGCTCGCGTTCTCACTTTCCGCCTTCTCGCACACACCCGAACGCCTTCAGCGACTGTGCCGCCGGATGAAAGAGCCGCGTCAAGGGTCCTGTTGGCTCTCCGAGCCTTTTCTGCACCAAGACAACGCGCCAGTAGGTCCAACTCCGCATTCGACATCTGCTCAAAGTCCACAATCTGCACCATTGCGTCTTCGTCTTCTGGCGTCCTCAATGTACAACGAGGACAGCCTCGAAAATGCCAGGATGACGGTGAAAATGCCGAAGACGAAAAATGCCAACAGGCAGTACTCCGTGGTTCCACTAAACCCAGGTCGCAGTGGATGGTCGTGGACATGTTGTCGGGTGGCGTCGTCTTTTTGAAGAATAGGGTACCTTGTCAAAAGCTGGGCAAGACTTGTCGTAAGGCAATTTTCTGAGAGTTTGTTAATGCTCGAGAGGCAAAATCGGCGCAAGTTTTTCGATCAATCGTTGAACAGGGTGATGGGCAGGGGTGCGTTAAACTCAAGAGCGAGGGCAAGGACAGCAGTTTTAGAAAAATCGATCGTATATCTCTGTGGCATGATTTTTTCAAAACGAGGGTCTCTATGAGAATTTTGCAGCCCAGCCCATGAAAAACAAACCTTACCACTTCATGTGTGCGAGTCAATTTGAACCAGATTCTACTCGAGATCCTGGTAAGGTGGTTCCTTTCATGGTTGCCTGAGGCCAAAATACAGATGGCCGTCGAGAAGCCAAAACAACTAGAAGGGCGTCGGCAAACCAAGTTTATGAATTAAGTATACAAGTCAATGACCAATACTATCTCTATGTCAGAAGCAAATACAGATCTTCAAACTCACATTGCTGAAGGTCTGTCCTTCATAGTCGTGGGAGAGTATCCGTTCTGGAGCCATGACCAATGAGCGACATAGGACTTTGGGGAGCTGCAGGTCTTCTTCTCAAGCCTGGTATTCATACCGGACAACCTCCCCTGAGCACTTGAGACAAGGGACATCTCCAGAGCAGAAGCAATGGCCGAGGGCAAGAGTGTGATGGCCCGTAACAGTCCATCAGCAAGTCCATAGAGCAATAAAAACAAAAGTAAAAATAATTGTATGGCACGCAGGTGACTTTTCCTCCACGATGAACCTCTCCGGGAAGAGAGGTTAGTTATTGGGAAAGGAAAAGCCTTAGAGTGCCCACTCGTGCGAGCTCGCTCTAGTATCCCAATATGACCTACCAGCCTATTACCAAGGCTTGCACAGAGTGCAGCCCTGGAGGACTTGGCGGTTGATTTATGGGTTCAGAATCTGTTATTGAAAAGTGTGAAGAACGAGAGAACAACGTTTGGCGAAACGGTCGTGGAGTTTTGAAGCTTTGGAGATTATGCGCTAATATGGTTTAGGATTAGAAGGTCTTGGGATCTTGGCGTACTCGTAAGTCGACCTCATTTCTTCCCCAACTAATTTTTATCCATCAAAAGAGCTTTTCATCTCCTTCCCTGATCTATCAATGATCTATCGTGCGTGATCGTCTCCCGCCCCCTTTCCTGCGATGCGGCCGGCTGATCATGAAATACCCGGCATAGGTGAGATCACCCATAGAACGCGCGGCAAGTCGCGGGCGGCACGTTGGATAGCACCGACGGCCTTTTGAAAATTAGGCCCTCTGTTTCCAGACCTTGAAAATTGAAATGATCTGTCCCATGGCTCCATAAGATATATATCGCACAGTAAAACACCACATTCGGAAGCATCTTGACTCATTCTCTCCCATGATCAAGACGTGGATCCAGGGGTCTTCCAACACCTCAAATCGCAAAGTGGCAGAATGAAATTTGGCTTTTAGCAGGGCCTTGTCTACTCCACCCTGCTTCTCCTGATCTTTTCAGTGGAGATGTAGGACTATTTATACGACAGACATTCTGTTTGAGATCTGTAAGATCTATAATGTTCAGATTATGTTATACAACCTTGAGTCATGACTTTCCATGCTGTTTCTTCCTGCTCTCCCTAGGGGAATCTTGTATGTCCTATTTCTTCAGATCACATACCGAACCCGCCTACTCGAGTGGTCTCATCCGACCAACGACTGGAAACTCTTTCTGTTAGGAAACCCCGCTTGTCAAGAGTGAAATCTTTGGCGGGTTTGATACTAGAAAAGTTTGGGAGTAGCAGAATCCCAAGGGCGGTTGTCCGAGGGGCGGACCATGACTCTCGTGGCTGGAGCGGGCTATGATAGACTTGAACCACGGTAGGTCTTTGCTTGGTGTCTGCGGTTGAGCATGCCAGCTTGTTTGCATGAGCAACTCACACAAGAGGATTTTCGTCTCAGACGGCCTGCCACAGAGATGGGAAGCTCTATTGTTTCCATATTATCCTCCCCCATTCACTATCGATCTATTCATATGGCATTCATTCACTTCTTACCTGGGAACTACGGTAATCCACTGCATTCATTTTCCCTGCTTGTGGTCCCGTTGAATTTACCTCACCTCATCTTTCGACACCTACCGCTTGAGAGATCCTCAACTGATTGGGTCCTACGAATACGACCTTGGGTGAGTCGTGAGTCGTGAGGCCTGTGCCGAAAGAACGTCCATAACATTCCGTATCATCATCTTGATGCCCTGAAGCAATTGGCATCTGCAAATATGTTAGTACTGATGGCGAGTTTGGACATGCACTAGATCTTGCCACTAACCATAGCTCAGGTCTTCCATTGGGCATCAGAAGCTGCGCAAGGGACGAGCTTATATCGTTGCACGTGGAAGGGGACGTGACTGCTCTGATTTGCGTCATCGACCTGTGGTCTCGCATGAGAGAGAGTCCACAAACAGCGAAGACATCATTAGCGACAAAGCAGCTGGGAACCCTGGTCAAAATGCTCACCATATGCTTGAAGGCCATCTCAAAGGGGTCACGAATAGCACCAGAAGCACTGTCAACATGGAACGCATCCTGGAAAGAACAAACAGCAAGCCTAGGTATCTTTTCCGGGCATACTCTAGCAAGAGCCGAGGTCTCAATTCTGAGGGACTATTCAAGAGTCAGGCGGCTAAAGAAGGCCGGTATCTGAACGTGGAATCTTTGACCAAGGATGAGATGGCAAAGCATCTTGAGAACCACATCGGCAACAAGAACTACGAAAGCCATTTCATCTCGTTCTCACTGTCATTCTTGTGGGTGCTTCATAAAGCACTCTCATTGAAAGAGCAGAGACACCAGGACGTCCGGGTCGCCATGCTCGACACGTGGGACATTCCACGTAACACCTGGGTTCGACACGCAGACTCGATGCTGAAAGGCTATGGCATCGATGCCAAGTTGAGATTGGAAAACCTTGGTGCAGCCGAACTTCTTGTCTGGGATGAACTCCAGGTCCCATTGAGTGAGGCAAAACTCAACGACATGCTTGAGGCTGGTGTGCTGAAGCTGCTTCCGTTTTATAAGGCTCCAGAAAACCTTGATATTGTAACGGGTAAGGCTCAGCCCCTTTTGTCCCTTGGCATCTTCTGAACAGGAGCCATGTTCAACAAATGACCCGCTATTGAACGTTGACCAGCTAATTCTGAGGCAGCAGATTCTCCAATGATGACGCGAAAAAAGAGCATCTCGAGATATAGGAAGCCTTGTGTTATCAGGAGCATGATTTTCAAACACCTTACAGACGCCAAAGCATTCGTGCAGGAACTCCATCAAAGAATGGCACCAAACTATTATCGAGAAACTTATGTTGCTGGTCGTTCATTCTACAACAAGAAATTCAGTAGGTGGTGGCTCCAGCAGAGGTATACTCCGCTCTCTAAACCGAAGATGCTTTCTTTTGTTAAGTTCGTGGAGACTTTCTTTATCACCAAGTACCAATTCCCGATGCTGGTAACCATGCTGTCGATGCGTTTGGATGAAATCGACCCCACCGATGTCATTGAATCGATGTTCACACTCAGAGGTTAGTCAACATCGAAGATACATTTGAGTCAGCTGCTGACGTGTATATAGATCGTCCGATGATGTTGGGGCAAAATCAATGCTTCAAGGGCAAAAATCGACGAGGGCTGAAGGAGCTGGACTCATTCGAGTGGTTACTTGAACAATGTGCAGAAGCTCTTGGGATTCCGTGTAGAACATTTGAGAATTGGCATGAAACTCGGTTCACGATGCCACAGGCCCTGGCCGTTGTTTCGCAGCCGCCTTCTCCAACTTACGGATGGCAGAAGAACTTCGAAGGAAAATTGAAGCTGAATTTGCGGGAGGATAGAAAGGATGCAAGCGCGGAGGAGGGACTCGTACTTGCCAAGGACCTAACGCAGCTTCCTGGGGCAGGAAAGCGCAAGGCTGAGTCTGAGTTGGAAAGGGATATCGTTAGGAAATGCGGGTCAACACAATCCAGCCAGGCTGAAGAAGAAGCATTTGTACAGAAATTTCTCGGAAGGATGTGCAAAATTGGCTGAAGTGGGTGCAAGAGCCTGGTCAAAATGTCAACGGAGTTAGCCTTGTTTTGCGCTCGACCTGTTGGGCCTTCGGCTAGCCGGATACCGCCATTTGGTAACAGAGGGAGATATTCCGAGTTTGAAATTGTTCCAAAAAAGAGTTGATGAATCGGCAAGAATGCTATCTTGGGAACTGCCACTCGGCTTGGATCGATCGAAATTCTCCTTGAAACTGGGAACCGATGGCTATAGCAAAGCTAGAGTCGAGCTAAAGTCTCATACACTGGCCAATGCTTCCCGCGTACTGAATTCGTCTCTAAAATCAGGTCATGGTATGGACCACACGCCCAATGCATTTCCACATATGTACGAACGTCATATTGTGTCCGGGGGAAGCTGTCCAGGTGGAATAAAGAAGGTTCCTGATATGATAGGCGTAGCATCCCGGTAGCGCATTTTGAGAGCAATCGCCGAGGTTTACCAGGTTCAGAGATAGCAACGATCAAGGATGTAGTGCAGACCCATTCCAAGAGTGATAGATAGATTTGAACTTTCATGCCTCTATCTCTTAAGTCGATTATATTGCTTCTTGCCGCCCGAGGCCGGGATCAAAACGATAGGGGTGCCCGGGTCTTCGAATCCAGTATGGCAGATGTCGAAATACCAACAAGCTCTCAATAAGAGGCGACGTATGTTATCAAGATCTCTGCAGACACAGTAGAGAAGGCCAATCGGATAGTCGGTGCTTCTCAGAGCCTTGTAATCCCGGGGTTAGAAGTTCGCTGAATCGAGCTTAGGGGTGTTATTGCTTCTCATGTTACGCTCCAATAAGGATGGTGACTTGACATCCAAGATGTCGATGGTTGACTGAAAGTCGTGCACCACCTGTCGATTTTGACTCGGTTATGAGGGCAGGTGCAAGCCGCTCACCGAGTCACACCGCTCCTCCTTGTTTTGTCATGATCTGACCCTCGAAAAAGCAAGTATATGTAACTCTGGAAATCACGTGATAAAGTCGGTTCACGGTCGATTTCTTTCGGTCTCAACATGACGATAGGACTGTCGCAAGTAGAAGAAAGGCCAGATAATACAATCTGGCAATCGCGAATTTGACACTACTCGGAGTAGCTATAGCTGTAGCACCCAACATCAGGAAAGTACTGTCGAAAGGATGCGTACAACTCACCGGGTTTCTGTGCATTCCGCCTATCAGCACACCAGATAGAGTTCCAGACACACTGGGACGCTTTGGACACCGTAGCCTCACCTATTTCGCGCCCGTTTTCCGTTGGAATATGAGGCTGTCGCGGGGCTTATGGGCCAGACGCACATGCCTAAGTAAACAAGGTGTAAGAACCTCTCTAGCCTCTGGACTTTAGGTTAGAGTTCAGGGGAAGTCCTTGCGCCCCAGGGCGATAAGTGCGTTCCATGGCTTTTGGCATAGATTGGCACATCCACCCCGGTAGTTCTTGGTATCATAAGTATACCTTGCGCATGTGGTGATCGGCAAGTTCTTTGGTCTGGGAGAGATTCAAGTACGGCCACCGCCACTTGGCTCGTTGGCTGCCATTTTGCCCTCGCAGCCCACTCCTCTGAGTTTCTCGCTCTGAAATATAAAAGCAGCAATCCGCGCTCGAGAGTTGCCTCAGCCTTTTGATTCTGCTTTATCTCTGCCGTTCATCGGCAGCCGTATCCTTCTGAAGGCTGAGTGTTGCGATAGTATGTTTCATCCAATCAATCACACCAAACAATATGGCACTAGAATCGAACAAAGCTGCAGCACTAGAACCTAGTAAGCTTCATTCCACCTTCTTGCCGTCGGTTTTTGGTGATAATGTTGCTGAATTCTGGATTGAGGCCAATGAGTGCTTGGGAAGTAGCTGGTGCTGACGTTTTAGCTCGCACCGCCAAACTTGGTGGGCTCAAAACCCAAATGCTCCGTTTTCTCGCGACTCCGGCGCACGAAGAGCCCTATGTCGCTGGCGGGGTGAGTCTAGATAGGCTCAACGGGATCGATTCAAACATCCGTCTGCACTTAGGTCGTTTCCCTTCTGCATCCAACAAGTTGCAAGTGGACAAGGGGGCCTTGTAGCACAACCCTTGGGGATATTTCGGTAAGCTCACACAGATGATTTTCCCAGCTTCATCCCCTTCATCATGACTATCGTGATTATCATCTCTCATAACTAACAGTTTGATGGTTGCGCAGCCAAGCCACCTCATTTCATGGTCATGACGGGTTACCATAGCATGCGGGCGCTTGATGTATTTCAACCACAATTCGTCCATTTGAGTGCGAAACACCTCCTTTCACTCTCAGAATCACAGGCGTGGCACATGGCTCCAATATTGAATTTAAACTCGCTTGCGATGATTTCCTGGCTAGGTTCATCACGAGAGATATGCTTCGCACTCGTCATTTCGGTGTTTCGCTATCATGATGATTTGTGCCTGATGGGAACTGATGCCGCGTCCATTGCGGTGGTAGCTGTGTTTGTGGGAGGATCAAGTGGGGACACATTAGGCTGGCCACGTGGCTTAATTATTAAATAGCATCCGAGTCCGAGTGGGAGTCATCGTATAATTGGCCAATCAGGAACTTAGGTTCAGAGGCAACCGGGATATCCGAGCTAGTCCTGATTCGCAACTGGACCACGGGCTGAGAGGCATTTGACAAGGCTGGCATGCTCAACAGCATAAAAGGCCTGCGTTTGCAATCAACTGCGTCCTAGAAAAATGTTGACTAGCTGATTTCCTCCTTCTGCACTGAGAACATTAAGGAGAAGTTGTTTTGTTCAATCATGACCAGGGCAGGAGATATTATCCCGGCTCCAATTCATCCTGTGCTTTGCCGATGCTACGTTTGGATCAGGCTCAAGGTCGAGTTTTGTTTGGCTTCTTGACCAGTCTCCAATTCCTATTCTTGGACATATATGAGGTTCCCCTACAATAGCCGCATTCTACTCCAGCACACAGGGAGAGTTGTGATTGTGGAGAGGCTTTTCCTCAACAAAGAAGGACCAGAGCAGGGATTGACTCCCGTTGAGGAAGTAGATTTGTCTCTCACGATTGCTTCTCATGATATGTCTTTTTCACTTGTGCTTGGAGCAAGACGTAGAACAAAATGGGGGTCGTCTCGATTCGGAGTGCAGGTGCATGCAAGTAGTAGCTAAATAGTTATCAAGGCTTCGAAGATGGAAGTTGCAGGACGGGGATAATCGGTATCCTTGATTGAGCGGGTGTCACAGGGTGCCCATCCTCGTATCCTGCCGCACTTCACCACGACCTGATATGTTAAGGTGACTATGCGGATACTTCGAAAGTGTTGGCCTAGTTCTCTTTACTTGCTAACACCAGTATCTCCCATAGAGACAGCATGTAAAGGGTGGTGGCTCAAGAGGTTCCTAGAAGCGGGCCTGATTTCAAAGTGTGTTGAAACACTTGGCTCTGGTTGAAGGCCGATGTGTTCTCAGCAGACATAGCACGACGAATGTTTGTGACAGGAACAAGGCCACGGATGTGTTCGATGGCAGACATCAATGGCTGGAAAAGACCTAATCAGGCAGTGCGACCCGTTCGCAATGCCCCTTCAGACGAGGCATTGCGTATTAGAAACCAGTGGAATATCGTCGTCGCTCGGGCCGCATCGCTGCTTCAAATTGCACTCGTGCACAGACTCCACGTGGTGTGACTGCAAGTCAACAATTCCACTCGCATCGATGCATGATTCCCCGAGCTCGGGGCAGCATCTGATACCAGGCAGGCCCATGGATTGTGTCAATGAAATGGCTCGGAGAAGTGGAAGTCGGCATAAACAGATATGGGTTTTCGCTTAGTGTCATGATCGATCGCAAGTGCGTGGAAGAACACGGGAGGCCGAGGCATCGCACGTGAAGGTTCGGGCGGAACGTCGGGAAGCTGTTCTAGAACACTGGCGAGATTCTATGCAGAAGAGATTCGGTGAGGCGACCTGGGGGCGGGTGAGGGTTAATGCAGGCAACGGATGTGCACGGATGCTGGAACACGGCATAGGATACAGCAACAGCAACAGCAACATTTCCGCAGTGGAGCCCGAGTTTTACGAGGAGGAAACCTTGTCGGCATGAGGATGGATAATCTCATGATCTGTGACCGATCTGGTGTGATAGGTCGTTGAGTACTGGACTTGTTGGTGTGGACAGTTCCCAACAAGATCAGAGTGCATAGTGTCGCCTGGGAGGGATGAAGAAGGACCAAGATTGATGAGCAAAGGAGCCTCCTCAGCCCAAGCAACTGTGACGTGCAAGCACTGGTTGCCCAGAAGTCGCTTACGATGCAGCATGAATGCCATGGAATTTTAAACGACAAGTCGGTGGTGCTTGGTGGTGTTTTGGTGGTGGTGGTGGTGGTGGTGGTGTTGGTCTCCGCAAAGCCAAGAACAGAGCAGCTCGCCAGGGCTGGGCAGGCAAAAGAACCACAGTGACTCGTAAGGGATCCATATGAGGCGCATTCATATTCTTGTATAACAACAATAACAATGCCTGGGAATGGAACACAGCGTCTGGACGGGGTATGCAGGGGAGTCTAGTTACAATCTGCAGTCTGCAATCTGCAAATCTGCGTAGCCAGAGAGATGAAGCACGCGGCACGGGAACGAACTGCCATGATTCATCTCCGTACCCATTCATTCTCGCGATTGCGGGCCAGGTTGTCCGCCTGATCCGTTCCTATCTGAGGCCTTCAGTCGTGTTTGGTGTTTGGTGTCTGGTGTCTGGTGTTTGCGAGAACCATTGGTGCCCGTATTACTCGGTAGGAGGGACGGAGCACTGACGATCTCCTCTTTATCCCACCCCCCTGGACCCCCTCCGAAGATGAGCCACCCACTGCTGTTTATTCACCAGCTTGCCTCGAACCATTACCTCATCCTTGCTCCTCGAGGGGGAATTTAACCGGCTTTGGCTTTTGGATGTTGCAGAGTGCAAAGCGCACAGTTGAGCTGCGAGCACACCGACGCTTCCCTCACCGACTGCTCGTTGCTGGCGCTGCTATTTCATCCTCGTCGTTTCTCTATGATGCGAGATTTTCCACGCCTTGTCATCGTTACGTCAGGCTCTCTCCTGTTCTCACGCTCGCCGAGGCTCTTGTGGCGTGACGGAGGCCACGGAGGCGTTGTCTTGGACGCTCTTGGTGTTCTTGGTGGTCTTGGTGGTCTTCTTCCTGCTTAACAATCGGGCTCTTTTTCGCACTGTGTGCTGCTGGTGCCCGTGCGAGAAAGCTTTTCTCCGTTCGCCCGTCTCTAGCTTCAAAGTAACGTCGCCACCCCGGTCATTGCTCTTCCTTGCTCGATGAGATCCCTGTCACACCGACGACATTAGTGCGACTGAGGTCAAGGTGCCCATTCGCTCTGTCATTATCAGCCTAAAGAACCCACAGCAAATGTGCTGGTGCTGCCGTGCTCCATATTTGCTGTATGACGCGAACCCATCAGCAAGAACCACCAAAACTCCGGACCCGTTGGCTCCAAATCTCCAGATCGTCCCCGTCATAGCTTCGTCTCGAAACTGTGGGCGACTGCTACAACAGGAGCACGAGCACTCCATTCCACCGCCCAACCGTTTTCGTCGGTGGTCCGATGCTTCCTAGTCCTGTCCTGCCTCGTTTTGAGCGCAATACCGAGTACTAGCTTGGGATCAACAGGTCATCCCTCCACCAAGACGTTGGTGAGCTCATCGGCTCCAGCAATGGGCAATGGGCAATGGCCATACAGGCCCATTCTCCAGAGTCATGCTCGTGGGCGCGATGCTGTCTTGGATGTGACCTCGAACGTGTACATAAACAGCCCTGTCCCTCCGTCTCCATCTCCGCCTCTCCCTTTTTTCCTTCGACCCAGAGTACTTCAGTCTTGTACTTTGTCGCGATCCTGCCTTTGAAGAAACCTCGCTTTTCTGTCCCACGTGAAACTGCTCTTGACATAGATCTAGATCATCATGGCGACCAACCAGGAGCACAACGCTGTCAACAACACAGCCACTCAAAACGTCAACGGCACCACCTCCCATGACTTGGACAAAGCTACTCGAGGCATGAGCAACGAAGAGAAAACCACAGCGGCCCAAGCTGCTCGCTTTGGCTACGGCCCATTGGCACATGTCCGTACAAATGATGATGGTGGCGCACTGCCAGGTGTGATAGATTCTACCACATGCATCTTAAAGGCAAGCACTGACTGCAATACTCCACAGCTTTTGGTGGTGAATTCCAACCTGGTCTTTACAAGGGAGTCGAGAACCGCAAATTCGCCAATCCCGCTCCTCTGGGTCTCTCAGCCTTTGCCCTGACCACCTTCGTCCTCAGCTTGATCAACCTGGGAACACGAGGATTGGCTCAAAACAACCTTGTTATTTCTTTGGCCTTTGGCTATGGAGGCCTTGTGCAGCTTCTCGCTGGCATGTGGTATGTATTTCCTCATCAGTTCCCGCTCTGCTGAGTTTCCTTTCTAACATCACCACAGGGAAATGGCTGTTGGCAACACTTTCGGTGCTACCGCCCTCTCTTCCTACGGTGGTTTCTGGATCTCCTTCGCCATTATCTTGACACCTGGAGGCTTTAATATTGAGGAAGGAATCGTGGCTGCCGGAGGAGAAAAGGCACTACTTGACTCGCTAGGCTTCTACTTGATGGTGAGTTTTTTCCCCTTGTCCGAAATCCCCTGAGAGGCAACTCATTCTAACCATTTCCACAACAGGGTTGGTTCATCTTCACCACCATTCTTCTCTTCTGCACTCTCAAATCCACCGTGGCATTCTTTTTCCTGTTCTTCACCCTCGATCTGGCATTCCTGTTGTTGGGCATCGGATATCTCCAACCATCTGGCGGACATCCCAACACATCATGCATCCGGGCAGGAGGTGCATTCGGAATCCTCGCTGCTTTTGCTGCTTGGTACAATGCCCTCGCCGGTATCGCAGATACATCGAACAGCTTTTTCATCATCCCAGTTGCCCATTTCCCTTGGTCTGAGAAGGGCCGAGAAATGCGCCGACCAGCGAAGACAGAGCATACTGCTTAAGCGGACCAAGCCCTAGCATCCACCGTCTGTTGACGATGCTGAGCGGCAAGCAAACTCAATCTGCGTGTTGAAAATGTCCGATTGTATTGTCACCTACGGACATCAAAGTTGATCACGAACAAAACAAAGAAAGAATGGAAGAGCTAGGGACGGTAGGAAACTAATTGCAAACGTTGATATTAGGATTTGGGAAGCAAAACCGCTCACATATGATACTTGGGCCAATGATCTCATGCTACGTCTTTGGATACCCCCATATGCCTCGCGTGGTTGTGGTCATTGTTTGGACTTTTCGATCATGAAATTGGCTAGCCAACTTTTTGTACACATAATACCACGCTCATCAAATTTCACGAACTACCTTTCAAGTATCATCTCTTTTTTACTGTGCTCACTTTCCGGGAGAAGTTTTACATATGTCCCATTGCTTATACAGTATGCTCTACGGATTTGCATCAAAATGCCGACGTGAGAGTGGAGAGTGGAGCAGAGCCACTATCTGGGCGAGAGACGGAAATATCCAGTGTCCCTTTCTAGCTGACTCGAAGACGAGCTTCAACCATTCACCACACCACACGTCATGCCGCCCTTGCAAGGCTTGGATGGCAGGGGGAGTGAATTTGGGTCTAGGTATCTATGGACTTGGGATACATATCACATGAGGCCGCTTTCATCCTAACATCGCGATGAGTATGTGTTGCGAAAAGCACAATGGCGGTTCAAGGCACCGACTGTAGATGATACAAGATGCTCCGTACTCGAGCCCAGCGTGAGCCGTAGGCATACATGCCCCTCCGTCTACATATCTCTTGAACGGATTCATCCCAAAGGGATCCTCTAGGTTGTGCGTCGTCAGTCGGCACTCGTCAACGATCTAACCAAGCAGCCTCCTCCTCCTAGACCTTGTTCTCTTCCCCGTCCAATCAACCAATCGACATGACTTGCTATACTAGTGCGAATCCAACACGGCCGATCCGTGACCCTGACCATGACCCCGACCCTGCAGCAGTCCCTCCCCTCGCTTGCAAAAATGTCCAACACTAACTAGTTGCTGTACCTCGTAGTGGCCGTAGGCCGCCTACATACATAACTCCTATGGCCAGTTTCCAGGCAGAAAAAGGCCCCCCTGGAGCAAAGTTTGCGAGGAAAGGACAGCTGGGAATTCCTGGTCAATACCCAAGGCACCTCATGATACCTCCGGAAGTCGATGCGTGTGTTTGTAGCAAGCCTATTTGGTGTAGCACGCACCTGTAGGTAGCCTTGGGTGGTCGATCATGACGGGGCCAAGATGTGATCACGGATGGCTTGCTCGGAAGAGACTCCCTGCCTAAGAGAAGAGAGAGTTTGGTTGGGACTTCATCTCCGGTCGGCACTTCAATGCGATTTCAATGGATGCTATGCCCCAACAGGCATAGTTGGGGAGGCTGGGAGAAGTCGCCCGGGAAAGTCGGCAAATTCTTACTCTGCGCATATTCTTTGGCTCTCGGCATGGAAGCTGGGGAATGTATGGAAATCCAAGCAGTTCTCCTCGGGGAGGCAAGGCATGTCGATCGTAAATCGTCGACGAATGTGTTGGTCTCTCGACCTCGAGCTCCGCGGGCGGTGTGGGCATTTCGCTGCAAACCCCATGGAGCAACTGATGGAAACAACGGGTCACTGATGGGATTTGCGTTTTCGGCATGACGTTTGATCTTCCAGCTACGAATGCCATGTTGTCGCCATATCGTGGTCGTGGCAGATGACGGATGCCCAGAACCTGAACTACACACATACGGACTAGTTGAGTGAGTCGGTTGATCTGGCGATCCCCAGCCTTCGTCCCCGATGATGAATCACTGGGGTTTGGATCAGTCAATAATTTATCATATCAAATGTTAGTTTTCTTGTCCGAGGTGAGGCTGGCTCTTGTCTATCTCGTGGACTCCTTGCTGTCTATTATCCAACGGAATCTTCCGTATGGCGTCGAGGCGTACATAGCTAACCATCTATCTCCTGCTCTTCACTTTGATCCAACTGATGGCCTCAAATCTCCAGGGTGAGTTGTATAACGTCCTCAAATTACTCAGAGGACTCCAACATGCTGATGACAATCACCCCATCTGAGCGCTGGCGCCGCCACACACGAGTATTCGATATGTCGTCTGCCTGCTGTTCGATCTTTCATCCCGCCTGTAGCCAAGTGCCCCGGGAAAAGCAACAGGCTCCCTAATGCCCACGCAGTCGATACTCGAGGATCTCATACCTGGCATTCTACTCATGTTGACCAGCAATCCCTAAAGCACAGCAAAAGCACTGACGTAGCTCACACTGCTGTCCTTGACACTTTCGGCGTCACTGCTTCTCTCATACCTCACGAATCTAAATCGCCCTTGTGAACCATCTTTATCATTGAGAGCCTTCTGTCGTTCGGCTTCCTCCACTCCAGCCATGAAAACTCCAATAGGATGCCTTCCGCAAACGGTGTTACCCGTTTCACGCAACACACGCAAAAATTCCGAATGCTGACCGGTGGCAATTGCACACATGCACGCCCGATCGGCATGTGCAATGCTCTCAAATATCTGCGGACCCGCTTTCGGGATTTTGGTGCTTGACCTCAGATCCTGGCCTTGGCCAAGAGTCGGCATCTTGTGGATGTCCTCGTTCACGCTGACAGTTGCAGTGGTGTATTCCCCTCTGGTACCATTAGGAAGCATCAGGGGTGACAAAGCCGGACTTGGTGCATCTGGTAGGTAGTATGTATAGCCGAATCTACTTCCCCAGTGGCAGAAATCCGAGGAGATTACGAATGCGCAAGTCTCATCAGCGATGTAAGGAGCCAGTAGCTTGCCCAACGCAGCCTCGGTGGCCGGGTTGGTCCCTCCAACCATGATTGGAACGAGAGGCGGGTAGGAAGATTCTGGCTGGTCGGGATATAATTTCTGAAGCAGTCTGTGGATGTAAGGCAGCTGCATCTCAGCACTGTGTTCAGCCTCGTCCACTGGCTGCGACATGGTCGTGAATTTGACGGTTCGCCCTTGGGCCTCGGCCGACAATGTGGAGAGGTGTTGGATGGTTTCATGATCGAGTGGAAGAGGAGATTCTGACAGAGGCGTCTCATATGATTCTACGACAGGTAAAGCAGCGGAGGTCAGGTGGTGGTGATGAGATGGGTGTAGGATGAAAATTCGCTTAGCTTTGGACAGGTCAAGGCATTTGTAGGCCCATGCCGCGGCAGGACCAGAATATGCATAGCCAGCATGAGGAGATATCACAGCTCTGGAACCTGGTAAAGGCAACGCTTCAACACCAGGCAGGATGCCCTTTTCCGGAACCTTTGAAAGCCAGTGGTCAAGTTGACCCGCCAGCTGTCGTCCATTGCCCGAGTACCAGGACCCCGCATGGGAAGCCTCTCTGACAGCCATGATGCTGCTGTCGAATTCAATTAGAAGGAGGGCTGGATGGGCTGGATGCCAGTCAGTAGCGGGGTTTGAATTTCTCACACGGCTCAAGACCTTGAGACGTATTGTGTGCTCTGTAGATCGAGGCCGCTGGTGGGTTTATGTCAATGTTGATATTGGGAGACCCTATGAAGTGCCTAAGTCGACTAACTCTAGGAGCGGTTTATGTAGCCCTATGGTAAACTCTTAAGAGGTATTCCTTTCTATCTTGAGCTTGGAGGACGAAGTCTAAACTCGGCCAGGAAACGTGACCGCCTGATGACGTTGACGCTAAGGGATTGAGATAAGCTTAGCGCCCGACATCACAGCCAATGAATAGCAGCTATTCAAACCGTCCCTCCCCAGATTCCCCTCAACGCGAAACGCGCTCGACACGCGTCACACTGCACACCTCACTTTCTTCACTCAACCACATCGTCAGCCTCCCATTCCGCCCTCCTTTAAGTTGCTGCACCACAACAATGTCGCTCAAACGAAAAGCGTCCGCTCTCGAAGAACCTGTTACCGATCATGCCACGAATCGGAACCCAACAGCTGCTTCGTCATCATCACCATCATCATCATTATCATCTGTGTCGCCTACTTCGTCATTGAGCTCGTTCTCAACGAGCTCCAGTGAGCATATCGGATACCGCGATGCCTGGCACGTCGGATATGTCCCTTACCTGAATTCTCGTACTTTGAAGAGATATCGCGACAACCGACCCGCCCAGGACCAAATCCACGATCACACGCTGAAAAAGCTGTACGAAGCCCAACGGTTACACCTCGACGAGGCAATGCCATTGTCTGAGGCTCTACCAGAAGAGGAAGTGTCAGTTGAGGACATTGAGATGGATGATGTGCCTGTGGTTTGTTCAGGAACGGACTCTCTGAAGCAAAAAACCTTGGAGAGCTTTTTCAACATTCAGCCCAATACGGTCGCCGGCTAGTCTGGCACAAATCAAAGCTTACCGGATTTTGGGCGAATGGCGGATAGAACGTCGGGCACGATTCCGTACCCCTGGTTGGGACTCGAGATATGATGAATTACCTCGGAAATGCCGCGCCGGTACAACTAAGTAGTTGAGGAAACAGCATTGGCCAGAAGCATTACTCCTGTCGAGATCCTCGGAAGCTGGTATATGCTCCATGCCATGCACGTCATCTGAATCCTTTCGAAATCTGATACATGGAATACCACGAACAATCACGTTTGGAAAGAAGTTGATGAAAGGGGACGAAAATCTCCAAAACAGCACAGCTATCTGGCACGCTTCCTCGGAGGGAAAGGCGACATATCATTACTACTACCATTCTTCCAACCCCCGTTCATCACAGAGCGAGCCGGCCAAAATTCGCCTGTTCCAAACGGAGGCATCCGCTACCTAGATATCTTCCTAAAAATCCACGGAAAGGTTACCGCCAAACCTGAGCGCAGAACTCGCCGCCAGTCCACTGGTCCAGTCGCCCAATGCACCAACAGGGTATATTTATAATTCTACCCTGCAGTCGACTTCTCTACTCCACGGGAGGACGACACCTCGAAATCTTCAATGAATGAAATGGGAGCTCGAGGGCTCAGTGGGCTCGGCTGGAGCTGGAGCTGGAGTTGGGAGCGGGGTGCCAGACATGATCTGTGTGCACCGGTTTGTATGACACATAAGGAATAGCGCTGCCAGCGCCCTAGATGGGGGGGCACAAAGGACGTGAATATAGTACATTGACAACAACAGAGTTGCTGGCCGTGTCAGGTATCTCCTGTAGTATTAGTAATACTAGCAGTTGACTGTGCCGGCGGGTGCATCAATCGTGCACTCTTGCCTCAGACCCTGTTTTGAAGCAACATTCATTCATATCCTAGAATTTGCATAGAATTGCAATGGGTTGCACTAAACCTCACTGTCTAAAATCTGGCGATTGTCTGGTTTCGTTAATGAAGAGATGGATTTCACCATTTGCCTATGCTATGTTCGCGATGGCTCGCCCTCATGGGGCCGTCTGATGATTCTGATCTCTACGCTGTCTCACACGTTACACTGCATTAAAAGAATCCTTCATATTAATTTGCTCATGCTTCAAGTGACTGACTGTCAATGCCGTGATTATTATATACATGGCAAAGGCGGGGGGAGGAAATATCTGGAAAAAGGGTTGTAAGAACTGTAAATGCAATGCTGATGCTGAATCCAGGAATTCCTTCCTCCGCTCCGTCCTGTTCGTGAGTTCCTCGGTGAAAGATCAGCCGTGCACCGAAGTGCATGTGAGAGAAAAACACAGCCCATGTCTAACCGATAAAGCACATCCTCCCGTGTCTCGCTGGGATGGAGATTAGGGGAGACCTGCCTTGATGAAGTGTCCATCGTCTCTTGACGGGATGCAACGGAATCAGGACCACTAATGGACTCTCTCAATTCTCGACAAGGCGAAGAGGTACCAGTTGTAAATTGGTGGAAAGAAAAAGAAAAAGCAAAGAAGACATCGTTGAAACCTGTGACGCCGAGACACCTCATTGGTACAGCATTAGTGCATAAAACGTATTCTCATGTGTGTCGTAATTAAACACTTCGGAAGTGTTGTTGGGCAGAGAGAGCATCCGATCACCACCGGTATTCCCAAGGCAGGGTGATCTCCCGCCATGCGCTCTTCTGGTTCTGCAGGGATCCTGTCTGGCACAAGATCATCATGAAGACCCATTAGGTCGATGGAAACACCCCTAATAACGGGAATGAAGATACCGCTAGTCCTTCCTTCTAGTCTCAGATGCCTAGTATGCTTGCAATCGAAGGGTGTTGCACAATGCCACCATGCTAAGATATGCGAATGGAATGCAAGTCAACCGTCTCGCTGTTATCCGATGGGTGCGGGGTCCTATGGTGAATAGGACATAGACCCAGATTGATGTAATTCAGTAGCAGCAGGTCCAAGGGTTGCCGCGTTGGCCTCAGCAGGACGGGGGAACATTGCGTTCTCGATCAATGCAGCCACTCGTCGTTCATGATTTCTTGGTAGACCTTCGAGAACTCTTTGAAGAGAACGAACGTCCTGACACCACTGATCCTTCTGCCTCTTGATGGCCTCACACTTCTGATTTAAGGCTTCAAGATTTGACGATCCGCCTTGTCTGACATCTACCTGAGCCTCTGCAAGTCCTCTTCGAGCCAAAGATTCTTCTTTCGTCAGCCGGTTACCGTTAGCCATCATCCCACGGAGGCGACGTCTGACGCCGTCGAATTCTGACGCCTGTTCTTGCTGTAAGTGAGCGAGTTGGCGTCTTGGCCCAGGAGGCATATTCTCCGGTATCTGAATGCTGGTGGATCTGTAATGTGCGTATGCGTTCCTCATGTAGCGCCGCCCTCGATCAGCACGAGGATTCACAAGTACCTCAATCTTTTGGTCACCCTTGATTGCTTCCGGGGCATCGAGATCAACGCCTTCGTCCCAAATTTGGTCATTGACGGGTGGAACCACAGCATTGAGTGGTCTTCTGGCGTCAATTGCCCGGCGACACTTCATGCATGTCTTGCTTTTGGCGTAAGTTGCCGAATTAACCCATGCTGAGAGGCATGTGGCGTGCATGGCTGTATTACAGCAGCTGATGATAGCCATGAAATTATCCCGCTCAAAGTCCAATTGGCAGGCAGGACATTCCCTCTTATGCTCGGGCAATGCATCGATACTCTCCTGTGTTGCTCGGCTCAGAACCAACTTGATCTGATTTGCCGTGGACGAGGTGGCTTCGATTGGACAGAATGCATGTGATGGAGGACGCAAGCTGGCGGTCAAATTCATCAGCCTTGAGAGCTCGCGAGGATCATTGGCGAAGGAGCTTGCATCGGTGCCAGGAGCGTAGTGGGTTGAGTGTGCTGCCGGCCAAGGGTGATTAGGAATTTGCTGGTAAGATTCGAGAACGGGAGGGCGCAAGTTGGTGGCGGGAGCAGGGATGTTGGACGCATGTCGTAGCTGAGAACTTCCAGGATGATGAGGCGTTGCTTCTGTTGCAGGTGGTTGGGATGCTGAGGTAGGATGATGCTGAGGCTGATAATGGACCGAGGGAGTGGGAGCAACGACAAGACGCACGTCCTGAACAAAGCCATTTCCAGAAGCAAGGTATTCTAAAGCGGCTTCTTCATCCCAGTAAGCAGGGGGAGAAGAAGCGTAGTGGCCAAAATTGGTGGTGGGAGGCATATACGAACCGGTCATATATGTGCGAGGACCTGGTGGGTAGACCGGAGCATTCATAAGATGCATTGGGTCAGGCAAACTATGGGGATTGGAGTCGAGATCAAGTCTTCGACGTTTGAATTTTTGATCAGTCGTAGTGGGCTCTGTCAGAGATCTGCCTTGAGAATTGGGTGGGCTGTATTCATCGTAACTCGGCGGGGATGAGCCCACTGGGCTGAGATGATAGTCCATCACTGGCAGTGGCAGTTTGCGGATATCTGACTTTAAGGGGATTTCCAAGATCGATAAGAGGCTGTTATCTGAGCTGGCTTGAAGTTCCACTTGGTACCTTGAGAGAGATGAAGCCCGTCGTGGATGAGGTGGATGATTGTACGGGAGTGGGGAAAGGTTGGATGTAGCACTGGATCTTAGTAGCAGTTGGGCCAGATGGCAGGTTATATGGAAATGTAAACAGCACTGCCTACGACTTCAAGGCAGTTAGTTGCCTATTCCACCGTCAAACAGTGAAGAAGGATGAAGAGAAGGAAAACATGGAACGAGAGTAAGAAAGAGGTGGTGGAAGTAAGGTTGGGCTTAGGTCATGCGAGGTTGACATGAAGGAGGTCAAACCGGGTTGTATTCCTGGTTGGTGGTTGGACTGTAACTACTGTAACTGTGACCGCAGCCGTGAGATGCGAGCCGTGATCTTGATCGTGAGCCGAGAGTCCGCGACTAGGACCAGCTCCCGGCTGGGCCTTGGGTCCTTGACCTGATGGGTGACCTGTGGGTGACCTGGTTCAAGGTTATGCTTAGTTGGAGATGCGGAAGTACGAGCAACAATTAGAGCGTTTCGCCGTCACAGCCGTCAGCCTCCCTTCTGGGACGGAGGAGGCGTCTGGCCACTTGGGAGGAGAACAGTGGACAGAGGTGGACTCTGGGCAGTGGGCACTGCGAGGCACACGACGACGGGCCAGCGCCAGCTGAGTAGCAGGCCAGGAGGGGGAGGAGGACGAGGGACGAGGGACGAGGGAGGAGCAACCAAGCGGCGATAGGTAGTTGAATGCTGTGAGCGTGCGTAGGGATACTCCGGACGGTCAGTTTGCTTCAAGCTCAAGCGTTCAGGCGGGGCCAAAGAGCCTGTGGAAGAGCCGCCAATGTCTGAGAAGCTCAGGTGACACGTTCGGCCCAAGAAGATGACAGCGTGCAGATACCTTAGTGAGTTAGAGTTCTGGTCAGGGCACAAACTTGTGCAGACTGCAGGGTTACAACTTGCAAGTTACATCCAAGTCTGGAGACCCAGGCAAGGGAAGGGAAGGTTGGCCGTCGGAAATAGAAAGTGGGGGATCCAACCCAGGTTGCTACTTGTTGACCATTCATTATCACCTGCAGCCACAAGGATTGACAATTCGCAGCTCAACTCGAAACTGGTTCAGTAAACATACTCGTAACAGAACGTCTCGTCTGGAAGGACACCGCCAGTGCCGATTATGCCTTCCCATCCACGAGCAGTTCTTCCTGCTAACTTGGGTACGGAGTCCGGCTGGTATGATACTTAAATACACACTGGTCCCCAGGCTTCTTCCACCCCCCTTCCAGGCGACTCCCAGGCGCCCGGCATGACCGCTGACTGAATCGGTGGCCATTCCTCACTCCCGGTTGCCTCAAATGCTTCAACGGTACCAAGCCTCAACCAAATACAAAGTATCTTCCTCACAAACAAGGGCGTCGATTCCGCAGAACAAATGGCAAATTGAATCAGGTCCCACGTCTCAAGTGCCAGCGTTCAAAATCTGGAGACATGTTTGACCTCAGGTAAAATTCAAGGCGACTTTGATGCCGACGCGTGCTTTGTGAGCACCAGTTTGCTTGTTTCACAAAGTACCCCAGTACCTTTGTGCTGAGTCCTGGCTGATAAACACAATCAAGTGTCGTTGCTCACTTCTCCTCATATTGCTCCAACCACTTGTGAGGACTTTGGCAATTATGTCAAAATCAAGCTCAAGCCTCATACCATCTAGCAAGATTCAATTGCATGGGCCAGATCTCCTAATTGCGATGACGCATTCTTAGTCCATCGCAAAACGCTGAAAACCGTGCCCGAGACATTGAAGGGCATTGCCAAATGAACCAGATTTCCGACCGCGCGACCGGACACTCGAGAGGCTGGACGACCCTGGTCGTTTACTACACGTGGTAGATAGGGAACCGTAGCACACGATTCTATGACCGATACGGAGGACATCTTGATTATAAGGAGCTGCGAAAGGATCAGCAGTGGCGAGGCCAGACCCTGTTTTGGAAGTCGCTGCACTCGAGCCGAGCTGCATCCCAAATACTTGAGGTACGAGTACATATGACAGTGATCGTCGACCAGATTCCCTCAACCAGGTTGCTTGTTCTCTGAAAGATGCAGTTCGAGACGGAAGCAATGGCAACCCCTGCACTGAGTCCTGATTTGGCGTTCTCGGGATGCCTTGGCTCTGAGCCCGCATTCAAGCCTGAATCCATGTAAGCGGATTCCAGAGTGTGGCAGGTCGCGACTTCCCCATCATCACGATCGTGGATTAGATGAGCTTCGATGAAGCCAACTCAGGTACAGGTCTATACGAGCACAGTGGATAATGTGTGCAGTGGAGTTGTACGATTGGCAAGGCAGAGTTAGGCTTGGAAATAGGGTCCGAAACCACCGCCGGTGAATTTGGGTTATCCAATTACTGTTTCAAGGAGCGCCTCGAGTCCTCGGCACGGAAGCCAGCCAGGTTACAGTCGACTGTCTGGTACATAGGCTCGTTGCAAGTTGTGCAGATACTCCAGACGCAAGGCAACCATATCGGAATCGGAGAGGTCTGCCTTAGCGCAGCCTGGCAGAATAATATTTGTATTGTGGACTCTCATGGTTTCCTAGCTTGTGCGGATCAGTTAGCGAGTGAATGGTCCAGTCGCACGGGCTCTTCCACATATCAAACACATGCTTAGGATACCTAGAAAGGCTTTAATGTGACGATTGCAGGATACTTTGTAGGGGGTTGGAACCCAAAAGGGGGTGGCCGGTCACGTGGGTGACACGTCCCCGTAGAGCTTGTACAGTGTTTAGAAGCTTTGCCATCTCCTTTCAAATGACGCTTGGTTTCCAGAAATAACCGTCATTTCTCAATCCGCCTTCAACAACGACTTGGAATTGCGACCAACACTCGATCCGTTGACCTCTGACTATTGTCCTTTTGCCTCAACACACAGACAACAGTCCACATTCCAACATGATATAGACTCAACCGTCTCCGTCTTCAATGTCGGAGCAATGATCCCACAAAGACCAAACTCCTCCTTTTCCTATCCTTTCTGATTAAATGGGCTGGCTTGCAACTGGCTGCTGCACCTTAATAGCTGGCTATGTTCTGTACAAATTCTACATACGGAGTGCTTCAGAGAAACTAGTCACTGAAGTAGCACCCTCAGTAAGCACCTTGAGGTCGCCGCTAGAGGTTTACTGCGAGCCTATTTCCGTTCCTTCGAACCAAGTTTCAGTTGAACTGCCCGAACCACCAGCTGTGCTCAACCTCCCTGCGATTGAGACAGATTTGATGGGGAAAGGAGATGTTGCGATGCCTGATATATCAGTGAATAGAACGGAAGAGAAACCGTCCCAAGCACGATCTGCGATGGGAACCAGATCTACAAGCCCACCTCGTCTAAAGCCACCGACTTTTGGTGGCAGTGGCATGGCTGCTCCTCCTCGACCCGGGAATGGGTTGATGCGTCCTCCGCCTTCCGCTGCAGCCTCACTTCGAGTGCCTCCTCAGAAAGCCCTCCCAAACACTTCAATGGCGCCCACTTCGTCCATCATGCCACCTGGGAAGCAGGTCTCCCGCAAGGTCATACTGGAACCCGGCCATTCACCACTTGACTGGGCCGCGCTCACCACTGATCCGAATGCCCGACTACGGGGTAAAGATGCCCCAGAAACTCTGATCAAAGTGACACCACAGCAGCTCAAGCGGCAAAACGGCAGAAAGGGAAAAGATGCATGGACCGTGTACAATGGGAAGGTGTATAATATCTCTCCGTACGTACCCTTTCACCCGGGAGGTGCCGGAGAAATCTTGCGAGGTGCAGGCAAGGACTCGGTCAAGTTGTTTATGGAAGTCCATCCCTGGGTCAATTGGGACGGTATGCTGAGCGAATGTCTGGTTGGTATCTTGGTTGGGGAGGAGGACGAAGTTCAGCGCTCCGCAGGCAAGACGAACAATCTAGATGACATGGATTGACATCGGATGGGAGGAACAACCAAACTAGATGTGATACCCCCGCCCTGTTAGAATGAGATTATGCTAGATGATAGAGGCCATCGCTTTTGTTTAATTCTCTGCACACAGTTGTATTGTATTTCAGGAGAATTTCCATGATACGACCTCCTGAACATGAATACTTCCGCCAGAACAAGAATAAGCCCCATCTAAACTTTTCGACTTTCCCAAGTCAGATGCCGCCATGCCATGTCCACAAGGGTGTCTGTGGTCTATCCGTATCTCGCCCCAGTAAATGGACATCAAATCTCTTCAAGTCGTAGAAAAGGTCCAGCTTCCAGTCAGTCCTCCATGGCCCATGCATTTCAGTGGATGTATCTCGGAAAAAGATTTTTGTCTTCTCCCCACCGACTCCCTCTTCCTCTCTCTGCATGTGTCTTCTTCTAGAGCTCGTCCTTCTTGACGCCCTTGATACCCATCAACTCAGTCTCGAAAATAAGCACACTGTTGGCCGGGATCGGCCCGACAGACTGCGCACCGTACCCCATCTCCGGCGGGATCGTCAACCGACGCTTCTCACCAATGCACATGTCGAGCAAGCCTTCGTCCCATCTGTACCAAGAAAAAGCGTCAGATTCAGTCAGCCAACTGCAACGTCCACAGGAAAGAAACCCCAAAGGAAGCCTGGAAAGCCACTCACCCCTTGATGACCCGCCCAGCACCAAGCTGGAACGTCAACGGCGTGCCGCGGCCGAAGCTGGAGTCAAACTCTGCACCTGTGGCTTGCAGCGTGCCGGCATAGTGCACGTCGATGGTGTCGCCCTTCTTCGTTTTGCGCTCGCATTCTATCGTCGGGGTCAGGTACTCGATTTCCAAGCCGCTTGCCGCGCTCAGGCCCGCGAGAGCCAGTGCGGTGGTGAGGAGCGTTGTGAGGAACTTCATTCCGGGCAGATATAGCTGGGGATATGTTGGCTGTCTAAGCGTTTCAAGATAGTATCGCTTTTGGACAGGTGCTTTGTTCGAGGAGTTGTGCTGCAACTCGCAAGGGACTGTGCGGAGGGATGAGGCTTATCGAATCGTAGGTGGGGAGATTGATCGGCATGTGGACGTGGGGGGTGAATAAAATGCGGTGTGAGTTTAATTACTGTAACGAGCTGCAAGGGATTGATGTCATATTACTTGTCCGCGCACTCATCGTACATACGCTTCAAGTTCCTAGATACTGACTTCGCATCCAACCCACCTAGCATATTGTCCCTTCAAGTACTACGAAGCAACGCCATTTTCAATTGCGTCCATGGGTTCGGCAGCCTGACCATTCAGACTGCCCTCCTTACTAAATCGTTATTCAGGGTTACAGTGCTGCCGAGAAACCCGAAAACAAAAAGATCGATTTTTGGGGGTTGAATTGTATCTGATTGATACCCAATGACCAGCTAACCCAGTCGACTGACTTCCTTCATACATTTTTCATTGTGATGTGACTGTATCATCACCGGATCCCGTCCCGCACGCAGTTATCGACGGCTTCTAATCCATATCTCGCTTGTGCCGATCCGGCTTGGGGAGCTCCCAATATACCTCAAACAACGCAAAGAAGAAAAACATGAAAGCATAAAAGACATCACCGACCGCACAGGAAGTCACAAGACCAACCAATATTGAACCCTGTTCCGGCAGTTTCATCCTCCAAGTCACGTGTCATCATGACCTCCTTCCTTCCTCATTTGTCCCCGATTGTTCCATTCCTCTCCCTTAGTTCTGATCCATATCGTCACTCATCCAGTTTTCCTGCGGTTGATTCGAAGGCCGCTCTGGCTTAGGCCGCAACTTCAGTCGAAAGGCGGTTTCCTGGTTTGTTGTGAACTTGTGATATGACCGGCCGCGCGGGCTTAGGCAAGCAGTTCCAGTCATTGGGTTGAGCTCCGGTGGTTCAAATATGAGACCACTCTGAGGGCAGCTCTAATCGATAGATGGGATTTCCACTGGTTGAATTGCGATGGCCGCGCTAGCTTAGGCGCAGCTTCGATCGTTGAGCGGTTCTCCGGTGGTTGAAAACAGAAGCTGCGCTGACAGAGCAGTTCCTTTTTGATAGGGCTTTGTATGATATCTTTTGGGAGATCGGGAGCTTGAAATCGCAATACGGATTGAGGGCGATGTGAGGGTGCTCGAAGAGGGAGGCATGCGAAGACGATCCGCCGAAGTTTTGCTGACGATGAAAACGACGATGGTGTTGGATATCCCTCAAAGAAATGGCGGAAGTCATTGTATTCGACAAGCATCTCCCGGAGCTTGAAGTGTCGAAGGTGAGTTGTAAGACATTCTTTGCGCTTCGGCACAGAATATGGAGAAATAACCAATTGCTGAGGGTGTGATGCTGATTTTCAGGAAACTATTGTTGGATTTCCCGAAAGCGATGAAGAAGGTGTGTATGAACAACGACTGGCCCTTTCTCTGCAGACCGATGGTAAAGATGGCTTCGATGAGATCATGCGTGTTCGATGAGCTCACCTTCTTCGAGTGCGGCGTCCTGGGCCTCTTCGACTTGCTCAGCGTTCTCAACTTGTTCAGTGTTCTCAACTTGCCGAGTGTTTCCGGTTTCTTTCAACGGACGCTGTCCACGAGTACTCTGTGATCGCTTGATGACCGCGATCGTCGCTCAGACTGATTGACGAACTGTGGGAACAACCCTTCGACTCCAAGTGTTGTCTTTGCCTTTGAAACAACTTCTCTTGGTTCACGTTTGTCGTGTTGCGATTGCTTCTCCTTCTCAACGTTTCACACGATGGCGGTAACGAGATATGGCTAACGATTCATCAGAAGCAGCTCTCCTGGATCCTCTCTCTTTTCTGCTCGTATTTCCGGGTTTCTTTCATGCGGAGTCGACAGTCTTGGGCCCTGAGCACGTCTCAAAGACTTTTCCCGCTTGGACGGACTCTCGGCCAAAGCGGGTCTGGTGGCCCTGGTACGCGTTGCGGACGAATACCTGGAGACTGTATAATGTTTGATATCGTCAAATCTGGCGGTCAAAATGTTCGACTTGGAAGCCCGTTGCTTTTCATTGAGTTCGCGCATCTTCTCGCTTGGGGCTTTTGGCACAGCGTTCGCGCGTTGGCTACCGTTCTGGGTTGGGGAAATCTTTCGCGGCATAGGTGTTGGTGATCCAGGGGCTTTCGGGTGTAATCTCGTAGTTCGCTTCTCATAGAGGTTCTCCTTGTCTGATTCGGATCGGACAGTGGCAAAGCCTCCACGACGACGCTTGTTCTTCAACAGCTCGTCAGACAGAGAGTCGTCGGCGTCGACATCAATCTGAATGATGATCAATTTCGTTGCTCGCGACGTCCCCCGGACCAGAACTTACGATTGTGCGCTTGCCTGGAGCCAGATCCTCTTTTGCTTTGGTGTCCTTCGTGGAGCCAACTTTGGTGATAAGTTCGAGTTCATCTTCATCGTCAGAATCGCAAATGAGCTTCCGACCTCGAAGGTTGACCACACGCGCGCCCTTCGTGACAGTGTCAGGATCCTGTCTGCCTCTTAGTCTTGATTGTGAGTGGGAACGAAGGACTCTGACAGTTTCAGGAACCTGTATGGCTGTTCGCACTGATCGTGAATGAAGGACTCGTTTCTTAGGCCTACCTACAGTCTCAATAGCTGGCTGCTTTCTGGCGTCGGCGCGTTTTTTCTCAAGTGGTGTTGCTCTCGCGAGTCGCTTTGACTTCTCCACACGAGTATGACCAAGAGTGGGACGAGGAGGAGAGTTTCGAGGTTTGGCTCCTCGAAGGCGAGCCTCCTTTGCCTCTTCATCTCTCTTTCGCTGCTCGAGCTTTCTTCTGGCTTGCGCTTCGGCCGCTTTTTCCGCTGCTTTCTTGTAGAGCTTGAGGCCGTCTTCCGAGTTTTCGGTCACTCCTTCAGGAAGTTCAGGTTCTTCGCCTTTGAAGTGCTTGATACTTGCAACGTGCGTCTCATGCTCTCTCTGTCTTTCTTGTGCGAGGCGGGTGGGGTCGGTGTAGGCGGCAGAGTAGTTCCAGGCATCTTTCTTGGTGTATCTGCGCATGATGACGATCGATACGGCGTTGCACGGGGCGAAAACGGGTTACTGAGAAGACCAAGTGAGGAAAGAAATGGTTGTGCAAGCGACAACGACGGCTCAACGGTCAAAATAGCAGCACAGTGAGTGCTCAGGAGGATTTGATGCCGGGGACTTGAGAAACTATGACTTTCGTCGGTTGTCCTCGAGGGAATCGGTGTTGGGGATAAAGAGGACGGAAGGTGGTTGCAGCAGAATCGAAGGGAGAAACGCTCGTTTCTATCGAATGGGAACGTCTAGAGGCGGTGCTCTGTACAGAGGCAGCTAATCGAGGCGAAAGGCTGTGCAATCACACAGTCCAGCTTCACTCGCTATTGACGAAATCACCTACAGGCAGCACGAAACACAATACGGACTGTGAATCCAGTAGTCGATAATTTCAAGTTGCAGTGAATGCATCAACATGGCGTCGGAAGTAGGAGGGGGTCAATGAATGGCTTCAATCATCCATGGTTATATTATGTATTGAGAGTTTTTCTCATTGCTTGCTATATACAAATCCCAATGACACTTCGAACCTGATTGCTCGACGTCCACGAAGGGTTTCCAGCCGATGGCATGACCTTTTTGGTCGTTCTGTAAGGGTCCTTGCTGATGGCTAACCCTTCCTCCATGTCACTCTGCCGCATCTCTGTCTTGAATTTGACCGGCCTTCTTACCTGTCGATTTGGACAAGGCTTCATGAAAGGGGATGGTTGCGAGCGAGCCCGCTCGATGACGGCAGGCTTCTCAGGATTGATGGTCGCATGTCCGGATCTGGTGGGAGTAATGTTAAATGTTGAGATTTGCTGCGTTCTGTTTTGGTGGTGATGGCTGCTGTTGCTAATTTTATTGGGAAGAGTACTCGCTGATGAAAAGCACAAAAGAAGTAAAGTAGTCTGTTACAGATGTGACTCTGTCATTCTGAACAGCTGTGGGAGGAAGAGCAAGGGGGCCAGCGCAAGAGTATTGTTCCCTTCAGGTCGTGCGATATAGGTCCCCAGGAAGGATAGAAAAGATTGGCTGAAGCCTACCTTTTCCTGTTGTTTATCAAAAGGGCCCTCACGAGGATTGTGAAGAGTGGCCCATTGCACAGATCGTAGCACAAGTTGACTTGGCATGAATCCAAACATGGAGTCCGCTTGTAGAGCCAATCAATCCGATTCGCTCGTCAATGGAAAGGCCAAACGTTGAACTACACTTGGCTAGTCTTTGAACGTCGCTTGTCGATCTTTGGACCAAAGTTGAACTGAATCATTGAGACTCGCCAAGGGGGGGATATCTTCTGTGACCTGTGGTTGGTTTTAGTATTTCCGTCTCTGTTCCGACGGAGAGCCTAGTAAATATAGGTTGTGACTTGACGAACAAATAGTTCAAGAAAGATAGAGAGCAATCCATATTTCAAGGCACAGTTTTGCAACATGAATAGGGCTGGCAAGCTCCTAGCTTCTGCTGTACTGAGTCACTGACCAAGTTTTTGGTTGGGCATATATACTCGGCGTGTTCCATTGAACTCCTAGGTCTCCCAGGTAATCTGCGGATAGAACTTACAGTGGACAGAAGGTGGAGTGTAGCTAAGCATTCATAACCATGGTCGCCCGAGAGCCTCCCTTGCCCAGGGAACCTCTTTTCAAGTTGGCCCTTATCCGCCGGAATGATGGACTGTGTCTGTTCTGAAATCAACAATGGGCTTGATCTGTGAAGTAGTATCTCTTTTTCCTTAGTGGATGAAACGAGGCTTTGCTCATTGGGTTTTGGAAATCATAACGTATTATGATACGAAAGAAGTCTCATGGACAAAGGAAGTTGGACTAGTTGATAGTGGGTCCAGGTCCTTCGGAAACCAGACCTTCTTTCCTCCCCAAACGCAGCCTGACTGTCAGACTTCTAGTGGGTCACATGACATCGCGTAACTGGTAAATTAGCGCGATTGCCCAAAGTCGTGACCCACGAGTCGCGACACGTCCCCGAGTGACACGTTCTCAACCTCAACCACGTAGCCGGTATGTTGCAAGCAAGATGCAATGGAACCACTGTTATTGCAAGGGCTGAATGTAGCTCAAAAGGCTGCTGTTACTTCACAAGCATCGGTCTTACAGGTACTCGCTCCACCCGGATCCGGCAAAACCAAGACTCTTACCTCGCGGGTCGCGCATCTCATTGCCCATCATGGATATGACCCGCAGAATGTCATCTGCTGCACATTCACCGTCAAGGCTAGCCGGGAGATGCGAGAGCGACTTCGTGCTCTGATTGGGCCCGAACTCGAGTCTAAACTGATAATGGGTACATTTCATTCGATTTGCCGACGACTGCTAGTGGCTTATGGCTACCTCATCGGAATTCCCAAGGCCTTTGGTATCGCAGACAGTTCAGACAGTATCAGCATCGTAAAGCGTATCATCAAGCGACTGAACCTTACACTCGAACCAAAGGCAACAAGGTCTAAAATCTCAGCTCAGAAGGCTAGAGCACAAACCTTGGAAGACATTAGAAAGTCCACTCAGAAACAAGCGGACAAGCAAGATTTTGTCACAGCTTTCTACGAATACGAGAATGATTTGGCGACGTCACAGCTGCTGGACTACGATGATCTACTTTTGCGTTGCGTGGACCTTCTTCGGGCATACCCTGCCTGCGTTTCCAATGTCGAGGCGTTGCTGATTGACGAGTTTCAAGACACCAACGTTGTCCAATTTGAGCTCATGAAGCTTCTTGCCGCAAAAAACAAAAGGATCACCATTGTTGGTGACCCTGACCAGAGCATCTATGGCTTTCGATCGGCAGAAGTCGGAAATCTACGGCGGATGAAAACAACTTACCCGGATACAATAGTGATCAACTTAGAAGAGAACTATCGCTCTGCATCCGCTGTGCTCAAGCTGGCACAACGCGTGATAGAACAAGATACCACCCGTCCACAAAAGAAATTGAAGGCTACACATTGTTTTGGAACCCAGCCTGTACTCAGACGCCTCCCGAACCCAAAGGAAGAGGCCTCATGGATCGCCAATGAAATAAAGAGGGTCAGCGTTATGACTGGTTCCCTGTTGGCATTTTCAGACTTCGCTATCCTTCTCCGCTCGGCGCACCTTTCACTACTTATTGAGAAGGAACTGGCTAATTCTGGAATACCATATCGTATGGTCGGTGGCCAGCGCTTCTTTGACCGAGCGGAGATCAGGATTCTCATCGAATACCTTCGCACTATTTCCCATCCAGCAAATAATCAAGCCTTTCTCGCTATCATAAATACACCTTCGCGGAAAATTGGGGAAACTACCATCGCCGAACTAGTACGCGTGGGCGAGGAAAGGAAATTCTCTGTGTGGATGGTAGCCCAGAAGGTCCTTTCAGGCAATCTTGCCTTGGATAAGAATATCTCCAAGCCTGCAGAACAGAAGCTAGGGCACTTAGTATCTCTCGTCAGGAATGCAAGAGACAAAGTATCAACCGCACAGCCCGGAAATGTCCCGAGTATGTTGATCGACCTAGTTGTGAAAGCTATTGGCTATGAAGACTATCTGAAAGAGAAGTACAAGAATGATTACGAGAATCGGTGGGAGAATGTAAAAGAGCTGATCAAATATGCCTCTGAGGTTTTGATTGATCCTGCAGATGAAGAGTCGTTACCCAATATCGATGGCATAGAGCAAGATGCCTCAAATGGAGGCCAACAGGTCCTGGCGCAATTCTTGGCCAATATTGTTTTGTCCACAGAAGTCAAAGAAGGAGAGTCGGTGGAGGACAAGTCTCGGGTCACAATATCCACCATCCATTCCGCGAAAGGTCTTGAATGGCCGATTGTATTTATTCCAGCGTTGTATGAAGGGTCTATACCGCATTCACGAGCAGAGAACACCGATGAGGAACGACGGCTGCTATATGTCGCAATGACACGAGCACAGGCTCTCTTGACAATGACATTTCCAGTGGCACAATCCCGAGATGAAACGCCATCGACACTCTCCCAGTTTCTCCCCACTGAGATCCACCGCCTTCTCGCTTCGACTGGTCCACTGTTCAGTGATAAAACCATTCAAGATATGGCGATGATTTTGCGCAGGCCTGCACCAAGCCAGGAGGAGTTGGCCAAAAGCCTTGAGCGAATGAGTCCTGGTAGAAGTCTGATGGACGATGAATGGCCAGCCGATGGGACCCGTAAGCCAAAGGCCATGCCATTTTCTGAATCAAAAACCTTTGGAGAGGTTTTGAATGGTTGTTCCAAGTTTCGGCCATCTAGTCAGTCGGGTTTCGAAAGGAATGATCTCTCTAAGATGGGAGGACATGCAGTGAGTACCATGCATAGTATCAGCTCATTTTCGACCTCGAACACGACCATTGGGTTTACGACTGCGAGCTATCAAATGAAAACGGCATGTCTCCAGCATCTGACAAGATCAAGTTCAGATCTTCTCCCACCGAACAAGAAAGCAAAGCTCTCCAAATCAAGCTCTGGAAATAGCACCATAACTGCATATCTCTCAAACTCTGCGAAGCAGGCCTCAATGCCAGATGCGAGCACGTCATCCGTAGTATCAGTTCATCTGCCCAGAGACCAGGTAACACCTAAGCTAGCTCTTCCGGCATTGCGTCCGGATGTTCCCACACCTTCGATGAATGGGATTCCTTCTGAGCTATCATCACACAAGCTCAATTCCCGGAGTGGCATGGCTCAAAATCGTCCAATGCCGTCAAAAGAGATCCCCGACAATAGCAGGGGACGATATGTCACGTTATTCAGCTCATCGCCGCCACCACCAGATCTTGACGAGAGAGTGGAAAGGGTTAATAATGCATTAGAGGGCAAGGAAGAAAACCAAGAACAAGAGAGCGAATTTAAGGAAACAAAGAGAACACTATTGGAGCAGCCATCGATATCCCGTGGTGTTTCTTTCAAAAGCCATGTTCTCTCTCGGCCAGTCAATACCATGCATAGCACCACTATGTCGTCAATAAGGCAAACTGGGGCTTACGGCACATTTTCTAGTTATGGAAAAAAGACGCTTGGAGTACGGCGCACGATGAATGGTTGGGATGCCAGGAAGAACAAGTGACCCTGGCATTCTAATGAAGCTGTGCTATTCTTGATTTCGCTTGGACGTAAGCATGAGATGAGGATTATGGGAGCATCACTGTGGAGTTTCCGTAGCCTTGGGTGGCTTCCAGCACTGTCCATTTTTGGTGTAACGTCGGTGTAGTCGTTGCGGACTTTTTGGCGTTTGGTAGGCTACATCGGTGCCTTCAGCTCGTTTCAGGTCTAGGTAGAGTAGGCCTCAGCTGGTATACGTTATAGAGCAGAGTGTCTGCTAGGGAGGCTGATCGCACAATAGTATCCTCTCTAGAGGGTTGATGCCCGCACGAGCGACTCAATTTAGAGGAAACTCAAATAGATGCATCCTGTCAATTTTCCACCTCGATAACCGGTGTTGACTCATTCTCGTAGAGTATCATTGAGCATATCATTTAAATGCAAATTGTCAAAGATCCCTTCAGTGTATGTACTAAGTCGTTGCAACGCAGTGGGATGGCTAAGTGGACGCTAGATAACCATCCAATGCCAGAATATCAGGGGCCGTTGAGGAAGGGCCTATAACAGGAGTTAGTCAGTCACCTACCGAAAGCCCGAGGAGCCCCTAATTAACAACTACCAGGGTAGCTTGTTTAGATACGGATTTAGGTATTTAGGCACCTAACGGAGGCACAGCTGGTGCAGTCTGGTTCCTTGGCGAGTGTGAGTGGATGAAAGTGCGGCCGAACACCGACGACTGACGTATGCGGAGTTCTGACAACCACTACAACCCACCAAGGTCGTTTCTTCACCACCTGCGTTTCAATCGTCGGACGTGACTCCCAAACATAGCAGTGGGCAGGCAATTTTTTGTAGTTGGTTGTTTGAGCATGCATAACTGACTACATTTTCCATTTCCCTTCAGACGACTTTCTCCCTGTCTCCCAAGAACATTCCTTGACTTATTGAGAGCAACACCATGGCTGAATCCCACCCAGTTGGAGCCCCGCTCCAGGGACAAGACACGCAACTAGAATCCGACTCTGAAAATGAAGAACAAATACAGGATCAGCAACCAGATACCGCTGAAGGCTCCGCCACCTCCAAGCCTAAGAAAAAAAAGAAGAAGTCCAAGAAGTCCAAATTGGTAAATGCTCTTACAGGCAAGCAGGAGGACACCTCTTCTGAACCCGCGGAGGCCTCTACATCCAAATCTGCCCCGAAGTTGGACGATGCTACTATCAAGACCCTGCTCGACGTCAATCCTGCGCTGAAAGGAGAATTGGCTGGCCTGCCACCCGAGAAAGCACAGGAGGTTTTGAAGAAGTTGAATGTGTCAGACCTACTGACTGGGCTTACCATCAACGGAAAGAACCAAAAAGATATGGCTTCGTACAAATTCTGGTCAACCCAGCCTGTATTGCGCTTTGACGAGAGGCCGGATGACGAGAAGCCGGATGGTCCAATCAAACCAGTCATTCCAGAACTGGTCCCCAAGGACGCGGCGCCGTTACCGGAAGGATACGAATGGGTGGAGCTTGACCTAAACAATGAAACTGAAGTCAAAGAAGTCTACAACCTTCTTTCTTTGCACTATGTCGAGGACGATCATGCTATGTTCCGTTTTAATTACTCGGCCGTTTTTTTGGACTGGGCTCTGAAGTCCCCCGAGTACAAGAAGAGTTGGCATATTGGTGTGCGAGCCAAAGGGGCTAACCGAGTCCTTGTGGCCAGTATTTTTGGAATACCAATCAAATTGAGGATACGTGAGAATATCTTAGATGTTGTTGAAATCAATTTCATGTGTGTCCACAAGAAGTTGAGATCGAAGCGATTGGCACCCGTTCTCATCAAGGAAGTCACCAGGAGATGTCATTTGGTTGGAGTCTACCAAGCTATCTATACTGGTGGTGCGATTCTACCCACCCCAGTAGGAAGTGCCCGATATTTCCACAGAAGCCTTGATTGGTTGAAATTATATGAGGTTGGCTTTTCTCCCTTACCACCCAACAGCACACAGGCGAAGATGATTGTCCGAAATCAGTTGCCGACTACCACGAGCACGGAAGGACTCAGATTAATGCAGGAGAAGGACATCGACGGGGTGCATGACCTTCTCACACGCTACCTCAACCGATTCGACCTGGTCCAAGAATTCACCAAAGAAGAGATCAAACACTGGTTTTACAACTCGCAGAAACCCGAGGACCAAGTTGTCTGGTCGTTTGTGGCTGAAGGAGAAAACGGAAAAATCACCGATTTTGGCAGCTTTTACTGTCTGGAGAGCAGCGTCATTGGAGACATGAGCAAAAAGCACCCAAACATTCGTGCTGCTTACCTCTATTACTATGCCACCGAGCACGCTTTCAACCCCAAGGAGAAAGGCTTAAAGGAGAGGCTTCTAGTGCTGATTAATGATTTGCTCATTGAAGCGAAGAAGGTAAGTTCAATAAACTGGTTGCATGAGAGCCTGTTCATTAACGTTTTCGACACAGGCCAAATTCGATGTCTTCAATGCCTTGACCTTGCACGACAACCCTCTGTTCCTTGAGCAATTGAAGTTCGGTGCCGGAGACGGCTCACTTCATCACTACTTGTACAACTGGCGAACGAAGCCTATCAATGCTGGAGTCGACAGTAAAAACCGACCAGACGAGTCCAAGAGAGGTGGCATTGGCATTGTTTTGTTGTAAGAATTGCCAGGTCAAGCCTTCAGAGACGTGCTCTACATTCGATCATTCTCTTCTCCTTCCAATAATTTGGAAGGATATATGGGTGGGCGGATGACGCGTACTGGGCTAGCGAGCTGGGGGACTGAAAAAGGAGAGGAATGATTGATGAAAGCAATGATCACTTGCATAGTATGGGATGAGTCGAAATTGTGTGCTGGGGTATGGTGAAATGATATGGCATGGTGCAAAGTGATATCCCACCTCGCTCTGTCTGGCATTTCGTATCAGCCACGTTGACCCATTTATGATTTGTGTGAACAACAATGCAAGAATCTCTCGAGATTTGTCGTGTTTCGCTCTGATACCAGGTGGAAAATTCTGAACCGTTTCCGGTTGCGTAACATGTACCTCTATGAACGCCATCGCCATGCAATCACAGAGTGGACAATGATATCGTACATGAACATCTGCACTGTTGACTCCACGCCATGAAGCCAGGTCTCTTCTTTTCAACAGAGGGTTTTCGTCACTTCTCTCACAAAACCTGAGCGCGAGAGCGATATTTCGCCCTCGCAACTGCTAATGAGCGTGAGTGGAATGCGTAAGCCCTTTTCAGGTAGAGGTCTAGACGCCGTAAGCATGAGTATGTGAGCAATCTGGACCTCCGCGAAAGAAAAAAAAGAGCACTCCCATTTCCCAAGGCTCAGAATCCCGCTACCAGGCAAGGAGGACCTGAGCATATCTTTGACGAATTCCTGGGGGGCTCTAGTTCGCCACGCAATGTTCCTCTCCCAATCGAACCAGAGTTTTCGGCGGGCGCCAGTTTGTGAGGACACACATTCCCACCTCGACACTTGTTCTATTTCCCTTGCCGTTGCTTATGCCTCGGGTTCTTGCTGCAGATAATGTACACGCGGTTCTTGCGGCGCACAGGCTGAATGGTGTTAGTTTGACAAAGTTAGATATACCTCCTGTAAGACGCGATTCTGCGTGGTATTGTCGGAGAACCCACCTTGCACCCATCGCATAACCTCTTCACCGACGAGCGGGTTTTCATGCCGCGAACCTGACTGCTCGACAGGGTTGCAGAGACGGATGTTCGTGCCGTGGCGGTAGGGATCGTCGAGCTGCGGGCTAGGAGAGAACTGAATGGCTGCATCGTCGTCCGGGATGTGCTGCCGAGGAAGCGCGTGTGTGGGATGAGCGAGCGGAAGAACATCAGGCGCCGCGAGAGCGCCGCGAGCGGGAGCATGGCGGCGGCGGCGAGAGTTGATAAAGAGGGAACGTCGTTGGTTCTCTGCTAGTTCGCGGGAGAACAGTGCCTTTGGGGTTCGGAGTAACTTGAGGTGCCCGGTTTGTTGGTGGATCTTGCTCCGGTAGCTCTACAAGGCCGTGTTTTGGGCCGTTGAAAGCAGTCCGCAGGTGTGGTGCGACGAGAGTTTGAGGAGGCGTTCAATCTCAAAAGTCCCAGAAGAGGAAGAAGCTTCAAGTTGCTTCGGGGATGCCAAGGCATAGCGTCGGCTTACCTAATATCCAGCCTTGCGAGGCTGACTGGTGGCGTGCAGTGGATAGAAAGGGCTCAATTACGAAGTGGTTTTGTCAACATCTCATTGCTGTATGTCACCTTAATCCTGGATGATCGGCAAAATGCTAAATGGGGAGAAGCCCCCCTGTTTCAACTCGTAAGCATATTAGGATATGGCTGAATGAGCCACTCCTCTCCTGAGACTACAGTTGCCAAAAGAACTCCACAAATCCAGGAACTTGTCGCCTTCCTTTCCTTAGAACACCATCAATAGGTACCAGTGCTCATATCTTCAACAAATTTCTCCCCACTCCTTCACAGATTAGTTCTGCATATCTTTCTGGTGTGAACCGATCCTCCTTTTCCGACCCTCCCACTGATGCATTGACGTCTAGGGTCCCGACCCCGGGTTCAAAATCAAATGTTCGCTTGGTGTAGTACGGAAAGACCTCATTGATCTTCTTCAACACCTTAGACAACACACGCATCTTTCGCGCCATCTTAGGTTTGCGTGTGAGATCGAAATAAAAGGCGGCAAGAAATAATGGAAGGCGCTGGGTACTGATGTCGTACATATGGAAAGTCATGTTGCGCGGCCCCAGGTAATTCAGCCTCGGCTTTCGAAAATTGCTCGCTGCTTGACTCGGGCGGACATCTTTGAAATACCGGACTGCTGTGGATGCCAGTACTCTGATCGGTAAGCCTCGCTTGACGCCAGCAACAGAATGAATGATTGATATGTTGTTCCATGACTCCATTGTACCACTGCTGCTACTACCAGTCCATGCGCAAGGAGCACCTGATACGAGACGTGCCTCGCGTAAGATATCATTCGCAACCGCATCGACAGGTACGACATCCAGAATGGCCTCTTCTCTAGCATCAATAACTTTAAGGTAGCCTACGCCAATCAGAGTTACAAAGCCCGCAACTGCTGCCTTGCTATCAATCCAGCCGGGGATCGGATATTTCCAAGCACAGGAGATGATGCTAGGGCGGACAATCTTGATAGGAAACATGTCTTTGTAAGCCAGGTAGACATGCTCAGCTAAACACTTTGTGAGGGTGTAGGTGTTTGGATGACCGGTTTCCCTTAAAAGTGTAGCCTCATCGACCCGACCATGTATAATATTATGATACAGGTCGGGAGTTGGGTATGGAAGAGGGACAACAGTTGGCGGGATGGGTAAATCGGTGAAGGGGGCAACATAGCTCGTCGAGGTTGTGACTATTGCTTGCAACTTGGGACATTCAGTCGCAAAGCGGAGCATGTTCATTGCACTGCCAACGTTCGCAATGGTTGCATCAATGAGAGGGAGATCAAAAGCTACAGCAGCTGCGCAATTGATGATATGCGTGATTTCTGAAAATATTCGTAGCCTCGTTTGCGCATGTAGGCCACAGTTCATTTGCGTCAAATCACCCTGAACAACCTCAATCTTCTCATGCCACTGCGGGCGAAGCACGCTGAAGCAAGGGGATGCGACAACTTCGGAAAAGAATCGCTCTTGGGCACAGTGGTTGTTTGATGGGCGAAGGAGAACAATGACCTTCCGTAGACGACATTCTTCGAAGTGTCGAATGAGTTCTTCGAGGACGACTTTCCCAAGGAGCCCCGTCGTGCCAGTCACGAAGACCATGGAAGGCTCGGAAGCTGACATCTTGTTCGTATCTTTCGCTGATAAGCAAGGTGTTGCTCCGGTGCAAGGGGAGGGATGATATCTCCTGCTGGTCTTTTTAGACGGATCAAGGCTTAAGAACTCTCGCGCTAGTCCTTCTGATCAAGCTTGTGAGGGTAAAGAGGAATCGAAAGTGGCTCTTTTGTTGTTGAATAGCAATTCCTCATCCCGGCTTCTGAAGCTGTGCCTGTCAAGTAAGTGAGATCAATTGACTAGTGGTGCACAAGAGGGCGATGCTTTCAAAGCCAACAAAGAGAAGATAGATAAATATGAAACGACGTGTCTACTGTCTGAGAGTTCAAGCTGGAACATCATTGTGCACAATCAACCATGGGAATTCAGGTACAGGAAACAAAGAAGCGGAACCACCTAAGGCCAGTTGACATATCGAACTGGGCTGACATTTTGCTTCGATGTCCAAATTTAGGGCGTATGGGTACAGGGCTCAGAGTTCATGTTGGTTAGTGAGTGTGCCTTCCCACTGGGGATCAGGCTGAGGAAAGTTCATATTGAGCGGAGAAGCTGAAACTCAAATAACCTTCTACCAGGGTGGTTCATGAACGGTGGCTGCGAGAAACAGTGATTGGATGCGCGGTACAGGCCCGGGACTGGAACAAAGATTCGGTGTGCTTGGATCACGAGGGCTCATTTGAATAGGAGTAGTCATTTTTGGATAGGGGATGTAGATGAAGATGGACGTCGAGGAGGGTACGAGGGACTGAATACGAGGCATGTTGATACACGGGCAACAAAGAGAAGCCTCACCAGATTAGGTTAGCCGTGATATATTAATTTGGCCAGGTAAGTTGAACTCGTAACACTTCAGGTCCTCCACTGGCGAGCTATTAATTAGTAATGACTAGTATACTCTGTATTCGGTAGTACTCGTAGTACTTTAGTTACGATTGGCCGCCCATACATCTTCTTTCTGCACACTGAGTTTCCCCGTCCCTCTCCCTGACCCGCCCAACTTTCATCCCCACCCAAAACAGCTATTGACATGAACGTCGACAACAAGGAGATTGACGTGTGGCGAGGGGAGAAGCGATGGGGCCTATTCATGCATGACATCGGCGCCGCCTACTCCGTAAGTCCTGTGTATCGCCATCAGAGTCTTCGGGTGGCACTGGTTGGGTGCCGCTGTGGCAGTCCAAACAAACCGAACCGCCTCGAAAATGTCGACATCGGATAACAAACAAAGAACAAGCCTGGCCTTGTCGGAGCTGCTCCACCAAAAAAACTACTGGTAGAGACTCCGAAAGTGGGCACCAGAGGTCCGTATCCAGTGATCTGCTACGCTTAGGTTTGACCCATTCTACATATCATGTCAACCCCCATTCCAGCTCTAGTTACAAGGACCGCATCAAGAGTCGACAAGTGAATTGTGCATTCATTATCTCCGCTCGAAAACTCTGTTCGACGCCAATGGTGCCAATATCCAGTACAAGTGGGCTTTACCGGATGATGCGCCCAGTACTGATCAGCAGTCGAGCGGCTGGCTCGTTTCGAGGAGTACACATCGGTATTGGACTGCGTCTCAGATTCTAGCTGTTTCTGCGACTGGAGGGTTTCTCACATGTCCGACTTGACGAGGTAATGGTATGCGTTGACCGCCCGGCGCTGTATCTTTCTTTGTGTTCACGATGCTGCAGCTGCTGTTCCTCCATCTTCATCGATCCAACTCCAGGGTGCGGCCTCTTGACGCGACCCCCTTCTTCCAATGTTTGGGACAGCCATACCGGACAGTTTGAACAATTGCGAGGCAATAACAACAAAGAAAGTTTAACTTCAACGATCTTCGCTAAGGCAACTTGATGCCTTGAACACGGCTGCTCAGCGAAGACTTTTGAGAACTTTACGGCTTGAATATCTGATAGCACTTCATATGTCCACTTCCCAAACACACATCCTCACCATCAGACGCACCATCTAGGCCATTTGAGATCATTTCTTATGCTCCCCATCATGGACAGCATTTACTACAATGAAACTTACCCTCCACCCCCCGAGATGGCCAACGGACCAGCCACCATCTGCACTCTGGAAACATGCAGTGTCATCTGGAGTATCCTGACTTACAGACCGTCTCTCCCAGTCAACGCTCTATTCGTCGCTCTATTCAGCGCCGCCATGATCCTCCACATCTACCAAGGTTGGCTCTACAAGACCTGGTTTTTCGCCGAGGCTGTCATATGCGGCTGTCTTTGCGAGATCATAGGCTACAGTGGGAGGATCCTGCTGTACAGTAACCCTTTCAATTTTAATGGGTTCATTATGCAGATTGGTACGCAGTCACCACCTTGCAGAAGACTTCCTCTGCTACTCAAGCGTTCGTCAACCGATAGAAGCCGCTTTGGCTGACTATTTCCTGACACAGTGGTAATAAATCTCGGCCCAGCTTTCATATGTGGAGCAATCTACGTGACGCTCAGCCAAACAATCCAACACCTGTCTACCGCGTGCTCACGCTTCTCTCCTCGGGCGTTCTATCTCGTTTTCATCCCCTGCGACATGATCTCACTGGTCCTCCAGGCCGCCGGCGGCGGCGTGTCAAGCATCTCATTGGGACAGAACACCGCCGGGGTGGATTGCACGCTCGCGGGACTCGGCCTCCAGGTCATCACCTTGACGCTGTTTGTCTGCCTGGCTATCGACTATGCCGTTCGCTATTCCAAGTTCCGCCAGATGCGGGAGATCTCGATCTCGATCTCGATCTCGAGCAAGGAATCCCAGGCCATCGAAGACAATGAGGACGGCGAACAACGCCCCGAGGCAAGCGCGGATCCGTTGACAGGACGATTCATGATTTTCGTCTCATTTCTCGCCCTCGCGATCGTCTGTATCTTCATCCGCTGCTGCTACCGCCTCGCGGAGCTGCAGGAGGGATACCAAGGGGATTTGTTCCACCACGAAGCGGCGTTCATTGGGCTGGAGAGTGTGTATGTTCTCGCTCTCCCCTTCTGTACCACTGTGCTCATCTTCCCCTTCCTAAAAGATGTGCTTCATCTTTCTTTGAGGAAGAGTCTGCTAGCTAACATATATCACCTCTTTTGAACATAAGCAGCATGATCATCATAGCCACCTTTGCCCTTAACATCGCACAGCCAGGCGCGGTCCTTACCAAGAACCGCACCAGTGCATTGCCTAGCGCCACCGACGCCGAACCAAGGCCAGGGGGCCAGGTCCAGTGTCGTCCACTTAACATCTGAGGGCGAAATGCGCATGTGAGATATGGAGAGAGGAGAGTGGTGGGTATTTCCGTTGTTGTTAGGGACCGGAAGAATGCGAATTGACCGGTCATGCTAGTTAGCGCACAATTCGGTCGTGTGGGTGAAAACGAGCGTTCTCCGTATCGATTGGAGTTGAAGGACTCCAGTAAATGCCTTAGATACCTCCTGCGCTATCTCCGGGTGAAGTTAGTTAGTTGATGTCGTCACAATAATCGAGCAAAGTGATGGGATGTTTGTGTCCAAGTGTGACTTGGTGGGCGACGGAACGAAGCAAGGGGAAAAGTCGAATGCGGAAGTCTACACTTAGAAATGAAGTCCATTTTGCCCACCAGTGGTTGGATCCTGACTAAACTAAACCATGCTATTCAATGAGTGACTGTGATGTAAGGGTGTCTGGTTAAGCAGCACACACAAAGCATAAGTATGTTGAAAGAATGCCTCTGTTGTCAGATCTGCCGTATACTAAGGATAGTAGTACGCCATATGACACAAGTCGAAAGGCAGGGCTCCGAGCAATTCGGCTCTGCCTAGTACATTCCGTGTACTGTAGAAAGATAAAAAAGCACAATGAAATGAACGGACGCTGACTCATCCACTGTCGCCTGGAGAGATCACATAGGCGGTATGACTGCGACGTCGAAGAAGATGAAGAAAGTGAAACTAAGTCAATCTCGCTGCACCTCAGCTTGCAACATGTCCTCGCGGACGTCGCAAGTGGATTTGCTAGCCCGCATAGGTTATTGTCGCTGCCACACACCAGGACACCTTCTGCATTTAGGACTCGCTGAACCGTCATGCAAGACTCCAACGGAAGAGGACAATACGCCTGGAGAAACTCTTAGTTCAAAACTGTGAATCTCGCATACTTGTGGTGGTGATGGTGGATGCCGAAAAGTCGAAGTTCAGACCGTCGAACGGCGAAGTTGCTTCGTCTCGATTCGATCGCACCTTTCTGGTTGAGATCATCAGACAACTTTGAGATCATGAGATTGGTATAGGGATGCCGCGAGTTGCTTGGAGCACTGCGACAGACAAGAAGAGGTTACGGGACGAAGAGTCGACCTTTGCCACGCGCTGATCCACGTTCCATACCTCGGCCGCCACCGCGAGAGTGAGCTCCTCCTCGACCATTTTGGCCATGATTGCCACGATACCCGGAGCCACGGCTGGAATTGTAGCTGCCTTGCGTGTGGCTGCTAACGTTCACAAGAGGAGTACTGCCGCGACCAAAACTACCTCTATCAAAGGAGTCTGGATCAATCTCCTCGATAGGAATCTGAGGTTGGGTCTGTGCTGCAGGTTGGACAGGGGTACTGAAAGAAGTGCGCGGTGAACGAGTATCCTTGCCTTTGCGGGCTCTGCTAGGAGCGGCGGGCCTGGAGGCTGTCACGGTGGGAGCAGAGCCAGAGCCTCTTCCACGAGGTTTGAAGACGACTTCTTCATCATCGCTTTCAATATCGTCATAGCTGAACAACGTCTTGACCTCTGGCCGTGGGGCTGGTTTGGATTGTTCTTTCTTAGATCTCTCTTCGCGTTTGGGACCATTCTTAACTCCGACGGACTCATCTAAACCTAGAGCACTTCTCAACTGATGAATGTTCTTAGTTGGAATTCCAAAATCACGGGCAAGATGGATGGTATCGGCGGAATTTGTGAGCAGGAAGAAATGGTCGCCAATGGTGGCTTTGTTCTCATGCATGTACCAGACGACAGGATTGAGCAAAGGCTTGAGAGATGGCGGGACTGGTGCTTGATCCTGCTTCACGATGCTCGCGGACTTAACCTCCGGACTTGTCTTTGAGCTCTGAAGGCCGGAGGAAGAAGGGGACAGTGGAGGAGTGGACGTAGGTGAGGTCATGTTTGGATCTTTGGCAAAGTTGAGCTTGTCAAGCAAGAGCTGAGAGAGGGCGCCGCCAGCCGGGGTGGTCTCCTTCAGTCGGACCTCGGCGTCCTTTTCCTGTTTTGTATCCATGGTGCAGATGGAATCATCTTCCCCAACAACAGGGTTGGTCTTCAGGGCGTCATTAATGTAGTGCGCTTCAACTTCAGCCCAGGTTGGGTACTGGTCGTCAGGGCCTTGCAGGATGACAGGATCGTGAGGGAGATCACCGCGCGAAGAGGTAGTCTTGTCAAGAAATTTCACAGCCTTGCGAGCATTCTGGCCGATCTGCGAAGAATCCTTCTTGAGGATGCGGAGTCTTTCGAGCGCTGAGGGAGGTTAGTGGTTTCTGGGAGGGTGAAGGCGGGTTAGGTGGTCATACTGTAGAGAGGAACCACGAGAATGAGGGCGCCCTGCGAGACCCATGGTTCGATCTCGGAAATATTTCTGGTGAGGATGGTATCATCGACCAGACAACGGATAACTGGTTGTGGCGACATTTTCAGTCGCAATCGTTGGGAGTAGAGAGGGCTGAGGACAAGAGTCTTTAGAAAATCATGTGTGCGAAAAGAGGACCGCGTGATATCTAGAAGGCGTGACTGTAGAGACCGGTGACATGTTAGCGCGCCTAGTGCAGAGTGAGATGTAGAGGTAGTGAAGGAAAGTGAAGTGAAGTGCGGGCGGGCAGCTCAAGGTACAGGACTCCGTACCCGAGTTGTTTGAGGCGGGACACGGACTCAGGATAGAGAGCATTTTCGCTAGAAATGGGCGCAGGCCAAGCGGTGGCGAGACACAGGTCTATGAGTAAGAGGGAGCATTGAACGGGAGTTTGAATGTAATCATGTAAGATGAGTTTGCTCTCTCCCTCATAAACACACAAGCTGACAGCAAAGTTGTAACTTGCCAGTCGAGGTGAGTTTGTGTGTGGTGGTGGGAGTGGAAGTGGATTCCAGTAGTAGTCGTCAGTAGTCAGTGCTCCGTAGTTGTACGAACTCAAGAAGTGAGTAACAGACGCGGACGTGGGTGCGGGTGCCAAAGTGCAGGTGCAGGTGTAGGTGCAGGCAGGCAAGCGCTGGCGCAGACGCAGATGCCGGCGGGCGCTGGGCAAATGGGCAAATGGGCAATGAATGGGCAATCGCATGCAGATTTGCGGGTGCCGGTGGGAGGCTGGCAGGAAGGAGGGCACGGCAGAGGGGGTGCAAAGCCACCACCTAAGTCTGGGTACCTAGGCCTAATGAGAGCGCGAGGGGCTTGTGGATAATTCATTGGATCCCTGCCGCCCTAGTGGTCCTCACTCTCTGACTACCCAGGTGGATGGCGCTGGCGTGTGATTAGGCAGATGACGGGCTGGGTCGGGTGCTGGGCCTCTTCGGCCTCCAACAATTATCTAGTGGTGGGCCGTAGGCAACACACCCCAGGCGACTCAGGTGGCACAGGGTACCGAGTTGGTCCTGCCTCCTATGGTTGAACGGAGTACATCACCACCAATGGCTCTCTCCCTTCTTCCCTACGATATACATCTTGGAAAATGATTGATCAGGTTGTTATCTAAGATAGACATCTGAAGCGGCCTCTTATTCGAATCATTCGTGACAAGATGCGGATGGTCACTCATGATCTCCATGACGGTGCAGCTTTGGGAAACGACACCTAGAGCCCTGCTTGCTCTTCAAACGTGCATACCTAAGTGAGGAACCGCCAAAGGACCACCACATCTCAAAACACCGTCAGGCAGCTAACCGTATCGTTCTTCAAAACCTCAAACAATAATCCGGGAAATCCAAATAACTCGGTATTGTTCAATCCACCTGTCCCGTCCGATGACCCTTCGTCATCGCCTTTGTCCTGAACGGAGACTTCTTCAAAATCCCCCAAAAGCTCAATCGAACTCTCTGGACTTTCTGCCCATCCTCGATTCAACACCATCCCCCTTTGCATTTGTTTCTCTTCATCTGTATCCGTGTAAATCTCATGCCACACCTCCTTGAGCGCCGTCGATATGTTTGAAAACCCCATTTCCGACGTTAAAGTCAATCCTCGATTCTCCCCGCCCAGCTTAATTATCCACCGGCTTCTCCGATGTCGATTGAACGAGAATGACCCCGGGATATTGCCATGAAGGAAGATCTTGCTGACCACCAGCTGGGCATTTGACGACGTTGGCAACTCATTACTTGCCGATCCAGGGAATGCTGGCGATTTGCTCCTCGGTAGAGATACCAGAATGTCGAGTCCGTGATGGAAGTAGTTATAGAAGCATTCTTCACTCCTGTCGTCCACTCGCGCCTCTTGTGCATCAGCTTCAAAATCAGAATCCTCCGTATAGCTTTGGATCGATGATTGATCAGTGTCCAGTGCCTGTGGATCTAGGCCAGGTGAGATACTCGGCCGCCGTCTGCTTGTTGCATTACCTGTTGCGTGAATGGAAATCCGCCTGTCATGCTTGCGGTATATGGCATCGGGCGGCCCTAGTTCTGCCACCAGATCTTGTGGAGTCGTCTCATTCAGCACCATTAAGAACGTCGGTGTGCTTCTTCGAACAAACTCTAATCTTCCCGCCCCGAACACTCTCACTTCCTCTACCTCGTCAGGTACCGTCTCTGTCGACTTTCCTATCAATGAAGGGGAACGAGGCAATACTGGCGCCTTTGTGTACAGATTGGACCGGGCTTCTGTCCAAGAATTGCCCGAAAATATGGCCATAGAGATAGCAGGGCCCGTGGCGTTAGAAGACAATAACGAGACGAAGTCAATCTTGTCCGACCACGATTTATGCTGGATCGGGAATGTAAATGCTAGTCCAGGATACGAGAGAACATAAGTGCCATTTGTTTCACCTGATCCTGGCGGGATATACTCTCCCGCGTAAGTAGGCCCAAATAAACGGTTGTAAACGTGTTTGAATGTTGGTCCGCTGGCGGACATTTCGCTCTGTTGTACCTCATCCGAGGGTCTGTTGCGTCTCACAAGATCAATATTCTTGTAGGCAACAGCACTCAGTGAGAAGTCCAGAATCTCGATCAAGCGTAGCCTTTGATCAGGACCATCAAATCGGAGTCTCAAACCATTGTGAGCAAGACCAATAATGACAGGGTTGTTTATCGGAGACGATGGAGTATATGATATATCAAGTCCTGGAAATTGCTCTGGAGAAGCCTTCAGCCTCGATACGATACTATGAAGCGACGATCCTAGATCTTCCAAAAGGCCATGTTAGCAGGGCTTAATTCAACTCTGGGAAACCCTTACTGATCCACCCCAGGCCTCTTTCTGGCTGGATCTGGAGTGCCATTGCAAGCTTGAGGTTGGAATCTATCATGTTTCGTCTGACAACATGTGAACATAGAGCGTTGACGTACAATTATTAGCTTTGATCCCAAATCCCACGCTTGCAAGTACGCCTCAGCCACATGACATACAAGGAGTCAGAAGGGTGATGTAGTCTGAGCGGACCAATAAGAGCGCCTCAAGATTATGCGCCATGAGTCACAATGATCGACAGAAGCTGCTACAACCATAACTTAGAGTTTCTTGGCATTGTTTACTTTGCAACTGTTTTGGGGCACGTCCGATTCATATCCGCAGCCACATTCCCTGCTGGGTATCATCAACCCCGGCCCTACCCTTCATAAGTATCTCAACCGTAAGAGCGGTTGACTGCACATCGTGAAGGACTGCATATCTCAATCGCCTACAAGGTACTCTGCGCGACCTCTAATATGGCCAGTTGGCATCGCCCCAACCCTTCTGCTGGGCGCAATTCTATGCGCCCTCCTCCAAGACCAACCCATAGCCATAATGTCTCAATGACTGGGCGCGCACCCTCTCCGGCTTTATCGACCACGTCAGGGACCACATCCAACGCAGGAACAAAAAGAAAAGAAAGAGATTTCGAACATGACCATGGCGAGGAGACCAACATCAATGTCGTTGTGAGATGTCGAGGGCGAAGTGAGCGGGAAGTCCGGGAGAACAGTGGTGTGGTTGTATCCACAAATGGTGTCAAAGGAAAGACTGTTGAGCTGTCTATGGGACCAAATGCCATCAGCAATAAAACTTACCAGTTTGACAAAGTCTTCTCGCCAGCCGCGGACCAAGCCATAATTTTTGAAGATGTGGTCGCGCCAGTTCTCACCGAAATGCTCTCCGGATACAACTGCACCATTTTCGCCTATGGCCAGACTGGCACTGGAAAGACATACACCATGTCTGGCGACATGACTGACACTCTTGGCTTGCTCTCGGATGCGGCAGGAATAATCCCGCGAGTTTTATACTCGCTGTTCCAGAAACTGGAATCAGACGAGGTCGAATGCTCGGTCAAGTGTTCTTTCATTGAACTTTATAATGAGGAACTGAGGGATTTACTGTCGGCCGATGATTCCGTCAAGCTCAAGATTTACGATGATGCAAGCAGAAAGAGCCATATTGCGACAACCGTGCAAGGAATGGAGGAATCTCACATCAAGTCCGCAGCAGCTGGTATCAAACTGTTGCAGGCGGGTAGCCATCGACGCCAGGTCGCCGCTACGAAATGCAATGATCTCAGTTCTCGAAGTCACACCGTGTTTGCCATTACTACACATTTGAAGAAAGTGAATGACGCCGGAGAAGACTACATCTGCTCTGGGAAACTTAACCTCGTCGATTTGGCCGGTAGCGAAAACATTCAGCGGAGTGGTGCCGAAAATAAGAGAGCAGCTGAAGCAGGCTTGATCAACAAAAGTTTATTGACTCTCGGCCGTGTGATTAATGCTCTAGTGGACCGGAGCTCACATATTCCATACCGGGAATCGAAACTGACGAGACTACTTCAAGATTCCCTGGGTGGGAGAACCAAAACATGCATAATTGCCACAGTCTCCCCAGCAAAGAGCAATCTTGAGGAGACCATCTCTACGCTCGACTATGCGTTCCGCGCTAAAAACATACGAAACAAACCCCAGGTCAATTCTCTGATTTCCAAGAAAACACTATTGAAGGAATACACAGCAGAGATCGAAAAGTTGAAAAGCGAGTTAATTGCCACACGACAAAGAAACGGTGTGTATCTTACCAATGAGCAGTACGAAGAGATTACCGTAGAAAGCGAATCTCGAAGAATCTTAAGCGATGAGCAAAAGGCAAGAATCGAGACCATGGAAGCAAGCCTTCGAAACAAAGTTCAAGAATTGTTCAGTCTTACAAACAATTTCACTCTGCTGAAACGAGACAATGAAGCAACACGAACTACATTGGAAAGCACCAAGGATGTCCTCGTCAAAACAGAAGCAGTGCTTGCCAATACGCAGGAAATTCTGGCGGATGAAAACGCCCTCCGCGAAGCACATCAAGCAACAGAGGAAGAACTCTTCGGTCAAGGCACCGAACTGGTCTCCACAATCGGCCAATCACTAAATGATATCAACGGACTAGAGGCCAAGTTGCGACGCCGTTCGGATCTTCATACTCAAAATCGGGAGTCGTGGAAAGCTTCTGTTGACCGAGTAGCAGACATCTCCAGCATGGTAGACGCTCGACTCGAAAGCTTCCAAGCTTCTCATGCGGAAATGATTGCAACAAGCGCAAATTCCATCGAAAAATTCCTGTCGACAGAAAGAACGCGACTGGAGATATCAGCAAGCACCATGCTCACAAAGATATCTGAGCTGGATCAAAATGGTAAGGACGTGGAGAATCAGTCTTGTAATGAGCGAGATGCGATGAACAACGTCCTCGAAGAAATCAAGGACCTTCGGGAGGATGTGAAGGAAAAGGTCAGCAAGGGCTTGCAAGGTCTTTCAAGGGCAGCAGCAAAGATCTCGGCAGAAGTCATTTCGGAACTCGACCAGTTCCATGCTCAGTTGCATACATCTTATAGTGGCTTGGGCAAGGACTTCAAAACATTGTTCGACGAGTTGACTCTTCAACTCTCTGTACAGCGCCAGGAAGCCGATGAGCTACGATCGGCGCTTGAGATAGCGAATCGAGCAAATCTCGAAGCAACATTGGCGGCATCGACTCAACTGCAAGCGGTATTGGAAGAAGAACGCAAAACCTCGCAGCAAGAAAGGGAGACGCTTAAGCAACAAATCTTCCAACTGTTGGAGACATCAGCTGTTCAGCAACAAGAAAGACTGTCACAGAGACTGATCAGCACCCAAACCAACCTTGTTGAAGCCACCGAGAGTTTTGAATCGGCCGACAAAGCGTACAGAGAAGGAATGGACAAATGGTGTGTCCAAGACACGGATTTGATGGCCACCGTTGTCAAATCGAAGGACGAATTAAAGACTAAAATGAAAGGGGATTGGACGGTAAGCTGTTTGATGACACCGTTCGGTATTGCAGAGCTAACAGTTGACAGGCTATCAATTCTCGCAACACCTCTATTCAAAAGTCGACCAAAGCTGTGCACGAAGAAACCGTGAAGATCGTTGATGCTCAACTCTCGGAAATGGCAACTCAAATGGCCGCTCTTGATGAGTTCGTGACAAGGGCTCGGTCCCAAAATGATAGTCATCACGCAGCGCGAGTTGTGAGTTTGGGTCATCTCACTGCAAGTGCGCAGGATGGACTTGCTCGCGCTAAAGACGATGCCGATGAATGTAGAGTAACATTTGGTGAATTCAATGAAAGCCAAATTGTACAAATGGCCGAGATCGAGCGACTAGTGAGCAGTCTCCAGGATGATACTAGACCGCCCTTGCAGGAACTCCAAGCAGATATTTTGGACAGCACCATGACAGATTACATGCCGACAGGGCAGACTCCACAAAAGAGAGAATGGACTTATCCAACTCAACTTTCACGGACAGCCAATCATGAGTCCGTCATAGCAAGGCGGAGAGGTTTGCCAGATCCAGCCTTGGCCATAATCAAAACACCAACTGGCACAAAGACGCCTGGGCGATCCCCACGAAAGCAACAAACGTCACCTCGAAAAGGAGCCGCTTCGCCTTCAAAGCCACCGAGTCCAAGCAAGACCAGGGTTTTTACAGATATTCAGGATTCTCAAACAGCTCAATCTTCCAAAGCAATCCCTGACCACGGTCATACTATCTCGATCCCGATTGATCAGATGAAGTCCGGGCTCAAGGAGATCGACATCAACGTGGTGCCACGGCCGACTTCATCGTCAGCAGCAGCAGTTTCCGCAGACGAGCGACCGGTGTTGATAGACTTCAGTAAAAGTATTGGCAGTACCGGGGTTGGATGCAATGGGCCGCCTCCACTGAAGCGACACGCAACGACGAACGCGGTCGTCGAGAGTAGGCTGCCTATGAAGCTGCCAAGATCGAGGAGTACTGTGGCAGCGATGACTACTGGCGTAGAAAACTTCAGCCAGAGTGTTGGTGCCCCTCCTGTGCTCTCGACTGGGAGGCGATTGAGGAGTAGCCCTCCTGAGTGAGCGGATGAAGAGAACGATCAATCAATCGGGGTTGGCCTGGTGAAGAGTTTACGCGTCGGTCGGCATCCAAGATATCAATCTGATCCCTATCACTATGAGCGAGGCGTGGCGGACACACTGGGAAATTAGCGATGGTGCTTATGTTCTTATTCCCCTTGTTGACTGTTGTTTCTTTTTGGTCAAGCACGCTTGTTATCAGGTAGCCAGGGCCTATTAGCGAACCACTAATTGGTCAAGGAATTCAGCAAGGGTTGGGGGGGTAGCTCTGGCACAGCATGCAGATCACATATTAGACAGCCAATGCGACGGAGGGTTAAAGAAGCGATACTTACGAACTGGATATTGAGCCTTTTAAGGCTATTGAAGTAGGCGCGGCCTCTGATACCGGGAGTGTCCTGAAGTTGCAGCTCGTATTGCGAATGGCAGATCGCCGTCGCAATGTGAATACACATGTTGATCAAGATTGCTGGTGGCATTGTCACAGAGTATCGCTGGGTATTTTCTATGGAACTCCAGATCAATAACCCCGAAACGGGCCTTGTACATGGCCGCTGTAGTGCCAGAGGTGCACTGTCAGCTGGCGATAAGCGACGGTTGATGTACGAGTACATACGAGTAATTGTCGTACAGGATCAACATCACGGGCTATCCCCGTCAACTTCAGCCTCGACGAACACAGCCTCATCTGAGCCTTGTCTGAAATACCAGGCATATGCATCCTATAATGGGGAGGTGTACGGTAGGTAGATATCGAGTATATCTCGCCATGTCGTTCGATGTCTAGAAAATGGTATGACCCTTTGCGGACACCTCCTTAAACATCGCACAGACGTCAGATTCAAGAACATTTTCTACATTTTCCAAAAAAAGAAAAAAAAAAGGATACAAACTGAATATCCAACATGTCCACTCCTGATTCAGACTTTTACCGCTTACAACTACACACCTTCTCTGGCAGCAGCGATCGTATTCACGGCTGTCTTCAGATTCTCAATAGCAATCCACATTTACCAATGCAATTCGGCGAACTCAAAACTACTACATGATGCCACTCGTCGTGGACGGCATCGGCGAGCTGTCGGGGTACATCTGCCAGACTACCAGCTAACGGCGTACATCGTGCAGACGATCACCATCCTGAGCATGCTGGTCATCGACGGCGAGTCCTGCTTCATCATCCGGCAGGTATTCCTCACGCTGGTCTCCATCTGTGGAGCCGTGTTCTCTCTCTGCGTGCAGTCGAGTGGTGCTTCGATCTTGGGCCAGAACAGAGAAGGCAAATGGATCGTCACAGGAGGGTGTATGGGCGTTCTCTCGTTCTCTCTCGCTCTGAAGTTTCACTATTCGTGGAAGTAAATAATAGACTTGCAATAGTACAACTTTTGCCTTTTTTGGCCCGTGTGTGTCGTGTGCGCACACCGTGAAGAGGTCGCCTGAAACACAAGGGGCAAACTTGATATCCTTGAAATGGAAGGGGTGTGTTTTGGATGTGCGTGAGAGGTTGAGAGGGAGGGCCGGGGGGGGGGGGGGGGGGAGGGGGGTGTCCCTCAATACTAGAGCCTGCGGTCTCTTACATATTCTCACTGTCTGGTTCCAATGCTGAGATTGGGCCCTCATCGCTCTTTTAGAATTATTGGGTATTTCTTTCCTGACCAATGACCAAGGCAACCAATCCAGAACTCCCAACGATGGTATAACAGGTAGAAAACCAGTAACATCGTATCACTCGGTCGAGTCACTATTTCAGCGCTATTCTAGCATGACCCAGGCGCAGAAAATCAAGGCCTCTTTCGTAAAAGGAGGGCATAAAACTGCTTCCCGGTTGACTAGTCATGCAAGCCTAATCCTATTCCTCTGCGACGCCGGTCTCCAAAACCTGTCGAATCTCATCCATGCGTCGTTGAAATCTCTCAATCATGTCCTCCATAGTCTCCTTGCTAGTTAGTTTCTCCTTTTCTTTCTCGCCCAGTACAGTCCCGGGTGGGGTGCTGCCACGGCCTTCGATTCTAAGCATCAAACCCTCATCCTCGTCACCATCTCCATCACCGATTGTTGGGGCAGCAGTTACTTTGGACTTGAGGACTTGCCATTCGGCGCTCAGGCTGTGTGCCGACGTTACATGGAAAGGGATGAGCGAGGTAGGTGCTCTAGGAGACGAGCTTGGTATAGAGACTTGTGCCTGTTGCGAAGCGCTCTGTTGGGGAGTCACGCGAGGATGGATATCAAGTATTAGATAGTGTTCATGGATACCGGGAGTAGGGGGCGGGAGTCGTGATTGCGGCTCGTGCTCCTCCTGGTGTGTCTGGGACGGCTCGGATTGCTGAGAAGGATCAAGGACTTCTAGGCTGCGACAGGCCGCTTCAGCAATGATATCCGAGTCATCGTCCTCGAAGACGTAGTATACCGTTGGGTGGTAATGCTCGCTGCTCACACTATCCTCGATCAAGGTGAAGAAAGGCTGGAAAGTTGCAGGCAGAACGGGCACACGATCGCCATGTGTAGCCTCGTCCGCATATTGGATCAATGACTCTTCAGGGTCATCCCCGAGAGCGTGTCCCGAGTATGCTATTCCAACGTCTTCTGTAAAGGAAGCACTCGGGCGTGGACTCTGATGTGAAGCAAGGATGGGATCGTCTTCAAAATGTGGAGATGGGAGAAGGGTACGGACTGGAGGCTGCGGCTGAGGAGGACCGCCGATACTGCCAGGTCGCCGTAGGGAGGACTTGGTCGGCGATGATGATTGTGGAGGCACTTGTCGAGGCAGGGACATGGCCTAATTGATGGTTGGGGTGGAGTAGGAGGCTACATTTTGCTAGCCATGATGGAGAGGAGTTGGATGGATATATCGAATGTTGGCCAGGCAAACGAGGCACATGATGGACGTGAAACACCAGCACCCAACCGGGACCGGAGAAATAATTACATAAGAAACGACCCATCTTGACAGGGGATCCTTCCATAAGGCTGCACTGCCCTCGGCTGCTCCTTACCACCGATTTAGACTCATCTGGCTCACCAATTCCACCAGATAGCCAGCTATAGCACATACCGCACAAGGGGTCGATTATTGGCTAACGAGTGATCAAGGCGGGCGAGTGATGTTTATACCATCTATGCAATCCATTCGTTTACAGAAACATTGGAAATGTAGCTCCAACATCAATATCTTTCTTTCTTTCATTCGTTAGGGAGCCATAGACTTGCCAGGCAAAGCCAAACGACTTCATGGTTTCGCTTTTCTCCTCCTCCCACTAGAAGCCTTCCTCGAGTTGCGCTTCCTTTGAAGTTTAGGGGCACTAGCCTTGTCGTTGCCTTCAGTCTCGACGTTATCGTCGTCACTGTTGAAAGAACCGTGCTCGCCGTCTGCAAGGGAATCGTGATTGTCATCATCGTTGCTGCCCCACGCATCTGTCCGAGGGGTCGCCCGTCCATTTCGTTTCGGCCTGGATCTCTGCTTTGCCGTTCCACGCTCGTCATTGGTCTCAACGGGATGTGGACCATCTCCATCAAGCAAATTCTCCACGAATGCGGGTTCAGCTAAACCTTCAACTTCATCTGCTTCATTGTCGTCGTCTGCCTCGTCAAGGCCCTTTCGTCTTCTCTCCGCCTGGCCTCGTAGCCTCTTGAATGCGTTTCTCATACGACCTGATTCCTTGCCTGTGCGGTTCCGCGGCGCGGTCGGTTCTTGGAGCGTTCCGCCAGGAGCGGGAATGCTCTCGCCTCCAATTGCCAAACCGGAGTTTCTCCCTCCAATACCTCTGCCACCGACGCCAACACCACCAGAAAAGAATCTTGTAATGTTACTCTGCGTGCCCTCCGCCTCCCTCTTGTTCATGTCCCTAATCACCGGGACGAGCACTTCGTCCGTGCGCTCTTGGTTCCAACCGACAGTGGCCATGAGGAAGCCCCTCAGTTTATCCAAGTCCGGCACACCCCACTGGAACGGCTCCGTATTAGAATCGACGTCCGGGTTCAAGTATGCTTCATCGACACGCATGTCTGGAAAGCCAGGAGGTAAGAAGAGGCGTTTTTGGACGGTATTACGAAACTTGCGCCGAAATGGTGTTGTCAATTGGTCTTCAAGATCCTTCGGACGACCGAGTTGGACTTTGCCACACCACTCTTTGAAGTCTGTCAGGGTCTCAAAATCTGTCAATATTTCGAGCGCAGTCACAGGCCCAACTCCAGGGATACCTTCGGTGTAATCACTGCCCAGGAGGTGTGCGAAGCGGATTAAGCGTCTCCGATCCAGCGAGAACTCCTTCTCGAGTTCATTGGCGAGGTAGCATTCGACAAACTTGGCAGCATTAAACATGTTTTTGTAGACTCTTGTGCCACCGAAGAGAAAGATATCCGAGTCATCAGTCACGATGCCATCCACGAGACCTAGATTCACTAATTCTGCACATTGTGCCTCAGCCTCCATGGGCGCCGTGATGTAGGGAAGTCCAAAGTGTCGCAGCAAAGCCTGACACTCCTGGACCATGACCTGTGTGACCTCGTCGGCGTCGCGTCGATCTTTCTTCTGCTGAGACCGTAGTTGCTTCAGCTCCATCTCGTAGTCCCGCACGTCATTTGCAGGCGTCTTCTGGTTGTTAATCGCTGATGCGAATCTTGCGTGTTCATTTGCTTCAATTTCGAGTTGTCGGACCAATTCTTCTTCAGACTCGGACATGTAATCGAACTCGAACTCATCTCCCTTGACGGAAGACTCGCCTTTTTTAGCTGAAAGGGCTCCAGGCAGTTGGTCGTCCTCTACAATAGCGGAAGGAAATTTGGTACCGGCATCATCCAGGCTGTCCGCTTGCGGGCTCTCGCTGTTCATATAGATGTCCCTCTGCCTTAACGTTGGGGCCCGCTGGACATCTAAACCTTCGAAAACTTCATCTCCATCATCGCCTTCCTGGGTGACCTCCGGCCTCAATTGTACAGGATTCGTCAGTGGATCGACGGCAACTGTGCCAAGTGAGCCAGGACTTCCAAGATCACCGTGCTCAGATTCGCTCCATTCAATTTCATCAATCTCGCTCTCGGGAGTCTCTGGCGCCTCATCGTTAATTGACAATGAGGCTGCTCCAGGCACGAAGTTTGCGATATTCGTTGGCTTCGGTGGCTCAGCCTTGGCCATTTCTGCGACCTCAGACATCGAAACCTCTTGCGACTCATTCTCCGCTGCGATGTCTCGTCCCAATTGATATCGCTGCTCGCGTTCTTCGTCTCTTTTGCGTCGCTCTGCATCCTCAGAGTCGTGGTTCGGGTTAGGAAGCTCCTCTACTTGGGTAAGGAGGAGATCTTCTGTGTTGGCAGCTTGAGATAGCTGAGTCAGTTCTTGAGAATCATCCTGGACATCAATCTCGACGTCTTGGTCTAAATTGATCGGAGCCTGACTTGTACCCTCATTATTTTCCGCCTCCAGATCAACAACCTCATGCGAGTCATGACGTCTAATTGTATCTAGCCTGTCCATATCTTCTCGACCATAATAGATTTGACGGTCGTCATCGGCCTCATCCACCATTGTGGCGGGCTTCAAGTCTTTCGTTGTTGGAGCGGCATTGAACCAATCCGGCATCGGCTGTGGAGGTCTCTCTTTGCGGTACATATCATCACCGAGATCTCGATCGAATCCCCCTGACAAATCTTCTTCTATCTTCCTGGACTTTTTCCTGCCTAGAAGTGATTGTCCAAGGTTCAAAGACTCAAACGGCAAGGGCCCATCAAACTTGGGAGCTAGAAGGACTGCTTTCTGTTTTGGACTTTGGTTCCGCACATCAGCCTTCGTGGTATGCTTTGATCGCCTTGATTCTGCAAGCGCAGCCTGTAGGTCGAAACCATCGTCTTCATCGCCCCCAATGTTTGGTGCTGGTGCACTCGGAACATTCTCCGACAGGAATCCACCGGCAGGTTCCTCGTGCTCCGGATGTTCCAGAGACATCGCAATCGCGCGTTGCAGATCATCAGCCTCTTCTTCAGATTCAACTGGAAGCGGAAGAACATCTTCAAACAAATTGTCATCCTCCTCATTTCCAGGACCCTCCTGAGGTACAAACAATGACTCTCCAGCTACCGTTGTTGGTTTGACGGCAGTTGGTTTGGGTGTATGGTGCACTGCTGGTCGAGACGCTGCGGCGTCTTTTCGTGCCTCGTACACAGCTCTTCGTTTTCGTGCTATCTCCTCTGCAGCCTCTTCAAACGACATGTCGTAGTCCACAGCCTTGCGCTTCCGCTGTAAATTCTTCGGCAATCGATTGAGACCTTCGATGGCAATGTCCTCAAACTCTTCCTCTTCCTCTGAATCTTCGGGCACTTCATCGGAGTGGCCTTCCTCCTCTAGATCGATCGCATTGTCTTTGTGATTGCCCTTCTTGTTAGACACAACACCAAGCGCCCAACCACCATCGACTCCCTCATTTTTGACCAAGATATACTCTTTCCCCTTCTCACCCGCGATCCTGCCGCCCTGATTCAAAAAGTCTTCCGCCATGCCATTGATGTGCATGAGTCTCTGAGTCAGCTCATTCCTCTCCTTGACTCGCTCAATTTGGAACTTAGAGAAAGCCATGCGATCTGGAAACATGCCGTCAAGCTGTTCCTTCGAATACCCCATCCTCAGTCGTGACCTCAGGCGTGCTGCGTTGAGAATGTTATATCGATCACCTGCTGGTAAAGACAGGAAGAAAGGACTCTCGAAGTCAATCTTGCTGAAGTCGTAGACGTTTATGTCCTCTCCACTATGGAATTGTCGTGCATAGTCTTCGAGCTCCGCCTGTGACATGATACGTGGGTCATTGGGAGCACCCATGGTCTCGATACTGACATCAAGATCCGGCAAGTGGTATTGATCTTTCCGCTTGAATCCCCTCCCTGCTTGCCTTTCTGTAGCCGTCAGTCCGATTTCCTCGACATAGACAAGCTCCTGATCAGGTGGCAGCTCTTCTTCCTGAGGTGTGCGTTCTCTTGCAGATTGCCGCCTCTTCTCTTCCTCTTCTGCTGCCCGTGCGACCTGAACCGCTAGTAATTTTCCCGCCGTGCGTGCGGCATCCTCTCTTCTCCCTTCCCGTCTCCTCGCTCGGTTTCGTAACGTTTCGCGCTTCAGAATGGGGGCCCCGCCATCAAACACAAAGACGGGTTTGATGCCATAGTACAGGAGTTTGCATATCCGTCTGAAGAACCCAACCACATGGCTGTTGCGCAGAGCATTCCCTTCCTTATCTCGGACTGCTTTTAGGAACTGGTATATCCATATTGAGGCGTCGATCGCGAGACGTTTTCGGTTTAAAGAGGCAAGCTGAGTTGGGCGCGCTGTTGGAGCCACCACTGTCCAAAGTCCGGTGACACCCATAGGCTTCGCAGATTGAGAAGAGTCTCAGGTCTGTGGCCTGCTGGTTTAGTTGTTGGTTCATGAAGGTCACCCGGGTGAAGCTTGAGACAACCAGATTCGTGCCATAGCCGACTCACCGACAAGCAGCTTTTGACAGGAACAGGAATGATTTACTGGAAGTGCGACTATATCCGCAGCCTGCCTGCCAGTGCCCACCTACCTTCCACTCAGCCGCTGTGACTTACCAGCGATTTCGCCACCAATTGACGCGATGTCACATGACCACTGTGCGTAGTCGCGGGCCCCCCTACATATACACTTATTGACGTAAATCAGCACAGATTACTTCTTCTCTGAGTAAGGAATGGCTAATCTGATTGGGATGCACCAATATTGTTCTACAGCTGCAAGCCACCCTGGCTCTAACATACTGCCCAACGCCATGCTATATCATCAGTGATTCACCGACAAGCGTATTTCGCTGAAAAGTCCAATAGAGTGGACATTAAACAACATGAAAATCTTGAGCCATAGATGAAATCAAGGCTGACTCTTTCCTTCCTCCCTTGAGGGCTCACTGGACCCTGCAGGTCCCACTAATGTGGGAGCAATTCTCCTTCGTTTCGCTTTTCCTTCCTCTTTTTCACTCTCACTTGCTGCTCCAACGTCCCGTTTGCCCAAAACACTTCCACTGACAGAACTTGTTGCTGAGTGATGACCGCCATGAGTGCTTGCTGGTGTTTGAGGTGGTGTCGACATGGGTGGAATGGCAATTGGTGCCCCTGAATTGGTTGCAGTGACAAGGGGAACGTGACCCATGGTTGGAGTGGGATTATTCTGAAGGTTAGTGGTCTGCAGCGATGACATCGTTGCTATTGATGATTGCGAGTTGGATCGGGTGGGACTGCCTTGTCGAAATGTGAATGGCGCAGGGGAAGGGTGTGATGGCGGAACGACGACTGGAGAAGCCTTGGTAAGCGAAGGAGATGCAGTCGCAGTGGGTGTTGGGACAGGAGTTGTACTAGCAGATGCGGTCGGGAGTGCTATAGATATGGGAACAACAGGGTGATTGTAAGTAGGATGTGGTCCTGTGTAGGTCTGACCAAGCTCGCCAGGGGTAAATGCCAGGGTTGAGCAATACCCATCCGTCGAGGACATCAAAAGAGTGAGACCGTCGTTTGACCTTCACCTCGTTAGTATCCCTCGTTTGGAAGCATAACTCAAACGTACCAGGTAAGATCAGAAAAGGTTGCATAATGGAGGTTGCTGACCACACAGAGTGGAGTTGTCTGTTGCGTATCATACACAAAGACAGCGTCCTGGGTGGCTACTGCATATACCATGCGATATGGCAACGAAAATGCTGGAGTGGGACCAGGACTGGGAGGTTCACCATCAATGCTGGGTTTTGGAGAAGGTGCTGACATTGACTCAGGAATTGAAGTTGCAGCCATTAGAGGCGGGGGTTCCATGAAGGTCGAAGAAGTTTGTGGAACTATGGGATCTGGTAGTAGTGGGATTTCTTCCGAGCCAGAAGACGTGTCGATAGTAATATGATTAGTAGGCTTGCCTGTTGATCGCAATGTGTATAGGATGGGCGAGCATCTGACGGCAACTGAGGGTTTCTTGTGCCCAGGTAGATGTGCCACCGGCGGCTTGTTAAAGCCAGCTCGAGTATAGATATAGACAGTGTTTGATACCTCCTCGCTGATTTTGGAGGGATCAGAGCCCATGGGAAAGTTCGTCTTGTAGTGGCCAGCTGGGGTAAAGAGCAAGCTACCATCAGGAGAGAAGGTCAACCGCCGGAAGAAAGATGTCATGGTTTCATTGTGATATAGGTTGGTGTTCCTCACGGCCAGCCCCATGGCGGCGTTCAGACTGGGAGAGGAGATTTCAGGTCGGACTGCAGGCAAGGGGAGAGATGGGGCGGGAGAGGCCGAGCGTCGAAATGACGGAGATGAGCCAAAGGAGGATCGTCTACTTGATGCAATGACAGGAGGATCCATTGGTAGAGGAGTGGTGAGAGGCGTTCCAGGATTGGAGGGTGCTGGGGAAGCGATGGCTAAATTGTTTTGACTAGCATTTGAGGCACGGTGAGCCATCTCCGTGGGAGCAGGGCTGTTGGAAGAAATACGGCGTCCAGGCAAGTCCATTTTGTTGAACTTGCCATGGGTTGATAAGGTCGGTGTGCCATCTTTCAACTTCAGGGCATATATATGAACCGAGCGGTCAGAGGACTGAGTTGCAACAAATTCGTTGAGAGGGTCCCAAGCAACACCTTGGACAAAATGGCTGTGTTCTGCAATTTGGCGAATCATCGCACCTGTTCGAATCAGCTCCGATCCTTGATAGTAAGTCTAGTTTCCGTACCGGTATGTGCGTTGAATATTCTCGCAGTGTTGTCAACCCCTCCTGTGATAAAGTACTGGCCATCGGGAGACCAGGCTAGATCATAAATTTCGGCTCCACTGGGTGTTCGACACATGTGTTTGATCCTCCAGGTCTCCTTGTCATCTGCATTATCTTCGGTCCATGCAGCCATTGAAGAGTCGGAGCGAACCCAGAGTAGGACGTTGCCATCGTCACCAGCCGAAGCTAGCATTTCGCCTGCTGTGGATGAGCCAGGTTTCCCGACCGTGTTCCAAACCTCTTACCTTTGGGACAAAACCGGACGACATTGACTGGTTGTGTATGTCTTGTCAAGGTCGATAAATATGTGACTTTCCTCTCTTCGCCCTGAGCTTCAATGCTCCACAGCTATGCTATATATCAGCCAGGGTATCAGGAGGAGGGCTCGAATGAGGTCGCATACTCGCACGTTATTGTCACTGGGATTGTCAGTCTGTAGGGCCAATTGAAGAATATAGAACACAACTTACTTTCCAGCAGTTGCTAGTCTTCCTTTGCCATGAGGGTCAAAGTGAACAGAGTAGATAGGCTGGCTTTCATTGTGCCATGTGATGAGTAGTGGTCCTGCCTTCATATTGGCAGCATTGGACGATGGCCTTTATCGGCCGGTGGAGAGGAAAGGCAAAATAGCAGTATGGTGTTGCTTGAGACTGAGAGAAACGTTTGTCCAAGGTCTCGTGTAAGGGAAGTAAGATGTGCCGTGGAACTGCACGATTTCTGGGTGATCGACAAGACGAGCGCGGGTGAATGTTTGCTGAGTCAAAAGTATGGTGAAATGGAGGAGGTATGGAGTGAAGGAGAGATGCACCAATACATGTGGCTAGATATGTAGAAAAGGACCACCAGTAGCTGCTGACTCCAAGGGCAACGGGCAACGGCGGTCGTCAGAATTAAGGCTGCTGCCAGTGGGTTACAGGTAATAAAAGGCAGTTACACATACAGTCCAGCTTAGTGTCAGTATGGACGAGGAAGCAGTGTTTAAGCAGCAAGTGTGCAACTGGGATAATGCATGCCGGGATGGGCAGTGGGATTGGCGTGGAATCTACCACTAATTACACAACTATGTACTGGGTGCTGTCTAAGAGCCTAGAGGGGAGAGGCACGGCACCACACACGCACCCACTAATCAACGCGACCTGTTACCTTGCACGCATTTCCACCCAGATTTCTCATACCGAGTCAGTGTCCTTACCTGCTTCCCCCCTACTCCCTACTCCCTACTCTGTACCGAGCACTGAGCACCGTGTCCAAGAGTGAGTAGAGTATGGACTTCACAAGCCACGGACTGGTAGACAGCCTAACGGACTGAGGAACGCGAGAGAGGGAGAGACTCAAGAGACATGGTCACATGGCAAATGGCATGCATTCCACTAGCCTTTCACCCTCTCGCATTCCCACGCGTCACGACACGCGCCTGCCTTTAACTAGATACTACATAGCCCAAAACGTTTCACCCTGCCTGATTATTTTTATCCACCATTTACCACCCTGGGCGAGCCCTGCGCACAGGAGAGAAGTACGAGTAGGTAGTGACGGTAGTGCGCCAATTTGATTTCAAAGTACCAATAAAGGCTCTTGCTTCAATGATGGTTGCGCTATCATACACTTTTCACTACGAGGTACTGCTAACTTATAGTCGTTTATTCATCAGTAAGTCATCATCTTCCTGTCTTACCCGGCAGATCTCCTAGCCGCATCGACTTCCTTCTGAAGCGCTGCAAGATCAGCCAACAGATCTCTCCGGTCGGCGTGCTCGCTTCTAGGCGTAGTTTCGCCTCCTTCTGTTTCCGAACTTTCCAAAGCCGCCATGGATGGTCTCTGTGTCTCAACACTGCTCCGACTTGATCCCCTGCCTCTTCGTGGTGGTGGTACGGGGGGAGGAGGCCCTTGACTCATCCTTTTCAGGTAAGATGGTGTCTGTGATAAACCAGGCCCTGCCTCTGCTCTTTGTGGGTCTAGACTGCCTGGACCTCCATCAGTTGCTGCATTTTCAGCGACACTTTGCACGTCAAATGAAGGTCGCCTTTCACTAGAGTTCGTTGTTCGCCGGGCGGCCGGGGGTGGAGGGGGGATTTTAAATCCGTAGCTTCCAGTCGATGGGCTGAGAGGCACATCGTAATCACTTAAAACCGAATATCGTGACGAGCTGCTCCTTGTCAGCATCGGCTTGCTCGGCGCCTGCTGGCTCTTTTTTCGTGCTAGAGGAGGAGCAGGGGGAACTTTTCTTTGCGAAGTCTCGGGAATATCGACGCTCCCAGGTTTATCTATAGTTGGGCTCTGCTCCGTCGTCGTCGGCGACCTCAGGCTCGGCATTTCTGAACTGATGCTTCGGCTGCTGGGCAACGAAAGAGAATTGATGAAATTGTCAAAATTCTGCTTCGATTCTTGCTCGCCCATAGAGTCTCTGAGTGGCTTCCCACGCCGGCTTTTTGGCGGCGGAGGCTTCTTCTTGCTTTCGGTGATGATTTGCGAATTCGGCCGTTGTTCTTTTGCTTCGTTGGAATCGACTTCGAACGATGATCGTGGGCTCTCTTCTGGCGCTTGAGGGACGGTCTCAAAAATCGAGTGTTGTGAGATTGAAGCTGTGTCCGCACTGGAACTGCTCTCACTTACGGGTTGACCATGATTTGCTTGGACACTCTGCATAGCTAGGTCTCGAGAGGAAGATGGTCCTCTCTCACCTGTAAGCAATAGTTTGGTAAAGGCTGCAACATCTAGCGCTTGCCGTCCTGGCCCTCCCGATTGCTGAACAGCAGGTGATTTTTGTGAGGCACTAGCGAAGCGCCCAAGAGTATCCTGTACTGCATTTCCTTTCAAGATGGGGTCTGGAACCGGAGCGGGAGCGAGGGTCATAGCATTGACCCTTGTGTTCTGCAAAGCTTGTTCGATAGCGCGATCATCTTCTCCTTCGGATGCCTCGGCCGCAAATGGATTGCTCGCCAATGCCTCACTGTAGTCGGTCGGCTGCGGTAGAGATGTTGCAAGACTTGGGAAAGTAGAAAGAGAGTCTTGTCGTGTGGATTCTGGAGAGGGAGGGTATGAGACAGGAGATATGGGGATCGCAGGCGGTGACGCAAAGTTCACATGTTTCTGCGATGTCGAGGCCACTGGATGAGCCCATTCGCAGTCAGCTTGGAGCCCGGTAGAGAAAATGCCATCAATGATTCACTTGCCTTTGGTATCAACAGACAGCGGCCCAGGACTTGAGCCGTGCGTATCCGCCGAAGGGATATTGAGGGGGCTGCTGGTGCCGGGACTTTTCAATGAACTACGGCGGAAAGGATTTGTGGACATTGGGTTTCGAAAGCCATGTACAGCACATGCGTGCTCCTGAGAATCTAAAAGAGGCCTCACAGTCGTAATGACCTTTCCGTTGACATGATTGTACAATGATGTTGAAATGGATAAGCAGATGCTCCATACTAGCACTAACGCCCGCCTGCATGATATCTGCAACCGGATCCGGTTCAACCCACGACCCGTCAGCACCATCAACACTCTGTGACTTCCTACTGATTCACCACACACCATCATTGTCACCAGCTCACCCATTAAGTCGATAAATCTGCAAGCTTTTTGAGATAAGGAAGCTCTCTGTCCGCCGCAAAAACAAGCCGCAAACATGTCTAGTGTTGATAGCTGCAACTTCCTTTCCAATGGCGGCTATCTACAGAAAGGCCTGGAGAAGAATCTCAAGCCAGAGGACCTCGGCAATAGAGCCCATTTCCTGGCTCCGTCGAGGTGGTATCGCGATGAGAAGATATTCCAGCTCGAGAAGCGTGCGTTGTTTTCTACGGTGAGTAGTAGATGAATACCAGGCCCCAGCTTTTCAAACCATACTCGGATGGTCGTGGGCAGTACGGCTACAATTAGTGAGCAGAACGGAGGTCTGACATGGCGGTGTTCGAGGCAGCTATGGCATGTGGCGAGCTTCATTGCGCGATTCCAGAAACCCGGCGATTACTTGGCTTTGCAGGTAAGCCGCCAACTCTCATGTCACTCAACTGCAGCGTTCCCATTCATCTACTGGGTGTTTTGTATGGTCCTGCTGGCGTCACCATGAGGACAACGTACAAGCAGTGCCTAGATATGAATACCATGGCAAGACTTTGTAATTCTTATGATTTTTAATGACAGCATAGATGTTTGGGTGGGATCTCTTCTTGATTAGAGACAAGGCGGGCAACATAAATGCCTTCCACAACATCTGTCGGCATCGAGGATATCCTGTTGTAACAAAAGAGAATGGGTCGAGTACGGTGTTGGCATGCCGGTTTCATGGCTGGTGAGCATTGCATTGATTGTCTCTGAAACAAGTCGGAGATGCTGAAGAGGTGTGCTAGGTCCTATCTACCAAATGGTCAATTGCACAAGGCGAAGGAATACAGTGATCTAGCCGACTTTGAGCCACAGGATCACTCGCTATTCAAGATTCATACTCATGTCACAACTCAGGGGTTTATTTTTGTCAATTTTGACGCACGGGAGACACCTGCAGTGAGCTTTGAGGAGCAGTTCGGCGATGATTTCGACCCTACTCCAACAAGGCAGACCGGCAAAGAAGTTGGTGACGAGTTCAGTCTGTTCCCGCCTCCTTCCATTTGGGAGTACGATCACACATGGAATAGCTCAGTGGCGGGCACTGAATTCAACTGGAAGACTTTTGCGGATGGGTTTCAGGTTCACCTTGGATTCATTCTACCATATGAATATGTGCCTAGAGCTGACAAGTCTCTTTAGGAGTGTTACCATTGCCGTACTGGACACCCGGACACACTTCCTAAGGATTTCAAGCTTGATCAGTATTATCTACGACAAGGCCATGGTGCTTCCCGGCATTTCCTACCACCCAAAAAGGCCGAGATGTCGGAGGCATACATCACTTGGTTGTTTCCGCTTTCCGCCGTCACTTTCAGCGACAATCTTCTGTGAGTCTGCGGTCGTAGCATCAATTATCCCGTAATTAATTCTGTCGGCGACCACGCCTGTTTCAACGAGACTTACAACTGAATGCATAGTTTCATTGTCCGCTTCACGGCGAATGGTGCGCTTGATACGTCGTATCAAAGCGAGACGTATAGAAGAGCTAGCATACGAAAACCGAGCACGGAATACGACCACTGGATGGAGGAAGAGATTGCGTACTGTAAGTGTCTCTCCAAGCCGGTCTTTCGCGCTCTCCCTATGTGTTGAGATTCACCAGGGTGCATTGGCTGGCAGGGCGATATGTGGAGATCGAGGACGTTGAATTAGCAGTCAATGCACAAAAGGGATTCAAAAATGGAATTCTGGGATTGGGTCGTCTGCATCCGCAGGAGGAACATGCCGTCAAGTGGTATCTCGATAAAGTTCGCAACATTTTGATTAAGCATGCAGAGATGGAGAAGAGAGAAGGCAGGAATATTGATTACGCTGTTCCCAAAGCGCAAAGTGATGCCGTGGAGGCGGACGAGCTCTGTCGACTTGTCGGACCAGAGATTGATTGGTGAACAAAGAGGGGTGTGTCTGTGCAGCGAGAGAGGGCAGCGAGAGAGGGCAGCGAGAGAGGTATGAACACCGAGTGATCCAAGTGAAGTGTGGTTCGTGATTGGACAAAAAGAAATCTCACCATCAGTTTCACATCAACGACCCCAGGAGGTATTGCACGTCCGAGTTCGACGTTGCACCGCACCTCTAGCGAAGGTTGTAGGTATTCACGATGGTTCGCAAACGATTGCTGCTATTGCGAAGACCTCATTATCTGGTGCACAACGTCGTTCATGCGCTTCTGTTGTATAGGCGGCTTAACACGAACGTCACGCTATCTAACGACGTAGGTCTCTGTTAGGCCCTCAGCGGTGAGCAGTAATACTGATTATTACGAATCGTAGCTTGCCTGACTACAGATCTACCTACCGGGTCTCTAGGTAGGTATGGACCTATTTCCCCTTTGTACCTTACGCCCACTCAGTGGTGAAACGCGATAACATTTACCTTGTCGGGGGAATCGCAAACTATGGGTCACAATCAAAAGATGTAGGCTGGTGGATGCCGAGTCTGAAGGGATGTTGACCAAGAGAACAAACCAGGTTCTGCTTTGAAACTGGATATGCTCGATTTGGCTGTGACGAACGCCAGGGCATGAGATGTAGAGTTCAGTATCTAGCGGTCTTGGTGTCATGTCTTGGGCCGAGCTCACTCCCAGATATTGTATTGATCTGGAGTGTGCAGAGCGCCAGTGCCGTGCCGGAGTTCCATTCCAGGTTGGCAAAAGTTGACGTTTCCGAACTGGGCGATCTCATTATCATCGAGAGCGGTGCTTATCTCCCCCTGCTATTCCGTGCACACCCACTCCCTCGTAGCTAGCTTCGCGTAGACGTGGAGCATGCAGTCAGTGCATCTTCGTTGGAATGTCGTGCTAGTGTTTGATTCTGGACGGATGAACTCCCAGAAGAAGCCAAAGAGATGTCGTTCAAACAGAGACTGCAGGGTGAGAATGTCTCCTGAAACGGTCCACTCATAGCAAATTCTAGTAGTGATTCTAATGAGTGGGCATGATCAGCGACTGGGGCAATCCATGATGGGGAAGCTCCTATCGACCATGTCCGCTCTGCACCCTGGTCTGCTTCTCAGAGATGGCGGGAGTAACGTGCTATTGGTGGCGCATCACTACGTCATTGCCCCAACAAAGTTGAATGTGCTTGCGCGGCTTATCGACGGGGCGGCGTTCGCCCTGCGAAATGCTATGGAAGCCACACGTACTCCGTCCTCCGTACACAAGAGATTTAGCTAGAAAATACCGGGTAGCACTAACCAGATAACTCGTAGTAGGGTGCGCCGATCTGGAAGGGGCATCGGAGTGCAATTGCTAGTTGTGTGAGTACTCCGTAGTTATACTGGGGACGGCGTGCTCCGTAGTGTCCGATCGACTTTGTTGAATCATCGACAGATGTCGCCATTCGTTTGGTTGGCAACTTGGTAGTGGCCATGGCACCCACAGGGTAAGTGTGGGCTGCCTACTTGTTCTTTGCTTGGATGGGCCAGGGCTCAAAGGGTCAGGTTGCGGACATACCCAAACTCACTTTTTTGCTAGTCGACACCTCCCTCCGGCCTACGGAGTACGGAGGATTGTATTCCACTGGCACTCCCAGCCCTCGACTTTTGGGATTTCGAAGCAGCTTCTCTGCCGCTGCTCCCTCTGCTCTGCAAGCCAAGGATAGAGTTTCTTAGTCCCAGGTGTGTTGTTGGCAATCGCCAGATACAAGACACGAGTGTGCAGCTTCACCAGCTAGTGGCTATTCAACACTGACTAGACAGTATTCACGTGGATCTGAACGGCTCTAGCAACTCCAGGTGCTAAGTCCAAAAGCTTGGTCTTCCCAAGGCGAGCAGTGATAGGACGGCGGCAATCAGGATCCTGGGCCGTGCATCCTCCACCAGCCTGTGCTCCTCAATGCGGCTGATTAACCTCCCGTCGACTGTCGCTCACGGAAGGTTGGCCCATGCTTGCGTCGACATCCACAAATATTGGATCCATTGCTTGCACAAGTCGCTGGATGTGGCTAATATCGAGCCGCAAACCTGGTTGATGAACAACGACCTGACGCACTGGATGAACATGTTCAGCATCTGGTTGGTCTTGTTCGCCACCACTGTTCTTGGGCGTCCCACCCCGTCCCTAATTGTGGATATGCCCTGAGCGGCCGCCAGCATGGAATTCTCACGCGAGCTTTCCATGCAAATGTCTGTTTCTCGCAGAGCATTTCCGGGTCGGTTTTTGTTTACTATCATCAGCGCTCGCCTCATCTTTCTCTACTACCCTCCTCCTCTGGCACCTGCTCCGACTCATTCGCTTTGGTCGAGCTGTGCTTGCAGTACATGTCTTCTCGTCGCTGGTCGCTATAATTCATGTCTGCCTGCTTTTTGTCATCTGCATGCTGTTGAATTTTGTTCCTGCGACAGTACATCTCGGCTGACACCCAATTGCCTCCTGGCAATCATCAGCCTTCACGCCAGCCACCACGTCCTTCAGCACAATACCCCACCTTCAGTCGCTCGCTCAGGTCCATCGCTACCATAGCTCTTACTCACAAACGCCTATGACAGGTTGGCTAGCAGTCAGCGACAAGCGTCAGAAATGGGTCTATTAGATGAGCCTTTTGAGCCTGGAACGCCTCCCCCGACCTGGTCACCTGCGAGACCAGATTTCTGGAAAAAACCTTCGAAATGGCAGATCTGTATGCCGCGATTAACTATTCTGGCCAAAGCCCTTGCCACTTTCTTTGGCTTCGTTTTGCTGGTCAAAATCATAGGGCAGAAGCCAGATGCTCCATCTCCAACACTCGAACCACCAACACTACCTTCTGAGGACGATATGAAAGCTGCTGCAGAGAGGGCCCCATGGGTATGGAAAGATTTCACAACGTAAGTGAAGCGCAATGCTAATTATGTCAATCGCCGTTAACCCATTCAATGCCCCAGGCATGACGGCTTGACTCGTGGAATTTCACATCTCCATACCTGCCAGTCTGGCGAAGTAGATTGCAAGAATAAGCATCCTCTACAGATCCGCTATGATGGTCTTCGCCACTCTCAGGAGGATCCATCTCACATCTTATCATGCCTCGGCCCGCGAGGATTGCCATTGAATGAAAGTGATGGAGATGCGATTTGGGCATATCCAGGTCGTGCCATCGGTAAGGAGCGACATACACGATTGATGAAGCGAAGCTGACATATCTAGGCGCTGTTGACCCGGTACTTGGCTCCTACGAAGCAGCAGGCTTGGATGGTGATGTGTCTTTCGATCGCCTCGGCCGTCTAAAAGCTTACGGACTCGAGCAATTCGATGCCATAGATTTGGAGGATCTGAAGAAAGCAAGCGAAGTTGATTGGGATTCCGTTGAGTGGGGCGAATTGCAAGATGGTTGTGCCATGCTCAATAAACACCGCTTCAAAGCCAAGAAAGAACGCCCGCAGAATTCTATCCAATACTCGAATCTTCGGCACAAGCACGACGAAGCTCGCCCACATTCCCCATCGACCACCATGGAATCCGCCCTTGTCAACAAAGTGAAACGAACCGCCATTCTCATACGCGTATGGACCGGCGCAAAATGGACTGCTGATGCGGTCATGAACATACGAGCTATGATTGCCGAGGCATCCCTAGCTAGTGGTGGAAAGTATCAAGTGTTTCTCCTGTTGCACGTCAAAGACGAGAATGTACCTCTGTTCGTGGGAGAGGATGAGCCACAAGCCACGGTCAATAGGCACATCCCACCTGAATTCCGGTCCATCACAGAGGTGTGGAATCATGCGCAAATCCGAAGCTTGTATTCCAATTTGGCACACCACGCCTTCGTGGGTCGCTCACCCTGGATGATCATACAGTGGTTTGCTCGCAACCACCCTGAATTCGATTTCTTCTATCAATGGGAGTTCGACGTACGCTACACCGGCCATTATTTGGACTTTTTCGAGGGCGTCTCCAACTCTGGCAGGAAGCAACCACGGAAAGGGATATGGGAGCGTGCTGGCAGAGTCTATATTCCTAGTATTCATGGTGACTACGATACCCAATTCAGACAGTCCACGCGGGAAGATGATCCTCACCACGTGTGGGGTCCAGTATCCGTGGAAGGTGTCAAGCCACGTGGTCCAAAACCACCGGTCAAAGAATCAGAGGATGACTATGAATGGGGAGTTGGGGAGGATGCTGATTGGATTGGATTCCTCCCAAGCTTCAATGTCACCGGAACTAATTGGTGGTTCCGCGACTATCTCTGGGGTTACGCTCAGGGGAAATCAACCCCGAGAAGAGCTACCCTTATTGCTCAAGGACGAATCAGTCGACGTGTGCTGGAGATTATGAATTATGAAAATGCCGACAACGGCCACCACATGGATGCGGAAATGTTTCCCCAGAGCATGTGCCTTCATCATGGACTCAAATCGACCACTTTCCCACACCCAATATTTGCTGACCGCCACTGGCCTGCAGAGGCTCTTCAATCGACCTTTAATGGCGGTCCATTTGGACAAGCGGGCGGCCATTGGAATAGTACTTTCAGCAAATGGAATGAGCACGCGTGGACCAATATGACGTGGTATTACAGTTCTGCTCAAGCTATGCCAATCTACCAAAGGCTACTGGGCATTACCGCGCTCGAGAGCGGTGGTCAAGAATGGGAAGACGCATATGGCCGAACTGTTGTCCGCCCTATGCTACTCCACCCAGTAAAGGGTGCAAAGTCGTGGCAATGGACAGAAGATGGATGGCAGCAAACCAAGAGTGGCAAGTGATTCGTCCATTCAACGGCATCTGTCTATTCTGCCAGGAAGTCTTCCTTCTGAATCACCATCGCATCAGCATCGGAGTTGGGAGTTCGTGAGTTACGTTTGATATTTGTTGGTTATGGAATGTCGATACGCCCGAAGGTCGCTTTGTATATATGACGACACCCCTGCGAGAGTTTTGAAAGTTGGACCATCGAGATTGCGATGGATCTTCAACGTGGCATGATTTATCACAACGGAAATGATGAGAGCATTTGCCCACATCGACGAATTGTTGCAACTGGTACCTGCACGAAATGATTTGGAACTGGAATGGGCTAGTTACCTCCTCTAGACAGGACGCTGGACGGGCCACAGTCCACCCGCAGCGAGATAGACTATAGTAGGGCGAGATGCTTGACAATAATCATAATGAATGTGTTAGTCCATTTGTTTCTGGCGTCGGTTGAATGGGCCTAGCCGTGGTGAACTTCAATGTTCACTGCATGTGATAGACTCTGCGAGGCATTTTGACGTCACATTTTTGCCCAGGGCGACCAAAGACCAAAGTGGGCTAGGATTGGCGATGTCGGCACGGCGAGTGGGTGGAGCTTCACTTTTGCATGCACCTGCTAGTTGCAACCTGCAGAACTCCAAAGAGCAAAGCTCCTCTGTCCGATAAACTCGTTCTCTTTGATGCACTGTTCCACCCTCGTTCAAATTCAATCTGACCTCTGAAGCTACGCCTGAGCTTCTCGTACAGCCGCTACAATGTCTCTGGCAAGGTCGTCGCGCGGCGCCCAGGTATGTTGGGGGAATCCCTGGAGCTGCCCTTGTTCCTAGCAAAGCAAAATACTGACTTGCTTTTGTGTCCAGTCGTTGTTTCGCGCAGCTCAAAGAACGGGCAGACAACAGGTCACATCTCCCTTCCTTGCCCGATGTGAGCTCTCTCACCTCCGCTAGGGTGTTTCCCATAGCTAATGCACATGCTCCAGCCTATGCTACCGTCGAGTCCGATATTTTTAAGCCTACCAAATATGGGGGGAAATACACAGTGACCTTGATCCCAGGTACGGCCGACCCTTTCTGTTCAATGGGTTTTCAGGGCTTCTTGGTGCTCACAGGTGAACTATACAGGTGACGGTATCGGTGCCGAGGTTGCCGAAGCTGTCAAAACCATCTTCAAAGCCGACAATGTGCCTATTGAATGGGAGCAGGTCGATGTAACTGGTGTAGACACAGGAGATAAGCACTCGGAGGATTTGTTCAAGGAGTCGATAGCATCGTTGAGGCGAAACAAGCTGGGCTTGAAAGGCATCTTACACACTCCCATCGAGAGATCCGGACATCAGTCATTCAACGTCGCATTGCGACAGGAACTCGACATCTACGCCTCTGTGGTTCTGATCAAGAACATCCCTGGGCTTGAGACACGACACAAGAATGTCGATCTTTGCATTGTGCGTGAAAACACCGAGGGAGAGTACTCTGGTCTGGAACATCAATCCGTCTCTGGTGTGGTTGAATCTTTGAAGATCATTACTCGGGCCAAGTCAGAACGTATCGCCAAATTCGCATTCTCCTTCGCCCTGGCCAATAATAGGAAGAAGGTTACTTGTATCCACAAAGCCAACATCATGAAGCTGGCCGATGGCTTGTTCCGGAACACGGTTAAGAAGATTGGCGAGGATTACCCGACTCTGGAAGTCAACGACATGATTGTGGACAATGCTTCTATGCAAGCTGTCTCTCGGCCGCAGCAGTTCGACGTTATGGTCATGCCCAACCTGTACGGAGGTATCCTCACAAACATTGCAGCGGCTCTTGTTGGAGGACCTGGCGTTGTTCCCGGCTGCAACATGGGTCGTGACGTAGCAGTCTTCGAGCCTGGCTGCCGACATGTTGGTCTGGATATCCAGGGCAAAGATCAGGCTAATCCCACCGCTCTCCTACTTTCTGGAACCATGCTTCTAAGACATCTGGGACTCGATGAACATGCCAATCGCATCTCCAAGGCTGTGTATGACGTGATAGCAGATGGGTAAGTAAACTGATCCTTCGGTTAATCAGCTACTGACAACGGCTACAGCAAAGTCCGAACCCGCGACATGGGAGGCAACAACACTACACACGAATTTGTTCGAACAATTTTGGACAAGCTAGAGACTGCGACGTAAACGGACAGGACTGAGGAGCAGTGGGCAGAAGCTGCTTGAATCTGGCGGCACTCTGCTTGGACTGACGAGCTCTGGAGCGTATTTTGCACCCAAAGGACCAAGTCAAGCACTGCTGTTGGACAATGACCCTATCTGTAAATATCAGAATTGTTAGATGATCGTATTCTGCATGAATTCATGTTTCTCGTCGAATGGAGTATAGTACCTGAGTAGGAGGCACCTGAGTGATCGAGCGTATGGGCAGAATACAGATGGCCGAGGACTGGTACACCTACTCGTACATATTACGAGTAGGTCGTATCGGAATGGGAACACTTTTGCATTGTTGGCCCGTTCGCCGCGTCACTTCCTGCAGCTCAAGCTTGGGACCCTCGGACGGGGATGTGACCAAGTGGCCCTCACCCGATTGCTTGCCACTATCTTTTGCATGTGAACATCCTTCCAACTCTCAACAACTCAAGGCCAGAATGGCCATGTTGTCTACAGCAGCACCGGTTTTTCTCCCTCCTTACCTTGATCCACCATGAAAGACCTGCATTAACTGCCCAACACTGTCGACCGTGACCACGGGGTGAAATACCATCCAGGGCTGTTAGGTTGCCCTACAGATGACTTCCCAAAATTCCTCAAACAGTAGGAAGAGCGGATCCAGCTCTCAGAATATTCACAATCAATCGAATTTGACATTATCCCGCACACCGCAACCTTACCATCGACGCAGCGGGAGCCTGAGCATAAGAAAATCCGAGAGCAGTGACAATGGCTCAGAAAAGAGCAGCAGGAACACATCCCCGCCTGTCAGCCGCTCCGATTCCAGCGAGAGCGGAACAGAGGCAGATGATGAGAAAGGCCCATTTCTCAAGGGCCTACCAGCTCCGCCGCTGCGTGCCCATAAAGGCCTTCGAGGGACTTCACCGGCTGAGCTGACACCCATCCCCAGTCCGCCGTCGACTCCCCCCGCCTATGTTCAGACGGATGGCTATGAATACTTCAAGAAAGATCGCAAATTGGATAAAACATCGCAGCGTACGCTGGAACAGAACAAGGAATACGAGACGTACAAGAGGCGGAAGCGGAAAGAAATCGTCAGGAGATGCACAGAATTCTCGTTACTTTGGAGCATCGGCGCCATCGTCTGGACGAGCAGAGGTGGATCGATGGCTTTTGTGGACTGGCTGAATGAGCTCGTTTCATTTCTCATTATCCCGCCTTGTGTCTACCTTCTTCACCCTGTTCGACTGGCTATCCGCGCTCAAACTCGAGGCCGAACCCTGATACAATCCCTTCAATTGGGATTCCATGTACCCTCTCGATTCGACCCAGGTCCCCTGTTATACCCTGTCGTACTCCCGCTCTGGATTGCAATCTCACTCTTCAATCGTACGTCTGCGTTCTTACCCTCCGCAATTGTGTGCGGGATATCATCTATTCCGTCTTCGATCATGGCCACCTCGAAGATCCCTCCAGTGGGCCACCACCTGCATTGGATCATCTCTATAGTGCCATTGCATGCCTCGCGATTGCCATTCCTGCATTCACTAGCTACTAGGCCGCTATCTATCAAGCTCAGTCATGGCGGCTCTCTGACATTGGAGGATTTAGTCATGCTTTTCCCGCTACATCAGACTCTCTTAAATGTATTGGGCTACCTGACTACGTCGAGCCTTGACATCTCCGAACTCCACCTCCTCTCTACAGGCCTTATCAGCCTTCTGCTTTTTGCTGGGTCTCCTCAGATGGAGATTCTCAAAGCTCTAATCTGGGTTGGAGGACTGTGCATTTTTGTGTCTTGCAAACGACTCCTCATCTGGGAGGTCGCTCTCGCTCGTGTACCATCCTGGAAGTTGCTTCGAAAACGAAAGCATCTAGGCCTACTCGACCGGTTGGATCAGACCATTTGTTCAATTCTTACAAGAAGTAAATCTCAACCAGAACGACACGATTCCTCTGACAGCGAGGATGATATTCACATTAACCGCCTGCGGTCTGTCAAAAGACCCCATTTAAAGCTGCGAATGAATGGCAAGTCGCCAACCATGCCCCCCGATCAGCCGACTTCCGCATTCGAGGTACCAAAAATCCAAACATTCGCAAACGACTTGCCGGCGTTCTCGATGCCCTTTCGACGAAACACATTCACGGGATTCGACAAGAAGCGTAAAAAGGGAACCCCTCCCATGGCTAAAAGAACAAGAGTGACACCCAGTTTTCTATCATCTTCATTTCTCTTACTCAGTGTCGAACAGGCCAAAGCGCGGAAGTGGGCGTATGCGGGAGCGGTGTACTTGTTTGTTGCTGCCACTGTTCTTGGACCAGTCCGGAAGTATGTGAGCAAACGTGCTCTACGATCAAATGAACCCTTTGGATGGGCTCTTGGATACCTATTTGGCAACATACCCGAGTTTCGCTTCTTTGTTGTCAGCAATCATCTTGAACGATGGATCTGTCTTCCCGCTCGAGTAGTAGCCTCAGAACCAGAAATGACTTTCTCCATTGAGAATCTTCGACAAAATGTCGTCGGGCCAGCAAATATGCGTCTTTTAATCTGCGTATATTGCGCTACTGTATTAATAGCGGGGATTTGTGCCGTTTTACGGTTGACTGCAGTTGTCGAAGTTGACACCAGACGCAAGGTCTTTCATGGGATTATGGTGGCGATGTTACTACCCTCCATTTTTATCGACCCGTGTTTCATTGCGCTAGCTCTCGGCCTGATTCTGGCTGTGTTTCTACTTCTTGACCTCTTCCGGGCCTCGCAACTCCCACCGATATCGAAACCCTTGACGAGATTTCTGGCACCCTATGTGGATGGCCGGGACCACCGAGGCCCTATCATTGTGTCACATATTTTTTTGCTCATTGGTTGTGCGATCCCGCTTTGGCTTTCACTCGCAGCGGCACCGCGTACTGGGATGGAGCCATGGATTGGGTGGGATACAACAACACGAGACTTGAGTATGGTCAGCGGCGTCATCTGTGTTGGAATGGGCGACGCTGCAGCCAGCTTGATTGGTAGGCGTTATGGAAAGACAAAATGGTATTGGGCAGGTGGCAAGAGCTTGGAAGGGAGCCTTGCCTTTGCATTTGCAGTAACTTGTGGACTAATAGTTTGTTGGAGCTGGCTAAGGCTAGGTGGATGGATTCCCAGGCAGGATGATTCATTTGCCTGGGCATTAGCGAAAAGTAGTGTTGCTGGTTTGGGCGCGAGTCTTCTGGAGAGCACGTTGACCGCTGCCAACGATAATGTGGTGGTTCCTATCGGATTATGGCTTCTAGTCCGGGGCCTGGAAATATGAAAACTAGACAGACCAAGTACTCAATTATGCCATCATTCGTCGTTCGATGGAGGGTCAAAAGTTGCATTCCTGAGTCTGAGGTCCCTGTCCACCAGCACTTTATGACGGGGCGTCAGGCTGAGGCCTGGGTTAGTCCTGTGCAGGCGTGCTCTGGGAGCTCGGGACATGGTGCCGCCCAGCCCAAGCGTGGATGTTGCCTAGTTACCTAGCAAGGGAGCCTATCGATAAAGAGCGACGATCTCCGGATTTGAAAGCCGTACAAATACAGACAGTACAAGCGGAACAGGTACCACACGAAGCATAAGCCACACTAAGAGTCATGGGCGTCGTCTGGGTCTGCTGATTCGCTGGAGGCAGCGTGTTATCAACAAGCCGTATCTAAGTTCGCCCAGTTAGCTCACGTGAGGAAACCTTTATGCTCACACCAATACACTAGTTGACTGCTACCAACAGCCAGTTGCAGCTTACGCCATCGGCTAACCAATGACCTAACTGCCCGAATTGCCTTAGCTAGCTGGTTAACGTCGTTAGTAGACTTTCTGGACGCTGCGTGACTCCATGAATCACAACCACCATCCTTGAACCCCAACTAACATGCCCATCCCATCAGTAGTAGTGATCAGCCACACACACCTCTTCCTTCTGCATGACTACTATCTCCCCGTACCTACACCTCGACCGATACTGAACCTCTCTGCACAATCACTCCCCTGTGGCATCTGGCCTTTTTGTTAAAGTTGCCTAATCTTCTGCTCCTTCTCTTCTTTGAGCCATCTGTTATCATTCTTGTTACCAATATTACCTTCTTTTGGTCTTCCAGGCTGTCGTTCTCCTCCCCAACTTTGACTGTTGGGCCCATCTCGCCTCGCCGCATCTCGTTACACTGCGTCACTCATCTCCTCGTCCCACCGCATCCTAAACTCGTCCTGCGCCCCAATAGCCTGACATCTCGCCCACACCCATTTGAGGTCGATCTGAGCTCCCTGTTCATCTCATTCAACTCTCGTCCGCTCTTGTCCCTCTTGCACCCCCTCGGATCTTTCCTTTTTGGGTCCTGCGCTACATCTCCCTTGCGCAGCCTGGTCCACTCAATTGCACCATCTGCACACTCCTGACTTGACGCCTATTCTGTCAACCATCCACAATTCACTCTTTTGTCCCTAACGTTCCTCCTGTGTCTCGAGCAATCCATGTCCAACAATCTCCCCACAACCTTCCACCCGCATTTGAGGAGGTAATTCTTCATCCATATCATCTCCCTCTGCCTCCGCACCGTCAATCACCACCCCAGTGGTAGAGGAGGGAAATATGGCCACAACCAACCCTAAGGCCTCTGCTCCTAGGAGGTCAAAGGATTCCGACAAGATAGGGAGTTTCCAACGACAGGAGGAAATAGGACGGGGCAGTTTTGCAACTGTCTACAAGGCCCTACATATCGTGAGTCAACAATCATCAAGCCTCTCCTCAACCACCGCCCAATTCTGCAATCTAAGCTGACACACTCTCAGTCACAAGCTGGTGTCCAAAGCATTGTAGCCATCAAATCTGTCAACCTAGCCAAGTTGAACAAGAAGTTGAAAGACAACCTGACGTCGGAGATCTCCATTCTCAAAGGCCTGCACCATCCTCACATTGTTGCTCTGATCGACTGTAAAGAATCCAGTTCACACATTCATCTGGTAATGGAATATGTCGCTCTCGGTGACCTCTCATATTTTATCAAAAAGCGTGATACGATCAAGAATAGCGAAATGGTGGGGAATATGATGGTCAAATATCCAAACCCTCGAGCTGGCGGACTTCATGAAGTGGTCGTTCGACATTTCTTACAACAACTCGCAAGCGCTCTACAATTCCTCCGAGCCAGGAATCTCATTCACCGCGACGTCAAACCTCAGAATCTTCTCCTCAACCCATCACTTGCCTATTTTGAGACTCATAAACCTCAGCCCATGCCCTACCTGACGGCTGAGAACTGCTTGGAACCTGTCTGTGGCATCAAATCTCTCCCCATGCTCAAGATTGCGGATTTCGGCTTTGCACGGTCTCTGCCATCCACTGCACTCGCCGAAACGCTTTGTGGCTCTCCCTTGTATATGGCCCCTGAGATCTTGCGGTACGAAAAGTATGATGCAAAAGCGGATCTTTGGTCGGTGGGAACTGTCCTCTACGAAATGATAACCTCCAAACCTCCGTTTCGTGCCTCCAATCATGTGGAACTGCTTAGACGTATCGAAAAGGGGGATGATAAGATCAAATTTGGAGATGACACCATCGTATCTGAGGAGATGAAGAAGCTCATCCGGTCATTATTAAAGCGGGATCCTAAGGAGAGACTGTCTTTTCCGGATTTCTTCAGCAATGGAATCGTCACCGGCGAGATCCCGGGCCTCCATCCGGAGGATATGCCTGAGGAAACGAAAGAACCCCAGCAGTTGGAGCCAGACCGCCGCCATAACAGCAGAACAGATCCTACAGGAGTAATCAGACCCAGATCAATTAAGGACCCAGAAAGTCCATACTCTGATCCTACCAAGACAGCCTCGGACGACAATTTACAACGAAGATATTCCATCAATCGCCGATTATCAATTGCTCGCGACCAACAAATCCATCAGAGACGGCCTTCAGATGAGCGCAATACGGTGTTGGATCAACCGACCAGCCCGGTGGCACCCCGGCCTGCTTTGCATCCACATGCCACGGCGCCTAACCGGCAGGAATTGATGCATCGGCCAAGCTCAACTCCAATGGCACGGCAAGGCAGCGGAGGCTCGCATAAGTTACCGCCCTCATCGTTGCGTGGCCAGGTCTACGATGAAGAACAAGAAGCTGCACGCATCCGCAAACGCCAGCAGGAGAAAGAACGGGAACGAGCAGCTCAAGATATAGCCTTCGAACGTGACTATGTGTTGGTGGAGAAGAAAGCTGTTGAGGTCAATGCTCTGGCGGATGAACTCGATGCTAGCCCTCGACTAGACCGAAATTCGTCGCAGAGTGCCATCTCCCCTAAGTCTGGGGCGATGGTTCGCAGGGCTACAACCCAGGGTCATCCGGTTTCCACGACAGGTGCCCAAACAAGCGCCTCTCGAGCTGTTCAAATTGCATCTGGTAGACGTCCGGATGCCATTCACGCTCGGCAAAATTCTTACGAGCGACGTTATGGTCCGAGTCCAAGCTCAGCAACTTCAGCTATCTCAAAAGCCCTGAACATGGCGAGCGGTCGGTTATTTGGCGTTGGATTTTCTCCGCCGGTTAACCTCATGCGTGGTGGCAGGTCTCCGCCAGTCAACTACAACCCTTTTCCTGCGTATCCAGGTGCACAGAGCAGTTTGGTGGTCATCGGCGATACGACAAAGCCTCAAGCAACGGACGAGGACACTAAGTACGTTCAGACCGTTGAGGAGGTTGCCACTAGAAGTGACGTTGTGTACGGCTTTGCAGAAGTCAAGTACAAGCAGCTCACTCCCGCAGCCCCATCACATCCCGGACTTGGATTGCGCAATGCCTCCGGTGAGAACGCACCTGACAGTCCTCTAGGTCCAGCAAATGAAGACCTGACCGTTGAGGCGACTGTCATTGTAGCAGAGGAGGCCTTGGTGTTGTATGTCAAAGCACTAGCGCTACTAGCCAAAGCCATGGATATTGCTGCGCGTTGGTGGAACCGCAAGAATCGAGGTGAAATTGCTGATGAGAAAAATTATCGATCCGGCGCGGGTCCTGTTGGCCAAAGAATGAACAACGTTGTCCAATGGACTCGCAACCGATTTAATGAAGTTTTGGAAAAGGCAGAGCTTGTCCGAATGAAATTGATCGACAGTCAGCGTCGTCTACCCGAAGATCATCCCAGTCATCCCAACAACATTTCCACCACAACCGCATCCAGCGCTGGTCTCGGAACGTCTGCGGAACAAGTTGTGGTCAGTTCTGGAATCACGGCCGAAAAGCTCATGTACGACCGGGCTTTGGAGATGAGTCGAGCTGCAGCGATCAATGAACTGACTAATGAGGATCTGGCTGGCTGTGAAATATCTTATGTTACCGCTATTCGGATGCTTGAAGCAATCTTGGAGAGTGAGGACGAAAACATCTCGAGGCAGGGTAGTGGCACGAGTGATCTGGACGAGAAGGATGACCTGTCTCCAATTAATGGCTTGGAGGCGGAAGACAGGCACACTTTAAAGAATTGTAAGTGGAATTCATTCTCGCCGCGAGAGTTTCCTAACCCTGTGGCAGTGGTTACCAGCATTCGGGGCAGGTTATCGGTCATTCGAAGGAAGCTTCAAATGATCCAGAAGCGTGCGTCAGCACCAGCTATGGCCTCACCCAGCAGAGCATCGCCACCTATTCCGCATCGTGGGAGCAATGCTCCAGCTGTGACGCCTCCTCGTTCATGATTTATCTAATTAACGACAGTATCAATTTTGTGCTCGGACGGTTGTTTGAATTGGGCGAACCGCACTCAGCCCATCAGCTCTAGCGGTCAAGGTGTTTGTTTACTGGTGTCCATTAAAGTTCCCCGTCAGATTGGGTTATCTGACGATGATTCCACTCTTGCCTTGTAATTATTCCTTTTGTTCTTTCTTCTTTCCTATCGACCGATGGGCAATTGGTACCTGGCGTTTTGTACAGCGATGAGAGGGGCATACTTCCGGCGTCAAATCTTCATTCCTGACAAGACATTGACACGGCACGATTATGACAATACGAAGAGACGGATAATCTTGTAAGGTGTGAATTGGATCACAACAGAAGATACCCGTCATGACATACAGACAGACAGTGGATGGAACTGGGCTGGCGCCATAGCAGCAAGGCTATTTGCTTTGCGTGGCAATCTCATTGAAAGGTTTTCACATTGTGCTTGTTTCCTGGGTATCTAAGGAGGTGGACTGAAGGCCATCACGGATGTGGAAAGAAATGGAACTGTAGGGCGCGCGGAAGTAGACAGACAGACAACCTGAGAGATCTGTAGGTCCTCGGGGCTGATTAGTGCAAGCAAGCTGAAGAATGAAATGAAGAGCAGACTCTCCCATATCATAGGCAGGACCTGGCGATGCACTGATGGTAGAATCACTGTTGCTTTCCCCCGTCTGTTTCGATGTTCTTATTATGTGCCAGACTTTCTATGGAATATCACCCACTTAAGAAAATGATAAGTGAATTCCTCAAACTTTGCTGGTCGGAAGTGGTTTCTTCTGGCAAGTTGGGACATGTACGGTCAGCACCGCCCAGAGACAATATCGAGAATGCGTGGAGAAGATCTCATCATTCTGATGTCCGTTCTTGCAAAGGGTTTTGGTTCTTCGTTGCGAGAGATGATGAAGTAAAACTCTTCAGCTCAGGTAATCCTACATTTGCCACACTGGGGAGTTTGCTTGAACGAGCAAGCTGGTGGTACCAAGAGCAGGTACATCCATTCATGATCTTGGGCTCTTCGACGTGCCTCTAAGGTCTGTCTCCTCATTTTTCGTCTCAAGCTGGGAGGGAACACTTGTCGTGGTGGCTTAAGGTGAAGAAAATTGGACCAGGACCCGTTGTACCTTCCCTATATGGCCACCTAACTACAGTCGCCAATGGCAGACCCAATTCAGGGTCTGCCAGTGATGCTTCATTTCAACGCTGCACACGGATACCTTGTACTGGCTGCCTTTGCTCTGTGTCACTCATTCTTGCATCACAAGCATTGTGCATTCCATTGCCTGGTCTCTCTTTTGCCGTTTGGCCTTTCTGGAGGAGAGTCTGTAGGCGTGAGTTTTGTGGTCGAAATCGATGACTCTATTTACACGGTCTCTTTCCAGGCTTGCCGCATCGCGGATTCCAGTTCCCCAATCTCCAACATCAATTGCCAGCCGCCTTAGCCTCACACGATCACCGTCATTTCAGACGCTTTCACGAAGTGCATCTTCTTCACCTTCCAGTTCGGCCACTCCCGCCAGCCTACGAATTCGACAACCTCCTCCATTAAACTCCGTTTCCACCAGATCTCGACTCACCCCTCCTGCTTTCCACCCCTCTTCAAGCACCATGTGTCGCTTCATGTCTGACTCGCCCGGTGCTGTCAGCACCCAAGGCAGAGTGGTGCTTCCCACCAATGTGGTGCCCAAGCATTACGACGTGACGATCGAGGTGGATTTTGAAAAGTTCACCTTCGATGGCACGGTCATTATCGACTTGGATGTTGCCGAAGACAGCTCCTCCATCTCATTGAACACCGTTGAGCTTGAAATTCACTCCACCCAAGTCCACGCAGACGGCGCTCTGGTCACTTCTTCTCCTTCTCTTGCGTACGATGCAGACACGCAGACCACCACCATCAGCCTTGGAAAGACGCTCACAAAGGGCCAGAAGGTGCAGCTCAAGCATACCTACACCGGCCAGCTGAATGATAAGATGGCGGGCTTCTATAGATCCAAGCGAAGAGACGGCAAGTACCTGGCAGTCTCTCAATTCGAGGCCACCGATGCTCGACGTGCTTTGCCTTGTTTCGACGAACCCGCACTCAAAGCAGAGTTTACTGTTACCCTCATTGCGGACCAAGACAAGAGTGTGTTGTCCAATATGGATGTAGCTTCGACCACAACGGTAGACTCCAAGATCACTGGTGGAAGACGCAAGGCTGTCAAATTCAACCGCTCCCCGAAGATGTCTACATATCTACTTGCATTCGTCGTGGCAGAACTCAAGTCTATATCTACTGACAAGTTCCGCCTACCAATCAAGGTCTGGATGACACCTGAACAGAATGAGGAAGATGGGAGGTTTGCCCTAGAAGTGGCGGCCAAGACTCTTGCATTCTACGAAAAGGCTTTCCAGGCTCCATACCCATTGCCTAAGATGGATATGGTTGCCATTCCCGACTTTGCTGCTGGGGCCATGGAGAACTGGGGCTTGGTCACGTACCGGGTGGTTGACTTGTTGTTCGACCAGAAGTCAGCCGGAGCTGCGACCAAGGAACGGGTTGCTGAAGTAGTGCAGCATGAACTGGCACATCAGTGGTTCGGAAATTTGGTTACCATGGACTTCTGGGACGGGCTGTGGCTGAACGAAGGATTCGCGACCTGGATGAGCTGGTACAGTTGCAATGAGTTCTACCCAGAATGGAAAGTATGGGAGACCTTTGTGATCGACACCTTACAAGGAGCCCTTGGATTGGACGGTCTACGAAGCTCCCATCCCATTGAAGTTCCTGTCCACCGCGCCGAGGATATCAACCAGATCTTTGATGCTATTTCATACTCCAAGGGATCTGCCGTGCTGAGGATGATTTCCAAGTACATTGGAGAGGATGTTTTCATTGAGGGAGTGAGGAGATATATCAAGAAGCATGCTTGGGGAAACACACAGACCAGCGATCTGTGGGACGCCCTTGCGGATGCCAGTGGCAAGGACGTTGCACATGTGATGGACGTTTGGACCAAGAACATTGGATATCCAGTTGTCACTGTCACCGAGAACGAGAAGGATTCGAGCATTACTGTAAAGCAAAACCGATTCCTGCGAACGGGCGATGTCAAACCTGAGGAGGACAAGATCATTTATCCTGTCATTCTTGGATTGAAGACAAAGGATGGAGTGGACGAGAGCCTAATGCTGGAGAAGCGAGAACAGACGTTCAAGCTCAAGCATGGTCTTGACTTCTACAAGCTTAATTCCGACCATTCGGCACTTTACCGAACGAGCTATACTCCCGAACGACTGACCAAGCTTGGTGAGGCCGCGCAGCAAGGTCTTCTCTCGGTAGAAGATCGAGCTGGCATGATTGCGGATGCAGGAGCACTTGCAGCGAGTGGATATGGTAAAACGTCTGGAATCCTCAGTCTGCTGCAGTCCTTTAATACTGAGACTCAATTTGTGGTATGGAACGAGATCCTAACGCGCATTAATGCTGTGAGAAATACCTGGATCTTCGAGGATGAGTCCACCAAGGATGCTCTCAAAGCATTCCAGTTGAGTCTCACGTCGGCCAAAGCTCATGAACTGGGATGGGAATTCTCGGAGGATGAAGATCACATCCAGAGCCAGTTCAAGAGTATGCTATTCGGGTCCGCCGGCCTCGCTGGAGACGAAAAAATCCAAGCAGCTGCAAAGGAAATGTTCGGCAAATTCCTAGCAGGAGACTACGCGGCTGTGCACCCCAATCTTCGAGCATCTGTGTTTGCGATGGCACTACGCGATGGTGGAGAGAAGGAGTGGGACGCACTTCTTGCACGATATCATTCAGCACCAACAGCTGACGAGAAGAACACCTGCTTGCGCAGCTTGGGCCGAGCCAAGAGCCCTGGGCTGATCCAGAAAACGCTGAAGTTGGCCCTAAGCGGAGAAGTCAAGATGCAAGATATTTATATGCCGATTGGTGGACTGGGAACAACATCAGAAGGCATTGAGCGACGATACGAGTGGATGGAGAAGAATTGGGAGGAACTGGTGGAGAAACTACCACCGAGTATGACCATGCTGAGCAGTGTGGTCAGCATTTGTGCCGCAGGGTTCACGCGATCAGATCAAATGGCCAAAGTAGAAGCATTCTTCCAGAACAAGGACAAGAAGGGTTTCGACCGCAGTCTTCAACAGAGCTTGGATAGCATCCGAGCCAAAGCGAACTGGCTAGAGCGAGACAGTGAGGATGTGGTGTCGTGGCTGAAGGAACATGGCTACCTGAAGGCGGTGAGTGGGAAGTTGTAGACAGGAAGGCATGAGGCCCAGACGAGGAGACCCCTTCTGCTGAGGCCGAGGCTATGGCCAACGAGTGGTTATGCTATGGTGTATTAGTAGCTTGTCAATCCTAGAAAGAAATGCTAGAACGGTAGAATCCTGGTAAGAGAGACAATCTCAATTTCACGATATTTTTAATAGTGGTGTTAATGTGGTACTTGTCCTGGTTAGCCAGCAGCAATGTGTCAGGAATATGGAGGCTGTACTCCGTACTCCGTACGTGTAATACCAATTGCAGGAAGTGGTGTCACGTTTCGGCAAAGATGCCTTGTTCGCCGCTGCAGCTGGGGTTGAGACTCTGAGAGTGGACTGACACCTCGGGCGCCCCTGCCCATTGTTCAGCAGTCCCAGCAGTGCCGGGTAGTACCACCAATGTCCACCATTAGGCACCGTCTGTCTGCCTTCCGCCCACCCCACGCCACTCACACCCACGTCCCTTAGGCCTGACCTCCCAGGCCCCGACTCCCGACTGACGTGCAGGCTCAGTGCATTCGCTGAGTGGCTTCATTCGGAACAAAATCAACCATCATCGGCCAAGCCAGATCTGCTCGCCCGCCCGCCAATCACATCCCCGCCGTCCCTGGACCCAAAAGATCCCTGGGCTCGTTCCCCGTCCCCCCTGCAAAAAACCACTGAGCCAGTCACCGCCAGGCCCATGGGAATTTATCCTCAATCTCGCCGTCGCCATATCCTTTAAAACTTATCCTTCCCCTTCCTACGCCCGATCCCTATTGCTCCAAGTAGGCACCACACTCGTTTTGGTCGCTTCTCTGTTGTTACACCACCGCCAGCGATCATGGGTCTCCTCACCACCGTCGCCACGCCAATTGAGCACTTGCTCAACACTCTCCCTGTTTACCAGCTCGTTCTCCTCGGCTTCACCGCATTCATCTCCCTCGTCATCATCCTCAACGTCGCCCGCCAGTTACTCTTCAAGGATAGAAATGCCCCGCCAGAGGTCTTCCATCTTGTCCCTGGCTTGGGAAGCACGTATGTACCCTCCCTGCTCTTCCCAGTCCTCCCCCACTTGACACTAACGCGAAGCCGCACAGGATATGGTACGGCATGGATCCCTTCGATTTTTTCTTTTTCTGTAGAGAAAAGTACGGCGACGTCTTCACGTTCGTTCTTCTCGGCCGCAAAGTCACCGTCTGCCTGGGCACCAAAGGAAACGAATTCATCCTCAATGGAAAACTAAAGGATGTCAATGCCGAGGAAGTCTACACGGGTCTCACCACTCCTGTCTTTGGGGAGGGCGTCGTCTACGACTGTGAAAACTCAAAACTCATGGAGCAGAAGAAATTCGTCAAGTTCGGCCTGACCTTGGATGCTTTCCGCTCCTACGTCGATCTCATCTCCAATGAGACCAAGCTGTTCGTGCGCGAAGGAAAGCCCTTGCGCGGTCCAGCTGGCACCTTTGACGTGGTCCCCGCCATGGCTGAATTGACCATTTACACTGCATCAAGATCCCTCCAAGGAAAGGAAGTCCGAGCCAAATTCGACTCAAGTTTCGCAGACCTTTACCACGATCTCGACATGGGGTTTGCCCCCATCAACTTCATGCTTCCTTGGGCTCCTCTCCCGCATAACCGGAAGCGAGATATTGCACAGAAGAAAATGACCGAAACATACATGGAGATCATCAAGGCCCGACGCGCGCAAGGTGGAAAGAAGGAGGGTGATGAAGAAGACATGATCTGGAACTTGATGAACAGCGTTTACAAGGATGGTACACCCGTCCCTGACAAAGAGGTTGCCCATATGATGATTGCATTGCTCATGGCAGGTCAGCACTCGAGTTCAAGCACGTCCGCTTGGATCCTGCTGAGACTAGCCACCCGACCAGACATCCAGGAGGACCTGTTGGAAGAACAGAAGCGAGTGCTTGGAGAGGACCTACCACCATTGACCTATGAGTCGATACAGAAGCTGAAATTCAACTCCCAGGTCGTCAAGGAGACGCTCCGATTGCACGCCCCCATCCATAGCATCCTACGCAAGGTCAAATCCCCATTGACCATCGTCGGTAACACTGCGACCAGCACCAAGACCTACCAGATCCCCATCACGCACACCCTGATGTCCGCCCCCGGCGTGACCTCGCGCGAGAGCGAGTTCTTCCCCGAGCCCATGCTCTGGGAACCCCACCGGTGGGACGACGGGCACGAGCTAGCGTACACGCGTACCGGCATGGACAAGGAGGAATTCGAAGACTACGGGTATGGTCTCATCAGCAAGGGCGCCTCGTCCCCGTACCTGCCCTTCGGCGCCGGCCGCCACAGGTGTATTGGCGAGCAGTTTGCCTACGTCCAGCTCGGCACCGTCCTTGCCCAGTTTATCCGTGAAGTTAAACTCAAGACCCCGGAGGGCCAGAAGCTTGTCGACACCGACTACTCCAGTCTCTTCAGCAGACCTCTCAATCCCGCCATCGTCGAGTTTGAGAAGAGGGAGCAAAAGTCGGAGAAATCCCGAAAATGAAACCAAATACGTAATTGTGATCCATAGAGCGAGCAGGCGCCACGCCACGGGGCAGGGCGTTGATGAAACGAGCTTTGTACATATTGGGTAGGATGGGATGCGCTGAGTGTCGTAATCTGCCCTTCCAGAAGACGAAACAATATACTATTAATTTTTGATGTGTATGCTAAGGTTGTTGGGATCGCATTCGCTGCGAACCCAGGGGCCAGCTCCGTACAAAGAGCCCCTATAGTGATGTATTAGCAAAAAGCAGGTGCTACCCGCTCTGGCCTTTGACAAAGTGAGGAGATAGGTCGTCTTGGTCCTGATCAATCTGAATGAATGAACATGTACTTGAGACATCTAATGTGTTTGGATTGTATACATAACTTCACATCACCATCCATGGAGACACATGCACAGCTGTACACACTAGTGTACACACGTCATATTGAGGAGTTGAGTATCGAACACTACAGTATATCTTCATATCTGGGGCGGCCTCCCGAAACTTCTAAGCTGGCGGAGAGAAATCGCACCAAATGCTAGATGTCCTTCAAGAGGGCCCGTTGTCCAGGAAAATAGAAAGCCGTCCGTTCTATAATATCCAAATTCGGAGGGAATCGCTTTCCACATGTCGTGTAGAGAATGAACGCCAAATGCAACAAGAGGGTGGGGATAAAGCTCTGCCGTGGGCCAGGCAGCGACGGTCTGCTTTGCTGGATACCGTTTCAGACATAATACAGTGTTGTTGAGTGAGCTGATCGTAGGTAATGAGTTATGAATTATGGGGTATTGTCTGCTGATAGTCATGGGGCGGACGTTTAGTTGGCAAGTAAATATTTCGGTGTTTCAAGACCCAGTGAACAACGCGCCCGGCGCCAATGCTGATGAGTGGGAGTGGCGTGTCATTAAATCAAAGATATCCTCTATAGAGGAATGCATACGAGTGGAGATGCTTCAAAAATTGAGCGTTGGCCCGCCCCGTGAAGCTCGACCTAGGCAGGAGCTACCATGCCGGGCTTCTTGCCCTTGAGCGACTTCCATTGAACGGATAGAGCACTGAAGACCATCAGGCACGCCATTGCGACTGCGATATAGAAGGTTGAAGTCAATGCAGTGTTATACGCCTGTTTGACTCCTTCCAGCTGATTTGCAGGGATGTTACTTGCGAGACTCGTCGCTCCAACATGCAGGATAATGGCCGGGTTGACACCGGGGGCTTGCTTCGGGATTTCGGTGATGAGGCGGTTGTTGAAAATGTTTTGAGCGACAGAGACAAAGAGTGCCCCACCGAATGTTTGCATGAACATCACCATTGCAGTTCCAGTCGGGATATCCTTGAGCGGCAAGACTGTCTGTACGGTGATTAAAGGCTGCTGCATGCCGAACCCAATACCGAACCCGTAGAGGATTTGGTATCCAATCCATTTATCATGGGCTGTGGTGGTTTCGAACGTGCTGAGGAGGCCTGCGCCAATGGATGCGAGAAGAACGGCGGCGTAGTAAAAGGGAGCGTAGTAGCCGACGACCGTCGTCCCGATCCCCGAGATGATATTAGCAATGACCAGGGAGAGGATCATCGGTATACACATGATGCCGGATTTGAATGCAGAAGCACCCTTGATGGCCTGGAACCAGATCGGGAGCCAGTAGACCATCACGAAGAAAGTTCCACCAAGACAGAAGGCAAACCAACAAGCCGCTGCCACACTGCGCTGACCAATGATGTTGAATGGAAGGGTGGCGTGCTCTTTCATGAAATACTGGATAATGACGAAGACGATAGTCAACACTCCGAAGAGAGTCAAGCAGAGAATGATACGCCAATTGGACCAAGCATAGGATGCACCTCCCCATTGCAGGGCAAGCAAGCATACAACAATGTCAACGACGAAGACACTTGTGCCGATAAGGTCGAGCTGATGTGCCCGCTGCTTGAGTGGCACCTTGGTCTCGGCCTTGCGGACGGGCGAATGGAAAAATACCAAGATGACTGCTACTGTCACCGCTCCGATAGGGAGATTGATATAAACTGGGGCCATATTAGCTGGAATGGAGATCGATCCAGGCGCACATCTCAAAACACTTACAACACCATCTCCAAGAAACTTTGTCGGTGAAAGCGCCTCCCAATAGAGGGCCAGCAATGGAGGCGATTCCGTACATAGCACCAATCATGCCTGTATACAATGGACGCTTGAGGAGAGGGACCGAGTAGGCAATAATGACCAGGGCACCTGAGAAGATACCAGCTGAGCCAACTCCAGCAATAGAACGACCAATAATGAGGGCGGAGGAGCTTGGAGCAGCGCCACAGACGGCAGAGCCGATTTCGAAGATACCAATAGAGGTCAGATAGACGATCTTGATGGAGTAGAAAGTGTACATCCTGCGCGGAATTAGTGGAGTGAACCTTGAAGATGACGGCCGCCAGGCTGGTACTTACTTTCCAAAAAATAGCTGTAGAGCGCAGGTGGTGAGCAAGTAGGATGAGCCATACCAGCCGACATCACCAAGCGAGTTGAAATGATCTGTAATTTTGGGGATAGCTGTTGCGATGATGGTGTTGTCTAGTGCGACTAGAAAGACCGACAAGCAGAGAGCAAGTGAGATCAAGGCCAACTTCACACCTCCTGGAAAGACCATCTCATCCTCGTCAGAGGCGTTGGGGTCGGTATGAATCTCTTCATTTTTGGTTTCGACGATGGAGGACGCCGTGCGGTTGGAGCTCCGGACTGGTACTGTTTCGAGCGCTGTTCCTAGCTTTCCTTCCGTTGTTGTGGCCGGATCTGTTTCGACCAACTTCTCACTATCGACAGAGTGAGTGAGTGAGCTGTCCTCTTCAGTGGTGCCTCCAAGCTCGGGCTGTTTTTCGAGATCCGTGCTGGAGACATTCTGGCTTGGAACAATAGTGGTTGCCTCAGACTTTGGGTTCGTGCCCCTTTCAGGCGCACTTAAGGTGTCCGCCGACTTTTTGGCAAAGAAGCCCATGTTTGCGACCGTAAGAAGCGAACGTTACACTGGACTTTTCCCCGTGCAAGTAGAAAGATGATGAGATTGGTCGCGATGGGAGTCCTCAGAGTGTCCCGGGTACAGACGCGATAGTGGAGCTTGTATGGGATGGATGGACGGGTATGACTCAGCTCAAGGGTGGGTATCTCCCAGTCACTTCCGGAATGTTTGTCGTCGTGGAAAAGTTGGAGTGGCGAAGGAGAAATAATGTCGGCAGCCAACGCGGTCTATTTCGACTGGTCGTATGAGAACAAGTAGTGGGCCGTGGAAGATTAATGAGAGAACCCTAGAGAAGAAAGAGGAAGAGGAATAACGAGAGGAAAAAAGACGCAATCGAGAAGGCCTATGGAAAGGGACAAAGAAGTATTGACTTACGAATGAAGAAGAACTGGAGGAAGAGGGAAAAAGTTTGGATGAACTAAACGACCGCCAACGAGATAAAGCGAGTAAGGGTGAAGGCCAGCCTCATGATTGGCTAAAGAATTGCGACATCTGCTTGCAACGGAGTTTAGAAGACAAAATATGGGGCTTCCGATACGATGAACTCCCAGGCTCCATTCTAATTTCCATGTTACTGTAAGTCAGGACTGGTCTCTCCACGGTCCAATTCAAGAGACGACTAACCCACTTGCCGCTTCGCTTGACACGCTACTGTATAAACTACAGCGTCTTAAGGCATCAAGCCATCTTCTTCAAGGCTTGGAAATGGGACTGCTTGTTTCCCTTCCCAGGAAGAGCAGAATTCAGGCATCAGCATTATTGACCGTATCCAATGCGAGACAATGCACGCAGTGGTTGTGAGTAGCCATAACGATCAAACCCGATCCATGCTGTCAAAGATCTCGTCCCAGAATCGCGGGCGACCAGTCCAATCGGCCCTTGGTTGTCATGACGTCCAAGACTCTTCGCAAGCTTAGAATCGTATTCGGCCTTGTGCGAGTCGAAGAATGCAACAAAGACAATCAATCAGGTGCACCGGATCACGGATCCTGCTTTATCCGGGTTGGCATCACGTGCTACTCGGCGAGAATATCCTCCGCCAGCCGAAGCCAACTCATGTCAAAAGCTGGAGCAAACCCATTCCAGTACCGCTGTAACTCCGAGCCTGGAAACAACAACCGACTCAACGGTGAGAGATGGAGCAGCTATGCAGGTACTCTGCTGACTGGAAACAAGGGATGCAAGCAACCGGAAGTGATGGTGGATCTTGACGGCAAAGCACGTGAATGAATGCTCTGAGCAATAACAGGAAGAAGCGACTTCACCCTTTTGAGGGATGGGAATCCGCCAGTAGTAAGTACTGTAAGTAAGCATCTAAGAAGCGCCTTTGGTTGTAATGAAGCCACAAAAAAGGACCCATCGTGGGAGCTTCAGACTGCACGCTCAGCCTTGCGAGCCTCTCTCGCAAGGCTGAGGCTGAGAGGCTGATTTTCGGTCACACATCAGTGAAGTGACTTCCACTCTCAACTTGCAGTCAAGGAACCCAGAGGCAGCCAGTCTGCTTCAATGAAATTGTTGTGACACAATTTCGCCTTACCAGAACTGCCCGGATTTCCAGATTCACGTACACACACAGAGACAAATTCCAAATTTGCCTTCCCGTTCCACGTCTCCAATCTCCCACTGTATCATTCATCTTCCCTTCCACACATTCTTTATCTCTCTTCTTTCGTCCAGACACACTCTTTCCCCTCCACAAAGCCCTTTCAATCGCATTCAAAATGCTGTGCTCTAAGGTCTTCCTTCTGGCTGTGCTTCTGATTGCCAATACAGGCTTGTCTCTCGGTCTTGTACCAACTTGGGATCAAATTGGTGGTTGCTCTGTACGTGTCAAAAAGGTCTGACAATGAGGGTTGATGAAGCCTAACCATTGCCATAGAAAATCTGTCTCAGCGCGGCTCTCCATGTTGTCTTGGAAGACCCTGCCTTGGGAACTCACAATGAGATCTGCCCTCCATTGTGGTTCGCTCTTCCGACTATTTCTCAATGCAAAGACTTCTGCTCCGATCCCAGCTACAAAGCTACCTTGACGCAATGTCTCAAGATCCAATGCCCTAGATGGCTCGTGGGAGAAATCTTGCTTCTCAGCAACCACATCATCTGCAACATCTCTGAGCGCCAGAATGTCAAGTTCAGCTCTGATGGCAAGGGACACTGGGATGTGCACTGGCCAGCTCAACTAGTCGCAACTGGAGAAGAGACTGCACGCACAAACGACGGTTCTGCATGGCCCGTCGTTACCGCAGGCGCTGGCGTGAGTCTCCATCAACTAGACAATCTTCTGCTTTCTCTCGAGTTCATTCCCACTAACTAAACCATCAGGTTCGTCGTGGCTTGCAAGCCGAATTCCCCGCTTACCCTGTTGCCGATGAACCAACGGCCATCGACCCTGCGGTTGTTGTAAGTTCGTCTTGGGTGCTCAATTACTTCTCTCGCTGATCCCACTCTCAGACTCCTCCCGCTGTTAGCTCTTTCCCCAATGCGACTGCCACCTTGAGCTGTGGCTCAATCAGTAAGTGTTCTCTTCCATCTGCCCTGCTTCTTCATTTATCGAATCTCCAACGCAAGACAAAGCTCCTGACGTTTCCGACAGCCACCGCAACCTCAATGGTTTTCATCACTATCACACCTGCTCCAAGCACCAACATCTCTGCCACCACCATCCTCCCATCAACTTCTTCTTGCAGCTGCAGCACTAGCACTTTGACCACCAGCATCTTTACAACCATTGCTGCATCATCGGTCCCGCACACCGTGGCCGACAGTTCCCACATTTCCTCGTCCACAAGAGTGACGTCGCTTCATTCAAGCACAGTCACCACTACACACTTTACCACTCACTCCACCACTCACTCCACTGCGACAAACTCGCTTCTACCCATGCACACTGAAACCGGCGCTGCTGTCGCGGTCGGTATCAAGTCGAAGCTGTTGGCTTTCGGTGCCGGAGGTGCGGGTATGTTCATGATTGCAATGTTGTAATGGATGGATCAAAATTCAGAACAGAGGATTTGAAATGGGAGTGGCATGGACAGGCATGGCAACAATAATGGCTTGGATTACATACCTTCGGCCAACGCCGCCGCCAGTCTGATGTGTTAATGTCATTGATCTTTAATGTGACGGAGAATACCATTTCTCAACACGGTGTCTCATCTTGGAATCTTTGTCCACATTTGCGACATCCCATAGTGAGATAGATGGAAATCCCGTACGTCAGCAAGCCGAGAAATTGTCTGGACCGGAAATCAAAGGAACTATTGAGTTCACTATTGTCCGCTCAAATATCTTTTGCTGTGCTGTGTCACTTGAGCTAGAGATTACCGCTTCCGCTTACCACTTTCACGAAGGAGCTGAGGGCACACAGAAGTCCTTCTATGACCACCAGCAGCTCAAATATTTACATAAGAGGTTGCACCTTATCTAAGGGTCAACACAGAGCGCGTCGTAGACGTAGACGGTGGGCTGGAGACCTCCAGTCAGACTCACATTACGCCTGAGTGGAAAGTTTGTGGGGCGTCCGCCTTGCACCATGAATTGGTTAGGTGCCATTCCTTGGCGAGGATATCATCGTTTTGGATTTTGGGTGCTGCCCTTATTTTACCATTTGAGTACGGTACAGCTCACACAGACTCTGCCTCCGCTCACGAACTCAACCATGAGCTCATGCCACCTACAGATCATCGACTCTGACAAGTGGAGCAAGGTTTATGGTCTTGTCTTTAGGCCAGGCAAACAGTCCGTCACGAGGAGATCGTGAGAAAAGTCACGTCCTCCAGGGGATAAAATAATTTGAGTGGCTACAGCAGAAATGGCTAAGAGAAGCCAGTCAAATCACAGCGAGAAAGATGATCCCTCTGATGATTGCGACGATCCGTCCACAAACAAGGAAATGTTTCGACGGGCGACAGTCTACGACGCCGTGGCGGGTAAACTTGGACCGAATGGATTTCTATCCCACGAAAAGGTGACCAGTAGCCAGCTTCCTAGTGGTCCTGAGGAATATCTTTTACGGCGAACGAACATTTCTAGCGAGCTGCTCGAGAAATCTTACGCGGCTGTAGAAGATGCAATCTCCAGTGGCAAGTTGCCAGACTCAGACATGCTCAAGGCTGTCCACGCATACGCATCTGATTTCTATTCATCAGCTCTTGGTCAAGGCAAAGAGAAAACCAACAGTCAGTCCCTCGATGAGACCGCATTGATTGCTGTAGGCATCCTACTTGAGGAGGCAGTGAGGGAAGCCCTAGGGGAGAATGGAGACATGGTGTTCGTGGAACCAGACGGGCTCGAGCAGGGGCTGGGAGAGAGTAAAATGACCAAACATCAGATTAAAGGGAGAGTCAAACCTTCCAAACCAATTTCGGGCCCATCAGCATCAGACGAGGATAGCGTGGTCGAAGAAGCATCTCCAGCAAAAAGGCGCAGACTGTAAAACATGCAGGGCACTGGATCCTAGTTGGACTAGGGAAACGGGAGATAGGATTCTGAGCGCATCCGGCATCACGCAGAATGATGACAGCAAGTGGCCAGTCCAAACCACAAACGGCATGCACAGGGTAACGAAAGCTTCTATGACCTGTATTATGCATCTGTGTGTTGGTCGAATAAAGATCATATCAACGACTATCTGACCTGGCCCAGCAACCAAGACTTGATTAAAGACCAGGCCGAACTGCGGGGATGCGCCTGGTAGGCCAAGACGAAGCTTGGTACGAGAGAAGCTTTGTTGGATCCAGCTTGTCACACGTGGGGAGACACCTAGAGGGACAAGCACTGCAGCACGAAATCTTGTGTTACATTTAGCTCAAGCGCAAGAGTAGGTGACGGGTGAATAGGCCGGCGTTTGACAGGTCGTTAAGGTGTTTACCTAGGCGCTAATGGGTGGTGCGAAATTCTCGTCACTGGGTTGATGGTCTCAGGCGACTGGACACCAAAAGCGGGGGCATGTACGAGCTCCAGTACTCCGTAAGTTGGAAGAGCCAATTCGCAAAGGCTGTCCAGATGATTCCCAAGGGTTGGCTTTCGGAAGCAAGCGAACAATCCAGTCACTAAACAGGAAAAATGGAGAAGAAAGAATGCTGGTCGCTGGGTCGCTGGGTCGCTCATGGGCGGCGGGGGGCGAAATGCAGTGTCCGTGTCATCCGAGGAGCAACATTACCTTCTATGTATCCGTACCGTGGAAGGCCACAGGGGCGACCGATAATACGAGGAGGACTTAGTGTGCCCTGCAGTCTTTGTTGTCACTTGACAGTGAAGCGTGGCGATTTGACGACTACGTACGGAGTATTGTAGCTGTTTAAGTACGAGTTTTGTCGGCTATCCCAAGTGGGTGCCAACTACGGAGTATAGTACCAACGTACGAATAGTGCATAATTGATAGTCCATCGCCCACCGGCATGACTCGGGCTTGGGTCGGCAACTCCACGCCAGCTACGTATCCAGCCAGGCGTGAGGATGGCTCCCGGTTTGGATAGGCCATCCTGGCACCCACTGGTGTCACACTGCAGATAACCTTGATTCGGGTTGGATGCAGGAGCCAGTGCTCGATTCGAGCAGCATGCCATCAAATACTCGTACAGATGTCCATCTAGACATATCACCGACACCGACACCTGGTTTTACTCGTGCGCTATGGAAGGATTTGATCGAGTGACAGGTAGAACTCTGTGGGCAAGTTGGTCTGTCCACGCTGCCACTTAGGCAGAAACCTTACAGTAGTATCGTAGTAGCTGCAATAATAACAGGGGGCATGGTCAACCATGGACGGGGTCTAGGGTCGAGGGCCACGAATCTATGATAGGCATGGGGGCTCTTCCTTCGCCGCCCCTCAGGCTGATCCGTCAACCATATGGGACTAATAATTACCCAAGTTAGTTAAGCACCGCGTGCACGACCCCCCTAGAAATATCGTCCTCCCAGCTCTTCTCCCAGGCTCCTCGCTCTCTCTTGAACTTGCCAAGCCGAAGCTTGAACTTCTAGACAAGCCTTCATCGTCCCAACTTGAGTCCTCCACCACTCTGGTTCTACCACTTTCATGAAAGCTTGGCCGGCCGCTTTCCCATGTCCTTGGATCATTGCTATATCCTCTCAATCTCTCTTCTGAATGTCGTAACGATCTCTCGACTATCCCGGCCGACCCTTTCGACCCTCTAACCCCACAAGCACGCCGACGCCCACTACCAAACCTCATCTCACGCTCCTCATCTCCACCCCGTCAATCGCTTTGCCTGGCCTCCCAAACATTGATTCGCAACTTCTTCTCGACGTGCGCGCGCTCCTTTAGCCCTTCCGGGCATCATCTCATCGCGTGTATACTCTGCCTTGCGTATCTCACAGCCGACTCGGGAAACAGGTCCTTTGGATGACCAAGCTGACTGGCTCACGCGCAGCTGCAGTGACCGCCGCTTGACGACGTCTGCCTCAGCCACCCTCTCGTCTTATCACCGATCCGATCGGCTCTTTTGTCATCTTTATACCACACACAATCACCTCCCAAGCTGGGCTGACCATGCTCTTGCTGAGATCGCCCTTATAGCAGTGAATGGCCCAAGTTTGTACGGCGATGCCTCTCGAGACACTGCTCACCAACCCCAATAAACCAGTGCCTCGTTCACGTTCTATCCTCTCATATTTCTCCAATCCGCTCGCAAATCATGCCCGGAACATGTTCGATCTTGTCATCGAACCCGAAGATCCATTTAGAGTGTATTCGCCGGGTCAGACTGTAAAGGGACATATCACACTCACTGTAACGAAGGGCTTCGACATAACACATTTGATAATCGCGTTGCATGGATATGCGAAGGTATACAAACATCAGGTGACAGCAAATGATGCCGTGCCCTCTGCCGAATTATTGATGACTGGAAGAGGTCCACGAAACTTCGAGTATCACGGCAATGGCCTCGCGTCGCTCTTTCAAAATGAACAGGTTCTTTGCGGAAATGGTTTCCTTAAGAAGCAAGTCTACAAGTTTGCTTTCGAGGTGGCTTTTCCAAACAAGAGCTTGCCCAGCACGATTGAAGTGAGTCCACATCGACAGATTTCACCAGGAAGCACTGACAAGAACACAGTTCGAGCGAGGGAACATAGCCTATATGTTGACCGTCACTCTTACTCGCCCAACGACCATCAGCCCGACCATCACTCGTAGCACGAAGTTGAAGTTCCAGGATAACATTGACATAGAAGCGATGTACACTCCAAAATCAAGGGTTATCTCGCTAGAGCCTGTTCACAGGCGCGGCAAAGTCAAGGCAATCAAAGCCGCATCATCGGTCACAACTCAAACTACGCAGAATACTCAAACCACGTCAAGCGCCGGCCAATTGACGCGAAACAACACTCAGAATAGTTCTGCTACTCGAAGTAGCAATTCCGTTTGCAATCCACCGCTCAGCCCTGCACCTAGCGACGATACCGCCCACTCCAACACCACTGCTACAAGCACACCTAGTTTCCAGGTGATTGATGCAGACTCACCCCCCGCGATACGGAGCCCGCACACGAGCGACACTCGAAGCAATACCACGTCCTCATCTTCTCACACCATTACTGCAACGACCGAGCTCCCGAGACATGGAGCCCTACCCGGAGACACTGTTCCGATTCGAGTCTCGATCACGCATACGAAAGCCGATGTAAGAGGCATGGTGATTGCGACCTTATATCGACAAGGTAGGGTAGACATGCATCCGGCAATTCCTCTGGCCACACGAGGGAAGGAGAAAAAGGCAGAATATGAAGATGTATATCCCAAGTCGCGGACGGGACTTGGAGGTCTATATTTTGCCAACGGCTCACCCAGCAGCGTTTTCAGAAAAGATCTCGCCCAGTCTTCCACCCTGATGGTTGTAAACCCTCACACGATGTCTGCCGATATAACAACCTCAGTTCGGATCCCTGATACTGCGTTTCCAACAATAGCCAATGTCCCGGGAGGCATGATAACATTCACGTATCATATTGAAGTGGTAGTGGACCTTTTTGGACGATTAAATGAGACCAGAATATTGCCACGACTCACCTCGAGTGAACCAACCTTCACCCACAGTATGGAGAATGGCAATCAATTAACTTCAGATTGGTCAAACAACATCCTGGACACAACTCAATTGCGACGGACAAAGAGTGTCATCACCTTTGAGATGTCTATCATTGTAGGCACAGTGGATAGTGGAAGGAAGCAGCGACAGACTAAGCAGGCCGAAATTCAAAAGCCAAGTGGCGACCCTCAATGGGGCGAGGATGGTTGGTATGACGGATATCACCATGAATATGACGATCAATATTATGATGAGAATGGGTACCAATATTATGATGGCTACGGCTATGACCCTACCTACTATCCGGACTACCAACCTCAAACCGCTGAAGTCATACCTCCACCAGAAGCACACGAGGAAATGGATGAGAAGGCTCGGTTGCGCCGGCAAGAGCAATTGTTACTTCCTAGTCAGCCACCACAAGAGGGCGAATCATCAAGTAGCGCGCTTTTGTACGCACCCACGGCACCGATGCTGCAGGCTGATCACGTATCTGAAAGCGCCGATACCCACCACGATGGGTCTGCGACTCCATCAACTGTTCACCCAGCTTCGGTGGCATCGGCAAGGTCTGGTGACACCATCAGACCTTACTCGGCCTCACCCCCACCTGCACCACCAGCTTTTACGGAAAACGAACCTACAGATGATAAGCAGGAACTGGAGCGACGACGATTGCTGGCTCAAGCGAGCGCCCCTCCGGCAGATGATATGCAGACAGAGCCGAGCAGTTCGCATGGGGCAACCTCGACTGCGACTGCACCAACGATTAATGAGGAGGATGAATATAATGTACAAACACTTCATCATGACCATACAGGGCCGGATTTGCCACAGTATGAGCGGTAGTGGGTGTGGAAAGGATTTTGGGATATTTTAACGTGTTGTCTCTTGTTCTTCATGCCAGCGAAGGCGCTGGAGGAATTGATATTTTATGTGGCAAAAATGAATCAAAGTTGCGAGGGGAACCCAACCGTGGAAAAGCGATCGATCGTCCTCAATCTAGAGGGATCGAACTCCCGTGGAATGAAATAGCAAGTCTGAACAGTGCACAGTTTTCGACGAGGAGAAGACAGAGATAGAGCCGAGCATGAGGATTAGGCCAGTGGATTCTCCGAACTTATCACTAAATATGATCGCGTTGAGGGAGGCGGACATCCACGGCGATGCGTATACGAAGAAGACAAAGCCCAGCGGTCGTCAAAGTGATGTATACACGAACCCGACACCGATATATAGTATTAGAACGAAACAGCGGGCACCAGTAGTGTAGTGCGTGAGTGAGTGGACGGGCGGAGTGGCGTGATCGGGCATGCACTACTAACTTGGGGCGAGTAAATTCCAAAAACTTGATACGAATGGGAAACCCGGGCTGGACGCTGCTACTTCGTTCTCTGTACTGGAGCGAACCCATACGGATTGCATCCAACAAGGAACCGTTCGCCTGCTGTCCAGCTAGGCTTGCAGTACATAGCTAGCCACTCGACCATACCTGTATGTACGAGCTGACTCGTGGCCAAGAGTCGCACAGGCGCTTGTTGCGTGGTCGATTCTCGATTCCCTTTTTCCCTCCCTCCCCAATGGCGTCGTCGTCTGTACTCGTACTACGTATGCACCCAGTACTGTATCTCAGCACTCGGCAGAGATAGTGGGTTCGATCGCTCGGTGTTGTTCGCCCCACCTGCTTTGTATCTAATATAGGGATTTACGTGCGTACTCTGTACCTTGGTATCTATGGATATCTCGCCTGTACTCCTGTACATGCGCCTACCTACCTAGGTAGGTGGTCAGCTGTCGTAGGGTCACGCTTTTCCGTCCGCAAGGCCCAGGTACTCTTGCTCGATCGGGGACCAAGTTTCATGTTTGCGGTGCACTGGTTGACCTTCACATATGGGAGGTAGCAACTAACTGGTTCCTGTTGTGTGTGTATTTTGTCTCTCTGTATCCTGAAAGCCAATATCTCAGGTCAAAATCTCACCCGAAAACACGTTGCTATTTATGAAAGAGAGGTTTGCTCCTGTGTCTGAGGTTTTGTTGAAATATGGTGGGGGAACCACATGCCTTTGCGCTCAGTGAGGAATCTTCACGTCTCTAGAGAAACAAGACAAGACAACTTTGGGTACACACAATAGCCAAGGTTAGTCAAGATAAGACAAGCATTTTTCCGGCCGCAGCTTGTTCGTTCGACCAGGCAGGACTCAGGAGTAAACTGATAGCTCAGGTCGGAGTAAATATGTACTCCAGCCTTGATCTTCCATCGCTCATTCCGCAAGGTGGTCACTGCAACCTAGAACCAGGAAAAGCCACGCACTTTCATGTCAAGTGAGGATTCCTGCGTCGTCCTTCCCATCTAAGTTGACCGATTGCAGGTTGGGATAGTCCGATATCTTAGGTCGCGCTTTGGGTTCTGATTGGTTCATTTTTGCGTTCATTGTTCGCCCTTATCTTTCCATTCCAAAACTTCCCCTTCAAGATAGGCGATGCTGTACAGGCCTTGCGTGGAAGCTCAAAAGCCATCTCTCGTCTCAGGGTGACTTGAATGGCTGTTGCTGTTGTTCCCTGCAATATTGCTCGAAGGAATCATACCACCCTAGTATAGACCGTCGATTTTGGGGTGCTTTGGGTTACTTTACCCAGACTCGGTCGGCAGTAGTGCGGGTGGTATTTGGCATGCAAAAGCGAAAGCGTGGCAGGTGACATGGTTGGAACAGTATTGGCAAACTGAGATAAGCACCTGGATGTTGATGCTTCGACTGGCTTGGGCTTGCTTGGCCTCTGGACTTTCATTTAAAGCCCTCTTCCTGGTCCTGGGCCTACTCATGCTCCTCCCGCGTCTTGCTCTTCCAAAGCGAAGTTGCTCACATCCTCCTTCAATTTATTCACCATGGCAGCTGATCCCGTTTTTGACGAGAAAACCGTAGGAGAGACCAAGCAGCCACCTCCTACTTCTGACCACGATATCGAGAATGGAACAACTCACACTGCTGAGCTCCGCCGTGGGCTTCAAGGTCGTCACATGCAAATGATTGCCATTGGTAGGTTGAGTGGGATCAAAATCAAAAATGGAAAGCAATGCTGATACACTTGTTCAGGAGGTTCAATTGGCGCCGGTCTCTTTGTTGGATCCGGTGGTGCCTTACAGTCTGGCGGGCCTGCGTCTCTTGTGATCGGGTTTATCATCATCGGTATGATGTTGCTGTGCACCGTGCAGGCACTGGGCGAACTGGCTGTTTTGTATCCTGTCAACGGCGCCTTCTTCAATTATTCCGTTCGATTCATCGATAAATCTTGGGGGTTCGCCATGGGGTATCAGTACGCCATTGGTTGGCTTATAACGTTGCCTTTCGAGATAACGGCCGCTGGTATCACAATCAGCTATTGGCACGAATACAATATTGGTATCTGGATAGCTGTCTTCCTTACAACATTGATCATCGTTCAGGTCTTTGGCGTAAAAGGATATGGTGAAGGTGCGTCCTGTCTGTCAACCTAAGATCTATTCTCCTACTGACTGGGCATGCAGTTGAATTCGTCCTCGGTATAATTAAGGTTGTTGCAGTTCTAGGATTCATCATCTTTGGTATTATCGTCAACTGTGGCGGTGTCCCCACTGACGACCGTGGCTACATCGGCTTCCGTTATTGGAACGGCAAGGACGGTAACCACGCTTTCCGAAATGGTAGGAGCAATCGAGATCTTTCCGCGGAAGGCAGTACTAATTTGGATGATAGGCTTCAAGGGATTTTGCTCGGTCTTCGTGACTGCTGCCTTTGCCTTCGGCGGGACTGAGATGGTTGGTCTTGCTGCTGCTGAAGCTGCCGACCCCAGAAAGTCTTTGCCCAAGGCTACTAAGCAAGTCTTTTGGCGTATTGCTGGCTTTTATGTTGTCTCACTGCTCATCATGGGCATCATCGTGCCAAACAGCTCCGAAGACCTGCTGGGTTCCAGTGGGGCCAATACCAAAGCCTCTCCATTCGTATTAGCCATCAAATATGCCGGCGTCAAAGGCTTGCCTTCAGTTTTCAACGCTGTCATTACTATCTCAGTCATGTCCGTGGCGAACAGCTGTACTTACGGGTCGACTCGTACCTTGCAAGCCCTCGCTGCCGCAGGAATGGCCCCTAGGTGGTTGGGATATATTGATAAGAAAGGTCGCCCTCTCTGGCCTGTCGTTATCCAGATGGCATTCGGTCTTCTGGCATTCATCAATGAGTCTGCTGATGGTAGCACGGTCTTCACCTGGCTACTCTCCCTCACGGGCTTGTCGTCCTTCTTCGTGTGGGGCTCCATTTGTCTGAGTCATATTCGCTTCCGACAAGGCTGGAAGGCTGCCGGCCGTTCCGTGGACGACCTTCCTTTCAAGTCACAGCTTGGCGTTTATGGATCATACTTTGGTGTGTTCCTCGTCGTGATCTGTCTGATAGCAACATTCTATATCTCCCTCTTCCCCATCGGTGGCAGCCCCAATGCCGAAGCTTTCTTCGAGAGTTACATCGCAGCGCCCATCGCGATAGCTTTGTTCGCCGGCTGGAAGATCTACACCAAGGACTGGTCCTTCGGTATCCGCGTCGAGGATATGGATCTCGACAGCGGCCGCAGAGACTATGCAGATTTGCCTCCGCCAGAGCCAGCGAGGAACCTGAGCATTGGCCGCAGGATGAGCCAGGCTATCTTTTAATTGAGTGAAATTCAAGGCTTTGTCGTCTTTGACGTCCGAGGTCTTCCTCGCAGATTTCTCTACCGAGATAGCGTAATCATAGTTTGTCAGAAACAACGAATGCACTATGGTGTGAAAGCTTTGAGTCTCTGATTGCCACCATTGGATGACTCCATACTTCCGCTTGTTTGCTTCGAGGCAGAAAGCGTGGTAGATCGACGAAATCTCGCGAGCATAATGTGTAACGGCCTGGATGGCAGCAGAGCCTTCCCTTCCCTGATCCTCATCATCGAGAGAGTCTGGGTTTGTGCTCTCCAATGATAGAGATTGGAAAGAAGACCTCAAGTCCAGCAGACGAAAGAGTCGAGGTAAACCCGTGGAGGCTAAAAACCAATAAAGTAATGGCGAACCCCGGCACCGCTAGCGGCAGGCCGAAAGTCGGCGGGAAAAGGGTTCTCAATTTCTTCTATTTGTGTGGTGCGCGGATGGAGGAGCTTTATGTAGGATGAAGAAAGCATGTTGTTGTTGTGTCAGACAGACTGGGCTTGAGCCAAAGGGCGTATTCATACCTGGTACTCGTAGATGCTACTCCGTTAACGTTGAGTCTATACGTGGTCAATTGGTGTGAACAATAGGCACCGTTGTTTATGGCTTAGTTATGTCCTAAAGTAGTCCCATCCGTCCAGACGAGATAAGTCGATGGAAAGACATCATAAATCTGGGCACCGAGGATCACGTTCAAGGCCAGCAGCTCGTCGGTGGAGCCTTTACTATTCCACTCCATGTGGCCTAGGGCAAATCAACTTTCTGCTCACAACATCATATCACTACTGAACTTATATTGGGTGTGCTCTTTGGAGATATAACGCTATGCTATTCTGAGGAGCTACACGTATGCTGTGCAACCTATGCAAAATATGCTCACCTCCGGACGCCTTGCTGTACAGACTCGCAACATGACAAAGATCAGACCAAACAAGATGACTGTGTGAGCTTGTACAGCCCGTGAGCAGAGCATCAGCCCAAGATTCTTGATGTCTCTAACTCAGCGTCGGCTTCCTCAAGCTCTCTCTCAAGCTCTCTGGCCAGCTCGTCATCTGAGTCTTCTTCTTCAGCTTCTCTATCTTCCTGTGCTGCCTCGACTCTCCGCTGATCACGCTCGATCTGTTGTTCATCTGTATCTCTGGCATCGGGAGTACTGGACGCCTCAGAATTCCGTTGGCTGTCAATGTTGAAAACTGATTTGAGACCGCTGCCACCTGCCTTTCGCTTCGATTTCGGAGAATCATCGAGACTGCCTCCCTCGTCTTCAAAGTCAACTCTTCTCCTCTTAGCAGCTCGTCGTTCTCTGAAACTCAAAGCCGAGCCTACAGAGTCTGTATCACTTTCACTGTCGACTTCACTTCCCATGAATTCTTTAAGCTCGGCATCAATGTCTGCCCATTCTTCTTGATCGATGGTCAGGGGACTTCCGTCGTCTACGAATTCTCCATCCTTGCTGTCCTCGCCATTTCCACCGCCTGTGACGTCTAGTTTGAGCTTCTTTCTAGAAGGTTGATCATCTTCGGTATCAAAGCCAGTGGACTCTCCTTCGGAAGAGCTGAGGAGGAAATTGTGTAAAGAAGGATTAGGCTTCTCCACACCATCTCCTGCCTCACTAGAAGTCTCGAGTTTCTGTTTGCCAACGCCTTCGAGAAGGTAGGGTCGCTCATCCAGCCTGCGCCACTGTTGCATGGATTCAATCAACCAAGGTGTGCCCACAACTTTTATGCCACGTTTCACAGCCTGTTTCACTTTGGCTGTCCCTGGTCGTACGGCGATAACGTGCGTCACGTCTCGGGCAATTTTTTCAGCGATGGATGCGCCGAAGCTTTTCGCCCACGTGCTGATGTCGGCGTTCTGAACATCGGTACCTAGTGGAAGAACGCCGCTGAATACCAGCTTGACACCATTAAGGATGCGTTGCTTCATCGCAGGCATCACCTTCTTGACATCGGGTACCAGTAACAGATCAATGGCAGTACCATCTTCTTCTTCACCATTGGGCAGAGGTGCTTTGCGTTTCCCAGTAAGTTCTGCCACCCTTCCGCCTTTCCCTCCCAATCTCTTGCGGTCGTACTCTGCAAAAAAGGCAGCGTGTACAGCTGTCAAGGCAGACTCAAGATGGATCAACTCCTCATCGTCGTTCTTAAGGATACTGTGTCGTGGCTTGGGCCGTGCTGGTGGCGTGGTCTCGGATGAATCCGAGGAGTCACTGGAGTCGGAATCAGTCGACGGAGAGGCTTGCGCATCGCCGTTAGTAACCGCTTCAGCCTGATCCTTCTCGTCCTGCTCCAACTGCATCTTCAAAAGTGGTTTGTCTGACAGCTGCGAGGTGATAAGCTGTTCTTGCCCCTTGGTCTGCAGTTCTCGCACAACTGGATCATCACCACCACTCATGGCCATCAGCTGCTCCAAAGTGGATGCACTGTCTTCACTTGGAGGTAGTTGGTCGGAAACCCCATTAGTAGCCCCGTGAGCATCGACTGCGCCCGAGTCTGTACCATTGGTTGCAGACTCCTTGTTATCTAGTTTAGGCATGCTCTGGGTTTCTTGCTTCTTGGGCAAGAAACTAGAGTTAATGTCTCCTATACCAACGAAGAAGTCAAAAGGGGTAACCCTAATCAAATTGGAGTTCCACTTCCACACATCACCTCTATCGTCAATGATGACGACCATCTTCGTGTCGACAGGAAAGAGTCGTTCAAGGTTTTTGGCGACCATACTTCCACTTTCATCGCGACTCAATATTCGATCGCCGAAATATTTGCGGTCCGGATCAATGATGTTGGCAATTTGCTGAGCATATTGTCTAGTTCCCATGGTGTAAATGTGAAGCTCAAAAAGCTGGGAGACGTGTTCAAGGAACTCAGCAAGACCAGGTCGCAGTTTGATGTAGTACCAGCAGCCTCTCATTCCGGGACCGTCATCAATAAGCTGAAACGCGCGGACGTCCTTGACAGCTTCATAATTCGGATTGTCCTTATCTTTCTGCCATTCAGCTATCGTCGGATCGACGGCTGCATGTATGATAGTTTGATCAAGGTCGACGACTAGGGACAACTTTCTAGAGGCTAGAAGGCGACGCTTAGCTTCTTCATCGACAGTATTGGCTTCTTCTTTGCTTATGGTAAGATGAGGAGTGTCATGCGCCATGCGGATGGGTGCTCGATCAGCATCTGTAGTCTCGCTGCCTGCCTGCACACTTGAACTCAGTCAGTAAAGAATGAAACAAAGCATGGGGCCCCTGTTAGTACTTACGTTGTCATATCCTTTCCGCAGTTTGTGCACATGCCCAGAAACTGGACAGTATGAGGGCATTCCTCCTCGATTTCACAAATGTCTGCGCTGCGGCTTGTTAGTTGCATTGGTATGAAGGGTATGACATGATAGACGTACGGGTGTGTCAGTACATCTCCTTCCCAAACCCTCCATCCCTTGATTGTTCCTTGAAGTGTGCTGGGAAAGTGGGTGACGAATTTTTTGTCAACTTCTGTCTCATCGCCATAGCGACTGCCAACCTTCACCTTGGTCGTATAGGAGTATAGAAATAGGTCGTCGTTGAGAGAGACGGGATCGCCTACTTGCTTCTCAACTTTCGTGATTGTGAGAGGGTAATGGAGGTTTTTGGGTAATCGCAGTAGCATTCCGAACGCGCTGGAGCAGCCAAGTACATTGACTTGAGCATGTAGGAACTAGATGAAGATGCGATGCAAAGAATGGTCCTACGTACTTGACTGCGTTGCTGAGGTTGCGGTTGCGGGTCGGAGAAGTGTGAAGCGAGGAGGGAATAATTGTTTGGAGAAGGGTAGGCTAGTGGTAGAACCACTAGCTAACGGGTTGGCAAGGAATGAGGAGTAGATGGGTCCGGTTTGTTGTTTATACCGGGTCAGACGTGTTTGCATCTGATCAAAAAAGGACGATGATGGCGGACGAATGCAAGCAACTGTAGTGGCTGGAGCTGCTATACGGACAACCAGCGGGCAGTCACGTCCTAGGTCAAGTGGCAATAGCAACCTCGTCGCAGTAGCCCCCCGAATCAATTGGCGTGGGTGGACGTGGAGCCTGAGTGAGCGCGGGAGTGGGTGGCGGTGGTGGGTTTGGGTGTGGGTGACTGCGTGGGAGGAGGTACGAGGTACAAGGTACGGAGTACGGAGTACTTGGGAGGTCAAAGAGGGGATGAGGTATGAGGTATGCGCTGATGTTGGGTATGGACTGCCTGGCGCCTGCTGGATGGAATAACCGTGACTTGGGAATTCGAGACTCCAATTCTTTTCCCAAGCGAACAGCTGGAACTCGCAAACCTGAGGAGACGGAAGCTCTCTTATGCTGAACAGCTGCTCGCACTAATCGACTTGGCACATACATTAGCCCCGCTTGCTGCCGTCAGGGCAGGAGCCATTTGCACAAAGAGAGCATCATCTGGTCACGAGACTAGACCCTATAACCACACCACTACGAGTTTCGACACGTCCCGGGCACCATGATGGCGTTGCTTCGATTCGGACGGAGCTGGCAACACGCTGTTGGCAGCAGTGTGCTCGCATAGAAAGTGCCCACGCCAGGCTATCAATCTTGGCTCAAGTACATACAAATATCCCTGGATACAACAGACTATATATACTCAAACCCGATGAATTGAACTCTGACTTTTTGGAACGCGACCTCGCCCAAGTGATGATAACAATCCGGCAACCTTTCTTCTTTGATCCAATTTCGAGTCATGGTCCCATTCTTCCCTCATTCTAGCTTAGGAGAGAAAACAGGAACCTACTTGGCTTGGGCCAAAGCAACAGCATCATTGCCGAGGTCGTAGACGCTGTACCATTTCCTCAAGAAGCTATCACGAGTCAGCAGGAGAACAAAAATTGTGTTGAACAGGGTACGTACCTGTCACCGAGGATGGCAAGGGGCCCGGTGGGAGCTGGGAAATCCATGCCCATAAAGCTGGAGATGCAGGATCCTTGGACTTCCAAAATATAGTCGTAGGCAGTAATCGAGAAATCATAACCACTCAGGGTAAAGCTAATGTCTGGAAGCGAATCGCGCTTGTCACATTCAACCGTATATTGTCCATTGAATCCCTTCTTAGCCCCGATCTCCTTGTTGAGCAGCTCGGCAAGGGTGGATGGAAGAGCAATCAAGGAAGTGCCGGTGTCAAGGATAACGCCAGTGTTGTCAAGATCGGCAGTCTCCTTGCCAAAGGTAATCGAGTCAAGGTTGACTTCCCAGTAGGCCTTGCGGCGAAGTGGAATCTTGATCAACTTGCCAGTGTAGTGGGAGCTGTCAATGCCACCAAACGTAGCCTCTGACTCGGTACCATCGTCGGTGTTTCCAAGGTAGAAAGCAAAGACCGGTTCATCAAGGAGCTTCTGGTCAACCATATTGTAGAATGGTGGAGGAATGTGGTTGACTGAAATGGTATCATAACCCAGTCCGAGAATGCCATCGAAACGTCCGAAAGCGAACGCAAGACCAGGTTCGTTGGTAGTCTCTCCGAAAAGCTGATCCTGAATCTTCAAGTCTCCAATGCGAAGAACATCCTTCGAGATGAATCCCGACACCTCGCCCGATCCGTATCGGATACCGAATTCAGATCCGTTCTTCTTATAAGTCGAGGATGCAGAGGAGTCATATTTCTGGTGCAGGTAGCAGGCGATCGAGCCACATTCAGAGCTTGGGACCCAGAGATTGGAGCTGCCGGTATCAAGGACGACTTTGAACTCTTGGGGTGGCGTTCCAATGGCAATGGTGCTGAAATCTAGTCATCGTTAGGGTAAGGGTCCTAAACGTTGATGGAAGAACAACTCACATTGAGCATTCAAGAAGTTCTCGACGGGGACTTCATGAGGGCCCTTATTAAGATCGATTGATGTGTGCTTGAAGATGTCCTCCGAAGGACCTCCCATCACAGATTGGGAATACTTGTGGCGAAGGGCATTCACATGGTCGCCAATGTTGGCAGCGCTCTAATGGCCAGTGTGGATTAGCGCGCTGATGATATGATGTCGGACAGATCTTGACTCACAAGCTGTTCCTCCAAGGGTACCTTCTGTAGCTTCATGCGATGCATTCCCGCATTGGCGGCACCGAGCAGCGCAGCTGCTGCGATGGCAACGTTGTTCTTCATATTTGCAATCACCAGCTGCTAATGAGAAGAGAAGAAAAAAGTGAGGGGAGGCTGCTTGGAAATGCAGCAGTTGTCTGGTGTTGATGGAAGGATGATAAGACGGACAATGGGTGTTGACGAGGACAAAGAGTTGAGATGACTAGCTTGCTTGGGAGGAAGGGTGGTGCAGGCTGCCACTATGAGACGCAGAGTGAGAGGATGACGGGATGACGAAGGACGCTCTGGGGTGCCCACCAGTGGCAGCTGGGAAGTGGGTACTGTAGCACTGCTATCTAGTATCACAGCTGCCGAGCACATTTGCTACAAAGCATCCGCCCTGTTTGCCCACTACGGAGTGCTCTTGCCCGGTGACCCCCTTGCCGAGGTGCCCAGGTGACCAACTGGGTGCCAACTCACTCGTCTCAGTCAGGCACCTGCCAAGTCTTGTTGGACTAAACCACTCTTGGCACTGGGCCTTCTCTATCGTCGCGGAGCAACCAAGGTACCTCCTCTCCCGGGGGGCTACGGTCTCACAGCCATGAAGCCAGACCTGCCCTAAATTCCGAGTCCTTACACTGACGTACTCCAGATGGGCGAGTTCAAAGTGGCAAATGAACACGTCAAGACTCTAGCCATCTTCTAGTTTACACTGGCACCTAATACTTCTATCACTTGCATGTATACATCAATGAGTCCTAGTGTGATCAATGCACCATGCACTGGATTATGGTTTGAAGCAAGAATACCTCCGCGCAGGGTGCTCAAGTCATGCATAGGTAGCCCAGTATCAAGTGGATAATGCTATATTAATGACGTCTTGACTACACTAATAACTACTTTAAATAAGACGCCGACGTCGTGCCTCACTATCCACTCGAGGAATTAAATCCTATCAGCAATCGCCCCTTGGCCGAACCATGGTCAAAGGACCATCATACGAGGTACAGATATTCGATACATTTCAGGTCCACGGGGCGGAGAATGTTGCCATGGAAGTGATCGCTGAGCTAATGCAGCGAGCCGGCCGAATCAAACGGATAGGCTTAATCTCTCGAGACAGCCTTATGCTACTGAGGGTTTCTTGCTTGCTAGTTCAAATGCACAGCCATGTGGGATTCGACCTTCTGGCGCCCATATAATTAATACTTTCGAGTAGCCATCTTCATTTGAAACTCATCTCAACTCGTAGAAGACTCGTCGTCACTGCTGGTAACATCACTGCTGCTGCTGCTGTCTTCGTCGCCGTCACTAGAGCTTGAACTGTCGTATTCGACAATTGTCGTCCTGTTCTTCCGCTTCTTCGCCTTGCTCAATGATGCAGATGACTCCTGCAACTCCTCAGTGCTGGTCGGGAGAGATGAGCCCACTAGTGCCCAGAGCAAAATCTCTGCCCGAGGATGTCGCTGGACCCAACGGCGATATTCATCACTCTCATCAACATCCTCAAGCTTGCTCGAGTCTTCTCGACCATCCAGATCTTGGAAAAATCGCTTTCGATATTCCTCATCTTTTGTTGGATCCTCTTGGCGACGAGCCTCTCCATTCGCAGTACTGCCCTCGTCCCTTAACCGTTTTTCGCTTTCTGTCTTTAGTCTCTGTCGTGCATTATTTCCTTGTAGCCCGTGGATATATCTGGCTATTGGAAGGTCATATTGGCGGGGCACATCGACTACTGAGAAGATATGCTTCAGGAGCCAAGTTTCTCGATTTTTATTGAATTTCCAAGACGATCGGCCACTGTAGTATTGGCTCAGGTAATCCAGAGCCGGCGTAGATTTCTTCACAAATGTTTGCAGCTTCGCGAATTTGGACTTGGACTTGGACTGTGGTATCTTGGGATCCACATGCTGAGGTTGAGTTGATGACGGGGCAGGCGTTTCTACATTTTTTTTCGTATCAGAGGAGAAAGAGACTTGTTTCTTTGGTCTTTTGGACCTCGTATCATCGCCATTCGAAGCCAAGGGTAGCTCCAAGATCGGGTTGGCTTGCTCTGGTCGTGTTAAATTGGTTTCATGCTTCGATGTTTTCCTTTTCTTCTTGGTTGACTGTGGGGAGTCTCCCTCAAACTGAGTGGGCGATTGATTGGGCCTTGATTCTCGAACAGAATCATGCCCGTTAGAAGCACTGCGTTTTCGACGCTCGGGGGCGGCTTGCTCGGCAAACTTCAATTTGAGACCAAGTCTTTTCCAGGCTGGGCCAGTCACCGATGCCATTCTGAAAGTTGGTGTCAATTATTCCTTTGGCTCAGTTGACTCTGGACTTGTCAATGCATATCTCAAATATGCACTCAAGTTCGGCAATAGCCGATGTTCATGGCAGCTGAGGTCTTAGAATGCCAACCAATACCTCACAATTGAACAAAATTCGAGTCGAGATTTTGTGTGCCACATGTGGCGGTGCGGATACGGCGAACCATTCTATTGGCTGTCACTTTTGAGGCTGAGCCTCTTCGGTCAAGTATATTATTCTCAAACGTACCAGGCATCGCGCAAGTTGCGCGTAATGGGTCACTTCCAAATATCCCATAAACCAACAAACCCATCTCGCCTCTTGCACTCAAGACCTTTTGACAACAAAAGCCGTTCAGAATTAGGTTATATTACTCTAAGCTGTCAACATCATCCGTTTTAGCTGCACACTTGGTTCAATTTGCCTCGGTTGAAGGAGTTCCAAGATGTCTGGTTCGTACTTTTGCCCTCGTAGCTGTGTCGGGATCACCGAGCTGACAAGATCTCATCTTTAGGGAGCGCGGGATACGATCGACACATCACAATATTCTCAGATCAAGGTCGTTTATATCAAGTTGGTACGTCCTCCAGCGTCTCAAAATTCCCAGCCACGCTCTTTCTGTGGCCTCCACTGCGAACGGGTTCATCATTTTGCAACCGCAATCCAGGTGGATTCATGGCCACCTACAGAATTCTTACATCTGTACACAGAATATGCCTTCAAGGCAATCACAGCTGCCAACATCACATCTGTCGGAGTCAGGGGCAAGTCATGTGCCGTTGTACTCTCGCAAAAGAAAGTGCCTGTGAGTGACACAAATGGACACTGTTGTATCCTATACATTTGCTCACTCAACTTTTGTAGGACAAGCTGATCGACCCCTCCTCTGTCTCTCATGTATTCAAGATTTCGTCTTCAGTCGGCTGTGTTATGACCGGTTCAATAGCCGACGCTAGAGCCTCTGTCGATCGCGCTCGAGGTGAGGCTGCGGAGTTTAGATACAAGAATGGATACGAGATGCCCTGTGATGTCCTGGCGAAACGCTTGGCAAACATCAACCAAGTCTACACACAAAGAGTAAGAATAGAATCCATGCTTGGAAGCTTGGACAGATGCTGATTCAACCCTAGGCATACATGAGGCCGTTGGGTGTGGCAACGACGCTAGTGTCAGTCGACGATGAATTCGGACCCCAGCTCTACAAGTGTGATCCAGCGGGCTACTACGTTGGATACAAAGCAACAGCCTCCGGGCCGAAGCAACAGGAGGCGCTCAACCATCTTGAGAAGAAGCTGAAGAACAAAGATGCTGCCCCAGGGAGCTGGGAAGAGGTTGTCGAATTAGGTATCGGCACGCTCAGCACGGTACTAAGTGTCGATTTCAAGAAGGGTGAACTGGAAATTGGCATTGTGGGTGGACCCAAAGCTGATGGAAGCGAAGGGGTCGAACGAGAGTTCAGAACATTGAGTGAGGACGAAATTGAGGAGCGACTTCAAGCCATCGCTGAGCGTGATTGAGTCTAGCCTCTGGAAGAGAAAGAGACCGGAGTTTCGTTCACTATCAAAACGGAGAGCGAAGAGGTTCTTTTCCACAACCACGCTGGACAGGGATACTTGTTCTACTCAGCTCTGGCGCTGGAAGAATATTTTGTCGAGAGAAAATGGGGGCCATTGCAATGGTGGTATCACATAGGCTGGAGGAGCTGACTCGTAATGATGTATGTGGATGTCACGGGCACTCGAAAACTATGTGGAATCTGAAGAGTGACGCAGAGTATCCACCGAGATCTGATCTCAGTCGCTTGGAAGACAGGGCATTGGTGCACTTGAAACAGGCGAGTTTGCAGCGTCACGAGTGTGAATAGTAGAGTTGAGGCTTCAATGGGCTCAGCAACAAGAACTGTGGCTGTCTGTGGCGGATTGAGGCTGGGAAGCTGGGTTGCGAATGGGCTAGACAGAAGAAGCATCAACCCAAGAGCGGTGACTTGGCCAAACAGAACAGGAGAGGCAGCCGCGATCCGTTTCGAGTGTCAATTAGCAGTGCAGACTAGGGAGCGAATGGCCCAAATAGAGATCCTTGCAAAGAAATGCAGAAGCGAGGTGGATGAAAATAGAGTGGGCGAATGAAGATAGAGTGGGAAGTTCAGCTTGCGTGAGTCGACAGGCACCGTTGCAGCAACCGCAGGCGTCGAGGTGGTTCCTGCCGTAGACTGACACGCAAAAGCACTCAGCTGTCCAATTTGGGCGGGTTGGACTTCAGGGCTGCCAAAGCTTAACACAGTAGCCTCAGATTCAGGTGAGAGGTTAAACCAAGAGGTCCTCCGGGCGGTCCTCGTAAGCGGCTCCTGGGTCCCCTGCGTTGACAAGCAGAGATGCTAGTGGATTCTGCCTGACAGTGTATTTATGACAGGCACCCTCCCTTATGCCATACTCCGGGACTACCTGCTGGGTGCATCCCCTTTGGGCTCGCTGGTCAGACGGGGCCCCCTTTTACCACTTGATTCTAGCCACGAAGGTTTTTGCCGACTAAGCCTCTTTCTCTACCACTTGCTATATCCATCTCACACTAACATCCGTGGCCATGGATATGGCTCCAGTCACACTGGTCGAGGACCACATTTGCCCTTCTTCCCGCACATGGCCATCTATCCCTACACCGGTATCCATCCAACGTCTCGTGTCTGCTTTCCCATCCTTTGGTCTATTTCCCGCCTGCAATGTCAACATGGTGGCTTGTCATGCGGCCTGCTGATCACATTACAGCACTGGCCACACTCCAGCCTACAGCAGAGCCTCGAAACATCCGCTGCCAATGCTACAGGCCTAGCGACATCCCGATGGTCACTCCATTCCATCGCACAGCCCAATGGCTGGCCGTGATGCCTCCAAGCCCTCTGGTGCCCGTTCACAGCCGTCTTGATCTTTCGGGTTCTCAACGACCGTGCCCATGTAGTGTTGCAAAACTTGCCTCCAGCTTCGACGTCGCTGCTCTTTCATCCCCTCTTCTAGCCCTGTGAGCTGGAACACCTGCTCCTATTCTGCTATCGCTGCGGGCCGTCCCCAGCTTCGTAAGACCGATCCTACTCTTGTGAATGGTCAGACGTCAGGAAAGCCACGAGATTGAGACTTGCAAAGCCCGTCTAGTATTCTTACCATCCGGTGTCTCTTAGCTATACAATGGAGTTTGTTAGCTTTGCGATGCTCGTCATCCTCTGTCTTTAAGAATGCTTCCCTCATCGCATCAATCCACCGACTCGACCACCAGAACTCACAAGAGATCCAGATCCCCGTCGACCACGAGGCTGTGCCCAAGGTCTGAGACCCAAATATAATTGACCGCATTCCCGCTTGTGTGAAGCGAAGACTATCCGTCTAGGTCCCAACATTCTTACTGCACTGTCCGTCAAGCCAACGGCTACCTACCAAATCCTAAGTCCCAACGCTGTCTGTGTAGAGATCGCTCTACCATGGCCGATGGAAGTGCGTCCAACAGTAACCCCTTACCTTTGAGAGACAAGTGCCCAGCAACAGGTCACTGACTGTATTTCCTGCAGAAAATGAGGCCCGCGCCATGCGCATACTCGAGATCATGAATGACTTTCGAACGTTGCAAATACATATTTCTTCACTCATTACACGCAACGAGGCACATCCTCCCGACCAGCAATCCTACTACCTTGATGGCTATGTAGTGCTGAGGCAGGGCGCAGCTGAGTCTCAGGCGATTCTGGCAACGCACTACAACCCGGGAAACCTTGGACTACAAGCTGGTCATGTTGCCGAAACTGAGGTTCAGAAGGCTACATTACAGAGGTACCCTGCGTGGATCTCGGGAGTTCTCGACAGATTACTGACAAAAGCGCAGAATAATCCTCGACTCCTCAACGAGACGCCTTCAAGCACACAAAATCTATCTACGAGCCTCATCGGCAATGCGATGGATCCAGATGCGGACTCAAATCCTGAAGGGAGAGGCGCCTGGGCAGAAACATGCTAATGCGCTACGTGCTGTTGATAGCCGCCTTCGTGAGGTAGGTTCATGTACGATGATGAGGATGAACCGATCAGCACTTCCCCCACAATTCGCGTCTTTCAACCATGTGGAATGCCAAACCCAGCTCGGTAGTGATCTGCATGAGATCTGCAAATTGCCCCCCGGCTTGCAAAGAGAAAGAAAGCTAATCAAGAGGATTCTACAGGAGTTGAACCAAATCACCGATCAACATGTTGTCAACGACCTACGCAACGCTGACCGTCGGAAGGGTTATTGGATTGACGAAGACCCGACGTTGGAGCGCATGCTGGCATGGATCAGGATGCAGAGGTGAAGGGGAATGTCATGTGGATTCAGGAGCACGAGTCCACTTCGCTTTTGTCGATGGGTTCACATCAAGATTGCTTGATAGGGGCACTGGCAGGCACACAACACTCATTTTCCTCGACATTGATTCGAACTGGAAGAAATCAAGGTTTCAACATGGCGTAATTTCCAGCAGAAGTTTCTGGGCATGGTGCACGGAACCGCGGGCGGGGAAGTGCACCGCCAAAGGATGTACTAGAAACACTACTGTAGTACTGTAAAGCAGACTGACTTCGCACGGCTAGGGGTGCGACTGGATTGATTAGACCTAAGGGCAAGGGAGATATGGGGTTTGAGAAGGGAACCTCTGGATACTCGTGCCTTCGTTACAAGCACCGCGGGACTAAATGGGATGGGATGGGATTCGACGGCAAAACAACAAGGGATTAGAGGATGGAATTGGACCACAGGACCAACGAAACTCGTCAGGCAAAAGTATGATTTCTGAACCATGGCAAGACCAACCGGGGACGCCAGCATGACTCAAAAAGACACATTACACCTTTTGCTTGGTCTCTTCTTGGTCTCGTCTTCCATGTGGTTTCCAACAAGGTTTAAACAGGATAAGACCCGGGAGAGGAAGACGACGTCACAAATTACTTTTGCATCAGTGTGATCCGAATGGGTGTCAAGACAGAGAACTGGGGCCCCTGGGCCTTTAGCTGCGCTTATGCTTCCGGGGCCGCCGATCGCTTAACGTACTTGGTCGTCCTTGCCCACCAAGGATCCAAAAGGGGCAGTGACCAGTGACCAGACGTCAGGCAGGTGCCCACTGTGCCACATCCAAAGAGAAGTTCTCTTTGCACGGGCGACACTCAGGTTGGCACTGACACTGACTACTTGAGGTAGGAGTTGAACGGACTAACGATGATCGAGAATAGTCTATTGTGGGTGCACGTGGCCCCCATGTCATCTATGATCAACAGCTTGGACTAGCAGGACAGGCAGCTTGGGAGAGCGGGGTTGTGTCTTCTCCTGTAGGTCCCTCGCTCAGGCTGATCATGCATTGCTCTACTCGTAGTTCCTCGTAAAACTAAGCCCGAGTTGCTCCAGGTAGGCTTGCAGTCACTGGCCATGAATCTCGAGCAGCGATGATGATAATTGCCGCCGGCCATGACAATAATGCACACTCTTCTTCCTTCCCATTCACGAAGCGGGTCTGAACATCGCCTCGCACGCCAGATCGAACCTATTCGTGCTAACTTCTAAGTAATAATAGTCGCCGGTCACTAACACATTTCATTAGTCTGCACCGGCCAAGTTGACGTCCCCTTAATCTGGCGGCTGCATCTTTCCTCGTGTCCTGCTCCAATGATTCCATGTACTTCTGTTGCTTCCTCGATCCCAGGAATGCCGACGGAAGCCTCTCCCTTCCACCCGTTTGCCCCTACTGGCTGCCTTTCTGGTATGTTGTTACCCACTGATACTCCACGTTCGTGTTCGCCAAATCTACCGAGTGACTTCGAACTCAGGCCCTCGGATTTACCCTTATCTTTTCCCACCTTCCTCATTCGCTCCCGAAAGCGCTTGACACATCTCGTTGCATCGTGTCGGAAGACAAGTTTGCACAGTACGGAGTTCAGCTTTGGCCTTTCCACATAGAATTAGCATCGACTCCACTGAGCGGTCGTTTGCATGGTGTGCTTTCTTAGCCTTGTCGTGGTCCACCCTTGGCTCTATCCGTACCAAGCCCAAGTATACTTGGACTTTGTACGACTAAGTTCTCTACTTTCACCATTGCTCGGGTCACGAGGCATCAGCCACACCGTGGCGCTGTCCCCTTTTTGGGCTTGGGTCTTCCTTCACTTGTGGCGCTCACACTCCCCACCTGACTAGGATTGCTTCTCGGACTGAGGTCGGGACAACCGACAAGGAAAGACCGAAAACCGCTGCGCCTCTAGTACTTTCCTTCCATCTCCATCACCCTCCCTACTAGCAAAACGGAGCATCTCTCGGAAACACGTCTATCCGACATCTTGAACGTGAAGCAGGCGCTCTGCTACGAGTCTTGCACTTGTTCGCGGTGGCGGCAACCCCTACGTCGTCACTCCTGGAGGTAACTCCCAGCGTCCCAGCTAGCTGACTACTAGATGGAGATCCACCGTCCCCAGCCACAGTCGCGAAGATAGATACCAAGAATCAAGATCAACTGATCTAGCTGGGACCAGCGATGGCGTCTGTTTCGTCCGGGGCTGACGACACCTCAACAACGATAGAGCATCAAGACCAGGCCAACTGATAGAAACCGGGGCTAATCCTTCTTCAAACACAGCTGCTTACAAGGCGTAACGCCTGGCTTATGAGAGATATCCAGCCAGCCTATATTCCGCGATTCTCCTCGCGGGAGAAGCCGAAGTGAGGACAGCGACCTCCACCAGTAGCAACAGTGATTGATCATGAGACCAGCAAGAAAGATGTTTCTGAATCTAATCACCTGAAATGAGTACAAGGGAAATGCCCATCATGGCTCAGCGAAATTCACATGTTTGCCGTCTAGAGTACTTCCTCCGCCTCCTCATCTTGCTCCGCTCCCATCCGGTCCACCTCCAAGTCCATGCCGAGTCCCATATGCTCCCAAAACCCGGCCGCAAAATCCTGCCCGGTGATTGGGCTTAACGCAGAGCCTGGGTGCATAGCAACCATAGATCCCTCGTAGTCAGGGTCTGACACAGGAGGAAATACTTGTGAATCTGAACTTGCACCGGGATCTTGTTGGCCGAGAAATGATCCGCCTAGCATTGCACCGCCACTGGGACTCTCGACCTGATTGGTACTTCGATGGGCATCTACTGCAGAACCACCTGAGAGTACACCAAGAAACTCCGATCGTTTGCCAAAAAGGACCTGGACATGTTTATCCATTGTCCGCCTGTCGTACACAAACCTCTCCAATATGTCCTGTACAGCCTCCCAGTCAGCAAGACCGAGCCTTTGTAGCACCATTGAGAAATGCACGCTGAACCATCTGATATGTAAGAGACTGGCAGGTGCAGAAGCGGAAGGTACACGCCCGTACGGTTCTGGGTTCGCAGGTGGCGAGCGCAGGAGTTGCTCATTTATTTCCTCTGCTACGGCACCGGCGAAGAAGAGGAAAAGTAGGGTTTCGGTGGGTACGTGCATCATATCTTCTGACTGCATTCTTCTCGCCTCTCCCATTAGTGTCATCATCAATGTCAGGCGGTTCCGAAGATGGTGGAATGGAATGTACGAAATGCAGGGGCTCTGCATGCTGCAACGCAAGATCAATTGGAAGGTGTAACTTGTCGCAAGGAGTATGCAACTGGGAAGTACTCTTCGTAGGTGCACTTCGACGGGGATCGTATGGGGCTCCTGCTCGCTTTCCACCATGTCCATATACAGACCGGCGCAGCGGCACGTCAACGCGTACTGCCGGAGCGCAAGCCAGCTGTAGATAGGGTCCGCAATTGCGACGCCGTCACCCTCGGTGAGCTGTGCCGCAAGGTCGCAAGCACAGAGAGCCTCGCGTTGTAGATTGACCAAACCCTGCAGCTGGACAGTGGGATCTTCCAATTCTGGTCCGTACACCGGCTCTGTGAAGACCAATAGTTCTCGGTCACTCTGCGCATAGTCAGAGGGGTCGAAATCAAATGATTCGTCGAACGGTCTCAGGGCTTCTTCATCGTGCCATGATCCTGGGGCCCAGAATTCGATATCCAACGAAGGTCGTTTTGGTTTGTGGGTGGATATGAGGGTATCGCACAGGATCAGAAGAGATTTGAGTACCGGGTGCACGCTCTCCAGGCCGTGCTCTAAAGTGTTAAGGATGCGAGCACTTGCGACTCTGTGCACGCTGCTTGCATCAAAATCTCCACAGTGGAAGCTGAATGTCGTCGACTGGTGAATCATGCCTAAGGCCTCTTCGCCGCTTACACCTGGCATCGCCAGGCGCGACCTAGTATATTCCAAGCACTTGCCATGATGGTGCATTCCTCTGGCCCAAAGGACTGGTGTGGCTGCTGAGGTTGGGAGATAGTTGGTGATGAAGCTCAAGGTGCCGGCGAACAGTCCATGCAGCATTGCTGGGCTTGAGCTGACTGAAGTGCGTATCCAGTCATCGACGAGCTGGGGAACGTCATGGGCCGGGTCCCAGGCAATGGTGGCAGGCCAAAAGTTCGACATGTATCCAAGCCGCCAGAACTGGAGGAGCGAATTGAAGAAGGAGGAGATTGGGAGGGCTGCAGCCGAAAACGGACCTGGCGAAATGTTGCCCAGAGGCGCTGAGGGACCAAAGCCCATGGCATGGTGCATTATAGATGCGAGGATTTGCGCTGGAAGAGGAGTCGTGGCGGTAAGTTGTGCAGCTGCCGCCTGAGGTTGGCTTCTCCCCGAGGCTGAAGAGGTACGAGCGACATGAAGCCGTCCTGAATTTCTACGAGATCCCGTCGGATGAGACTTGCCTGTGGCTGGCCTCTGAGACCTCGGTATCGGGCTTCCCAAGGCTGGCTGGGCTTGACCAATTGCTCGCTGTTCGGTCGCCGCCGTCGATTGTCCTTGGTCGGGTCCTTCTCCTTCCTTGTTTTGGACGAGATCAACGTTCTCAGCTGCCTTTTCATTCAAAGACTTCCCTGCTTCCACCTTGCTTGGTTTCCTCGACCGACGTGCAATTTGCATGGCATGGCTTCTGACTGCAAAGACCTCGTCTCTTTGACGAGACCGAAGGTTTGTGGCATTCTTATTGACGAATAGAAATGGACCAGTATACGTCGGCGGCCGTGGCGAGGACGGTGGTGGATCACTAGAGTTTGGGCCTTGCTCTTCTGGATCTGCCATGAATATCTCGCTTGTTTGAGTGGCTGCAGTGTTTGAAATGCCTTATTGCAGTTAATGGAAAGAAGTTGACATGAAGATGTCTACAGTAAAGTGGCAATTGTTGTGTCATGACTTACATTATACGGTGTCTGATCTGCAGGCTCGACTATTATATATATATATATATATCATAAAATCTAAGGGGGCTTCGCGCCACGAATTCGCATATGCTCTCGCGTGATTTACCGGTGTGCACCTAGGCAGGCAGAATGTTTCTCGAAGGAGATACGGAAGAGATGCAAGAGAGAGACGTCTGCTTTAGAACATTCTGCGAGACCTTCGGTGGCAGATAGCCGAGCCGTGCGCAGAGGGTATTCGCAAGGCTGTGTGAGTGGCAATAGTCTGTCAAGAGTGACCGATTTGATTCATCAAGGCTGCGGTTGGGGTCTGCAATACGGCCGGAACCAGCGAGACCGAGGTACAGGAGGAACACAAGGAGCGAGAAGTCGCCGACAACGCGACACCTAGCTCGTTATAATCATTTTTCGTTGTGCATCCAGATCGGACACACTCCTGGCTTGTGGTTCCCAGGCCTCACTCAGGTCGGGAGTTCAAATTTGAGAGTCTGGGGACGCCTCGTCCACACTTGCATTTTGAAGAACCCCATTTTGGAACGATGTGACGAGCCTTGGAGCGTGGTTCTCAGCCGCCTCTGGCCCCTCCTGCCTCGCAGAGTGGTACGAATTACAGGGCACTAACCAATTGGCGTACTGCAGTCGTAGTCAAAGTGACCTGCCCTCCGCCATCCCAGGCTGTGCCGCAGATCTACACTCGGTAATGGGTTCGGCTGGGAAGACCTGGTGCGTTTGGAAGCCCTCGCTAGGTCTGCAGAAAAACACTGAATAACACTGGCAACGACGGGAAGGAATCCCAGGGAGCCAGGCGCGGCCCCCCGGCGAGAAACCCCTCGTGACGGGATGCAATGAGAATTGAGAAGGGAGAGCAAAAGAGCAGGCTAACACAGGTTGGCTGACACCCAGAAGACCCTGATGATTAAGGATCCCGTTCCGGGTCATTGTTGATGACTGTCAAAGTGCCAATAATAACGAGCTGCAGCTCCCTCACATGTATGTATGTACGTACCGAAGACTGGGTCTACTGTATCTACCTATCTATGTCTATGTACAGAGGTACGCGACGGCTGTCCGGATTCCGTCACGGCCAAGGTCCGAGGCCAACCGAGAGGAACTGGCACTCACTATTGCATACTACCCGGTTAGGTCATTGCCAGGTTCCCGGGCATCGACTCACAAGGGCTGAGGGCCTTATCTAGTCTGCGGCCTTTAAGCTGGTCAACTAGGGTTTTCATACGATAAGCCTTCTACTACCCTGCTCGTGATTCCTGGGATACGCGTGTCTCTTCCTTTTGCTTCCTCCCATAGGCACGCACCAGAGCATCCATAGCCGTGGTGGGCGGGAATGGAGACTTTCTTCAATAAAATTTGACAAACACTGTAGGCATGTATGAGGTGTGCATGCATGTGATGTTTCGAGAGCGTAAACTCCATCTGGAAAGCAACCATTTCTTGCGTGCCTGCCATGTTGTACCATGTCTAACCCCCCCCCGAAGGAGCAAGGCTGAACACAGGGCTCAGCTCGGCATTTCCACCAGGTCTTGTCTAAAAACGTTCCTCTGCAACTACAAACGAGGCGCAAAATATCTGGGTCTACAACGGATGCACCGGCGATTTCTAGGCTGTGCTGTGCTAATGTCGCACATTTTTCTGTCCCAATTGTCATGCCACATTAGTGAAATGCATGTCGATGCCGAAAGTGAAGAACTCCATAGTTCAGATCGACCGATGGGCTCCATTTCCGGGATAGACAAGGCTACGAGGGAGGTTGATATGGGTGAATAAGCATCTCCGAGAAACTGACAAATGGCTTAGTAGACTGCTCGCGACATAAAGCTTGATGTCATGAGCTTACCTCTTTAGACTTTCCACACCACGCACTTCGTCAGTGAGCAGCGGCATCTTGACCACATTGAACTCATCGTACAGCTCTTCGATTTGATCAAGGTATTTCTTCTGCATCTTCCGCCTAGCATTGCATTGTTTACAGTCGTTGGATTTCTCAGGAAACAGGAGTTGATTGACAACGATGCAATGTGTGTCGATCTGGTAGCTGGCCAATTCCTGGATCATGCGTTCTGTTTCGTAGAGCGACAAGAACTCGGCGATGCAGACGCAAACAAACGTGGTCATGTCTGGATTCTTGAATTGCCCGTTGACTTCGGCGATGGTTTCTCGCAAGGCCTCCAATTTCTGTGTTAGATCGTCCAAGCTGGCGCCGCCAGGTAGACCTCCTCGAGCACCAATAACTGACTGCAACATCGGTCCAAATTGGCTGGATAGTTGAGAGATTTTGGCCAACGCTTTCTCAAGGACCGTAGGGAACTGGAGGAATCGGAGCGTATGACCTGTTGGCGCCGTATCGAAAATAATCACCTCATAGGAAAGACTCTTCACCTGTTTGAGGACTTCGGCGAAGGACATGGCCTCATCGACACCAGGGATCTGTAGTTGTCAGTCATGGTAGTCGCGCAAAAGGATATTTGAAAAAAGCCCATACGCTGAATGCCAGATCTTGCATCATGTTACCCATGCCACCAAGACCAGACATAGCATCCTGAGCCTCGTCCCCCGCTCCGCTAATGAGATCATTGATGCTGCCATTGGGGTCAATCTCCATAGCACTTAGGTTTGTGAAGCCCTCCACCAGTCGTGCATCTTTGCCGAATTTCTGACTGAAAGCATCGCTCAAATTGTGTGCTGGATCAGTCGAGATCAAGAGAACAGATTTCCTAGCCTTTGCCATTTGTATTGCCAACGAACATGAGGTCGTGGTCTTGCCAACACCGCCTTTTCCTCCCACAAATATCCATCGCAGTGACTTCTGGTCGATGAGATTTTGGAGGGTAGGATCGAGAGTATCATCGTCGCCACTAATCACCGCGGTCGACATGGCGGAAACGAGTTGTGGAAATGTCTAAGGACCAAATCTGGAAGGCGAGAGGCAGAATCTTGCTGTTGCACTGGAGATGTGGCCTTGTCCACCTGCAACCGCTAGATCTAAAGATTGCACGTGGGAAAAAGTCTTTCCCGAAACGAAGGATCTATACCGAGGCTTGGAAAAGAGGGATAGTGAGCGTATCCGAGGATGCAAGGCCACGATGGTGCTTGGGTAGGTATGTGATGCGCAGGGTGAAATGTAGTTGTGGAGCAGCTGCGTAGTGTGGCTGAGAGCGTCATGAGAGTAGGAGGATTGTGGGAGGAGCCTGGCGACGTCATGCCCGCCGAAACGTCACGGCCCGGTGCCGCGGCCTCAAGTTGTCCCATCGCGTAACTCGCACAAAACACACTAGGTGATTGAGGTAATTACACACATTGCAATTCAATACTACTAGTACAATAGTACCACGTACAAACACTACCTAGCTAACTGTACAGATTATCCGGGTTGCTCGTCCATCACACTTAATGCAAGTCTTTTTCAACACAACCCCTATGCACAACTAGTCCTAGACCGAATCTCATTTTGAACTACTGGGTATCGATGGAAAACATGCAGAACGCCGTCCGGAAACAAGGCCGTGCTTATACAGCAGTGACCGTAGTTGTAACAGTTTGTGTCTCCGTCACTGTAAATGCATTCTGATTTTGTTGCACTGTTTCTATGGTCACAGGGACAACTGCTAGAGTAACTGAATCAGATGGCTGCTCGGGAGCCGCCGTGACCAGAGAATTCGCGGCGGCGGTGCTAATCGGGGCTGCAGGGTCTGTCGTCTCTTGTGCAGGTGGTGGAGAAGCTGTGCTCAGTGTTGCTGGTCGCGCTTCTGCGGCTGGTATAGAGCCGAGACCTGGTCTAATCGTGACAGTAGCAGGCTCAGTCACCGCTGCTGCTGCCTCTTCAGAGCTGGTGCTGGTAGCTGCCGATGTATTGACTGCACTGCTCTCCTGGGCCGCTGCGGCAGTTGCAGCGATGACTTCGGTGGTGGTGCTCGCCAGTGTAGTCGTAGACGTTCTATCCTCGCCAAGACCCAGCAATTGGGAGTTTGCAATAGGGGCATCTGCCGTTGCAGGCTGAGGCGGGGAAACAGTCTCAGTGCTTGGTGCCGCTGGGGCTGTGGTAGTGGTTGTAGCTGCAGCTATTACGTCGCTTGCAGTTGCTGTGTTTTTTGCAGTGTCCAATGTGGTTGACTCAGTTGTAGGTGCACTGGAGGAGGGATTTGCCGTGATGAACACCACTGATGCCGTGGTAGGCACTTCTGGTCCAGCTGATTGAGCAGCTGGCTGTTGAGATAGGCCCGGAGCCTCTCCAGCTGGAGCTGCAACCGAAGATAGGGCTGCTGCAGCAGTTGCCTGTACTGTCACTTGTACAGTCTCGAGCACTGTCGTTTGGATCTGAACGGTAGTTGTCGATACAGCAGCAGCGCCAACAGGATTGATCGCCGTCCCGCTTCCAGCCCCAGCAGGAGCTCCAGTTTGCTGCGCATTTTGCTCTAGGTTGGATGGTTGTGCTCTTGCAGTCTCAGTGATAGTGAGAGCCTGTGTCAGAAGGCTCAATAAGCTTGTGTTCGACCCTCCAACACCCACGGCAGGTGCTCTGCCATCTTCCGTTCCTTGTCTTGTAGGGACAGCGAATGGATCAATGCTCGACACTGTTTGGGTGTTCTGAGCCTCAGTGTTCTCTGCTGATTGTTCATGTCGTTTTCCTGGCACCACCGGTTCTGTGAAAAGCCCATTCACCACATAGCGTTTTTCAAGTTCGATTGAGGATCGAACACCGTTCCGATGCCTGATGGGTGGTTAGAAGGCATATTATTGACTCATGTAATACATACCTATGGAGGGGGCTGGCTGAAACCATTGTCGAACAGGCAACCAAGGCATACGACAACAAGAAAATCTTCATCTTTAAAAGTGTGAAAGGAAAATCACTATATACACCAAAGATTTCGCGAATTAACTCTCTAGAAAAAGATCGACTTTTGTTGCGGTTGCACGCCTGCGTGCAGTAAGCGATGAGCAAAAGAGTAGTACTGAAATTTTGGAAACCTGCTTGTAGTAAAGAGAGAAGTGACAGTAGCGTTGAGGAAGCGAAAGAAGACCTGCATAGACCTTGACGGCCTTTTTGAAGCATTGAGGGCTTTAGCAGCGGGCCGCACAAGTGGCATGCCTATCTTGCCACCGGCGGTTGCGAAGTATTTTCAGTACACGCGAATCCATTGAATCATGAATCTTTCTTAAGCTGAAACATGTCCGACGTGCACAACAGCTCTCTGAGCCTGATATGAGGTCTTGTTAGAGACCATGTCACCAGAGAAAGGTGGTTGGTTCTCGGCGAGCAAAGATTTAGGCGCCTGTCGGACTTTTTCCAGGCTAAGGCTTCCCTCCGGATTGGTTGGCTGGCAGCCATCGAGCTCGGTTCTTCCCGCTGTTCCCAAGATCACTGGCGCTCTTACATGACAGATGGGCTTCTGGTCATGTTTCACGATATCGATCATTTTCAGCCTCATCGAATTGTCCTGAAAGGACCATTTGCACTACCTATCTTCAGATAATTTTACATCGAACTTGTGAGGTATGAGCCGTTAGTCACAACTGATTACCAGAAGCGGAAGTCCTGCCGCTGGGTTCCGCCAGATGGGTTGTAATAGTGAGACCGTCTGACATCAAAGAAGGGCCTCTTGGAGGGCAAAAGTCCAAGTACCAAGGTGGAAGGGCCAAACATTTGGTGGTCAGACACTGGTCTTCTTTATCAGTAATTATCTTCACGTGCGTCTGCGGGGTGGATTCGTTTGGTGGCAGGCGCGGGTGCTGCGGGGACCAGGAGATCAATCGCGTTGTCCCTGAACATGGCAACTTTGTGGCTGCTGCTAACGCATGTCAAAAAAAGTAACCACCACCCGCAACTTACGGTGAGTTGTCCCTTTCCCGTACCTTTAGTTTTTGAAATTTGCATTCCTTTCTTCGTTGTACCAAAGGGCGTCTTGTCCAGTTCATTTTCTTTCGCGCACGTTTGGACCCCTTTCTCCAAAAATCTATTCTCACGAAATGGCCCACCAGTACCCCGACCTCAGAGACCGTCCTGTTAAGGAGACTATTTGTCTCTTTGATGTTGACGGGACTCTCTCACCTGCTCGACGGCATGCGAGCCCCGAGATGCTGGATATTCTGGCAAGACTGAGACAAAAGATCGCAATCGGCTATGTCTGTTCCACTCAACTCCATGACTAGACAATTTCAACTGATTCTCAGGGCGCAGGTTGGCGGTTCAGATTTCTCCAAACAAGAAGAACAGCTAGGCAGTCCCACGGTTCCTGTCACCGATGTCTTCGATTTCTGTTTCGCCGAGAATGGCCTCACAGCCTATCGACTTGGGGAGAAACTACCTTCCACCTCGTTCATTAGTTGGATTGGGGAAGAGAAATACCAGAAGTTGGTCAAGTTCATCTTGAAATACATCGCAGGGATCGAAGGTCTCCCAGCCATGCGTGGAACTTTCATCGAGTTTAGAAATGGCATGATCAATGTCAGTCCGGTCGGTCGTAACGCCAGCCAAACTGAGAGGAGCGAGTTTGAGGCCTGGGACAATAAGACTCAGACTCGCGCTAAGCTTATTGAGGCGATCAAGAAGGAATTCCCCAACCTCGGACTCACGTAAGTCCGAGATGCTGAGACAACCTGGCTACTAAACCAACTGACTTCTCCCACAGGTACTCCATTGGTGGTCAGATCTCATTTGATGTCTTCCCTACCGGATGGGACAAGACGTACTGCTTGCACCATATCGAAGCCGAAGCCGACCCCACAAAAGGATTGTCTGGTGTACATTATAAGAATATCCACTTCTTTGGTGACAAGGCATTTCGCGGTGGTAATGACTGGGAGATCTACCAAGACTCACGAACTATTGGGCACGCTGTCAAGGACCCAGATGATACAATCAAACAACTGAAGGAACTGTTTGACGTTTGACTTATTCCACATCTCTGAAAGTCATTCTCTGCACGAGATGGCAGAGGTATTGGTTTATGAGGTCATGCAATGTTGCGCTGGCCATGGCAGGACATGTCCAGTAGAGACGGGTGGAAAATGCATCAACGATAGAATGATAGAATATAGGGAAAGCCAATGGGCTCACGGTCCACAGATGAGATGTCCAAATGTCGAAATGAATCATGAATGTTCCGAACCTGTGTATCTTATGAAGAAAATGATCGCACCTCCGACGAAGGAGTCAGACCCTCTTGTGCCAACGGCGGTCCTTGTTTTTGATCATTATGGTCTAGTCAAATCTCCTCCAGTGCTGGCTCGATACAAAAAGGAATGGAAATGTAAATTCTTGTGACGCTGGTGAAGACAAGAATCAATGATGAAAGCAATTGCGCCTCGAACATCCAAAAGAGAATATTTGAAGCAGATCGGACGCATCCCGATAGGCTCTTCACTTACGGAATATGGGCGACTGCAGTATTTGATAACAGTAGCGGCACGCCACGAAAGAAAGGAGATAGGGCGAGTAATACTCAGTACTGGAAGTTCTGACAGCGCTGGTTGATTCAAGCTGTGCATAAGCCGCGGATCAATGTTTCCCCGGCGGTTTCGGCCCTATCTGGGTGCCTATCCCATATTCGGTGCGCTTTGTCAACTGCAAATTGAGATCCACCTCTGTCTAACAACTTGTCCATTTGGATATGACAGGAGGAAGTGGCACTGGACAAAGGATACCGATTTCTGGTGGAACAAGGCTCCTGAGAAATGAAGATCTAGACCTCCATAAAAGAAGTTTGCTTCTGCGGACCAACTCAGACGTCCTTGCACGTCCATTCGCCTCGCCGGCCATTGCCCGCGCCTCACGGGCAACTGAACACGTTAGGCAGAGCTTGAAAGATGGCGGATTTTCTAGCCTATAAGAGTCCACTCAGCGTGATAGGAGCCGCAATTCTTAGAAGAATGGGTATCCGTGTGCGTGTTTTTACTTTAGCAGTGCTTACTGGTTCTCCTTATGGAGTCATGTCCTCACTTGCTTAATCCCCTCTCACACCTCAGGTTGTGCCCTTTACTCACCCTGATGCGTGCATTGTGTGTGTTTTTGATAGAGCATGTTCATTTGATACCCGTGCCCGTTTGATATGCACAGCAGATCCTTCTCCGGATGAAGTTCAGCGCGTTACTTTATCTCACACAAGTATCTTCAGCTGTTGGCGAGGACACAATCATCCTCAGGTGTCACAAACCAGCACCGTCGAAAGTTATAAGCTGTGAGATTCTTCAATAGAAGAAAGGTACACCCCACTATCTAGGGAATAGCAATGTGCTTTCAGCCCAGATGAGATACCAGCGCTACATCAATGGCAGACTTATCTGGTGGGCCCATATATTATGAAGACTCAAGGTCGTGGTTTCGATCAAGTAATTGGTTTCGCTACAATAGCCCTGATGGCCACAAACCTAAGCCTGAAAATGGGCCAGAACGGTTCGCAGAGCATCGGGAAAAATTCACTGATTATCAAAAACGGGTCCACCATCACATTGGAAGCAGAGCTTTGACACTTATCAACGAGTGGAGGATAGCCTCGAGCTTGAAACACGCATGCGTCTTCCTCGGGTTCTCCCTACCTGTTATCATATTCATCATTGTCATTGACGCACCCCGACTATATAACTACCATTCGCAATACTGGAATAGCAAGTTCAATCACTGCAATTTCAACGGGGCCTTCACGCCCTACGATGAACCTTCGATCAGCCAGTGGGACACAGCCGGGTTCTTATATATAACGGTCGCCTGGGGCAGAATGTCCTTTCCGCTGGCGAAGTTTATCGATGTCGTTTGGCATAATGTGGCAGGTAGGGCCGTGCAAGCTGTCCTAGCCTGGACCACGTATACGGTCTCGTCACAGTATCTCTTAATGGCCATGCGAGAGGCTCCAGTCTCTTATACGACTTTTGAAGCACTGGCTTTCGTACCTCCAACCTTCATAAGAACTTTGAGGCTCGCTGGCGATCTCCTAATGAGACGAGGCGTGGCTGCAAGATTGATTACGCTCTGGATAGTCCTCAGCTCGGTTTTTGTTCTCAGCTTTTCTTCTTGGTCAGCCGCCATGGCAGGATACAGCAGTATTACTTACGCTGTGATGGACACGTATGATGGTGAACTTGTTGCATGGGAAAACTACCAGGTTGTGCAGTTTGCCATTGCCGATGCATGGAGAATTGGTGAGCCAAGTATCGTTCTCATCACAACGGGTAGAGAGTGTGTCTTAGACGGCTTTTACAACAACGACGATGAGGATGTGGATGAAGATGAAGATGAGTCAGGTGAATATGACGAGCCTTGGAAGTATGTCCCGGTTAATTGTTCAATATTCTGGCGAACTGTCGAGTGTGAGGACTCTCCCAATTGACCATGCATGAATGCTGACTCTTATGCAGATGTGCACAATTACGGTCTGCACGCCAACCAAGGGACACCAAGCTCGTTCATCATAGGAGATGTGCAACACAATTTAAGCTCTCCAACACTCAATATCACAACTTCATTCGACAATTCTTCACTCGAGACCCTGTCAGGATACCTTACGGATCTGGCAGCCCACAAGCACATTTCCAGATTGGGTTTTGTTCAAGATATCTCTCCGTCCACCTTCTGGGTGTATCGAAATGAGACTTATTCTTGGGAGTACGTGCTCGACCATGCCTCGTGTCGATATAGTAAATACCACGATTGGGGCTTTTCATTTTTGATTCTCTTCATCACCTCCCTACTTCTTGCACTATGGTCGATCGGAACCTACGCTCTTTGGCTCTATGTTCAGCTGCATGATCGTAGGAAAGATGGACACAGCGACCAAGGGATGTTTGGCATATACAACTCCAGCTTGGCCCTGGTCTATGCGTTGAGAAATGATTTTGGAGAAGAAGTACTTCAGCCAGGGATGACGGAATCTAATATCAGAAGCTTGCTTCGACGCAGAGGGAAAACAGGGATCGCCGACATTCGAGAGCCTCAGGTTGTGAGCACAACAACTGCCCGTGAGCAAACTGCGCTAGTGAGGTATCCAGACCTTCAAGCAAGCAGTCATCTCACGCCTCCTCACAGCAGAACATCAAAAAGTGCTTGGGAAACTTTCAAGCATTTGCTATGGCCCAGATATCCGTCAGCCGAACATTCTCTTCCCTACCAGTCTACAACCTCCTCACAGGCGCATATAATGCGTACATCTACCATAGCGTCATCAATTAAATCATCAAGCTTGGCGTCCACCCTGAGCCCATCGACGACTTTCAATTACAGCGCGACGATCCCAGCTTCCAATCCTCCAAGTCTGGGGGCGGATCTCATTTCGCCAACCTCATGCATCAGCTCCAGAGGCGGGAGGCCAGGTTTCGGGGTAAGCAATTCGACCAATCGGTCATACTCCTACTCTTCGACCTTGTCCCAAATCGATCCATCAGCCTCGGAGCGGCATCGCAAGGCATCGCAAGTGAGCTCAGCCCCCGCCGAACCCGCCGCGGCGTATCAAGGGCTATCGCAAATATCAGGATCCTCAAGCACCAGAACGGCGCCGGGCAAAGGGCTCGCATGCAACGCCTTTGAGTTCAGAAATGACCTTGGTGACGACTGATGGGCGACAAGGTCTCCCTGACACAAAGAAACAAGCTCGAAGCTTGATGCTGCCGTTAGATACATGGCGTCAGCGGAACATGCTTGGGTTCTACGTATGGACTTTTTGAACCCCATTTGGGGATTGCCAGTGGAATGATCAACTGATGAATTAGGGACCTTGTTGTTGATTCTCGGCTGTTTTCACGGGTTTGATGGGATGCGGAACTTTCACCTTCTTTCTCCTACTTTCTTTCTCTTCATTTCTGACCGGTGTCTGGAAACCCCGGGGCGGGCGGGTGGAGTCATGGATGGGAAGTCGCAACGGAAACACGGGGTTTTCTTTGGGCAGTCCGTACAGTAATTTTGCTTGTATCCCTAGTATTAGCTCTAGTGAAGGATTGATGGGTATGGAAAGAGATGGGAACTCAGTGGACGGTCTAGGATGGCAATGGCAACGGGCAACCATTCATCAACGGGGAGAATCCAGGCTGCATGACGCGTGTACCAAGAGAAAAGTTATCTTCGCACAATGTGTCCAAGAAGGAGCACTCTAAATATTTCTGTATAATCGAACTCTGGAGCATTATCTGCATGAGAGCACTACCTAGGTCGTTTAACAAGCAATAGTGTCTCACAGGGTATTTTGGAAGAGTGACAGTGTGTGGTGAGTGGCGTTAGAATGACTTGAACCAAGCTAGTATCTATCTATGTATCGGATGCACAGAAGGTCGTGAAAACTGACATGTACTGGGCGCTGGGTGGATACACTCGACATGCTGACAAGAGTAGCCAGCAATCAGTCTGCCTTTCGTTGTACGCAGCATTGCAAGGGCTTCCTCATCCGGTTGGGAGTAGATTGCTCATACATCGCGTGCCAGCCGCGGAGAGTGCTTTTGAAGATATGTAATCCATCTGCCACGCGGCCTGCAGATACTCCTTAATTGCCGACTGCTCTGAACGACCTATTTCGGTGGATGACGACATATGGTGTTCCGGTAGGTCTCGGGGTAAGCTGGCCTGTAATTTGAATGGAGAATTGTCTGTTCCACCAGCATGTCAGATAGGACTGTTCCATTGGCAGACAGTGGAAGCATTTGGTTGTCTCTCTACCTTAATTTAGCGAGGGTGGGAATAGGGATCTAGTTAAGTGTTCGCAGATAACTCCTCTTATTGAGTGGCGCTGATGACGACCAAGGACACGGAGCACCATCATTTGCGAGCTACTTGTGGATCGTTGCCTTTCTTAAATAGCCAGAGCCGTGCTGTCATAAAAGTGTTTGACGTGTGCATTGCGAGAGCAAGATGCCCAATTCTCGGGGGTCTCAGGTTGAGAAGAAGCTCTGTGTAATCTCCCACTATTGTTTGCAAGATATCGTAACCACTGGGAAAGGTGTGAATCACACCATTTTCCATAGTTTGGGATATATCGATGCTGAGATGTGGGGGATTGCACGATATCCAACTCAAGCTTGCTACATTGCTGGTGCACACCAGTTATAATGTCGTCAAAGTAAGGGCATAAACGTTGACTTCCGAAATCGGTGGGAATTGGCCATTCTTCATCTCTTGTTGTGTCTCACAGAATGTAGTCACTTCGTTGTGTTTGATGTTTTTGCGTTAGGAGGCAAGGAGAAGCCTGTGTGGTTTAAAGCTAACACTTTTAGTCGTTCGACTCATATTCCTTTACCATCAACCCTTAGCTGTAGAACTGTTAAGGTCTTTCTCCATCGACGTGTTTGCTTCAGACGAAGCCGTTACTTCGCGAACCTTCTTTTCAATTTCGCGCTTCTCTCGAGCGCGTCTAGCTTGGTGTCTCCTAACATTTACCGGTTGATATACTTCATTGAAGTTCATGACCACGCCCAAGAATCGAAGATCAACGTCAGGCTGGTGTGCCAAGTCATACAAAAGCATGCTGAGTCGTGATCTAAATTCTGCTGAAAGGTTCAATTGCCGTGAACGCAGAGAATTGAGATGGCTTTCATCATCGGCAAGCCCTAGATGTGAGATCGGCTGTACCAGTATAGAGTCGTTCTCTTCAGGAAGAAGAGGTCCTGGCTTCTGGACCTTGTTTGCGATTGTAGAGGTCGGTGTACTAGCTCTCGAATCTCCGACCAAATCCTTTTCCGTAATCCCCCAGCGCCCTTGCGCGGTCCGCTGTTCGATTTTAGCACTGAACTGCTGCCTTCGAGTATACTCGGCAACGCTGTACGAATACAGCGAATCAATGACCTCTCGGTAATTGAGCATGCATTTGAGGATATGATGCACTTGGACCACAAGGCTATCTTCCTGCAAACCCGTCACCGGGTGTCGTTGCTGACCAATCAGCCCCTTCTTCGTGATGTTATTTAGGTATGTAGTGTGTGCTTCTATCAGATCGTCGAGAGTGGCTTCTGGCTTCTTAATGGCTTCTTCTAGCTTCTCCCAGCTAGCTTCAATCACCTCAAACAAGAGATAATACTGAAGTTGATTAACAAAGTGAACCATTTCTGAAACCACACATCTTGAGCGTTTCCAGTCATTGCCCAACTTGTCGCTAACTGCAGCAAGAACGCCTCGATCTCCTGTCATGCATCGCTTGCAAGTTGTGTTGAGAGAAAACTCGACTCGTTTAATCCTCCAGAGCAAGTTGAAGATTTTCAGATACTGAGTGTTCGCCCATTGTGTGATTACCACGTCACAGGGAGCACTAATTTTGTACTCCAGTGTAAAGCAATCCCAACCAATCTCACCGCTCGAAAGCTCGAGCATGCGAGCATCAAGCCGCCGAAGGACTTCGGAATCGTCATACTGGGCGTTCGAGTGCCGAATGGCGTGTTCAAGCTGAGAGGTGAGATTATGTCGATACATTGAATTGACTGGCCGATCTAGATGTTGGGCTAACGACTCAATCAGCAGTTCGAAGAAGTCACCCTGAGCAAACAGCATATAATTTCTGATGGCGGTCAGATGTGTAAAAAGCCCAAACTTTGTTGACATCAAACTTGTCAATCGCGACATTGTTGTTCGGTAAGCAACATCGATGGAGAGCGACAGATTGGCTGTGTTTGCAACATCCAGTGATTTTGAGTTTGATTTTGAGTATTGAATGACCCAGTCAGAATCACCACAATTGTGTCGGATAAAATTGAGCGATTTGCCAATCAGGAAGACTTTCCTCGCGAAGTCCGAAGAAATAATAGATGGAACCATGGCTGACTCAAGTTTGTACTTTTCCTCCCACACTGATGTAGCGACATGGCGATGGTCTACTACTGGTTGAGCGTTTGGGTCTGGCTCCGTTATGAAAAATTCATGATAAGGATCGATCAATTCGCCATCGTAAATCCAGTGTTTCAACATCTCATAAAAAGGGCGGGCAACATTTGAAAGGAGACGTTCTGCAAAGGAAGCCACAAAGGGGTCTCCATGCGATGAAGATAGCGAGTGTATAAGAGAAACCAATTGACCTCCACGCTTCAGCTTTGATTCTTCGACAATCAATTTCATCAACCTTAGTCCCATGGTGGCATCACGAGTCCAAATCAGACACCTCTTCAAAGTTACGCCGATTGTTTGAATGGCTATCTGGTCTTTCCCTGCGTGGATTGTGGCCAGAGCCTGCCTTATCTCTGTTTCCAACGAAGCCACCAGACTCAAATATGACCTCAATTCGTTGTTAACGGCAGAGCGAAGACTTTGATCTATGAGGCCACCATCTTGTCCCCCCGCGTACTCGGCCAAACCACGATATAGTAAACATGGTTCGGCTAAGGCATGAAGCAAAGATAAAATGGGAACGGGTAGGGTTGAAGGAAGGGTTAGCGAACTGGCACCGACAAACTCCAGATGGGCTGAAGACACTCCTTGTAAATTGAAGGGGAGATCGCGAAGCAACTCCAGTTCGGAGGGGGAGAAAGTCTGTGGTATCTTCTTGACAGATACTTGTTCTGGTTCCGGTCCCTGGTTCTCACGCATTGTCTGTTCCTCTTGGGCCAGACTGGCGACGTTTTGTTCTCTTGCATATTGATTTGTAGCCGATCGGTGGCCGGGAGACCTCCTAGGCGAAAAACGAGGGCGCGCAGCCTCATGTTCTTCACCTTCATAGTCTTCGGCATGATAAGGTTTCTCAGAGGAGAGTGTGTGTCGACGGGGAATATTTCGAACCTGATCAGAGTCTGCAAGTGGAGAGCGCTGATGCAAGTCTGGTATTGAAGGATCTCCTAACTTGTGGAGGAGATAGAGGATCGCCCATTTCTGATTGAGAACTGGAATGGCTAGCAGTCTAGAGTAGAGATTGCTGAACCTGGCAGCCTTCTCAGGAGACGCATTCTCTCGTAAAAGCTTTCTCTTGATCAAGTCTGAGGCTTGATTTGTGTCTGAAGGGAGACGAGGATCTGCGTTGCGGACCAAATCTTTCGCAGTCTGGACGGCCTGTTCGATTCGGAACTCAGTTTCGGTATCGTCCTGGTCCGGATTCAGAGGTGGGATAAGGCTTTCGAACAGCTGGTGCAGGGCATTGTCAATGCGAGTCACTCTCGGGTCAGCCATGGGCAAGGCAAGGGTACGGAGGGTATTAGTGGCATGACACTGTCCTGGGAAGGATAGTCGTTGAGTGAACAGGCGCTTGAAACCAGGGAGATCATGAGCAGTGACAGTGCGTTGTAGTAGCGGCACGTACGTATGAGGTCGGTATCAGGGTTAGATAATCTGTGTGCTAAGGACTGAAGGGACGTGTTGTAGACGCGTTTCTCGTGTATTTTGGAAACAGCACGAGGGGTGCGCTCGAAAGAGTTTAGTTTACGAGTCATGGTCCACGCCAAGTCCTTCCCGTCATTTTCGAGACAATCACGGAGGACGAAGTACGGTACAAGGGGCTCAATGACAACAGGCACCCTCCACCCACGAGATCCTGCGATCTACAGTACAATAATAGAGAACAATGTCCTGAGATAGGCATGTTTAAGCGCAGATTTGGGCAGCTTCTAACGAAATGTCCTCCCTTCTTTCGGAAGACGCCATCTCCGAACCTCGCTTGCGTCCACGGCTCGTGTGCACCGTGGCGTCAACCTAGTCTCGGGGTTGGTGTGTTCCATGTTTCATGCTCTCTTCAAACAATGTTTGAAACCGGGCATCTTGCTTCCAATCGATGGTATCTGCTTCAATCGATGACCGGCTTGAAGATCCAATCAGAGGCACCCCTTTGTATCTGAAGCATTGACAAGCAAAGATCAACCATGCCTATTACTTGCATAAATGGAAGGACGAGCCTAATTTGGCCTTGTCGACAATGGACCATGGGACTTGTCCGTTTGAGATAGAGTGCCACTGGATGTCAATGTGACGTTTGGTTCGGCGACTGGACCCTCCGATCTACTTGCCAATCTGTGCAGGGCGGCTTCTCGCTTTCAAATAGGAGCATGATAAGTACTATTGTACAGAAGCCTCAAGTTGTGATATTCAAGCTCGATATTGGACTCTGTGTGTGGGAGGCGTATTCGCATTCAAGACTCAGTGACACGAGAACGCAAACTCAAGAACAGCGGCCACACTTGCCCCTCTCCCTCGTCTGTCCTATTTAACTTCACCTGCCCCTTGCTGCACTTTGAGAAGTTCGAACTCACCAAGTCAGACATTTCTCGAGAGATATCCGACCTAGATACTGGAGAGGAAGCACTCCATTTCCAAGTCAAAAACGTTTGCGATCACTGGAACATCATGTCTGAGTTTCTATTGAAACTATGGCTGTTGGCATCCAGCATAATAATGATAGCATCTGCTGTTTCCTATTACTTCAACCGAAGCAGCAAGCAACCTTTAACAGGCATCCCATGGCTCAACACCAAAGAAGGTGAACTATTTACCATACTGAGATCACGATTTCGCTCACTCGCCAATTTCAAGCAGACCATTGATGCCGCATATGAAAAAGTATGTCCATCAAATGCAACACTTAGGAGTTGACATTAATTCATCTTAGTATTCCAAGCAGGAGTTGTCATGCATTCTACCAAGTCTTGCTGATGCAACGATTCTACTCCCTGTCTCGCATATCACCTGGCTTATCAACCAACCAGAGACTGTCTTAAGCGCCACTGAACCTCATGTCGAACAGCTACAAACACAGTTTACATTTGTACATCCTTGGATTGTCCAAAATCCCGTCCATCACGATGTTATCACGACGGAGCTCACACGCCGGATAAGCTCTCTAACGACGCCGATTATGGAGGAAATCGCTGCAGCATTCGATGAATTATGGGGAACGGACACCGTTGTGTGGAAGGATGTGTGTGTTTTCGACACTATCATGCAGGTTGTCGCTCGAGCCAGCAATCGTGCTTTTGTTGGCCTTCCCTTGTGTCGCAATCAAGCCTTGTTGGATCATGCTAAGGGATTCGCCCAAGCTGTACCCTTAGCTGCAGTTGTCCTCTGTCAATTGCCTGCCGTTATTCGACCAGTGGCAGCATCATTCATTGCTCACCCTAACCGAAAGCACACCAGGGGTTTTGCTAAAATTCTCCACCCAGAGATCGAACGGCGGAAACGTCTGCTTGATGCACCAAATGGCAAGGTCGAAAAGAAGATTGGTGATGCCGAATCGAATGACTTCCTACAATGGTCATTGGCTCGAGCGCGCAGCAATTCTCAGAGGGCAGAGTACGACTCTGATATCATAGCCGAGCGGCTGCTCGCACTGAATTTCGCTGCCATCCATACATCGACCTTCAGCATGACAAACGTCATCTTTGATCTACTAGCCGCTACATCGTCCCAAGACTACCTCTATCAACTCCGACATGAAGCCAATACGGCACGTGAGTCCAACAATGGCGTCTGGACCAAAAAAGGGCTTTCGAAAATGTATAAGATGGACTCTGCCTTACGAGAATCCACACGACTTGGCTCCTTCCTCGGTAAGGGGCTAGTACGCAAGGTCATGGTACCCCATGGCCTTACTACCCCTAATGGAACTCACTGTCCATATGGAAGCATGATAGCCGTACCTAGTAACGGTGTGCATAACGACCCAGAGTATTATCCAGATGCCGCCGTATTCAGGCCCTTCCGGTTCTCCTCTGAGCGGCTGTCCAATGGCACTGAAGAAGACGATGTCAGCTCTGAAGATGAGAGGACACACTCGGACGGCTACATTCGCAAAGCAAACTTGAGCTTTGTGAGCACATCACCTTCCTACCACCCCTTCGGCCATGGCCGACATGCCTGCCCAGGACGATTCTTTGCTGCGAACGAGTTGAAGCTGATGCTTTCGTACATGCTACTGAATTACGAGTTCGAATCACTCGGCGAGAGACCAGAGAGTAAATGGATCGGCTCAAGCCTGGTGCCGCCAATGAATGCAACAATAAAAATTCGAAGAAAGGCATTTACATCTTGATGCGTGAGACTCATTTTTCAAGGAGACATACGTCCACATGAAACTCCCCCTCTCAACTTCGACAAACCTATCAATCGACACCTCCGGCCAAATTCGGAATGAAGGGCAAAGCTATCTGAAGGCAAGACATGCTTCAGCGGACCTGTCGCCTCTGAAAATTTCGGTCTCAAACACCAGTATTGAGCAAGACCGGAGGCCTACTGATGACCTGTTCCCCCAATACCGGCAAACTGAAAGGGACTTTGCACAATAGTATTCACGATATATTTTATTCTTAATGACACGGGGAATGGTAGAGGGACTTCCGCTATCTAGAATACCCAGTACTTACAACACAAGCTCCAAAGGAGTCGCTCCATAGGACCATTGTAATCTTGCAGAAGACATAGAAATCACTCGAGACAGACGGAACCCTGGATAGAAAACAGAGAGCCTGTAATACTTCACACTAGTCCAGCACTCCACCTCGCTTGTATCTTGTGACTGATATGCCGCACGTTCAGTACGATATGCGTTTTGTCTCGGGCCACCTCGGCAGCCCTTCACGTGCCCGAGGCTCTTGGATTCAATGCCAAGTCAGTGTTGGTGAGGCATGATCGAAGACGTCAGCGATGATTTCGTAACTCGGCAATGCTCATCCGAACTCTGGACTGGCAAGCCTCGTCCGGACCACGAAAAGTGCAGGAAGGCGGAGGAGCGGGGTAGGAACAACCTTGCCAAGTTCCAACAGCCCTGCGGCCTAATCATGAAATCAAACATCTCCGTCTGCTGTTCAACAAGAACTCAATGCCCAGGGCTTGGTCGCTTGGCTTTCGTGAGCGATATATCTGAGGGGAGGTCTCCGGAGCCCATCCAGGGATGGTATGGTGGGGTCGGCACTGTGGGAAGGACTACTTAGGCGCATGACTGCAAACCTCGAAAATGGGCACGCCGTATGTCGTGGAACGCAGACACTAGTGGTCACAGGGCCTCCGGCTTCAAGATCCGAGCGCTGCGCCACTCACCGATTGGATGGATAGCATCAGCTATCTTCCATTAAGATCATGGGCAGGTCGTTTGTAGGGGTGTGACGACGTCCAGGGGAGGTTGGTTCTCAGCGATGCATTCCCGACGAAGGAACGAAGATGTTTGAAGTGGTGTGAACATTTATCCCCAAATGGTGGGCACCAGCCTGCTCAGACGGTACCAAGAACGTGACTAGAAACTTGGTGTGCCAGGCAGCAAGTATGAGCATGGCTTGATCCTGAAGGAGGATGGGTAGAGTCGCTTGGCATGCTCTGTTAGCCGCCGCTCTGACTGGTCCTGAAGATGCCTAGAAGTGATCTTGCAAAGGGCGCGCGAGACTCTTTCCATACGTCTCGACTTTGGTCTTCCCTACACTGGTAACAACAGTACCGAGTACCGAGTATGAGGCAATTCTACGAGTAAAGCGAATGAATGGGTTAGAAGGCCTTCAAGTACAATATGAGAGCCTTCTCCAGGACAAGGCTTAGCGCGCAACTGGAAGCCTGGCATCCACGACGCATTGTTGAAATTGCTTGTGTGCCCGCATTTCGAGATTCGTCAGCAGCCTTCTTGGTGTGATCGAACGAACAGACAGCCTACTTGGCATTCGACCCTGCCCCTGAAAGGCAAATCCAAGTAGTGCCCCCAAGTGGAGATTCAACCTCGACTGGCATCTGCCAAAAGTTAACATAGCATCGCTGGGAGTTGGAAATTGGGAGATGTCATTTGCTCAGGAGGCACCGATGACCGGAAGATAGGTGGAATACCTTATGTTGGGACGGTAGAGTATGTACCGAGTATATACATACAACATAATCTTCCAGGGTAACCGTGATTAGATTGGAAAAAGGCTCCGCCTCAAGGGCAGAAACACATATGTCCTTCGTACAAGTACAGTCGCCATTTCCTCATCTCATCAAGTTGATCTCCTCCGCGTGCAATGCCATTCACTCGTATTTTCCGAACGAAGCCGTATTGCAAGTCGATGGGTATTCAAAATGCACCAGTGAAAAAGTACCTTTCCGGCAGTACGGAGTACGAGTACAAGTAGTATCTTGGAGTGCACTTGGTCCATTTCCGTGGAGCCTGGTGCTGGGTAGCCCATTGGGTGATTCCCAGCGTGGAGGCCACATTTCATTATCAACCTAGATGGATGACTCGTATGATGAGTGGGGCTTTTCAACATGATTAGGCGATGATAACCCAGCCCTGAGATTAAAGCAACACGTGGCCTGCTTGGCGAGTAAAAGCAAGCAGCACAAATATCAGCATATCGGCTGGCCGAAAATGAACACGGAACGGAAGAAAATCCACCCTCAAGAAAGGCCAAGGTGTTAGCCGAGCCCGCCGAGCTCACAGCTGTTCCAAATGCTCGGCTCCTACATTCAACTTGGTGGTGAGAGTGGGGGAAACTCTTCTCGCCTAGACATTGGCAGGGCTTGGCATGCATCGGAAATTGACTCTCGGTGGCTTGAATCATGCTTAACAACCTTGAGATGGTTAAGCTCTAGCGTCAAGGACTCCCAGGCCGTTTCAGCTCCCGGGGGAAAGTACTTCGGGTCAGGACTTGTCATGCACGCCGATTACAATGACAATGCATGGGATTACAATTTGGTTCACCTTGATTACGGTCTGCTGGGTTGGATGTTAATCAAGAATGTTGCATCTGCAGAAGGCGACAACAAGCCCGAGAACGCCGAGGAATTGGCCAAGTCATGCCAAAATGAAGTGGCACTGTGCCCAGACCCTTAGAGTGGACTAGGTTGACGAGGATTTCTCGATACCAAGAAACACCAAGAAACACCAAGACTAATAGCGTCTTGGCTAGTACCCACTAGTGACGTTTTGGGTGTTGACAGCGCGATTTGATCCGTGCTGGAGGGATTCGGGGGGCGATTGACCCTTGGAACGCTCGGCGGTCTTGGAAAGAGAATGCGAAGAAACCAAGCCGTCTGGGAGCAAAACAGAAGACCGGACTGGCCAAAGGCGTTATGCGTCAAGTGATATTGGCCACTCGCCTAGACCCAACATTTCTTGGGAGCCTCACAAATGGAGTCCATGCTCCGTATCCATACGAGGACCTGCTCAGCTGGTTGCACGAAGAGTGCCAAGCATTCAAAGGTTACAATGTCTGGGTAAGATTTGGTGACTTGATGATATTGTACTCGTACTGTAACTCGTTTAGTGCAGCAGCCGGATGAGCTTAGACATGCTCATCCGGCCTGATGTCTGGTCAGGTCCGCCTCCGTACTCAGTATGCTAGTGGGTTTTCAGCACCCAGGCAAGTTCCTTTATGCGAGGCAACGGAGGGTGTTGGAAGCTTGATCAAGGAATCTGAGTTTATTGGGTTTCAAGCAGGGTCGAAAGATCATCTGAGAATGACTCCAAGGGGCTGCTCCTGGCATCTGTGTTCGTAGCTTATTTGACATGGCTTGGGAAGTTTCCTACCGAGAGTTGGCATCTGGACACTGTGGTCAGTGGTCAAGCGTATGACTATCGGTCTGATGTTTTGTGCAAGCAACAAAAACCCTTCATTCGCTTGGCAACTTAGTGGCCCTCGCTTAGTCAAAAGGGAGGGCAAGAAATAGACCGAGTCCCCAGCCCAATGCCTGCGCACGGGCCAATTGATGGGCGCAGCGGCATCAATTTAAGCATAAGCCCAAGCTTGGCGGTGGAACTTCGGTGCCTGCGGTTAACTTAGTTTCTTGTCATGAGGGAACAAGGCCCCAAGCACCCCAAGCGCAACTGCCACTGCGATCCACGTTCTCTTCTGCCAGACTGCCACCACTACCACTACTACTACTACGTACTCCTACTCGAGCACTGTCCTATCTGCCTTTCGCTAGACTTGATTCCTTCAGACTCCCTTCTTCACTCCAACACTTCACCCATCACCCATATCATCTTGCGCGGCACAGGCCACCTTCGACTATCAACAAATTCCCCGGCATTCCTCGCCCTGTACCTCCCATAAATTCATTCGCATCCTTCCCTGACCCATTCTACGCCCCACCATCTTTCTACCTACTTGCTTGAACAAGTCAAATCCAGCTGTACCACGCTCTTCACTAGCCTCACCGAAGCATCGTAGAGCACAAAGATTTCAATTCGGCTACTCCTTGATAATTCAGTGGTTGGCCCTTCTCTGGCCAAGCCGTAGCATAATCGCTCTTCGCGCGGATGCGGCGAGCTGGGGTGCTTTCTGGTTAGCATTCAGCCCGCCGCTCTCTTACTACCTGAATGTGAGTCCGTCCCTCGTGTTTGCCTCTTTCCTGGACTTCGTTCTAACTGATTCTAGAGCCCTTGCACTATTTAGTTGGCAAATCCAGCAATCGAGCTACTCGCGATGGAGACATACAACGGCCACGTCCGTACCCCAACAGATGCCATTATCCTTTTCGAAGCCTGCCGATTAGGTATTCTACCTCGAGTTCAACGGCGTTTGTCCGAAAAGGAGAGGCAGTCGATCAGATCAGGTTCCGTCTTTGTTTGGGATGAGCGGGAAGCAGGCATGCGAAGATGGACTGATGGCAAGAGTTGGAGTGCGAGTCGCGTTTCAGGCAGCTTTCTGACGTACCGAGAAATGGAAGGTAAACGTGGAGGAAATTCTTTCGTTGCGCCGGCGAACCGAGTATCTAAGACTCCTGACAGCGCAAACGACGATCCGATGGCTGGAGAGGGTGAAGAAGGCCCTGATGGATATCGCTACAAGCCAGACGGGCTGATGAAGCAATCATTCAGCATCACGACTTCCTCGGGCCAACACTTGCATCTGATCAGCTACTACTCGAGATCACACCCTACAACTCAGGTCCTACGACAACCCAGTACAGATCCGAATCTTGCTTCGATTCAGCCACCAAAAGGGATGTATCCGGAATCAACCATCAATGATCAGTCTTCGGTCCCTGCTGTTACACGATCACCCATGGTTGGTGCACCTGGTTATGTGATGAGCCCGGGAGCTCCAGGATACCACAGGCCTCCCTCTCACCCTCACGCCGCCTATTTACCTCCGGGCTACATTCCTCATCCCGCCTACCTCTATCCAATCAGTCCCATGCACACTCCCCAAGGGCCATATGCCTTGCAGCCTTATGCGACGCTGCCTCCGGGTCTTCCTCCTCTCGCCTATTCAGCCCCCCCATACCATTCGCCCCATCATCTGGTTAACCATTCCATACCGCCACCAGGTTACGATCATCGTCCACTCAGACACCCTGACCCAAGAGCGTCGGCCCCTCACCACTTACCACAAGTCAGCCATCACCAGCCTCCTCCAAGTCCTTATGGTGCTAGTCAGCCACCTCCACAGCCGACTCCACCCACCCAGCCGTATACTGCTTCTCAACCACCACCTACGGCTCTCTACCAGTCAACCCCGACGGCGCCATCAACCGCTCCACCAGCTAACGGCACCGAAGAGAGCACCGAAAAGCCTCCCCCGTCTTTGCAGATCGATCCTCGACTAACTACTGGTCTCACTGAAACGCAAGCGAATGGAGCCTCCAGGAAGCCTGAGGACGCACAGCCAGAGTCCCGTCCTACGGAACTGCCAGCAATAAGCGCCAGCCAAGCACCAACTATCACTTCGCTTGTGCACAGCATCAACACAAGCTTACCAACAGAGAAGTCTCAGGGTGAATCTGAGACCGACCGCCAGGGAAGCACAAGTCCTGGCGGTTCGAAGAATGGTGCTCCTCCACAAGACATCCCCAGCGAGAAGTTGGGATTCCGTGAGGATAAGAGGGCTTTGAGCAAGCTCGATCGTGTATTCGCTCGAGTCTAATCACAAATCGAAGAGCGTTTCTTGAAACCATTCCATGGAGTTCCGGGCAGGGTAGACGGCTCGGATGCCAGCAATGATTGTTTTTCAATGTTTTTGCGACTGTATCGACACTCAAAACGGAGGCGGTGGTCTGGCAGGACATGCTTCGGTCATTTGTTTGCCTGGTTGCGGTGGAAGACGGGTTGGTAAGCGGTGGACTACGAGATCCATGATGATGATGAACATTTTCCTCTTTTTAGTTTTCTTCCCTCACTAGTTTTCGCCTTCTTATGTCCACCGACTGCAGACTCTCAGGAGCCTTGCGGCTATGGGCACTGCTATCATAGCTGAAGCTACGGGAGAATGAGTACGGCGAGAGACGATACTCATCAGCGGGCATATGAGTCGAATGCCCTCACGTCAGTGGTGTACTAAACTCCAACTGCCTGAAATTCTATCAATATTGAGTGCACCGTACGCTTTAATTTCTTCTAATGTGACATACCACGTCAGCGGACCAAACGCCCTTGCAGAGTGACACACTCGACTGCACTCTGCCGAAGATGGATCGCAATCCTTTCATCCTCCTCTGATCTCATTCATGGCACCTTCTCAGAAAGGGGAAGTGTTATTGCATATGTACCCAAGGCCTGCCAGGTACGCAAATACAACACTCAAGTCTATGAGAAAACTTTTTCTATGGAGGCGTATTTCGCTCCTTAGGAGAGGGCGTAAGAAGGAACAGAGATTCCCTGGACCGCTACTGTTACAACCAATGCCCACTAATTCCATGTCCTGGTATTATGTGATACATTTCCCTCCTAACGGACGTGACCTTGTTCTCCCCCGAATGGCAAGCCTTTAGGCGGCTGGCCCCTGATCGGAGTCCGTAGCAGCATAGATACCGGTCAATTCCAAACAGGGTCCTTCGACCAAGTGATCAATCGGCTGCAACGCTATCGAAATGAGAAGTAGTCGGGGTCCGGTGCCGGGAGGACAAATGCAGGCAGATGGTAAATAAAGCCAATTGTTACTAAGAAGCACCATCCCAATCCGCCCAATAGTTTCCATTGTCAGTTTCATTGAAAGGCACCGTTCCCGAGCCCCGAAGCAGACTGTCGAAGAACGCCATGTCCACTCCCTGGAAGGCCCAGTTATCTACACTGGCTGTCAGGCCGGGGTACAGGTAAGACTGCTGCAGCGTGGTGTTGATGGCGCTCGGGGTTGTAGGTGCGAATCCCGCGTCGTGTGGTGTCTGCTGAAATTCTGGGGGCGCGATGTGTGACCCTACGCCGTGAAAGGAGGGCGGTTCCGGTTCAGAGAGCATGTCCGCGTCGAAGGCTCCGCTTAGCTCTTGGTCAACTGAATAGCCGTCTCGTGCGGAGGTAATCACTTCCGGGGCGGGAGCGCCATTCTTGTCCGGCTCGTGCTGCTCTTGCTTCTTGTGGTGCTCCACAGAGGGAAGTGACGTAGGACGAGGAGGAACTTCCATAGAAATGATACCTTCACGACCTATGGTGATGGTTCCGAAGTACGGAATATCCATTCGCAAGCCTTGCTCGTGTCTTGTCGCCAAGTCAGGGTGTTGGTCCATCGTTGGTGTGGTTGCAGCGTCCTCTTCGAGGGCAAGTAGGCTCCTCAGGAGAATCGAGCTACGCTCGCTGAGGATATCCGTGTTCAACTTCGCAACATGCTCCATATTTTCGAGGACTTGTTCCATCATCGCGCGATCACCGCTCCTTTGGTGGGCTAGTACATTAATTCCCGCCCCACCCACTCCCTGTCGTTGCCTGCGGTGCCCGTCAAGGTGTGCAATCACCAGTGTCAATGAGGCGCTTAGCGCAAAAAAGTCAACTGACCTGCAGCAATACGCAACAGGGTTGAACGACCGGAACATTACAAAGCGCGTCAGTAGTTCTCTTGACGCATGTGCGCTGGTCACCTTGCTGTACTCGAAATTTTGAGCGGCAACACCATCACCAGTGCTGGGAGTGCTTGATCGCAGTATGTAGGGAAGGTGGAGCAGGTTGAGCAAGTTGAAGTAGAATATCTGATCAAGCAACCGCAGCGTGTCCCAGAAGGTTTTCTCCGGGTCGTGCACAGGACTTGCAAGGTTTGGGACTAACAACCACTTACTGGGGAGCTCACTCGCGGCTTGTTGAAGTTCTGCGTCCAGTTCATGTAATGTTATAACGTCATCTGCGATACCAGCGCCCAAAGATTCGTTGCGCTCGAGGATACGAGACGCAATGGCGTTTTGCTTACGCTCAAATCTACCTTCCGGTGTGTCACTTCCCAGCGCGGCTTCGGACGCAATGGAGGCATCCAGTGAACCTTGTGGCAGACCCAACATCAAGCAGAGCTGACGGTCAAAGCAAAGAATGCGATACCACAGAAAGCTCGGATAGACGGACTCCGTTGGGTCGAGGACATTGAGCGGTTGTTGAATGCCGCTGCGATGAATACCCAGCATCTGAGCGACCACCATGCCGCGTCTACACGCGAACCAAGAACGTCGTAGATTACCCCCATTGGCATGATACATAGCTTCGAGCAACACACATTCTAGCCCTTCGGCAGAGCCCAACAATTCGTCATTGTTGGTAACCAAGCTAATTGCTGTCTCGGCAAATCGACGAATCAGTTGGCGTGGTGGTTCTGACAATCTTCGAATGGCCTCCGCGTGCAACTCCGGATGCACACCTTGGAGTGATGTGGCCAGAACGAGCAGGTATTTCGCCAGTAGCGCTGGGTGGGTTTCCAAATCAGGCATATCCGCCAAGTTTGCACGTCCCCCCCTAGGCTTTTGAGCTAGTACGGCCAGAGGGTGGGTCATGATCCTGTGGAGTGAAACATCAAGCCCTGCCTCAATCAGGATAGTAATATCTTCACGTGGCGGAAGAGCTGCGTACAAAGCAGCGGAAATTTTTTCGAACCGCGTTCCTTGTGGCTGAATGGCTGATACCAGCGGTCCAGGAACCGCTTGTGTCCGCACCACGGGGGACGAGAGATTTTCCTCTAGAGGAATATCTATCGGCCCTTGCTCAGGCTACACATGTCAATTCTTGCATGCGACACCCGAAGAAAGCAAGTCTGACTTACACCTGGACCCTCGGGCGTTCTTGAGTGGCGGAGCACATCCGTTCCATCACTCGACCCTGGGGTCGGCAGATCGACAACTTGGCGTTGCTGCTCGTGTTGAGGAGAAAAGCTGGAACCATCCCTCAAGGCATGATCCCCTCTGCTGACTTGCTGAATCAATTGCTGAATCAGAGCTTCGACGCGCACAATACGGTCACTCGGTGACGATACGGTTGGAACATTCTCCTCCGGGAATTCTTGACCAAGACACTCCGTACCCCGCCTGACACATCCAATGCAAACTGTGTCTGAAGCTTTCGAGAATGTGCACCGTACCTTCCGACGCTTACACTCCCAACAGCTGCGTGTGCCCTTGCGGACTTTGCGTCGTTTGGTCCCCGACTGGCTATCATGCCTCGGAATTGATGATCCCGCGGACAAATCAGCAGCGGCATCCATATTCAGCCTCGCTGGAGATAAGAACGCTTGGCTAGCCAGGCAGTCGTGCTTCTTTCTGCCCAGCGAACTCACTGTATTCTCATCCAAGGAAGCCGCCAACGACAAACAATTGATCTGGCGCCAGGTTGCCTGGGAGTTTCGCCAGAGCAGGTTAGCAAGTCCCCGAGCGCCGGCCTTGATTGAGAGATGTGGTGAAGATAATATGGGTTGCAATAGAGAGTATTCTGTGAGGGTTGCTTGTAACTTGCAGCTGTATTGTCAAGCCTGATACTATTTTAGTATCGAAGGGACAAGTCAGAGCCAAAAGCGCGCCGCAAGATGTGCCCTTCAAACGTCTCTAGGCAGCGATATCGGGTCACATCGAAGGGACACTAAAAGCGAGTGCCTCAGGGAACCTGAAGAGTTAGTGATGTTTGAACTTGCATCAGATAATGGGAGGGAGCCTTGCAAAGCCTTGTCTTGGCGTCACATGATCTAGCTCTTCCGCCGCTTCGGCGGTGGGAATTGGTACTAGCAGCTGCCACTTCCACACTCATTCCATCTATCCTTCATTGCCTCCGCCGTTAAACTCCAAACGATTGTAGACAACCTTGACAACATCTTCTCGTACATGACTTCCTGCGGCTAGCCCCACCCCTTTGTCGATGCCAAGCAATCTGATAAGATATTGACTCATCTCTGCCTAATTTGACCCACGATGTGGACATTTCCATGGCCAGGAGTGGCAGTAACAGATTCAATTGTCCCGTATCATGTGGGTACGTGTGCTGCAAATTCCACTTGCGTTCATCGGAAACGCATCGAAGATGCAACAGGTTTGAGACGTCAATTCACTTACGTTGCCGTGGCCTTGTTATGCCGAGTCAATGGCGGAACTTGCCAACAGTTGCCGGGAATGTCTCGGGGGAGCGAATGGCCAGAGCGAACGGAAATGCGAGCGAATGCCAAGTAATGTAAACTAGGCCTAATTTGGCTGTAAAATTGACCCCTTTTGTATATCCTGCCATTATTCACCTATTTATCAACCACACTATCATCGTGAACCCTCGTCGACAAGGCTAAGGTTTGATAAAGCCTCGTCGGCGTCAACCTTAGTGTTGACGCTACTCTAGGACCTCCGGATCAATGTTCTTCCGCTCTATTTACTAGCCCTAGGGTTACTAAATTACTATCGCTCCTAGGACTTAGGAATAAATCCTTACTATCGACCCTAGTTAAATTTAATAGTATAGTTTCGCCGTCTCTTTATCCTACTAAGTACTACTAGCGTAGTTAACGCTAGAGGCTTATTTAGCGTAATCTACAGCGGAGAACCTTCTAGCGAGGGCTCGCGCCGTAGCCGAGGCCGCTCCGGAGTAAGGATTACTAAATCTAAAGTTTCTAGTAGAGGACTACTCGTAGGAATAACTTCCGATAAAGGAGGAGTTATAGAAATAACCTTAGAGCTTATAGGAATATCTTAGAGAGGCGTATACCTAATAAATTCTATAGTATCCTCCTCTTTATTAAATAGTTATTACTCTATTACCGCGCGATTTAATAACTATTCTATCTCTTATTTAATAACCTATAAGGCCTTATAACGCTTCTATTATAGCTATATAGAGCGACCCTAGCGGCGTTAGCGCTTACTAATTTTATTAGTAGTTAATACGCGCTAATTTACGAGTCCGTAAGTATTACGCCTTACTAAATAACTTTATCGGCGAGGATCTAGTACCTATAGAGGTGCCTATTATATTTAATAACGCCGTTAAGTAGCGCGTAAGAGACTTTATAGCTATAGGGCCTTAAAGTAAGTAATTTAACGCTTAGTATTTACGGCGTCTACCGCTAATTAATAAGCTTCCTATAGATTAAGGAACTTCCTAATCTCTACGAGTTAATTTATCGTCTCCTAATAAATTATCGTAATAGGAGCTATCGGCGGCGGCGGCGGTATTAATTATATATTAGTTAGTAGATAAAAGGGTATCTAGTTTAATAAGTAAATAGGTCCTCTATTAAGCTACTAGCGAGAATAAATAAGGGTCCTTAGAATAGGTAATTCTTCTAAGTAGGTAGGTTTTAACTAATACTAATAAGCGATACTAAAGCGGAGTAAAACCTTATACTTATAGCTATTTTCTAGTATCTTAAGGTCTTCTCCTCTTCTTATTATATTATTTAATACTATCTACTTATTATAATCCGAGCTATAAGTAGTTCTAACTAAGGTAGGGTTCCTTAATAGAGTAGGTACTAGAGTATTAACTAAGATAATAAAGTGAATATATAATCGTCGGACTATATCCTAAAACGTAGGTATAGGATTACTAACGAAGTTAACTACGAACTATACTATCTAGGTAAAGGAGCGTATATATATAATGTTTAAAGTACTACTTTAGTATATTATTATATTATTCTAATATAATAATATGGTAATATATTCCCTAGTTATATAATATAGCCTCGTTCTCTATCGACTAACTTTCCTTAAACTATCCCTTAGAACGTAGGACGCCTATTTCGGCGACTTTATCTATAACCTAGTTTATAATACTATTCCCTCCTTCTATCTACGTTATCCTTAATATACTTAAGATAGTTACCTCCCTTCCGTTATAATTCTTACCTTCTCTTCCTTATAGCTAACTATATCGCCCTTAAGTATTAAGAAGAGTCGTCGATCCTCTAAATCTATATATAACTAGAACGCGCGTCGCCTTAAAATTACTAACGCTATATCTTCCGATCCCGGAAACGCCGCTATAGTCGCCTATATCGAGTATATTAACTATAACATTATCTATTATTATAATCGAGAATAATCGATAAAATACTCTAAGTATCTTCGGTACTAAAGAAACTATAATAGTACCTTTTTCGTAGAGGAATTCCGAAAAGTTAGTAAATAAAAGAAATAACTAGTCTTAAAGTCTCGCGCTAAGCGGCGTAAGATTACTCGGCTTCGTAGAGTTCTAGCGGAACTAGAGGAGCGCGATACCGATATCTAGAACTCCCTAGCTAAATTAGAAGACTAATTTAATCGTATACTTCGCCGCGAAATAGAAGCGCTAAATATTTTTAAGTTCGTAGAGACGTCTTCTAGTATTAACTATAAGCTAGTCCTTACCGAATCCGAATTTATTTTTAATAGTTAGTTCGTAACTAATTCGATAGACTAGAAATAAGTCCTAGGTTCCTCTAATAATACTAAGTAACTAGTTTCGGATTAAGGTTTATCTCTAGTTTCTAAGTATTTTCTTCTTCTAGGTATCCTAACTATTTAATTAAGTATTTTATTTAGTTATCCTCTTACCTATACTAGAGTATAGTTTCTATATTATAATAGAGTTCTTAGGTTTCTTTATTAATATATACTAGTCCTAGTCTAGCTTCGTCTAGTACCTTTTCTAATAGTAATTTATAGAATACTAGATATATATTTAGTCTTCCTAGTAAATATAGCTTATAAGAGACTAGTCCTAATATCTCTTTAATTCGATACGATTTAATTTTCGTATAGTCTAGTTTTTTACTCGGTCTCTATATTTTTATATTTTTTATATTAATATAAACTATCTCCCCCTCCTAGAAGTCTAGTTCCTTAGATCTTCTCTTATTTACTATTTTTATTATTATTTTCGATATTTTATCTAATTTCGTCTTTAGTAGGTATTAAGACTAAGCGATACCCTATTAACGCCTAGTTACGTAATTAAGCTTATATAAGCTAGGATCACGTAGTATCTATTTAGTAAGGCTATACTTAAGCCTTACGGAAGATTCTATAAAACGCTATTCTATTCTATAGGATTAGAAATTACTTAACTTAATTTCTAAGTATTCTAGGAGTTAACTCGTATTTACGAATACTCGGTAATTACTCTTGTACTTACGAGATATTATAACGGAGCCTACGCCTATATAAAATAGGCCTATACTCCTTTACTTAGATAGATCTTAAGTTATTTAATAAGATAGAAAGGAACTATATTATATTAAGATTAAATCGGTATATATTCTCGCCTATACTATAGGTCGGATAAGGGAGTAGGGCTACGTTACTAGAGGTTCTCTCTCTTCTAGGACCGTAGAATAAGAACTAATCGGTACTAAAATGAATACTATAGTAGCTATAACTAAAACGATACTCTTTACTTATCTATATTAGCGAAGGAATAGTAACGCTATCGATCTTTATAGTCTTAAGCCCGCTAAAGGACTATACTTTTAAGACTTCTCGTAATAGATATATATAAAGCTATAATAGCTTTATTCGTAAAGGTTACTACTACTAAAACTTAGGCTATATAGTTATATAGCCGAACTCGTAGAAGGAAAAACGCTCTTAATTCTATAAACTATACTCTTATAACTACTATTTAATACTTAACGCCCGCTCGCGTACGTTAGGTTATTCCCTTTTTTATTACTTATCTATTCGATCGTCTCTTTCTTCCTTACTTACTTATTATTCTATACTAAGGCCCCTTCTCTCTTCTCTTATAACTAAGCGCCTCGAGCCCTAATATAATATATTCTACTCCTTCTTTCTACGGTCTTCGGCTACTTCTACTATAGATTCTAAACCTTATCCCCCGAATATTAAGATAGCGTTAAGCGCTCCTTAGTAACTACTAGCTACGAAATAAAGTTCGCCTACGCTCCGCTATCGAGTAGTATACTAATCGTACGCTTTCCTATCTTCGTATCTATATCGACCTTTATTATAAGCGCCTTTAGCTATTCCTTTATAGAAAGCGTAGCTCGTATACTTAACGCTACTAAGGCGCTTAGTAAGTTAAGACTTAATTTTTTATCTACTCTTTCTCTTTATCCTTAGGCGAAAGAAATTTCTTTTTAGAGTAGTAGTCTTCGCCTCTATAGCCTCTTTTTCTATAGTTAAAGTAAATTTCCGAAAAGAGTTTCGAGGACTTCTTTAAAGTATATTACTCTATAGGCGTCTAGAATACGAC